TTGCTTAGTTGAGTAGCTTTCAGCACAGAAAGCACACGTAGGAGCCTGCCTACAGTAGCTTTCCAAGTGCCCAAAGCTAAAGCACTTAGTACACTGCGTAGTAGGAGCAGTAGTATAGAGCTTTTCAACTCGTACACTTATCCCAGCTATATAGAGCCTATTCCGAATAGCTCTATTAGCTTCCTGTTCTGTGGCAAAAGAGAGAGCTATTGAGCCAGCTAGCTGATTTTGCCGGCGTTCTTTGGGTGTAAGCCAATAAGGCGTTCCAATTGGGTTCAGGCTAGTATTGAACGTTTTGATTTCGTCAATAATTAGGGCCATGCCCTCAGGGGTATTGAAATCGGCAGTAGGGATCCCGTGGATAGCTACTTTGAACCAAGGCTCATCTTTATATAGTGCCTGATTAGGCACTATATGCTCCCAAATAGCTCTTTTTTCGATTAAGAAATCGGCCGTATAGTTAGGTGTAGTTGTAATAACTAGATTCCTTTTCAGAGATCTAGTTACTGAAATAACTACAGGGCCTTTGATCCCTTTATCTGTAAAAGCTTTATTTAGAGCATTTCGGGCTACTAGGGGGGAGAACGAAGTAGCAGTTCCAGGAGTTTGTGTAACGATAAGCCTATTTAGGCTAGATCGTTCCGATTTGGGCGGTGAGGTAGGTTTGGGCTTTCTGCCAACCAAAGTCCATTCTTGGGGTGTTTTTGGGGCTCCGGAGCCTTGATTTGCAACACTTGCAAAGGACGGTATAGTTAAGTTGTTACTTAACGTCGAATTAGAGGAATTGGGAGCGTTTGGGCGTATAGTTAAGTTATTACTTAACCGGTTGGATTCAGGGGTAGGGTGGGCAGGGCCGGTGGGGCCGGTGGCACGTGGGGCGGCACGTGAGAGGTCACGTGACTTCGCTTCGAGCTGCCGAGTCGCCGATTCCAGATTTGAGATCTGGGAAGAGATGATCGAAGATGCTTTTTGGAGGTGGCCGTGTTCAGTGAATTCTCTAAAGACCTCGAGTAGGTCTAAGAGTTTAGACTGTTCGGTACGGGCTTTTGTAAGGCTGTAGGCTTCGACAATTAGGTCTCTAGCCTCGAGTATCGCTGTACCGGCGTTACGAGTGGTAGTAGTGCCGGACGCTCGGGTATATTCCAATTCGAAATCGAAGTCGGAGTCGGAGCCTAAGTTGGCCGGGCGGTCTGTGCGGCCTGAGGTAGGTACCCTTTTGCGTGCACTGCTTTCAGGGGGTGGTGAGGCTCTAGGCCGCTTCCGAATCGGGCTAGGGGCGAAAAAGTTTTCAATCTCAGTGGCGGAGGCCAAAGGGTCACTGGAAAAGAAGTCGAATTGAGCTTGCGTAACGTCCTTTGGTGTCGATATAACTTGAATTGAGGGTATATTAGGGCTAGGGCTAGGTGCCTGCTCTATTTCGTCCGAATCGACGTAATGCCGGGGCGGTGGGGGGGGCGGGAGCTCCTGAGGAGGCTCCTGGAAGAGCTCCTGGGGAGTCAACGGATCCGAACTCGATTCCATCCTACTCAATGCCTATATACGAATATATAAAGCGATAAATAAGACGAATAGAGTATTCTTCGAAGATATAAGTGGTTTTTAGGCCGAAAGCAGGAGGTTGATTTTCGTCGAAAAAAGTTTTTTTTTGGGAGTCGGAGCTTGCATTATTACTAGTAATACTTGACTATTAGTCAATAATCTAAGTTTAACTATTACTTATAATACTGACTTAGCTAATTGGAGTATATTCTCAGAGAAGCTGAAATCCAGTATAATTAACTATATAGTTCTTAATTCACTTAAATTAATAACTATATAATTTAATTATACGAACTCTTTAGCTATTTTCTAAGAAGAAGAGAGTAATATAACTATTACTAAACTACTCGATGAAGTTTCTGAAGAGTTTACTAAAGCAGTTATAGATATAGTAGATCTAAATATCTCAAAAAGGAAGGTAGAGACTAGAGCTAAACTTTAGTAGAATAACAATCTGAAACAACTATACTAGAAAATAATTCGGAATTAACGAATATTCATCTAGTATAACTATAACTATACTGCTAAACACGACTACTTTATAGCTAAAAATACTTACTTTTTAACTATAAAGCAAGTAAAATAGAGCTACTAGAACGACTTTCTTGAAAAGGAGGATCCGAAAACTATTTTCAAAGTTATAGTTTATACTAGAGACTGACAGATCGAATTAATACCGCCTATCTAGGCTAGTACCGATCTGGAACACCTAGAATCCTCATTTGCCGGCAAATGTAACGCTTTTCGCTCTACGTTCTTCTTACTCCTACTTCAAGCTCTAAAACCAAGTTAGTTAAGTTATATTCTTTCGAATAAGTAGCTTTGGCCTAACTTAACTATACCGGAACTTACTACTGCTTATACGACTAAGCTCAAGGGCAAAAACACTTGGACTAGATCTAATTATACAAGTAATTATCTAATACGTTTATAATACTATACTGGAAGTCTTCTTTAGGTTCTTTTCAGCTCTAATTGACGTTGGATACTACTCTACTTGCTGGAAATAAGCTACAGGAACGATTCTCAAAAAGCCAGGAAAGCCCAATTATATTCTATTTAAAGTATATAAAATAATACTACTCCTCAATTACTTAGGCAAAGTCAGCGAACGGATTCTAGCTCAACGATTAAACTATTTAGCTGAAATAACCCAACTACTCTACTCTAGCCAAATAGGGGGCAGGCTCAAAAAATCGGCTATTAACGCAGCTTTGCTCTTCAATAACGAAGTCGAAATAAACTTAAAACGGAAGCAAAAAACGTCAGCTTTACTTTTAGACGTCAAAGGAGTTTTCGACTATGTAGCTAAAAACTAGCTATTATCAATACTCAAGGACTTACGTCTACCTACTAGTCTAGCTAGTTGAGTATAGTCGTTTCTAAGTAATCGTCTATTACACCTAGCTTTTGACAGCCAAATAGAGCAATTTGCTAACCTTAATACTGGAATCCCCCAAAGTTCTCCGATATCCCTTATCCTGTTCCTTATTTATATAAGGGGTCTCTTTACTAGTATAGCTACAACTTGCCTACTTTCCTATATCGACGATATAGCTCTAATAGTTACTACACCTAACTATATAAGTAATATCAAGATACTAGAGAGAGATTGATTGATTGATTGATTATTCCTTTTAACGTCCTTTGTAAGTCGAAGACTATAGTAGGACAGTTAGAGCTAGAGCTCTAACAAGCTATTGTAAATACAAGATTGAGAGTCAATATAGTCTGGGGACAGTGAGGGCCAAGCCCTAGTAGAACTAGAGAGAGAAGTAGCTAGGCTATTTGATCAAGGAGCTAAAAGTGCGATTTAATTTGATCTTGCAAAGACCGAACTAATCCACTTTGGGCCTAGCAAAGCTAAGCTACGCCTGCCGGATCAAACCCGAATTGAGCCGAAACAGCTAGTTAGGTGGCTCGGCATTTGGTTTGATCGTAAACTCACCTACAAAGAGCACTTCAAAATCCGAATAGCTCAAGCTAAATCAGCATTCCTATGCCTAGCCCGCCTAGCTAATACTGAGCGCAGTTTATCACTAGCAGCTATACGCTAGCTATATATAGTCTGCGTAACGAGTATTGCTGATTACAGATCGATTATCTGGTGGCGTGGCCAAGCTGGCTTCAAAAAGCGAGTCTAGGAGCTCCAAAACCTAGCTTTACGTAAGATATTAGGGGTATTCAAAACAGCCTCTATTATACTAATGGAAGTGGAAGCAAGCTTGCCCCCCCCTGGAATCCGGCTTAATAGCTCAATCCGGCAATACGCTCTCGGACTTACAAAGCTCTCTAAAAACTACCCAGTTAATTTAGAAGCTAGCAAAAATACTGAACGAGCTAGCGCTGATTTAGCTAATAGATCAATAGCTAGGCAATACTTAGTTAATTCGGAACCCGACGATACTGAACTAACTTTAACTATATAGCTAGACCGGATTACTAGCTCAATTAGCTATATAGTTAACTATAGCTACAAACGAATCTAACATTTCCAATTCGCCCCCTAGGCCCGAAAAACACTTTATTCAGTCGAAATCAGTCAATTGCCCAAAGATGAAGAAACGTTGGTTTACAATACCCGAATATCGATCCCGAATACCCGAATTACACATGTTTACTCCGACGTTTCCTATATATCCGACAGTATAAGTGTCGGAGTCGGTATAACTATACCTACTCAATATAGTAGCATAGTTAATATCGGAGCCGAACAACTAGTCTACAACGGAGAACTTGAAGGGGTTACGCAAGCTATTGAGTACGTTAGTTCAATAGCTATACCCCGGCATAAATACCGGATCTATTCGGATAATTAAGCTAGTCTACACTGCCTGAAAACACCCCCGGCCAAGTTTGCCAAATCAGGGCTATTCAGGCTACCGAAGTAGCAATCCAAAAACGGGCTAGTATCGAGCTAGCCTGGGTTCCAGGGCACACCGATATCGAAGGAAACGAGCTTGCCGATCGCTTAGCTAAACGAGCTATACTTGAAGAGCCCAGCTCTAATAATACTAGCTTCGCCTACCTAGGAATGAAAATCCAGGGAATTCGCAGGGCAGAGTAGTTAAGTTATGTAAATAACTATACGACAAATAACCCCAATTCCAACCTACTTAGAGAGGCCAGGCCCTCAATTCCACCTAATACGAAAAGGGAAACAGCTAGTGCGTTCTACCAGCTCAAGCTAAGCCACGGATACCTCAAATTATACCTATTTAGGCTAGATCGCTCCAATAGCGTTGAAAGGAATAAACAAACAAACAAGTAAAGAAGAGAATTATCTTATTATAATCTTTAATTTACATAAGAATTTAAAATATATAACACACTGTTTAAATTACTTGTTATAAAGTATTATTATATTAAAAGTCTAAGACTCTAAATAAAAGTCTAAGACTCTAAAGCTTGTTTATTGTCAAACGGACTATTTATATTAAGTTTAACTAATTAAACCTAGCTTAATAGCATTCCTTTGTCTTAGTAGGCGAGTCGGACCGCTCTGGACTCCGACCGTTGGAAATATCTGTTAAAGCAAAAGACTCTCCCAACTCGTCACTCGGGTCACTAATCAATTTGTCCATGAAGCTGACGTAGTTGTATTGTGGCATTCCTCGGTCTTCCTGCAGATCTGGTCCCTTATGTAAAGGTACGATCATGGTGAGCTTTTCGATAACATCATCAGGCACAAGACTATGTCGAAGATCCATTTCCGTAATATATGGCTTTCCGTCAGCAACTTCTCGGAAACTCTGGAAGACCTGTTCTGCAGTGTTCTGATCCTCAGTAACATCGACCATGAATCTAATGAATTGCTCAAAAGTGACATAGTCCCTGCCGTTAGAGGTCTCAAGGAAATATTCGTGCATTTCGTTCTCGCTAAAGACAAGCCCAAGCGATGCTAGAGCAGCACTGAACTCGAGTTCTTGAAGGCTATTAGTGGCATCTCGATCGAAGTGGCGGAAGACACTTTCGAACTCCTCTAGCTGAATTGGCGTTAAATTTGTCATATTGCGTGCCACTACTTGATTATCCAAGAAGGCCAGCTTCTTTGAGACCGAATTCTTGACCAAGCTAAGTTCATAGCAAAGCTCGTCGTATGTGTAAGTTGTGAAGTCGTTCTCCTCAATATTTGCCTCCTCGCATTTTTGATCAACCACCGCAATAGTTTCTAGGTACTGGTTTAATGGCGTCAAATTCTCGTTCAGCCGCCTGACATGTTGTAGCTGATCCTCAACGTCCCCCTCCAGTCCCGATATAGCAAGTTGCATGGTGTTTAGTGCAAGAGCGAAATCATTCGCTTTGTCTGCGAAGGATTTACGCAGAGCATTCTTAATGCTGTTAAACATTAACACAAGTCCTTTGGCCATTTAAATTCAGCTCAACTTACTCTCTTATCGTTTCGTTAATGAGCTGGCCTCTTGCCATTTCGGACTTCATCAAAGCGGCCCATTCCTGTTCCACCACGCTTAGTCCCAACTCTGGCGGTGGCTCGTATGCCCTCAACCTATATGTGCTCATTTTTGTTTTGATGTTGCCCAATAGCGCAACTAGGTCGCTCTTCTCCGCAACCCATTCTCTTTTTTCGCCCCTTTTGTAAGCGCTGAATTCTGTTGCTTGCCGTTTCGCATCGGCGTATGATCCCTCAAATGCTGCTTGCTGCCATTGCAGGCCTTGATCCCTGATATTATTTAGCAACTGCCTCATCCTTCTCTCATAGCTGCTCTGCATTTCCCAGGCACCCTGCATATTGTTCACGAATTTCTCGACCCGCCTTCCGGCATTCTCGACCTTCTCCATTTGTGAGAAAGCATGGAACCAATAGGCGATGTATGTCATCAGACTCCTCTCATCTGGTTTTGCGACATCGCACACATCCTCCACATCCAAGAGGTCGGGGATCCCAATTTCCTTGTGAGCAATCTCAAACGCCAATTGCATGTTGCCCCGATGATCGTCCTTATCTAAGGAATCATAGTCAATCAGGTCTGGTCGATGAATATCCAGCAGTGCGCAAAAGGCCAGGCCATCGTTCCAGCTGTCGGTGAAATTTCGCACATCAACTTCATCGTAGCAGGCCGTTTTCCTTTGGCACCAAAGTAACAGGCCTTCCTTTGCCGTCATTCCTTCTTCATTAATATCCGAGATGGTAAACCGCAGAATCAAGGTCCATATCAGACCTAAAATAATCTTTCGATTGCCGTCTACGACATCTTCGGCTCCGATATTCGTCATTTGTATCCCGCGCGACTTAATAAAGTCTAAAGATAAGTTGGCATTTTCGAACCGCTGTACTCGGAGTTTGGGCTTCGCCGCATATCGACCGAGGGATTCATTGGAAAGACATTCGAGAAGATGAATAAGGATAACCTGACCGGATCGAGCGGTGTTAGTATCGGGTTTGGGGGTTACTATAGTACACATCGGAGAGAGGAAATAGTTTCATACCCCATCACTGAGATCCTTCACAAGATCTACAACAGATAACTCTCGAGCTTCAATCTTTGTGTTCAACCTTAGGACGTGATTAGCTAGGTAATCATACGGCCGAACCCCTCGGTCGCCTTACCATTTTGTGAAGGTCTTCTGCTGGACGGTAATCCATTTCTGCTGCTCCGCAAAGGCCATCTTCGACAGGGCCTGCTCATGCGGCGGTTCGATGGATTTCAATCCGTGACCCACGGGGAGGCTGGCGGTATTTCGATTCTGGAAACGGCCTCTGCGGCGCCCTGGCAAGATCTCACCGCTTGTACCAGTTGAGGCGGCTGGCTTAAGGCTTGCGCTGGCACTACGCTGCAGGCGGGTTGTGAATTGTTTAGATCGATTGGCTTCCCTCTGTGACGATGCGCGATGGCGGCTGCTCTTAACCTTGACGATGTTCGTGTTGATACTTTGGGGTGGTGAGGGTGGAAAGGGCGGAGATGGCGACGGCGACCATAATGTTGACGGTGATGAGTTGTTTACTCGCGCGGAATCACAGGAGGAGACGCTGTCACGACAACCGAGCCGCGACGGTGGGGGGGTGGTGACGATCAAATCCCGACCACCACCGTATTGATATTTTGACATTGGTATGGTCGTTGAGATTGACATGGTTTCATCGCACATGGCAGCCATTTTCCCGACTCCCTTTGACTGCTGCAAATTCGGTTGAAAATAGAGTTATGCTCGTTTTCTTCCTTTCTTTTCTTCTCTTTTCCTTCCTTCCCTTCGTCGCGTCTGCAAGCCAGATATTATATTATTACAATACGGGAGACCTTCCCCCATTTGCAAGCCCCGTTGCTGTGCATAATGAAACACTGCCTTGATTGTCGCATCTTCGAATCCCCCTTCCGGCACAGCGAGGCTCAGTGGCCCTGTGTGACAAAATCCATGCTCATATTGCCCTGTAACTAATCGTTCATGCGTTACTCGATCGAGTACGAGCGCTCCCTCTGCTCTCTCTGCTCCCTTAGCCGCCCTGCCTCTCCCCTCCGGGGCCGCAGAGGTGGGTGGGTCGGCTGTGGTCCTAGGCTAATATTCATTCACCAATCCTTATCCAAAATTGTCTTCGTTTTGAGGAGCGTTGCAAAGGTCGCATGAAATCCAGAAGCCTTGATACTCGTGCTGTACGTAGTATGTGGTACATACCGACCTAGGTACCCACCAGGTACCTTAGGCAAGGCGTCCTTTCCCCCACACCCCTTCTGCGACCGCTCCGCATACCTAGGTACAGTAAGAAGTGCTACCTCGGCCTGCCTACCTACTGGTGCTACTTAGGTTATCGAGTCTGAAGTCGTGTTATCTTCCCAGAACCGCCCACCCATACACCTCTCAGCGTCGACAGTGAATGCAGAATTTCCCCCAATCCACAGCAGTACAAGTCAACAGAGACAGTAAAACGTTTCCATAGTCTATACCGCTAGATAATGATTCTCCGCATTTTGCCATTGAGTAATACATCTATAAAATGGTGACCCATTTCGACGTCTGCTCCCGGTTGAATGGGAGGACATATATGGGCTCTAGAATCGCACGATGCAATTCACAATCGTCTTCAGGGTACACCACACCTCTTATCGTCTTGTAAAAGTTTAGCTAACTACTGGTGTTCAAGTTCGAGGTAGGCTTTGTGTTCACATCCCTAGGTTTTGGCTCTACTGGGCGCTCTAAAGCTCTAAAAAGCTAGGCTCAGAATGCCACAAATAGGAATATATCATACCCTCTTCGAAACTTCTCTTCCAGCCATATTTCAAATACAATTCGGCCGAAGCTTTGGTAGAACGACGCGCCGACCTCAATGAAGCATTTGCTTCTGCGGTGGCTCACGGAATGTTTCACTTCCGTACGCGATGTAGAACATTAGTGGGGGACGGTCAAGTTGAGATGGCCCCTGGTTTGTTGATAGCACAATGTAGTTGTGGGAAACGGGGTTTGCTAAGGCTTGGGAAGGGCTATTATTTCATATCAACGGCAATATGCACTTGAATGTATGCTAATGCCGCCGTAAATGGAGATGAAATTGAATTTATTATCACTGCAGATCCGCTTGAAGAGGCAGTAGTGGCAGCTAGGGGTCATATTTGCTCCGATTTAACTGCTGGCCAGGGTTATGGGGAAGTGGCCCCAGTGCGGCCCATCAGTCCGTATCCGAATCAGAATCAGTGTCTAATTGCATGGTGAGATGGACGCTCTCATTATCAGATGACTCGCCCTCCGAGGCCATGTGAACATCGTCAATCATCTTCGTTTGGCTATGTGTTTCATGATTATTGCCGCCGTGTGCTGTGTCTGCTGTGGTCTTCCAGGAAGGGCCCGCAAACGGGCTTTCTGTACAAAAGCTATCTTTAGTGACAAAAACATTGCTTGTCGCGCACAAAGTGTTTTGCGTACTAGTACTGCCTGGGATAGGATGGTCTTCGGGATGGCCAAGGCCGGGTTGTTGATCCATGGGACGATCATGCCGAACATGATCTTCTTGTGCTGGCTCAGGCTTCATAATAAAATCCATGCTCTCATCCTCGGAATCCCCATGGCGGGTATCGTCCAAAGGACGCTGTACATTTGAAGTAGGTAGGGGTGGCATTCGGGGTCTGAGAATAATCTCGACTATATCATCGCTGCCGAAATCTCTAGTAAGATGCGGAAGTATGCTAGCCATAGCCATCCCATTCTTCCCCAAAAAGGGGTACAAAACACTGGACAACATAGCATGTTTGTTGTGAGTTAGGATTGCGGTACGTTCGACTAGCGAACGCAGCGGCATATCTAGATGCTGTTGTGGTAGAGTTGATAGCAACAGAGGCAAGAGCTTCGCTGCAGCGACCTGGAGTTTTGCCTCTGCATTTATACTCGAGTTTTCAACGCCCATTGCTAAACTGATACCTTTGTGGTGGAGGAGCGCATTGGAATTTTGGGATGCTGTAATGCTATGGCCATTGGGGGTTTTCTCGACACTTTCAGCGACCCCAAGTTTGGTCGAGTTTGGATCGATGGGAACCAGATCTTTGCAGCACCACCGTATGATGGGCGCAAGTTTACTAGTTTGAGATTTGTTAAGGCTTTGGCCAACATGAATCAAAACACTAGCCATGACAGTATAGGTGACTGATCGGAACTCAGGATTGCTCCTACCAGAAGGAAAACTCCATAGTAGCTGGCAGAGAATGCCGTCCGCTAGCGGAACGAAGCCTTGGTCTAACCTCGTAGCAATGGCATCGACGAGTTGCAAGCCGGCAATATATATTTGAGGCATGCCACACCATAAGGCGTCCTTCTCATCGCGATCAATACCAGGATGGAGTCGAACGCTCCCTTGTCCCGAAGATGAGCTTGAGGACGGTATGGAGATTGATAGCATCCTTGTAATCATATCCACAATAGCTCCTAGAGGTATAGAGACAGATGGCGAGGTTTCACTCCGAAAGTATTCCGTCAGAAACTCGATCAAGCCCGTCAATCGCTCCACACCAGCGAGTATACCATTCCATGCTGGTAGGTCGCTAGGAGTGTTTCCGCCACCACATAGATCGAGGTTGAGGTCAACAGGTGCAGTTGTATAACCTGCGGTCGATTCCCAATCCTCGATAACGGCTCTAAATACATTATCGGCAGTCATGTGGATATCTTTTACAATATTGCGGATTTCCTTTCCCCATTCTTCTCCGCCACCGTTCTTGGGGGCGGTCTGGTGCAGAGCCACGACAAGATGGCGTGCACTCTCCCTGGTCGACAATGGCACAAACATCCCATCCGACACAGTCGGAGCAAGATACGACCTTGTCACAGTCCGGATCCGAGACGCGAACGGTCGGTAGAGGGTGGTGTGGCGAGGTAATAGAGTGGTGAAGGACTGGAATACAGCTTCGACCAGAGAGCATGGCAACCCGGGGGCACCGTCTGGTGAAGCAGAAACTAGATTTAAACAAGATGTTATGAAGCTGGGTAGCATTGGAGTCGTAATCTCTCGGATGAGCGTTGGATATTGATGGGTTAGGCAATATATTTTGGTGAGTGCCATTATACACAATTCCTTTGATACAACAGGATCGGGCTTCTGAGTGATAGTTAGTAGGCATTCATTGTGGACGGAGGAGGCCGCATTTTCTCACCACGAGGATAGATAGTAGCCCTCGAACCCATGACTCTGAACCACGCAGGATCTCCCATTCCCCCACTTCTACCACGCCTTTGATCATGACCATAGCCGCGAACCTCCCTTCTGGACTTCGGCCATTGAGCAAGGCAGACAGTTGCGTCTTTAGCTTGTGGATAAGCCCGGAACTCGCTGAAGCATCAGCTAGATTTGCATTTGCATTTGAAGTAGGGGATGACAGCGGGGCCTGGCATTGCGATATGTATCGCAGAAGTGTTGGGAGGCGGCGTGGAAGTTCAGGGACAGGAATTGCGCTGAGCTGAAAGCAGAGGACACGCAGTTCTGGCGGAAGAGACATTGCGAATAGAGAGACCGGGGAATTGATTTCCGTGCGCTCAGCTTTGTGCGCGAAACTGCTTGGATTAGGGACCTATACTTAGGCCATGGACTAGATTTTGGGGTTGTAAATCTCAAAGGCCCAAAAAAGCACTTCAGCCAAATCCTAGATCCCTCGGACGGCGGATGCCAATTGTAGTATATTCGGCAATGCCTAGAAGACACTTAAAAAGCCTACGTAGGAGCTGGCGATATGAACTCCTCAAAGTTCGACGTCTAGGGTTTGTTAACACGGTGACTGAAGTGAAGTCTCTGGCACCTTTCCAAAAAAAAACTTAAGTGCGGAACTGCGTGTTTTGATTGGCTATCACAACTACGAACAACAAATCCAGGTTCCCTACGCTGCTTTCTGCCCTCCAGATCTCCCCCAGAATAAGCTCCCTCCCTCCTCTCTCACTCATGTCTCAGCCTTGCACTGTCGATGCTTGATACTTTACGGTTATGCACCAGCAACTTTGACCGTTGTATAATGCAATTGCCATCTGTGGCGCGCGACCTTCACATCATCCGGGACCTTTCCTAGCCCCAACGATGAGCGTACGTTAAGTTATGACCCCTAGCCCCAAGACCCCGCCCGAGAGAACACAACTGACCTGTGGTTGCGCAGCGCGAGCAAACAAAGGCGGCCTATTATATCCAACAGTTGGATGAGGCGCGATGCCAGGGCAATTGGGATGCAGTGCCTGAGCTGGTGAGGAAGGTTAAGAAACATGCGCCTAACCGGACCTGTACGTGCTATACCAAGGGCCCCTTTCTAGATTTAGATCGACGGCCACCGAGGGTCTACGGATGTGCATGAGCGGGCATTAACATCAGGAGCAGGCCTCGCATTAACCGCCGAATCCGAATATGCCTTGAGGCAAGCGTTGTTCAATCAATCCAGCTCCTCTCGCCCCACCGCCACAAGGCCTTCGAGTGCAGCAGCGACTCAACCGGCGGCTATTTCCCGATATATTCCCCCGTTATTAGATGCCATAGAGCGAGAGCAGACTTTTGGTGAGGATCAGTTCCAGGCGGCAGTATGCCTCGGGTGGATACATTGGGAGCTGGGTGAGCCTGCCCTCGCTGCGTCTAGGCTTCCCAAGAATATAGAGGAGAAATTTTCGGAGCTGGATGGCATCAATGAAAGCTCAGCAGGATGGACCAGAATATGTGCGGTGAAAGCTACATACATAAAGGGTATGTCACAAATACAGGCAGGGGCTTCTGCTGAAGCGTTGGAAACCTTTGACTCTGCTTTGCCAATTCTGCCAACTACAACATCTACGCCACCTGGCAAGGAGCTGCGCTTCTGGGAGGAACTTTTTCTAGCTGAATTTTGCATGATTTCGAGCCATGCAATCAAGTCCAAGGTAACCCCGTCACTGGAAGCAGAGACGCTCTCTGCCTTTCGCGCTTGGGCCCAATTTTGGGACGCCCAATCTCCAGCAGCTACAGGTGGTCATGCAGTCCAAGCAGATGCTCCTCGACGACGCGTATGGAAAGAATACTATATGGTACTTTCACATCTCTTGCAACAAGAACTGCCATATCCAACAACACCTTTAGCTGTTACCTACGCTGAGTCCTCGGCCAGATTGCAGCAACACACAGAGTTAAAACGGGTCGAGGCGAGATATGAGGCCCTTCTCCTAAGTGAGGTCCAATTCCCAAGAGCAGACCAGGCCAGTGAAGAGGTTGAAGCTTTCGTGGAAATGGTCATGCAGAATTGGCACGTTCTCTGTGGCGGTAGCTGGAAAGAGCAGGATTTGGGTGAGGGGGGGTTAGAGGGTGTTAGCAGAGGCGTTCTTGATATTCTTTATCGGGCTGCGACTAAGACTTTCCATTCGACGGCAATACTCAGGCATCTATTTGCAGCCCACTTAGCAATAGCTGAAGTCGAGTTAGCGCTCAAAGCATTCGATACCTATTTGGATATTGTTAAGAAGGGCAAGGCGCGGATAGAGAAAACCGGGCAATCAGAGCATAGCCTAGATGATGATGAGACAGTGCTTAGGACAGTTTCTGAATGCATCAAAGCCCTTTGCCGTTACAGACCGCGCCAAGGAGCAGAGAGAGCGAGGGAACTGGGGCAGTACTTGACAGATTGGCTTGATAAGCGCCGTCCGTTTGAGCAACATAATGGCAATGGTCGAAGTCTTGCGAATGGACTTTCAGGAAACCCGAACACTATAATTGCTCCAAGGGTATTCGCTATAGTCTGGCGTTGCATTGGGCTGAGCCATGCTCAATGGGCACAAGAAACGCGTGACGCATCAGCTAGAGAGGACATTCAACTTCAGGCAATCACATGCTTCCGCAAAGCTCTTTCTCCAGAGTACGAGAGTTCCACAGACGTGGAGACTTTGTTCGCTTTAGCAACCATCCTTGCTGAACGCAGGGAACTAGGCCCAGCTATTGAGGTTTTAAAGGTTGGGCTATTGCCACCTCGGCCATGTACGCCTATCTCTTCCCACGCGTCGGGTCTCTCGTATGGATTAAGACCATATCCCGGGCGTTTCGCGAGAGAGAAATCATTGATACCTTTATGGCATCTCATGGCCTTGTTGCTCAGTGCGCGGCAGGACTTTGCTACTGCAGTAAGGTCATGTGAAGGGGCCTTTGAGCAATTCCAGGACCCTAAATATCTTTTTGGAGAACAGCAGCTCAATAGGACCTACCGAAGCGACCATTTGAGTGCCAATATTACCCCCCAGGACTCGGGAATTGTCGATGACATGAACGATTTCGAAAAGGTCTGCGTGCTCGAGGTCAAAATGACACAGTTAACGCTTATTGAGGTGCTCGAAGGACCTGAAGTAGCAGTCAATGCAAGTGATGAACTCTTGAGCCTCTACGCAAGACTTTTTGGCGACGTACATGAGGAATCATCTCCTGTGAGGGCAGTTGGAGGTAGTCTGCCCCCTAAAAGCTCTTCGGGTACCGTCAAAACAATTAAAGGCAGTATATTTGGAAGAACCGGTCGGTCCACTCAGAAATCAAACTCACTCGGAACCACTCTCACCGAAAAGGCCAATGCTCCGCGCCCTCAAACTGCACAGACGATAGCAAGTACAGCAGCCCCTACTATCCAAGTCACAGAGGAAAGGATACCTGTAGACAAGCAAACCAAAAATTCAAAAAAAGGCGTGCACCACCACGAGAAATTACACAAACGCGGTGATAGCGTTTCCAGGAAAAATAGTACTAGTGCCCGAAACAGAAGCAGTAGCACCGGTCCAAGATGGAATCTTGGAGCGGCAGATACTACAGTGGGGCCTATTGCAACCATGGCAGAGGTTGCTAAAGGCACAGATAACGGAGATGAACTGTTTAGTGGTGAGCATGGCCAAGTGGGCTTGGCTCTGACTTCCGATTCCTCTGCGCAGCCGCTGCCGGCCCGATCCCATCAAATGTTGGACCAGGAACCTGCTTTCAAGGCCGCACATCTCGACCCCAGGGTTGCGCGGGGTAGGAGACTTCTACAGGCATCACCTTATTCGACTTCGACAGCCCCAGTAATGCGATTTCCAAAGGACCAAGAAAGACGCAGTAGGAAAGCAATCCTACTTAAAGTTTGGCTATTTATCGGTGGTTTCTACCGACGAGCATCGATGTTCGATGATGCTAAAGGCGCTATCGAAGAAGCCCAGAACTTAGTTGAAACGTTAGAAATCGAAGTTTCTAAAGAACTAAAGGGTAACCCTCATATACAGCATTCAAGTTGGGGTTGTGGAAAAAGTGTTGGTGAATTGTGGAGCGATGTTTTTGTAGAGGTAAAAATCCCACATCCGGGTTCATTTTAGTTGTCACTGACGCCCCCTCAGCGTGGATCCATTGCAGTCGCTGAATCTTCTCCTTACACTGGCCTGGAATACTTTGAATCTGCACTTACGAGCTTCGCGGACCACCCCTTGGCGATAGTTGGTCTATCGAGTTTACTTCTCGACATCTATACTGAAGATCTACTTCCCCCAACCCCAGTACCACCGCTTACTGCGCCTAATGGCCACCAAATCCCTTCAGCATCAACGCTAGCTCCCATGGTTGCGTCTCCATCTCGAAAAATTCCGTATCATTCACGCACGACCCCGTCATCCTCCTCACCCCTTACTCCTCAGCGGCCACTTGGTTTACCTTCACCAACGTCTGCTATTAATTTTCCCAAAATTCGACCACCCCCTATCTGTCCAGAGCCTTTTGACGAAGAATCAACTCCTAAAGAATCATCTACGGTTCTCTTAGATCGACTAGCTGCAAGAGATAGGGCTTATGGTCTTCTCACCAGATTGACGAAGCTTGGGTCAGGATGGAACCTTAGCGAAGCTTGGTTTGCGCTGGCTAGGGCTTATGAGGAAGGTGGGCAACCTGAGAAGGCCAGGCAAGCATTATGGTGGTGTGTAGAGCTCGAGGAGGGCAGAGCCGTGAGAGATTGGAGTGTGGTTGGGGGCGGCAGATATGTTCTGTGATTTTGACGATATACACCAAACTGGATAGCTCAATATCGTAGTGTTGGAAATAGATGAGACCTACCTACTTATTCAGCATGGGAAGTATAGCGGAGCGGGAATTACATAATCTTAGTACACTCTCATTCCACTTCCTCTTGGGTACATACTAGCTGTGGGTGAGCCGATGTCTTTTTCGAAACGGCGCCTAGCAAATCTCCATTCAAGGCATCTTAGGCGAGACTAGGTCTAATAGGATTTATAAGCCATATGCCTCTTACATTGCGCACTGAACTCTTACTTGCACTCTATTCTTTTTTGGCCTTGCATCTTATTCCATTTCTCAGGTGGAGAACCTCAATGTTCCCTCTTTCATCTAACACTTGGCATTGCAAAACGTTTACGGATGATTTATATAAGACGAATTATACAGAAAACTATATTTTCCAAAACATGCAAGATACAGCCAATTCCCAAGTTTTATTTCTCCAGCACAAAACTCACCATCGCCCTCCCAGGAACACTCCCTGTCACCACCCCAGCGCTCGAAATGCTCGCCGTAGTTGTACTCATGTCATGTGTATTATCTGTGAGCCATGCAGTGACCTTCGTCGCCGCAAAATCTCCGTTAGTGCTAATACTCAAGCTCGCTGCGCTTGCACCTGTATTAATGACCACCATAGCTAGAGTTCCATCCGTATTCAGATATGCACTCATTTGCAAGCCGTTCCCGCCTCCTGAGGTTCCTACTCTGACGGACCCTGGTTTTGCACTCCTGGCAAACTGCCCAAATGCCCATAGCCGCTTGGAAACACTATAGGTGGTGCCAGAAACCGATATAAGCTTGGAGTTTGTGTTGCCGGTTTGGAGGCCAATCCAATACAGATAGGCGCTACAATTTGCATTCACCACCGCAGTATGGATCAGCGAGGCCCAGCGCATACCTTCTCCCGCTCCACCAGAGCTGTAAAATGCTGTCTGCCATGCCCCATTTAAATCCGCGTTCTCAGTCTGCCAAACCCGCCGGGTCGTGCTGAGAGGGTTTCCAGGGGAGCTGGTATACGGGTGAGAAGTGATGACTGAGAGGAGAGACTCGGCACCCGCCGATCTGATCTGGGAAGTCATGCTGGCCTGGTTGGACCAACCCTCAGAGTCGCAGCAGTTGATACCGGTTGAGAGATTGGCCGCCTTGATAGTCGGGGAAAGAACTTTGATGAAATCTGCTGCTTGTGTTCCGGATGAGAGCATGCTGGCATAACTTGCACTATTAAGCAAAGTTAGATCGATTAGATTAGGGGGGATGAAGGGGGGGGGGGGAGATGGAGGGGAGTACTTGCCTAAATTCTGGCTCATTGAGGAAACCCAGATGCGTGATATCAATACCCGCTTCTTGATAATACTTTACATATTGGACGAGGTAATTTGCATAGGCTTGTTTCCAATCGCCGCTGGAGCAGCCATGCCCACTGACTCCACATAGATACCCACCGTTATTCTCGTTGTTGTTCGTCTTCATATATCCCGGTGCGCTCCATGCGTTGGCATAAAATGTCCTGACACCATAGGTATATGCTTGCTTGGCGACGAACAACTGGCCACTGTCTTTCCCATCCCAAATATAATTTGGAGCGGCACTAGGAGACCCGGGGCTCTTGGGTGCAATAGAATTCATGTGGTCGCTGCTTGAATCTGGGGATGAACCAATACCGATGCGCAATATCGTCATTCCCGCCCCCGTTTGCGGATCGAAGAGTAGGTCAAGAACCTCCTTTTGCTGTTTGGCTGGAAGATTGACGATAACGTTCGCCCTCTGAAATGCCTCCGAAAATCCAAAACCATCCATTGTTTGGTATTTTTTGCTCACATCTATAGTTATTGCAGTCCCCGACTGTCTTGATAAATTCGGCCATGCTACCGCTATTGAGGGAATAGTAGCGGCTAACGCACAATGAAGAAAATGCATTTTTCTCTTGCCTTGAGTTACAAGGCAAAGGATGAGAGTTAAAAAATTATAAGGGAAGCTTGAAGGAGAGCACAAATAGTACAACCCCTTAACGAGATTGAGATATTCAACCAGCGAGGCTTGCCCATTTTTATAACTAGAAGTCCAACGACTTTGCGTATACCAAGAAGGTTCAACGGAAGTTTTTGTTTAGCCTTGCAACTGGCCGCGATATTGGGGTACTAGGGTATCTTCGGTATTGCGAGCGACGTGCAAGCCCAGGACAGAACACTTAAAATCCACAAGTGATATTGGGTTATGAGTGCGGACAACCAAGGTTCTCCGCCAATTACTAGGTTCGGATAAACAGGTCTCTGCCGGAATGTATAGTAGATAGTTGTATCATCGCGAGGCTAAAAGTAAAGGGGAAACATTTTCCCATTTTGCGACCCTATCATAATGCTCTCTGCAATCCTTCGTGAAAGCCAAGACAAGCCGTATTAATTGAATATAAGTCGCAGGGTATTTGTCACCCTCCGTGGACAATGGAGAGTTTTGAAGGCCACTGAATGTCTAGTTCTCGGCAATTGGAATTATCTAAAACACCCGGATATTAGAAATCGGTTCTGCTCTCTATTTAATAACACTGCTAACTAGCTAACCAAAAAATTACATAATTATATGTTTCACTGAGTGTGGTGTTATAGTACTTAGGATCTACACATCTAGTATTGATTATAATAATTTGGCTACTCAGCTTTTGAAGTGGCGTATAGTTGATATGAGTAGCTAGAAGAATAGGCGACGATGAGCGCCACAGGCCTAGAGGATATATGATTTTTCAATAGATGGCACATTGAGTGCAATAAAATAAATAGTGCGATTTTTTAAGGAAGTTGTAAGTTTTTAATTATGTTTTGTGTACTGCGGAGACGCTATCCTACCTGTACCATATCGTATACCAGATGCGGACAAGATAAGGAGAGACGAAGCATTGGTGACGAGAAGTGACTATACTCAAGATGGCACAAGGATGAATTCTCTAGGCTATCGGGTGGGACTGATCAAGGGGAGTTAAAAAGCGAGTAGGCTAGAGTAGGCATTTACCTTCGTGAGATTCCTCCTAGCCTCAGCCCGGTACTATAGGACCTCTGGGTGAGTCGGTGAAGGAATTAGCACAGCAACGGATATTGTAACTGCTTGTGATGTTTCTTCACAATGTCTAATTCAAGCGGTTGGCCGAGTTCTTTGTGTACAGAATTTCCAAATCATGATGAGATAATCTTCTCATGGAATCTCTTCATATATCCTATCACCTTCCTGGGGTGGTTGTAAGAAGTCATTTGGCACTTGCTTCGGGATCTGTCGCTCCTCAGCCCACTGTCTAATTGCTTCGAAGTTTTTGCATTTATGCTCAGTGTTGAAGTCCACAAACGCTTTTGGTGCATGCAAGTCCCACCAGACTTGGCCGAGAAGTCCAGTATCGGGCATGCACATCAACTGCTGGCGGATGATGTCGAGGCAATGGGTTACATGAAAGCGAACGATGTTGTCTTTATTCTTGAATGCACCATTACCTCGAGCATGGTAATAATCATAGTTGAAATAGAGCGCTTGCCGAAGTAGATCAAGGCAGTGGAGATGATGCAGTCCTTCGACATTGGCGGGGAAGCCACCGCCATATCTAGAGGAAATCTTCACTTGGTCTAGTAACAGGCCGGATTCGGTGGCTTCGCTGGCGGGAACAGCCAAACTCCTATCTTCGAGGGGTCATTAAATATAAGCAAACAGATCTGGAGGAAGGATATTTACAATTAACACCAATCGACCCCCATGCGGCATCAACTTCAGGTCCGGCACTTTGTCGAAAAACGTTCTCCTTCAGGAGCGAGCCGTTAAACCGAACCGTATGCAGCGACGTGTCAACTTTCTTGAGGATTGGAGCTATTTAATATCTTAGCAGCTGCTTTCGGGCTAGTGGACATCAGGGGGCCTTTACAGTACTTCTGAACTTGTGTAATACATTCCCTCTGAAACCAGGCGGACTTTTGACTCCCAAGAAAAACACCCAAGGCAAAAGCAGATATGGTGCTCATAAAAGCGACAAATATGTGGAGGAGGATTCGATTATGATTTCTAGTAGAGCTGTTGTACTGTACGAACCCTTTCGACAGCAATTGCTCTTGGGCCTCAAATGACGATGAGCCATGCTCGCTCTCGCCTTTCAGTGAGGTGTACATGGCGTTGGGAAGTAGAAAGCGGCAACGAGTCCCAATATTAAGTGCGTGACGGAAGAAAGACAAGATGTTGACATGAACAATTTAGACGGAAATGGGCTTTAGAAATGGGTAGTCCTAGACGCCTCGATGGCAAAGCTCGACAATAACCCTTCGGTTAAGGCCGATCCATGACCATCTCAAAAGGGAACTGGTGGGAACCTTGAATAATTGTTTTTGTAACGGGATACGAGCTCCACAAGGTCGCACTTGCTCAACCAATAAAGCTTGCTACTCAAGACACTCATTCGCACAGAGTAGACCAGAGGAAGGGAGTCTCCATACGAGGCAACTCACATCATCAGCGAAGGCGCACATGGATGCCCATATATGACACGAGCCGGGAAGATACGAGACGGAGGCAAACTCTGTGATACCGTGATTATGGTGAGATTATGCGGCACGACAGCGAGATCACGGTGGTACTAGCGATCGGTCGTCACCGTTGACGTGCGTGTGCCAACTCAATTCGATCGGCTTTGAATCTTCGTGGCCCTGCAGAAGCTTTGGTTTGACTTGCAAAGGGAGTATACGAGATGTGTAGTAGCAACTAGCGTACTGCAAAGGGCCCATGACCTGGGTTGGCAGCTGGTTATGCAGCGCGTATACTAGGTAAAGCTTCTGTTCAACACTTCCCCTGCAACTTTGCAAGTTGCAACTACGCATCGACCTCATTTGCAGATTCGCTGGCCATCTCAAAGAACTCTTGCTCCCTGTGGCTATTGTTATAGGCATATGCGAACCGTTAACCAAGTGATCGACGGCGAGCTCACATGGACATCACCGCAACCACCCTTCTGCCTCGAGGGTCCGAGGTACAAACCTCAAGGAGGGGAAAATGCCGGCAGCCGTTTTGATTAGATCGTTTCCGAGTTTGATGCCGTTTGCACCATGTGCTACATGGTATATTGGACGTACTCTCCGATGTAGTTTGCCGTCAGATTTGCTTGAAAAGCTCCAAACGGCATGTTTGGCAAGGCCAAAATTGTTGAGTTTGTATTCATGATTAGATAGTAACCGTGATGTCGCCACCAACAACCTACCCGCCTGTGGTGGCATGGGGTTTGGTAGAGGTATACCGCTGTATACTCCACTATATATTTCAAGGTGATCGAAGGGATCCGTCTTCATCTTCAGCTTCATCAGTTTATCTCCATCCTCCCCTCTAGTCATATTATTTTTTACCTAAATCAAGCTTCTAAGCCTTTCACTCCCAAACTCCTTCCACCATGCGTGCTTTCCAGTTCATCGTTTTAGGCGGTGCGGCCGTCAGCTTTGTCGTCGCAGCTCCTGTTGCCGAGCCGGAGCCTTCTCCCTCCCCTCAGCTCAATTACAACGACTATGGTGGTATGTTTTTTGTGTGCGCTACTATAATAACACTTTTCTTTCATGTTAATCATTGTTAATAGACTATGGGAACTACGGCAAATACGACTACTACCCTACACCGGGTCCAACTCCCACTGCATATGGCAAGTACGCTTCATATGGCAAATACCCGGAGAAACGACAAGTAGCTCCTGATGAAGTAATCGACCCTGGAGACTATAGTGGTACGTGGTAATCTATATATTTTCAAAGGTCCGCGAGTAGTGCCAATTCCGACAGATTATGGCCAATACAACAATTACGCACAAAAGCGCGAAGCTGTCCCTGGCGAAGTAGTGGACTCCGCGAGTTATGGAAGTATGTATTAGTCCGTATCCTTTCTCGAGATTACATTAATGGAAAATCGAATAGATTATGGCAACTACGGTAGATACGGCAGATACGGCAGCTACGGAAGATACCCAGAGATGCTCGAAGCTGGTCCTGGCGAAGGAGCAGACCCTGCGAACCATGCCAGTATGTTCTGTCTGTATCCTTTCAAAGTTACATTAACTGAAATTTGAATAGATTACGACGGATGCGGCTCGCACCCGGAGAAGCGCGAGGTTGCTCTAGAGAGTGGACTTGATCGCGGCGTTATGTAACCCATTATTATTTGCTTTGGAGTCCCGCAAGTGATAGCATGTCCAACAGATTACAGCAACTACGGTTCGTACACAGGATATCGTCACAACAAGGGTGAAGCCGAAGTTCAGCCTTCAGTCTAAGCCTGCTTCCACATTCTGATTCTAAGTTGAATAAGTTGGGTAGTTTGTGTAGTGGAGGCTTGCTACAAAGGGCGGGTAAGACGAGTTCCGCTGCCATCTCGAAATCAAGGCCAATATAAACAAATAGTTTTAATGCAACAAAAATTGTATGGGGTTGTCATTTATAGATTGCTATTGCCACTGGGTATATCTGGATGCTCCTTCCTGCTGAGATTTGTTGTGTGTTGCTGGATCTCTAAAGATAGTGCTAATATTAAGTAACAATTAATGGGTGTGAAAAGGAACTAGAACTAGAACTTAAACTTGAAGCTATAAAGGTCCAACAGCTATTACTTAGATATAAATCTGATATCGCGTAAATATCTAGCTGAAATTGAGATATTCAAGTTATATAAATATCTGCCTGAAATTAAGATATATATACCTACCTAAGTAAAGTAGGTAATAGCTGTAGGTACCTGATATTTCTAGCGAAAAGTGCGCTTTTTCTGGGATACTCCGGTCCGGGACACGGATGTGAGTCCGGAACTCAGTAGTAGTCGTATGATTGACTTATGACAATGACGTATAAGAGTTAAGAGGCTGAGCGATGACCGAGGCGTTAGGTGGTTAGGCGGCGAGTCCACAGCAGGCTGGGCAAGCTACGAGTACCTGCGTGGCATAGAGCGAGGACGAAGTATACCAACTACCAAGTACTACGTAAAAGTACCCGGTACCTTAGGTGGGTAGTAGTGTACTATGTAGCCCGGAAATCACTGATAATAAACCCCAGGGTCACCAGGCTGTTACTGTAGCACCTGTAGTTGCCTACGAGGTAGATACCTATAGGTATACGGTAGTAGTAGGTACGAAGTACTGTACTTACGAAGTAGTACTTTAGAAGGCTGACGAAAGTCGCAAACCTGCCCGCTGACTTACCAGGTACCTTAAGTCAACGTATGCCATAGCCAGGCGCCAGTCGCCAGTCGCCAGAAGTCCGCCCCCGGTAAATAACCGAAAGTCCCTACCAGCACTGTAACCCGCCCGCCAGCCTGCTCCGAGCGCTGTACACGGATCCGGTACATTTACGCTCCTGTAGGCAGGTATGCCGTGGACCTCTAACTCCTGGCTGTACAATTCGGAATTCTAACCATTCCCCTTACCATCTATTATACTTCTCTTCCTCCTCCTCCTCCTCCTCGGCTTGTGCCTGTGCCTTCGTTCGTTAACTCTATCCGCAAAACCGTCTTGGTCAAGGTGGTCAAGGTTTCAGCACGACTATCGTTCATGCGAGGGTGCTGGGCATCTTAGGTAGGCATCTGCAACACACTTTAGTACTATATCCTTTCTTTCTTCGTTGAGGTCTTTGGAAATAACTTGTTGGCCCTTGCTGATAAGATGATGTTCGCCTTGCCAGATTTTATGGCCTCGTCGAACGTGAGGACGAGCGACAGCCCACATCCACTGCAGTCCTCACAGTCCTTCTCGAAGCTTGAGCCCCGTAGTCACGACTGCTCACCTCGCACTCAGCGGGCAAATACAATTCAAAATGGCGTGACGCCAGAGCCTGCGGCCCCCTACCAGGCAAATAGCAGGAACAGAATGGCAGGCACCCCAGAGGACCAGGTGGATCGTGGACCTGATATTCAGGTCCAGGTCGGTGATAAGCTGCCTGCCGACTTTGACGAACTCCCAATAGAGCTCGTGAGTCTGGCAGACAGGTGAGTCGCTCCAATTGCCTGTTATCTCCACGTACAATACTGAGTCCTCGATAGCTTCATCGACTCCCTATCCGCAAAAGTCCATCCGACTCCGCCAACGGCCGACAAACTGTCAAGTTTGTTCCAGGACTTTTACGTAGTAGCCACCACACATATCAATACACATATTTCAGCCTTGTCCTCGCGCCAACAAAGGGGGAAGTCCCCGGTGCCCTCGGTCTCGTCGCTCTCGTCGACCGCAAGTAAAATTAGGGCCACCGCAGTTTCGATTGGCAACAAGGACCGCCCAAAAGCTCTACCTGAGAGGAGGGATTCTGAGCAGCAGATGCTTACTGCTGAAGAAATTGCGGACCGGAAGCGGTCAAGGCGAGTCCTTGAGTTGAAAAGGGTTGCCCTGGAGGAAGCCGTAGAGAGACGATTGTGTGAACGTATCTACGACCGTATATTTCGGCACAGATCTACTCAGGATGAAGCTCAGGATGAGAAATTGCGATCTAAAACTGCAGCTCTATCGGTGGTCGGAATTGGCCTGGGGGATCTTGGGATTGATCTGGGCCATACGAACGACCCCGATTCTTCCGAAGACAAGGAGACTGAAGTACGCGAGTGGCTGGAGGGCGCCAGAAATGAGCTGGTTGCCATGAATGATCAAAAATATCCGTTAGGCAAACTTCACCATTTGAAAGCAGCTCATAAGAGTATCGTTGATACTCTATCCCATTTCCATCCATCCTCTTCTGCCGATGAGATTATGCCTATGCTGATCTATACATTAATTACTTCTCGGCCTGAGGGTATTGATGTCATCAGCAATCTTTACTTCATCCAACGGTTTCGAAATGAAAGCAAGATTGACGGCGAAGCCGCGTATTGCTTGACGAATCTTGAAGCGGCCATCACATTTCTTGAAACGGTGGATTTAGCTAGCTTGAGAGCAGATGAAGCTCCTTCGGGGCCTCCAAAATCCAATAGCCGGCCCACTACTCCTAAGCTAGAGAAACCTGGTTCGACAACCCTTGGGCTCACACCGCCGTCATTGATATCGACTCCAGAGGTGAGCGCCCCAGCTACAAATGTGACCGATACCCAAGGCATTGCTTCTCCGGCGGGACTTCGACCATCCATACAAGTCCATAATCGGCGAATTAGCGAAATGTTTCAGCCTCCGGCGCAGGTATTTGGAGCAGCGGGTGATGCAGTATTGAATACTGCGGACCAGGGCTTCAAGACAATTGGGAATTCTCTTGGCGAGAGCTATAAATTCCTCGTTGGAAAGCTCAAAGAACGGCAAAATGAGACTATCGGCTTTTCATCCGATATCATCGTACCCAAAACATTAGATGACGCTCGGAAACTCGTGAGCACGCCACCCCTGGAAGCTGAACTGTCCACCAGTGGAGCTCGTTCGCTTCATGTCCCAGAGAAAATTGGCCAAATGCGTAACTCCTCCGGGCCTAATCAAGGAGAAAGGATGCTAGGTTTGATTGGTGGTCGCAAGACCGCTCGAGACAGGAGTGCTGATAGCAACCAAAGCTCTGGCAGCAACCAGAAGCTCGCCTTGACTGAACAAACCGGCGAAAAAGGGACAACGCCCTCTCCACCCGCTCCCTTAACATCCACCAATCCTGCAATCGTGGAATCCATGCGAAATCTAGGCAATACACTAAATCCAATGAACCGAATTGCGGGGATGAGCATGATGCGTGGATTTGGACGCCCCCCCGTAGCATCTTCTCCGACTCCTCCAGCGAGTAAATCCATCCCGGACGGTCGTGTCGCTGATCTGGTGACCGTATGTTACCTCTTAACTCGTTAAAATCAAATACACTGACAAATAGCAGACATTTCCCGATCTTGCCCCGGCTCTACCCCCCAAGGAGAGTGATATTACGAAAGTTGCACCGCCTATCAAAAAGTTCATGGAGTTGGAAAATCCTGGAGACTTGAAACTCAATGAAGTCTTGGAGCTTCTGAGAGATTATAGACGCCTGGCAGGGGCGCTGGAAGATATGGGCGCTGTTTGATAATATGGCATTGTTTAATGGAATAGTCCAGAGGTAGGTATTTATACTATGGCCAATCACATTATATGTATTTATGGCATATGGGCGGCGTTATTTGTACGATTCTTTGTATCATTGTGTTGGGAGAACTGGCTGGCTTTGAAGTACAGTATGTGATATTGTACCTGATGAGTTTAAATAGTGATCTTGCACATATACTCACTTTTCAGAAAGAGTATCCATATGATTACACTAGGCAGTGGCTGATAGACGACTCTCGATGTCGGTTTGCTTGACCTCCAAGTCTCCTTGCGTTCAACGAAGATTACTTCGCCTCCGCGTTTAAACAACGCTAAACCGAATTAAGCTAGACTGTTCGCTACACGCTCTTACTGGCCCATTCAACTACCTAGGTATTCAACGTGACTTTGTGTCAGAATAACAACGGTACAGTACGAAGTATAATCGCTTAAATTGGCTTAAATCCGCCTGATGTTCTATTCAGACCCTTGTTACCTTATAGCCCTTACTAGCGCTGTGTGCTAGCGTGCTGGTACAAGGGATACGCCTCAACGCATCTCCATGTCTGGATTGCTGCTCGGCATGTGCCAACATCTACAACTCCTTTCAAACAAGAATGGCTCTTCCACGGCATCCAACTCCAAAGTGCACCTCTGCCGGCAGAGTCACGTCCCGAATGCTGCTTTCGTTCCTCTTGTCGGCCCCCATCGCCACCGCTTGGAACGATGCCGCACGTCAACAACATCAGCAATACCCACCGCCTCCAATACCGCCCATATTCCCATCCCTTCCTCCCGACACACAACCCCATAGCCCTGGGGGGGAGAATGCGCATGTATTTGTAGGCCACTCCTATCTTGTTATTTACACAACCCAGCAACTAATAGCACGCCAATAGAGCTTACGCCATGTCTTCCACCAGGACCTCAACCGCCCGGCCGATCACCTGCGGCTCGATGTGCCAAAGTCAGCATCGGCAGTGTGGATAGAGTCAGAATCGGAGGACGGCACATTAGAGGAAGTAGACCGGCCACTGTTGGTTCGGAGTAGCCCGATGACTATACATCGATTAAAGGATCGACGCCCCTCTGTCGTGGACCCTATGGTGGCTGCTGCCCGGGAATACAATCAAGTCTGGGCCTCCTCTCCACAAGCGTGGACCTTTGACGAAGTCCTCGGCCCAGATGTCACCGATAGAGACACCGTCTTAACTTTCGCTCAAATGGCGGCAAACGCTTACGTTGACACTCCGGGTCAAGGGGACTGGAAAGACGTTAATGGAGGGTTTAACCGAACCGATGATCGCGGTTTTGGCTGGGAAAGTGATGGGTTGCGAGGCTATCTCTATGCCGACGAGGATTACTCGACGATAGTAATCGGCTTAAAGGGCACAACCCTCGCCATATGGGATGGTGACGGCACGACAACGAACGATAAAGAGAACGACAACCTTTTCTTTAGTTGTTGCTGTGGGCAGCAAGGAAGCACGTTTTATCGTACCGTTTGCGACTGCGCTACAGGAACATATACCTGCAACTTGACTTGCCTGAAGAGAAGTTTAACGAAGGAGAATCGATACTACGCTGCCGCTCGACATTTATACAACAATGTTACCGCGCTGTACCCAAACTCTAATGTTTGGATGTCTGGCCACTCGCTAGGAGGTGCTGTGAGTGCTATGATCGGCCTAACTTATGGCATACCTGTCCTCACGTTCCAAGCCGTACCAGACGCCTTACCAGCAAACAGATTAGGCCTCCCTGTTCTGCCGGGCACAGATCCTGATCGGCCAGGACAGCGCGACTACACTGGAGCTTTCCACTTCGGACAGAATGCCGATCCCATCTTTATGGGTACGTGTAATGGTGCCACAGCTAGCTGCTCCTATGCTGGTTATGCGTTAGAGAGCGCCTGCCACACTGGGCGAGAATGCGTCTTCGATGTGGTCAATGACAATTCAACAAGAGTATCTATTATTACACACAGAATTATATGGGTGATTAACAATGTGCTAAAGAAATACACCACGGTGCCTGAGTGTAAATTTACGCCAGAGTGCTATGATTGCCCATTATGGAAAGAAGTTACAGGCAATAGCAGTTTAACTACTTCATCGACTTCGAGCTCCACAAGAACCAAAACGCGGACTTCGACCTGTCAGACTCCTGGTTGGTGGGGATGTCTTGACGAGACTACAACAGGATCTACCACGACGACTAGCAGTAGCACTACCACGACAACGTCGACGTCAACTTGCAAGACTCCAGGATGGTTTGGTTGCAATGATGAGACTACGACAACTAGTCAACGAGTTACAACCACCATGTCCACGGCTACATCAACATCAGCAACCACCACAAGTTCATCGATGACATGTGAAACACCTGGGTGGTTTGGTTGTAATGACCCGACCACGACACCCCCTGGTTCCACTTCGCGAACTTCGGTACAGTGCAAAACACCTGGGCTATTCTGGGGATGCCATGACCAGACTGCTACGGCAACACTATCGCACCCTATCACATCACCTCCTCCATTGCCGACCTCGACAAGAGCAAATCCTACCGCAAGCCGGACGACAAGCCATTCTTGTACATCTTCGGCCTGGTTTGGATTGATATGCGTCGATCCGTCACCTGTCACTACTCCAAGTTCGATCCCTAATGATCCTTCCCATGGGAAATCCTATTGTGTGCGTCGAAATTGGCTTGGTTTCTGTACAGAATGGTCGAATATGACCAACCCTCCCAAAGAAGAAATCTAGAGTGGATATTTTGATTTAGATGTAAATTGGCAAGCGGGTTGATTGGTAATATTTGGGCGTTTGGAACTCTCCCGGGAGACACGGTATTTGGGGCTGATAGGCTTGAGAATTCGGAGTATAACAGGGCGCCATGAGCAATGATATAACAGTATTTATGATACCAGCCTATTGATGTGTCCACTCTGGCTTTTTCTTTTCTGCAAAGGCCTTCATGCCTACCTTCTGATCCTCGCTCCCAAACAAGCTGTGGAACACCCTCCTCTCATACTCGACACCGTCTCGCAATGGTAGGTCCTGGCTTTTATTTACGACCTCCTTTGCAGCCCTGATCGCCACCTTACTATGCCCTGCAATCGTCTCCGCTGTCTTCAAGGCAGCTTCCATCAACTCGTCGTAATCCTTAAACGTCCTGGCCGCAACGCCCCATTCCCCGGCCTCCTTCCCACTAAAGCCCTTTCCGGTCAAAATCAGCTCCATAGCTCTGGATTTCCCAATGGCTCTTGTGAGTCGTTGGCTTCCACCCGCTCCCGGAATTGTCCCCAGTTTAATTTCAGGCTGGCCAAAGTTCGCACTCTCCGTACAATAAAGAACATCGCACATAAGTGCCAATTCGCAGCCGCCACCCAGAGCATGTCCAGACACGGCACCAATTATGGGCTTCTTGATGTTGGTCGTGAGGTACGACCAGGATTCGATAAAGGATGTAGTGTATGCCTCGGAGAACGACAGATTGGCCATCTCCTTGATATCCGCCCCGGCGGCAAAGGCACGGTCAGAGCCTGTGAGGACAACGACGGAAACAGAGGGTGAAGCATCGAAAGCTTGGAGGGCACTGTTGAGTTCGATTATTAGGGGGGTGGAGAGGGCGTTGAGGGCCTTTGGACGGTTAAGGGTGACTGTGGGGTAAAGCGAGTTAGTAGGTTGATTTCAGCTGTATGAATGAGCTTCTGGGGGACTACATCCTTATATACCTTATATATATATATATATATATATATATATATGCATGGAGTATATAATATAACACTTGGGAAAGGGGTGAAAAGCGGAGAGAGAGCAGAAGACGTACTTTGGCCGACACCTGGCCGTGGCTCAGTGGTTTGGATGAACTCATAGGATTTCACTGACCACGCCGACGAGCTACGAGTGATGCAGGGGAGAGCTGATGTTGGTGTTTTGAAACAGGAGGCAATTGGCCTCATGCTCCTAAATGCATTCATCATTCTAATAGAGGTGGGGATAATAGGGCAATGAGCAATCGATAATCGATAATATATATAATATATAATGGATAATGGATGATGAAGAGGTAGAATACAGGGAGATGCGGTACTGGAAGCTTGCCCCCTCCTCCCGCCCCCCAAGCCCCAACCAAGTAGCTGGCTTATTGCCGACACCAGCCGTAAACCACGTGCGTAGGTACCTGCCTACCTGTGCTGTACTGTACGCAGGTGAACATTCACGTGCAGTGCTAGGCGGGTCCGGGCCGGCCAGGGGCAATTATATTCCACGGGGAACGCGAACAGGTGTCGATTTCACTTTCGCGACAAGCACTCCGAGTTTTGCTGAACATTGCGCCACTGCAGAGACCCTTTCGCATACATATTCTCCATAATCCAAGATAGAGACAATCTGCTGAACCTCTTACACACTGGGACGAAGTGCGAGCTGCTTTCTCAAAAGACTGCAAGTAAAGTGAAGGAAAGGGGAAAGGGAAGGGAAGGGAAGCAGACATGGATTCAATCGAGCCCGAGCAAACCCCTTTTGCAGCGGTGAGCGCGCAGACTTCAAGACTTCAACGTGTGAGTAGGCCGTGATTCCAGACACTCAAGACGGCCTGTCAGGCTGGATTGGATGTATTCCGGAACGGTATTTGCTGATGAATGAAATATGGCGCATAGCAATATCAAGCCTTGCTCGACAAGTCAACGCCTTATGTACCATACAGATGGCTGGGAACATTGGGTCTCTTATTGATTTTTTTCGTCAGGATATTCGTTGCTCAAGGGTGGTACATTGGTATGACCTCTCAGACAGGGTTTCATGCTACAAATATCTGACAACACGATGCACACAGTCGCATACTCCCTAGGAATCTATTTGCTCAACCTCTTCCTCGCCTTTCTACAACCTAAGTTTGACCCGTCCAATGAAGCCATAGACAACGATATGGAGGATGGTTCGGCTGGCGGACTACCCACGAAACAAGACGAGGAGTTTCGTCCATTTATCCGACGACTGCCAGAATTCAAATTCTGGTATTCAGCAACGAGGGCAATCACAATTGGGTTTGTCTGCACTTGGTTTGCCATCTTCGATGTTCCAGTATTCTGGCCAGTGTTGGTTGTTTACTGGTTAATTTTGTTCGCGTTAACAAGTAGGTGGTTTCGCACATGACTGTGGAATGGAATGAGTGCTAACGTGCGATAAAGTGCGGAGACAAATCCAGCATATGATCAAATACCGTTACGTCCCCTTCACATTCGGCAAGGCGAAGTACAACAAGAACAGCTCATAAACTGCCACCAGGTGAAACACTTGCGAAAGGAGGACACGTTCTGAATCGACTGCAGTTAATTTCCGCTTGTACAAAAGGTTCTTTTGGGTGTATTCAAAACTACACAACGCGTTGGAGCTGGCAGACGTCCACACGTATTTGCACGCTGCGGGAGGGAATGGGGAATGACTTTTACTGCCTTTTAATGATTGAGTGGCCACATACCTTGGCCGTTCTCTATTCGAGCTACAATTACAGCTAGGGACATGGGATGCATATTTAAATGGCTGGGAGGCCAGTCAGTGGGGTCTTGAACTAGATGCTTGGTCTGCGTGTAGTATGGCAAATAGAATATGATCAGATAAAAGCTGTCGGTCGCCGGCCACCACTTTGTATCGTGAGACCTACGTAGTGGCAGTTGAGTACAAATGCTGAGCTGAATAACTGAAGTCCTTGGTTTTATGCGTGATATTATAATAGCTCTCAGGTCTGGGATATCTTTGACATGATTTCATTCAAATCTATCCTGCCTATTATTAAGATTAAGATACATGCGAGACCTTGTGGTTGAGTAAATCTCAGATACAGTACTAGAGAAGCTGAAAGTTGGCGCAACGGTGGAATCTTGTTCCGACGGGCCTTGCTCAGCCTCGTCAAAAGTTCCACGCGAATCGCACCTTTGACGCGCTCGAACATCATCACCCTCCAGTCAACTCCTATCCAGGTCCAACTCTTTAGTGACATAAAAAATGTCGTCTTCAGCCCCCCGAGGCGCTGAGCGTATGATCCATCAAGACTACATTGCTCGGATACGATATTCCAATGCACTGCCGCCACCTCCAAACCCTCCCAAACTTCTGGACATTCCCAACACCGGTCTTGCTAGTGGCCAATACACAACGCCAGGTTTTGCATCGCGGCTTGCCCGAGAGCAGCCTCTTAATATTGAAGCGGATGCCGAGCTTGGTATGCCATTGGATCTGGTAGGCATGCCAGGGATCTTTGATGGTGATGAGAGTTGTAAGTCAATCTTAGGATGCTTTCCGCGATATGATCACTCATCGTTCCTGTAGCCATCCAAGCACCGTTACAAGCACCCGCTCCCCATCCTCACGACCGCGCTCTCCTTCGGCCTCTTTCAACCCTTGGCAAGCCCAAATTTTCGGATTCTGGCGTTTCCTTTTTGCGAAGAACCGAGTATATCTCTTCGCATACCTCGAGAGCACGATATGATTCTACGACTCCGAGACCCCTTATTGGCAATGGTGGGAGCCGGCCGAAGGGGCTCGACCAAGATGTAGATAAAGAGTCCCCAGAGTACATCAAAAACCAGGTGAAGAAGAGTTTCCAGATCGCGGAGCAAAACTTGAAGAATCGCATTTCAGTGCGACACCCCACAAAGCGAAATCTACAGCTTGTCGAGGCATATCCTCTCCTCCCCGACCTCGATGCTTTTCCAGATCCTGGCGGTTACGTGACTATCAAGTTCCTTACAAACCCTGTTCCACCGAATTCAACATATGATATTCGGGTCGAGAACAGCTTATTGAAGCCAATTGAGGCCACTGAAGAGGAAGAGAACGCAAAGCAACTAGCCAGGGAGGCTCACGAGCGAGACCCGGAACGATATCCTGCGCCTGATGATAAAATTGAATATGAATTCTTCATGACCGAGACACCCTCTGCTGCGCTGAGCTTCAAACGGAAATTCGATGTCCTCGATCCTGAACATGAGGATGAAGAGCTCTATAGTGATAGGAATGGGTCTGGTGAAGGATGCTTCAAATTCAAAAGAATTCGCGCTTATGAGAGTGCCCTTCAGACCGGATCCGTACCCGACAAGTACGAGGAGGAGGTCATTATTGCCGTTCATGACGGCAAGGATGGCCTCCACCAGAAGGGGGCATATTACTATCCGATTGTTCAGCGAACAAGTATTAGACCTCAAAGACAGAAGAATATTGACAAGAAGATGAAACGGATTCACGACCCAGATGAGGACAAGAACGTTACTGATTTTGTGGATATGCGGGTTGAGGACCCTAGTGAGCAGATGAGGGATGCAAGGAATATATTTAGGGAGTGTCCGTATGGCGTAGATAACGAGGAGGAGGATGAAGTAGATGGGGCGCAATCAGAGCGGCAGAGAGAGAAATCCAGTACCCCTGAGCAGAGGGTTATTGATGATGGATCTGGTAGCTGATCAACAGCAGGGGGCGAGGCTAGATCATTATTCGAGTAATGACACTTGGATCTTTTATCTAGCTGACTGTATAGCAATCAAGAAGTTTCGCAATAGGTCCTTGGTGCAGGGTGTTCTCCAGATATAGGATATCACAATTGGGGCGGCCAAATAATATGACTAGATAGTGGTCAGCAGGTGTTGCACTGCCGGGGATATAATTGTTACAGGGCATGCCACAGGGACCATTCTGGTGTCTTGCAAATTTAGCAAACCTAGTGAAGTCTATCCAAACTTCACTATCGTTCAACCAAGTCTACTCCTTGTTTTTGGCTGCTGCTAGTCACTAAGATAGCACCCACCGAAACAAAGACCTATAGGGATAATATAGTTATGAAGGAGTTAGCAAATCAATAACGCTCTTTGTTTTGAGAATTTCAACGAATTATGACATATTACGACTGTTATGCTCCACTCCAGAGTTGGAGGTCGAGGCCATCTCTCCATCTAGAAATGTATAGCTAATACAGGCCTAACTCTTCAGCTTCTGAAGAGAGGTGTTGTTAGTTCCTATAATGACACAAGAGGGGTAAATCCATCTCATTAAAGGCTATTATATCCAGTCTCTAAACAATGGGTAGTGGTCGAACATAATGCAGTTATTAAGCAGAGCCGTGGTCAATTTTTCTGATTAGACAAAACATAGCTATCAAGGTCTTTAGAGGCTATCTATAATATACTAGTTGGATTCTTGTTGGTCTTACCTCTTAATTCTTATTGAAGAGGCTCACTGAAAAGTACTAACGCCAGTGGCGCGAGCAGGCATTTTGGAGGCATCGCGATCTAACTCGTATATACGCAGCAACGGCCTGCTATAATAAGATAATGGACTATATTTACTTTAACACTAATAAGTTATTTATCTTCACCCCTTTGCTGTTACGTCGCTTCAGCCAATCCTCAATTCAATAACTAGGACATCCTAGCACTCGCGCCTAGTCTGTAAGCCCAACGACCCCATTTCAAACCCTTTATAATATGGCTAGTGCTCGAGTACTAGCCAAAGGCTCGTTATCAGGCTAATCACGAAAGTGTCAACAAAGACTTGTAATCTGGACGGCCGATGCTCATTGCTATAGTGCTGCTACACCTACTTAACAATTTGAAATTGACAAGCGATCTCAGGTAACAGTGACACTATATAATATTTGGTATCAGGATGCTAGGCTATCGACGATAGAAGCATATTTGAATTTGCCGGGTTGGAACTAGCGGTGCTGCCATCAATGAGCACGACACGTGGTTGGCGGACGTGATGGTCTTTGAATAGAATACTCGAACGACGGTAAGGACTACCTCCTTGTTTGTGATTATGTAAAATTTATAGTCTCAAGGACAAAATTTGAATATTGACTGAAGTGACTGGGACTAATAGCGTAGCTTTGGTGTGTAGCTAAGGAGAGCATACTCTTGACGAATATGCCATGAGTAGTGTTAGGTGTTATAGGTGGGTCAAAGATAGACGCATTTTGTAGCTGTAAAATAAATAGTTAAACTTTCCGGCAATTTACCAACCGGCCGTGAGCATTCAGTTGATTTTTGACCTGTAGGTTGATAGATGGTTCGGAGGGGCTAAGAAAAGTAGAAATACTGCTGCTAGAACCATGGCCCTCGTGCCGGACGTCGCAACTTTGCTATATCGTATATTATACTCAGAAACGGTGAAATTGGCCTCCTGATTATTTATTAGCGGAATACCTTCGTACGTCCCAGACTGGGGATAGAGTATGGTCTCTGCCTGCTAAAACTTGCGGCCAGTGTTTGGGGAAAGTCTCTCCTGCAGCTTCGAGAGAGAGCTTCTCAGGTGCGAAAGATAATTCCGCAATAATTTGGCCATAGGAGTGCACATACTCTTACTCTATGCACCTAGCCCTGGCACATGGCAACTACTAGAGTACCATAGGAATGTCTGTATCACTGCACTAAAGCTCTTACAGGAATTATGGTTTTGCGATATCCACGTTGAATGTTCCAATAGACACAAAGGAGTCACTCGGGATAGGTATTGTAGGTAACGCTGCCTTGCCAGTGAGAATCAAGTTGACGACGATACTGTACCTACACATAACTGACACCAAAGACGCGTTAATTCAAAAGCGAAAATGTTTCGCCCCCTCAATGTGAATTACATGAGAGATGTATGCCGCATCGGCACCAGACTTTCTGTACTTGAGTAAAGAGCGACTAGTGACGTTTAGGGGCTGGACTTTTGAAAGTGACCGGGGGCCTAAAATAGGGGCGAGTGGAGGAGACCTCATCACTTCGATTGTCGACTCACGCTCCTCCTACTGACTCGGGGAGTATGCATCTCAAAATCCTCCTCCCACCTTCCACTTCTGCCTTCATTCTTCACACTCTCCCTCCTCTTCATTCCACTCTTCCCAAAGCTGGGGCCCTCGCCCCTCTCAGCCTTTCCTTCATCGCTATCATCGCCGCTTTTCTGACCTCCCAATAATATTCCCTCATTGACCCTGCCACTAGTGGACCCAGCCCCCGCAGCAATTGTCTGGCTCCTCTCATTTAGATCTGCCACATCCTCGCCGAAGTTCCCGCCAACACTAATCATAGTGAACGGACTTGCTGTTGGACCATCAAGAATTGCCAGCTCCTCCTCTCGAAACCATCTTGGTAGGACGAACGTTCGGATAGGGATCAAAATCAGAATGAAAATCGGAAACCCGACAGCGGCGATGGTCTGCGTGATAGCGAAAGTGGCTCCGAAACCAATGAGTTGAATGGCGACAAAAACCCAGATGGCAAGACGGCGTTGGATGCGTTTCAGTGGCTCCGAGGCTGGTGTTAGAGATTTGTCTCTACAAAGGAAGATAATTTTCTGCGTGATGCCATTGCCTTCTAGGGCTTGTACCCCCATAACGAAGAAGAGGCCTGCAAGAACCCCTTGGGGGATTAGGTGGATAACGACAAGTAGAGGACCGGTCATGGTCCCAAGAGTAAGTATTCCTTGGGCGAGATTAGAAAAGCGTTGCTCAACAACGTGGTCGATTTTTGCGACGACGTGCCCCTTGTTGGCACCTTCTTCGTTCGGATCAGCAACGATTTTGGTCACGCATAAGGAATCTGTGTGGAACGGTGCTTGTGGGATGAGTCCATTGGGGGCTGGTATCCCGAGAAGACCTGCGACACCGGTCGTCAACCCCAGGAGAAAGAGATCCCAGTGGAAGCCGGCTGGTTTGCGGAGAGGAAACTCGGTGCCTTGTGCGATAAGAGACGATACTGCGGTTGTAAGTTCAAACGTCACCAGTGCAAATATCGGGACATACCATTGTGGTCGAAATAGAAGAGAACAGTGAGCAAAACCGCAAACGGGATAGCGATGAAAACATCGGAGACCCTTACATCCCAGAAATGTATAAACCATCCCCGTTCAATCGTTGGAAAGAACGCCCTGCTTGTAGGCAGGGTGGCTAAATTTACCTCGCTCATCTTTCCGATGTGAACGAAGCCCGTAAAGAAGACCACCGTGAGCGGTGTTCCGTAATCTTTGATGAAGACACGGATATAATGCTGGAACAAAGCACTTGTGCCAATAGCTCCACAGATGTAGCCTACCACAAGTACTAGTAGCGCGACCATGACAGAGAGATAGAAGGCTTCATCTGATCCCTGCCGACTTAGGACCTGGATCCCTTTCTGGAGATAAATGAATGCGACGTAGAATCCAAATATATCACACGAAAATCTTGTGACGTATTTCAAGGCATTGCATGCATTGGTGGCCGCTAATATCCAATGCATGACTAGGGACCATCTTGGGAAGTCAGTGGATGTCATATTGAAAATGGATCGGGCAACTTACAGCCCAATTAATGCCATAAAAGCGAGATAGTTGGTGCCTGTAGGTGCCATGATGTCGTAAACCGTACTTAAACCCATTAGCCTTCTGATTAAACCCAAATACGTCTGAACTCACTAATTAAAGACTGTAATGGGCCCAGTAACACCCACAATAACCAGCGGCTGGGCAGCAAATATTGCAAAAACGACAGATCCCAAAACAGAAGCAAGAAGCACTTCATTAACGCCATAACTCATGTTTGTTTTGGTAAACCTACCCACAAGATGATTAGCGTTTCACTCTCAGCTCTTATTACGTAGACGCACTTACATATCCAATGAGAATGCCAGCGCAGGCAATATACTGTTTCGATTAGCACCGAATCCAATCTAGATTCATATCCCGACACCCACACAGCTGATCGTGACAGTAGGCAGGAGGGAAACACGCCGGGACCTACTTGGCGAAATACATATACACCGTGGCCGGCACTACCCTATAATCCCATGCGTCCTTCCAATCGCCCCAATAGTAGGGCAGCCGCCTCCTCACATCAAGTACCATGCCCCTAAACAGCCGTATCTTCCACCATTTTGGTACATGTTTGCTCCTCGCACTCGCATTGGTATATTGTTGCCTCAACTCGTTGCCCTCATCCTGGACGCTAAAATGTGAATTTGAATTCGAGTTCGACTGCGAGGCTGAGGAAAGAAAACCAATGCGGGGTTTCCACGACTTTTGCCCTGATGATGAAGGGTTCGATGGTCCAAACGCGAGAGGCGGGTGTAGAGAGTATATGTTTGAGGGCGAGGATTCAGCCACCATGATGAAGAAATCCTGGTGAGAACTTTTATTGCCCGTGTTGATCCGCCAATGTGGACTAGCCGCTCATTTAAGCAGCCCGTGGGCGTCGCAAAGCCGACTCTAACAAATTTTCAGAATCGAATCGACCGCAGCCTTGGGTTGTCGATCGTCGGTGGTGTGGAATGGGACTGATTGGAGGAGCTACGAACTCCGGAAGGTCCTGTTCTGTGGATGGCAGTTGCTGCTATTTAAAGAACCCGATAGGGACGTGGGATGGACATGTGGGATATAATATCATTATTTAAATAATAGGAGACGAGACGGGGTGAAGGCCTGGGTTGGAGAACATCTAATGTTTAAATACCTGAGCGCGGTGAAGACATGCCATCATCCCAATCCTATTTGTGGGGTATAGGCTAGTAGCTTCTGCCGGTGGCTTAGGGGTAGCCGAGAGCCCTACATCACAGCAGGGTCGACGCGACGTACTATCCGCTCGGGGTAGGGAGCAGAATGTGTCCGCATGTAAATACCATCGAGGGTATACGAAAAGTGTATACAGTGTATAGTCTCATAGTGTATCCAACATATCTAGGATGTCTCGGCTTCCAGGATTGCTCGTCTCGTAGCATCCTCCTCCAGCCACTTTTCAATTCGGGCACCGACTTCACCAACTAAGCTTTCATAGTGTGGCCCGGTGAAGAAAAGCCCACAGTGGGCTCCGACCTCATCGACCCCGTCCATATAAACTCTAACCCAACACTTGTCTCTCCCCCCCCTACTATCCCTGGGAGGTAGCATGCAGAATTTCTTGTCTCTTTTCGGTTTTCCGTCGCTGCTAAGTGATGCCTCAGATTCTTGGCTCGCCTTAGATTCCCCATGACTGGCCACAGCTCCCTTCTTCACTTCTTCCTTTTCCTCCTTAAGCCGTTGCTTTTCCTCCGCCTTCAGTTGCCTGTCTTGCTCTTGTCGAGCTTTCTTCTCCCGCTTTTCAATGAGCTTGCGCCTATCCTTGATCATATTTTCTCGATCCTTGACGGCTTGTTGATAAGCCTTTACAGCTCGCTTATGCTCCTTTTCCGCAATCTTGCGGGAGTCTTTGTCAGTGTAGAGGCTAAAGTCAATTGAGTCTGGCTCTTTTGGAACATCTGGGATTGGCGGCAACGGCGGCTCCGAAGGTGATTTGATATTTGGGATTGACTGATCTGACACCTCCACGTTAACGGTAGTTGGGGATTCAGCAGCGTTGTCTTCCTCAATAGGGATTGAATCGATGTGTCTCATCTCAGGTGGTTCCTGATAATCATTTTGCACACCAGAACTCTCGCCGAGATCTTCCATTTGGAGCCTCACCGATCGCCTGGTGGAAATATCTTCGAGTGGTTGAGGTGTAATAGCACCGTCCCCTTCCTTTCCGATGTGCATGGTAGGAATGTTTGTGGGAGAGGGGCAGACAGCAGCAACCATGCTAGAGTTAGTCAACTCCGCCTGAGAATCTTTGGGGTGCCCATCGTCATCCGTTGCCGCTTCAGGTGGTGGTTTTGGAGATTTTGGCCTGCCAGTACTTGCGGTGTAATAATTTACAAACCTAACCCGCGTCGGCCGGGTTTGATTGCCTAGGGGATCTTCCCTTGTGATATCGTCAACATCTTCCAACTCACGCAGCTTCTTGTAGCGAGATTTTAGGCCAGGATAATCTGCCAAGCAGCCACCAAATTCTAAATGGGACATTACATATTGCTTTGTGGCATTTGTGAGGCCATCGGAATGTTTGTAAATGAAGTGCATTACGCTTGACCATCCTTGCCGTTCTTGTAATCGGACATCATTTGGAAAAGGAGGATTAAAAAAGGAGTTTTGGGGCATTGGTTGACCAGAAGGAGACGTGATACTTTGGACCAGGCTCAATTGCGAACTTGTCTGGGATTGGGCTATTGAAGGGGATGCAGTTGGGTCACTTTCTGGCTGCGGGCTGTTTGCACCATAAGTTGAGCTTGGAGGGGCCTTGGATCCTGGTGGCTCTGGAGCTGGACGAAACAAACTACTAATGCCACTTGCTACCACGCCAGGGTGCATCCCCAAGAAGGGAGTATCGAAGTTGATAGTACCTAGTATTCGGTGACGGAAAGGCTTTTCAGTAGATCCAGGACGAGACTCCTGAAGTGCTACCTCGGCAGCCAGGATACCTCCCATGCTATGCCCGAGCAACACAACTTCAGTGTGATCATCTTCGTGTGGCTCTAGCCTAGGGTTTCGTGAGCTAGTTGTGTGCGAATCAGTGGGGCAAAAGCCTACCAACTACTGAAGCCATCTCTTGCAAAGTCTATCGCCTTCCTCGACTTGTACCTAGGATATATTTTGGTGTGCACCATGTGTGTCTCCGCAACGGTGATGGTGAGGAGATTGTGGACATGTGCTGGGAAGCTCTGAAAGCTTGATTCATTGCCCATAAACCCATGGATGTAGACGAGTAGAAGGGTTCGACGTCCACGGCGTGCCGATTCTGAAGGCACCAGGGAATGTGTGGAGCTTGATCTCGGATCATGGGATCGCCATTGCTCAGATATAAGGCGGCCCCTTTCGAAATCATTTGCGGTATATGGAGGAGGGGGCGGTTGAGCGGCGGCCGACCTGGGAGGAAGGGGCGGCGGGGACCGGTGCTGGTGGCTCTTCTCTGCCATTTGCGCATGTGTTGCTAGTCCCGCGAGAGGGGACGAAGGAGGAGATGAGGGAGCTCCCATATCGTGTCGACCCTTCTCTGCAAGCTGAGCAGGCGTGGCTATGTCCGCGAGAGGAGGGCTTTCCGATGTGCCTATACTTGGTTCTGCGCGGGAATATCTAGAAGCTCTAGCGGGGGGGTTCTCATCCACCTGGGTGGGCGTTGCCATGATTGGTTAAACGTGAGGCCGACAGTCTATATGCGGATCCTAAGCTTGGGGTGGTTCGATCGGTTTGTTGTGTTGTTTCGTTTCCGCATGGCGGGTGTTGCGATGACGATGACGGAGGAAGGCAAGCTCTGTCTCTGTCTGCATGGTGACGATGGTTGTGGTCGTGGTTGTGGTTGTGGTTGTGATACTTGGTACTAAGTACATGTGGCTGCAGTGATTTGATCGCAGACTAGATAACCGACGCTGCGAGGCCGCACTACTGTCGGCGCTGTACGAGTAGAGTTACCTAAGGTAGTACTCCCCTACCTAGGTAGGTACCTCAGGTACCTTACCTATTACCTATACTCCGTACCTGTAGGTAAAGGTACCTCAGGTACTTACCCAGGGTACCTGAGTTAGTCAAAGGTTCAAACTGCAAAGCTACCTACCTAGGTAAGGTAGGCCACTTACAAGGTGCAAATGGGAATGGGCTTTTAGATGAAGTTGTGCCTAGCAGCAGAAACGAAGCAGGATTTCTTTCTAATTATGAAGAGAAGAGAAAGGTGTACCGCACTGCAGACTAGGTAGGCAATTGCGAAGTACCTAGGCACTTCAGAGATATTGGAGATTTAGGATCTACAGTAGGAACACGATGTATAAGGTAGGTAAGTCTTTTCTCCACAGGACTCGGAAGGTGTTAAGGGGAAACGGAATCCGTAGTCGCTCTCCCTCTCCCTCTCCATCTCCCGCTCCTCGCCGCCAATGTCCCATCCACTGCCCGTGACGACTCTCCATCGCCCTCGTATGTGGAATATTTTTGCTCCCCACAGAACATGGGCTGTTGCTGTGTACATTCGTACATTATACATTACATGAAGACTTCGGACTTTGAAGGGGTACAGTACAGTACATGGGGGAGGGAGGACGAGGCGTCGCGCGGTCTCCACCGAGACGCCAAAGACGGTCCAGGCTTCGCAACACACTAGCCATCCGATTGCTTGACGCTACCGTACTTCGTACTTCGTACATACGAAAGTAGGTAATGTACATGTACATGCTCTTCTCGTACTGTCCATGTCCATGTCCATGTAAAAATAAAACACTTATTTAGGGGCCGTTGGTGGCATGGCATGGCGACCGTGTGGATCAGCACTTGCGGAGTCGCCCGCCCGCCAGGTAGTGAGTGTACTTCGTGCTGTGCTCGAGACTCGAGACTCGAGTACGGGAAATATACCCAGAATATCTGCTTGTTCCGCTCGGGGCTTCCTGCTAGACCAGGAGGAAGACTCCTGTGTCCTGCGATCCGTTAGAACTCGGGACTCAGAACTCGCAACTCGCAACTCGCAACTCACCACTCCGCCGCCGTTGGTGTTGGGCTTGGGAGAGGACCCTTCGCCGAACCACACATAGGACCAAATACGCACCTCCGTGTGGTATGCAGTACCCACGACACTACCCATGCTATGCAAGAGCAATGGGAGAGAGCATCAGAAAAGCCGCTGCTGGACTTTGCGCCTGTACTTCGGACGAGTACCTCGGACTGTACCTGTACCTGTACATGTTCCTATTTTCCCCTTTTTTAATATCGCGCCGGGCCATTATTGGCTGCTAGGATAAATATGTCGATCCATCCCTGGGGCCGCCGCATCGTGGCCATGGCCGCTGATTCGGCGGGTGGGAGAAGCGAGATGAGAAACAAATTGGGGCCCCAAATGTCCGCGATTATTACTGCAAAGTCCCAGAAGAGACCCCGAAGTAGTCGCAGTAGGGACAGTGCCAGTGCCATTGTACTCGCCCGTACCGCTGTGCCGCCATGTCCCCTACGGAGTACAAACAGATACATGCAACCCTAATAATAACGCGGCGCTCTCAGGCGTCCAGGCCACACTGCAGAAGAACCACCACCAACAAACCACAACCACAACCACAACACCACAACACCACCTCCTCAACCTCTCCTTCTCCTAACCTCCTCCTCCTCCTCACCCACTACCACACCACTACCACCACCACCGCCTCTCCTCCCCCCCAAAAGTGGTGTTCACGACTCGACCGACCGCCATGACATGACTTGACGCATGCTCTTCTTTCTTGCGCCAGTCCGCCGATTTCCCGTGGCTACCAGCGCTGTAGATACAGCAGCATCGCGGGTGTCGCCATGAGCGTCGGCCCTTCGCCTGAGCCATCACTCCTTCTGGCCAGGCACGAGAACGCTCATCGCGAGCATGCCCTTCAGCTTCAACACAGTCACCAGCACCAGCACCAGCAGCATCACAAACAACACAACCTCCGGCACCAGCATCAACACCAAGTAATACACAATGCGCAAAAGCGAGAGCCCCAAGCCGGTGCCGATTCCGCGCCCCCCTCCGTGGTGACCGCCGTGGTGACCGTCTCCTACCTGCAGCAGATCAATGTTGATCCCCAGGGCAATACCTACACCATCGAAACGCTCCTACCGACCTCTCCCTCGCCGATAATCATAACCACCTCTGCCGCTTCCGCCGCCTTAGATTCGGCTCCAGCAGCATCCTCAACGCCTCCCACTGCTCCGTCCACTGATGCTCCTGCCGTTACTCCACAGTCTTTACTTCCTAGTCCACGCATATCTTCGTCTTTGACGTCCGCTCCTTCGATACCCACCAATTTCGCGTCGCTCATTGTCAATTCTAATTCAACCACATGTAAGCTCAAGGGTAATTGATGGATGGGATGGCGACGTTGGTTGCTGACTACTGTAAATAGCACCCTTAATTTCAGGTGCCAGCAACACTACTGCTACCTTTTTAAACTCGACCGTCTCCTCAACATCCTTCGCGTACCTTGCCTCGTCAAGTTTAACTTCTGCTGAAAGGTCTTTTACCTCCTCCTCCTCGACTCCCTCCTCCCTCAGCTCGTCGTCTGGAAACCCCACCTCCACAGGCCTTGGTGGATATATCGGTGGGGCATCAGGCGTGGCTCCGGGTGGCGGCCCCTCGAGCACGGCGGCTTCTGGAAATGATTCTAGTTCTGATTCCGGATCGGCCCCATCCACACCCGTTGTTGTTGGGAGTGTAGTAGGCAGTGTTGCCGGGCTGGCCTTGATTATCTTCTTCGTTCTGTTTCTGGCTAGATGGCGGAAACAGAGGAGCATGCTGTCCTTGGGTAGTGGGAATGAACCCGCCGACTCTGCCGCACCACGGGATGGGCCTTCAGGGCCCTATGGTGGCATGGCACAGCGACGGTCGACTGCCTTTGCCGTCCCAGCTGCTTTGGCTAGCCTCACTGGATACAACAAACGGTCGTCCCAAAAAACCGAACGCACGTTATCGTCAACTGCCGGCAGCGAAAGAGGGTTCTACCGCGTTTCTGGGAGGAAACTGCCGTCAGTATTGCACAGCGGCGGCGATGGCTACGGCGGCGGCCTACATGAAGTCAATACCTTGAGCGGATCATCGTTCTACCATGACTCGACCGGCTTCTATGGCGGATCTGGGCCGGGCCCCTCTACGAGTAGCCCTCTGGCATCGCCCGTTGAAGTGACCATGGACCGTGATAGCGGGGTGCCTGTTATGCGACCAAGTCCCGCCCGAACGCCCGTCACCGAACATGGGCCTTTTTTGTCGACAGCCACGCCGCCACCCCCAAGACGACCTGACCTACTCGGTCGTTCCCATCCATCCCAGGATGGATCACACGGGTCGAGGTTTACTGAAGAGGTCTGACGGAGAGAATCTTGTAGCCCCCTGCATCACGAAGTGTCTGTGCCACTGCACAACCATTTCGGAACCAGATGACGACGAATCTGCTTTCACTTCTCTGTAGATATTGACAAGTCTCGCCCAAGGGCTGTGCCGCGCGCACTTGCTCCAGGATGTTTGCTTGGATATCATGGCAAGCTTTGCATTTCATTAGCGTCTAATCCTCTGATGTATTTACCACCAGACATGTCTAATAACGGCAGTGATGCGAGGCCATCTACGAAGGATTTGTTGCAAAAACAGCCGAGACAGTCTGCCTTCATGAGGCACGCTCCTTCTGGGTTAGCAGGGGACATGAGCGCTGGCTGCTGCTGCTCTAAAACTCTCGGCCTATTTCACTTTGTATAGTACTGTGTGTAGCTCAGATCGCATCGATTTGTAAGGCTAAATATAATGTTTCCCACGTATGACGTGGAATTTTGTCTTGGTGATATAGCCTTGGCTATTCTCGCCTGTCCCCTTCCAGGTCGAAGAGCGGGATGGCCACCTGTGTGAAGGTAGATATGTCAAGCAAAACACCCTTGAGCTTCACTCTGGGTGATACGTAGTACGTAGGTACAACGCCGGTATTTGTCAGAAATAGTGATTCGGCGCCAGGCCAGAGCGGGAGTGTCTGCCTCGGAGGTTGGTCTTGGGGACGGGGACTGCCGTTGAGATCGTTTCATGATTGTCTCAGCGGTGCACAGGCATGGGCTGTGGGGTGATGGGTGTGGCGGAATGAATGTCCGACTCGGCGGAGTTAACAAGTCCCATCGATCTAGGTAAGGTCCCAAGGTACATACATTATTACCGGCGCTGCACTCGTAGCATTGCCTGCTGTGTAATAGGCATTTGGGGTTGAAGATCCTAGCAGTGGACCGGATTCGAGTCTTGGAGGGGGATATTATTAGTCTAGTGCCTGCCTGCCTTTGCCCACGCACCATTCCAAAGGGAAGAAGATAGTGGGTAAAGAATCGTCCATAGTAACTTATCAGCTGCCATGACTTTATGAGCGTTTCCTTCCCGGGCAAAATATTACCTTGAAGACTTGCCGAGTTCAAGTTGGCCGTAAGCAAAGCAGCAAGCTGCTTGGGGCCACAGACTCCTTCCAATATGCTCATACGTAGTAGTTAGTAGGTTTGTTTCAAAGGCCTTGTGAAGCTGTGGTGTGTTCTGGGCAAAACATCGGGTAGCAGTGTGGCACGAAGCTGAGGCGCCCGCTCTCAAGCAAAGCGGCAGTCTTACTGTGTCATCCACAACTCTCCCTGTTCGAAACCACGAATGCCCCCGTATGGCCCCCCTGTGTACATGTAGGTAGTTGGCCTATCTTATCGTCTTTCCCGAGGAGCACATCTGCCAGTTTCCGCTGTTGCTATTCACAGCACAGTAGTGCCCGGCCGTCTTTCGTCTTTCGTCTCCCTCGACCCATCATCCTTCACGGCAACACTAACCAACCAACATTGACTTTGTAGCGCTGTACGAAGTACACGCACAATCGACTTGACGGAGTAAGTAGCCCTAGTTGCGACTAGTGTGCTGCATCTTGTACTTGCACCCGAAAACGATTACGAATCTTGGATATTCCCGCTTTGACCAGAGACACGAGACGGATCTCTTTCACCACCACCGCCAACACCGCTCGGGAGTCAGGACACCAGAAAGAGGGCCGCCCGCGGATTTTCGATTTCCTCCCCCTCTCCCCCTCATCGTATCTTTGCTGAATGGGCGATCTCGCAGAACCAGTCTCTAACTCTAATGATGGACCCGCGTCACCACGATAACAACGGCTTCCAGATGCCTCAGATATCCGCGCCTCCGCTAATCAATGCACCGCCCCAGATCTTCGGCGCCTATAGCGCCGATGGGATGCAAATGCCCGCGAACATCCCAGATCTACCACATGGTATCTTTGGAGATGGAACATTGCTGGACGAGAGTAACGAGGCCAAACGGAGGAGGATCGCGCGGGCTTGCGATATGTGTAGGAAGAAGAAGATCAAGTGCGATGGAAAGATGCCAGCCTGCTCGCACTGCATAAATTATAAGACGGAATGTGTCTTCACTCAGGTGGAGAAGAAGAGGAATCCTCCCAAGGGCGCAAAATATATTGAGGGGCTCGAAAACAGACTAGGAAGGATGGAAAGCCTGCTTAAGCTCTCTGGGCTTCTCAAGGAGGATGACAATGGGCGAACAGACTTGGGCACATTGGAGAAACGGCTTGCGGAAAACCAGGCCCAGAGAGCCTCCCAAGCACCAACCTCAAACCCTACGTCCCCATCACCAAGCTCGCACACAGAGGCAAACAACTCTACTCCTCGAAGCAACATTGCGTCGCCCGAACCAATCAAAAACGGCGACAATCGTCATCCATTGACCGAGCAGAAGCAAGGGGAGGGAGTTGAGGAGCTCTCTGACATGATGTGCTCCTTAGTCACGAACAACTGTGGCGAGACCCGATACATAGGTAGGATGCCCTCCCGAATTCCTCTTGAATGCTTGCGCTGATGTATTGATAGGTTCCTCTTCCGGGTTTTCTATTTTCTCACCCAAGGGAATCCAATGGGTCAATCAAAAGACGGGTGACTCCTCCTTCCAGGAGATGATCTCGTCAGCTTCAGTAGACGAAAATAAGTCCGTGTACTGGAAACCGGAAGTATTTGGAGATTTATTCCAAAGGCGGATATTCAAGCAACTGCCGCCTAAGAATGAATGCGTTTCCTTAATGAAGGACTACTTCGAGAATTTCAACTGCATGTTCCCGCTTTTCCACCAACCAACGTTCATGCACCTGGTTGATAGACAGTACTCTCGAGATCCATATGAAGGCTCAGGATGGTGGGCAAGTTTGAATGTTGCCCTTGCCATAGCTCATAGACTTCGGGTTGTGAGTAATCTCGTACCCGCTGAAGAAGATGAGAAGGCGTGGGGGTATTTGAAGAATGCTATGGGTGTTTTCACCGAGCTGACGCTGCGCAACACTGATCTTCTCAGCGTCCAGGCCCTTCTAGGAATGGCTCTTTTCCTGCAGGGAACGCCTAATCCGCAACCTTCCTTCTTTCTTGTGGCAGCTGCCATCCGCTCGTCCCATACCATTGGGTTGCATAAGAAAGGATCGGGCTTCAACCTGAACCCCGTTGAGATTGAGCAGCGAAAACGAGTGTTTTGGATCGGGTACATGTTGGACAAGGACATTTGCCTGCGGTCAGGACGTCCTCCGGTGCAAGACGACGACGACTGGAACGTTGAATTGCCAAGCGCGGATCCCGAGGATAACATAGGCAATATTCCTTTGGCCGATGGAAAGGGCAAGGTCAATCTTTTCCGTCTGATGTGTGAGTTCACTACTATCGAGAGCAAGGTATATAAGCAGCTCTATTCCACCAAGGCCGCCAAGCAATCCGATGGGGAGCTTCTCAACACCATCGGAGAACTAGATAGGCAGCTCGAAGAATGGAAGGACAGCATACCTATTGACTTCCGTCCGGAACACGAGATCAAGGCCTCGCATACCCCATTAATCCTCCACGTTGTGGTTCTTCACTTTGCATATTACAACTGTCTTACTACTATCCACCGCATGTCAATCCATCACGGATACTGGACTAGTCGGTTGTCCAACTACGCTATCCAGGGTCTGAACGCCAGACCACTGAATCCTCGTGTGTTCTCATCCGCCGCTTTATGTGTATCCGCTGCACGAGCGTCAATTCACCTCATAAAATACGTCCCGCAAGGAGATTTTGCATGCGTCTGGTAGGTCTTGCTATGGAGACGGCCATCCGAAGTGGTGCTAACATTTTCTAGGCTCATTTTATACTTTCCTGTCTCAGCTCTTGTAACACTATTTGGAAATATCCTGCAAAATCCCCAAGATCCAAGGGCCCAGTCAGATGTCCGGTTAATGAACCTCGTCGTTAGCTTTCTGTCGATGCTGGGCAACGAAGAAGAAAATGGAGGGGTAAAACGAATGCTGGGAGTCTGTTCCGAATTTGAAAGGATTGCTAAAGTCGTTTTGGACAAGGCGGAAAAGGATACCTCATCGAGGAGAAAGCGCAAAAGCCACGAAGACCATGTCGCAAAAGCAAGGCAAAATGGAATTTCTAGTTCTGGACCTCCTCCGCAGACATCGATGCCGAGCAATGCCCACACGCCCAATGCCCACACGCCCAATGCCCACACGCCCAATGCCCATACACCCGCCATGGCAGGATTATTTTCTCCGGGAATCGACAGTCAAATGAATCTACAACAGAACGCGTTTGGCTCTAGTCCAATGGGTACGAATGGATCGCCGCCCCCCGGAACCTGGCAGACTGAATTCGGTAGTGACTACGCCACTCCGGCATCAGGCATGAATTCCCTCCCAGATATGGGATATACTAACGGCAATGGGGTGAACTCGCCTCTCAACATCAACTCTTTCCAACAACCCTTCGTGCCTCAAGATTTGTGGCAGATGCCCATGACACTGGAATGGGATTGGGCGGACATGACGGGTGGTGCATACCCAAGTTTTGAGAATGGCGTTATGGGGGACCCGGCCTTGCAGAATAGTAACAACCAGCATCTGCAACATCAGCCGATATAGGCAAGTCTGCAGGATCATGATGAGAAAATGTGTCGCAATTGGAGAGAATGGCGTTATGGCCTAGATTTGGAGGCTTTTTGCCCGGCGCGGTTTGAATTTAATGAGGACATATGCTATGTTTTTGCTATCACGTTTTGCTAGCGCAGTTAAGGGCATGATAATGTATCTCTACTCAGAATGGTCATATGGCTGCATGCCTATGGCTGATGTATCAACCCATAATTCTTGTTATTATTGCACCATATTAGAGCGTCTGGCCTTTGAAGTTCGCAATAGTGGAAATATCTATCTAAGCCCCAACTACAAGGTTTATCCGTGCTACCTACGAAGTACTGTACATCCCATGCAAAATCTCTGGTTGGATACCACGTGACCATATATTGCGTCCGACCAGGCAGGCTGAGCGACGTACCGTCTCTGTGCTAACTCCGTGCGTACTCGTACTCGCTTTGGAACCTACGATAGTCATGACCATCACGATTTCTTTTTCGACCGCCAACCTCAACATCAACATCCTACCCCTCTATTTGCCAATTCAATAGCGCAAGGGTCACTGCAATCAAGAACACAGTGGCTCTTCCCTCCGCTATCATCAATCCTCTTCCCTCTAGCCAAGCATGACCTCCATAGTACGGCAGTCGAGCAGCACGTTCGCTAGAATATCTAGATCCTCTCTCCAACGCGCCACCCGCTCATCTCTCCGAACATCAAACCACGCACCAGCATTTGCATCGCAAGTATCAGCGTACCAAGCTCGATCTTTTGCAAGCAATCCGCCTAAGAAGCCGAAGAAGGATAACAATGGCGCAAAGAAGGAAGAGTCCAAGGTAGCAGGGAAAAAGGGTGCTTCCGAGCAACCCATCAAACCTACACCAGGAACAGAGAATCTTGACAATGAGCAAACACCACTATCGCCGAAAGATGGAGAAGAGGGGCCTCCCGAGACCCCTCTGCCAGAGGGGATGACGCCGTTGAATCCGGAGGATCAGAGGGCGATGGAGGAACTACTCGATACGCTGAAGAAGGGCTTACCAAAAGGGCAGGTAGAGATCATTGAAAAGTCGTTTGAAGCGATGAAGCAAGATGGTATCCCTAAAGAGCTAAGAGAGCTGATGGACGATATGAGGGGGAAGCCAATGACTCTTGCGGCAGCGGCGAAATTGACACGGTTGACCAGCCAGCTAGCCCGGAAGCAGGCGGAGAGGGATATGGGAGATAAGGGCACGGATTTTGAGAGTAAAGAGCCAAAAGGTGCGGAAGGTGGTGCTGGTGGCTCCCCACCACCCGGAGGGGATGGAAAGAATAAGAAACAGGGCGGGTTTAAGACCTCGGAGATCAAGATTGATACGAGCTCGTTAATATTGTCTGCTTTTGTCTCATACCTTATGTACAGGATGGTTATGCCGGGCGAGACCGGGCGAGATATCACCTACCAAGAATTCCGCAGCACATTTTTCGATAAGGGACTTGTGGAGAAGCTCACGGTTCTCAACCGAGATCGAGTGCGAGTCGAGCTACACCGCGAGGCTACCCAGGCCATGTACCCCGACTCTCCGGCGGCCAATCCTAGCTTCCACTACTACTTCTCAATAGGCTCAGTTGAATCTTTTGAGCGACAATTAGATGAAGCACAGAACGAGCTTGGAATCCCCAGTTCAGAACGGATACCGGTCAGCTACAGCACTGATACCGATGCATGGGCTCTCATGTTAAGTTTTGGCCCTACGGTTCTTTTTATTGGGGCCATCTTCTATCTTTCAAGGAGAGCTTCTTCGGGAGGTGGGGGTGCAAATGGTGTCTTTGGCATGGGGAAAAGCCGGGCCAGACAATTCAACCATGAGACGGATGTCAAGGTCAAATTCAAAGATGTTGCCGGCATGGATGAAGCAAAGCAAGAAATTATGGAGTTTGTTGCCTTCCTGAAGACACCCGAGCGCTTCCAAAGGCTTGGTGCTAAAATTCCCCGAGGAGCTATTCTTTCTGGCCCCCCCGGTACTGGTAAGACTTTGCTAGCAAAGGCTACTGCGGGAGAGTCACAGGTGCCTTTCTACACGGTCAGTGGTTCTGAGTTCGTGGAGATGTTCGTTGGTGTTGGTGCGTCAAGAGTCAGGGATCTCTTCGCTATTGCAAGGAAAAACACGCCTTGTATTATCTTCATTGATGAAATAGATGCAATTGGCAAGTCTCGTGGCAAGGGCGGCTCTTTTGGTGGTGGGAACGATGAACGAGAGGCGACATTGAACCAGATTCTGACTGAAATGGATGGCTTCAATACTTCCGAGCAAGTGGTCGTCCTCGCTGGTACCAACAGGCCGGATGTGCTTGACAAAGCATTGATGCGTCCTGGTCGCTTCGACAGACATATCGCAATTGACCGACCGACGATGGAAGGCCGGAAGCAAATCTTCCAAGTCCACTTGAAGAAGATTGTCACGAATGAAGATATTGAATTCTTGACTGGGCGTCTAGCGGCTCTCACTCCTGGGTTCTCGGGCGCCGACATTGGCAACTGTTGTAACGAGGCCGCTCTAATAGGTACGTACATGTTAACCGCGGTCATGTTTTTAACAACTAACAGCTCATAGCTGCACGGACAAATGCTCAATTCGTAGTAATGAAGCACTTCGAGCAAGCAGTTGAACGTGTCATTGGCGGACTGGAAAAGAAATCGCTTATACTTTCGCCTGAAGAGAAGAGGACAGTTGCCTACCATGAGGCTGGCCACGCCATCTGTGGTTGGTACTTCAAATACGCCGACCCGCTCCTCAAAGTGTCTATCATTCCTCGCGGCCAAGGTGCCCTTGGGTATGCGCAGTACCTCCCTGCCGGTGACACCTACCTTATGAATGTAAACCAGCTCATGGATCGGATGGCGATGACGCTCGGCGGCCGAGTATCAGAAGAATTACACTTCGACACCGTGACCTCTGGCGCGTCGGATGACTTTAACAAGGTTACACGAATGGCTACAGCCATGGTTACAAAATGGGGCATGAGCAAGAAACTAGGCCCCTTACACTTCGAAGACGATGAGCAGAAATTACACAAGCCCTTTGCAGAAGCAACAGCTCAAACTATTGACTCCGAAGTCCGGAGGATAGTGGATGAAGCGTACCAACAATGCACAGATCTTCTCAAGGAAAAGAAGAAAGAGATCGGGATTGTGGCAGAGGAATTGCTCACCAAGGAGGTTATTGGCAGAGAGGATATGGTGCGCTTGCTTGGCAAGCGGCCGTTTGAGGATAACAAGGACTTCATCAAGTACTTCGGTGGCCAGAAAGGAGAAAAAAGCGCGCCGCCACCGTTCCAAACAGAGAACACGGATTCCCCTCCAGACGACTCGGCAACCCCAGCATAACAGCCAAGCCGGGTCTTTTGTGTCAAATTATGTATTTTATCAACACTCAACCGCTAGGTAACTTTGGAGAAAGAGAAAAGGCAGAGGCGGATTACCTGTACAGACATTGCATTTTCGGGCGTCGATCTAAATAAACCTGTTGACCATGGATTATCACTTTGGGATAGGTGGGCGTAGTGTTGCTATTTGAGCAGAACAAGAAAGGAAGAAGACAAATTCCACTCCAATCCTCAGACCATGCCATGCGCTGCCTTGTATCTATATTTTATTTTGTTCCAACTGTGCTCCAACCAAACTTTGTACGATATGATTGTGGGAAAATAAGTTTCAGGGGCAAGTACAAGTACCTAGGTGGAACATGTAGCCTGAGAGCTCAAAATAACCTTGCTACTTTAGTTGTCTCCACTCAGGTACCGAACCACTAGTCCACGCCTCGGACGATAATAAAGCGAGACCTCTTGATTTCCGTTGCGTACTCCGTAAATTTAAATTTCTAAAGAAAATCCTCCTGCAGACTGTCAAATCGATGCGACCCCGTTGGACAGCCCTTGCTGCCAGAACAGAGCGATGCCAAGCCGCTGTACGGCGTCCTAATTCCTCGCAAAGGTATGCCTCAACGTTCCTACGAAAACATCGAAATGAGCTTTCCATCTTAGGAGAGTCCTGTGATGGTTTCACTAAGTGCCAGCGACCGAATGTAAGACTTCCAATTTCACTGGCGGTATCTCCAGCTCCAAGACTTAGAACAACCACAATCCCTCGATATATGTCGACAACGATGCCCGCGCGCGGCCCCCTTGAGCTCCATAAGAAAACAGTTGAAGAGGTCTCCAGGAGTGTGCGTCAATACTTTGAGAAGGGCGAGAAGTTCCGTATATACCATGGCTCAACGAACAGCACACGGCAATCCACCCTCAAGCGCAATCTGGTTGATACTAGCGCTTTGTCAAATGTGTTAAAGGTCGATGTGAAATCGAAGACATGTCTAGTGGAGCCCAATGTCCCTATGGACCGGTTGGTGGAGGCGACATTGCAACATGGGCTTGTGCCGCCTGTAGTTATGGAATTTCCGGGAATCACAGTAGGGGGCGGATATTCAGGGACATCTGGGGAAAGCAGCTCTTTTAAACACGGCTTTTTTGATCGAACAATCAACTATGTTGAGATGGTAACCGCGGACGGTACTGTTACAACTTTGTCCCCTACGGAGAAGCCGGATTTGTTTCGAGGTGCAGCTGGTGCCGTGGGAACTTTTGGAGTTACAACTTTAGTTGAACTGCAACTTCATGAGGCTAAGAAGTACGTCGAGACCACATATCACCCTGTGTCGAGCATGGCAATGGCCATACAAAAGCTTAAGGAGGCGACTGCTGATTCTGGCCTGGACTATGTTGACGGGATTATGTTTTCCCAGACAAATGGGGCAGTTATTACGGGGCGACTTACAGATGATCGCAAAGAAGACCTCCCGGTGCAACGGTTCAGCGGTGCTTGGGATCCCTGGTTCTATATGCACGTTGAGAACCAGATCACCAACTGCACAGAACCCACTGTGGAAGCCATTCCTCTAGCTGAGTATCTCTTCCGGTACGATCGCGGAGGTTTTTGGGTGGGTGCATCCGCGTTCCAGTACTTCAAGGTACCCTTCAATCGATTCACCCGCTGGTTCCTCGACGATTTCCTCCACACGAGAATGATGTACACGGCCCTTCACGCCAGCGGCCAATCCAAAAAATACGTTGTTCAGGACCTCGCCCTCCCGTACCCTACAGCCACACAATTCGTTGAATATACAGACAAAAATTTCGGTATATACCCCCTGTGGCTCTGCCCATTGAGACAGAGTCCTCAGCCAACTATGCATCCCCACTACAATGAAACTACGCCAAACGGTAACGAATTAGAACCGATGCTTAACATTGGTCTTTGGGGCTTTGGACCTGAGAACCACGACGAGTTCGTCCATAAGAACAGGGATCTAGAGCGAAAACTAAAGGAGCTTGGTGGGATGAAATGGCTTTATGCACATACATACTATACCGAGGATGAATTTTGGGAGCAATTTGATCGAAAATGGTACGAGCAGCTGCGGGAGAAATATAACGCAGCGTCACTGCCTACCGTGTATGAGAAGGTGAAAGTAGATATTCAGGCAGAGAAGAAGGCTGAGAAAGGGGCATTTTTCCGGACAACGTGGCCTTTTAGCGGGTTCTATGGCATCAAAAAAGCGATTGAGAGCCGTTCGTATGTCGATGCTAGGAAGTCGTTGTGGAAATCACTTGGAAAATAGACGCATAGAAGTGGGGTGGGGTTCTGTCTTGTATTGGTACATCGGTCTCCCTCATTAGATTTAAATAATATCACTGGGACAAAATGTCTCGGTTTACTCATCATCCCAACAACTATGGTGCTGTTGATAGGTTAAGATAAGATAGCAGGGCATAAGGTGGGAGCGGAGACACTAGTAATTGTTTGTTGGTTCCCGCAAATCTGAAATGGTTCTCAATCACCTAGTGTTATGCAACGGAATTATTGCAAGGCAAAGCCGGTTTTATGACTTGGTGATATACTCAGGATAGAATTGAGCACCCGAGCAATGCAGAACACTATTAGATACTACAAGAGTTGACTGCCAGGAAGCATGTGATTAAGAAAGGCGAGATATCATGAGTTCAATTGACTTTTTATGCAGAGCTATCTGTGTTTCTGGAGCTTAATCCTGCATGATGCAAGAAACGAAATAGGGTATCAAAACCACAACCATTCCGGTATTACTCCAAGCGCTGTTCAAGATAGGTACATGCTCAATGATAGTCCGGATTGCCCATTTTGTTCCTCTCGCCGGCTAGTAGAAGAATCCGATGATCTTGCCGGCAACATGCTTGCGTCTTGCCTCCTCGTGGTCCATGATACCAGCAGAGGTTGTGAGCACGATGTATCCGAATTGACGAGATGGCAGAAGCTTGACAACCCACTTCTCGAGATCACCGAGGCGGACGTTATAACGGGGCGAGATAACACCAGTCTTGTTGAGGCTATAAATTGAAATTAGCGACATTGTAATAAATATCGTCAGAGGTTTATTATTACCGGCCGCTCAACTGTACCACTATTTTACCGGACCGATGATCGTCGATTTCTTCGAATTCGCCGATGTAGCCTGCAGTAAGAGTATATAAGTATGTTATGTTGCGAAAGATTAAACGTGTAACGTCAGGGGGAAAATCAGAGAACGTGTAAGATCCTCGCAGTATGATATATCGGCAACTTAAAGGACTTTGGTCGTGTTGGATTGAGACCATCATCTAGTTATCATGCCGAATGGAGTTGGAGTTGAAGGTGAAGAACCCGAAGAGCGACCGCTGACATACCGTGCTTTTGCATGGTGCTAAGGAACTTGACGATAACCTTGGAGCTAGGTCGGATAAGGACTTGTCGCTTTCCGGACTTCTCGGCGTTGTTGATGGCATTGAGCGCATCGTTGAGGACTGAGGTCTTAACCATTTTGGCGTTGTAGAGATTCTCAAATCGATCAAGAGGGAAATGAGGTATCTGCAGGAGGTAGATGTTAGCCTTCATGGGCTCGGAGCAGGGAGAGTGCCCTCATGATTGACAAGAGGGTTCTTCCGCTCGTTGTAGAAGAGGCGAGACAGTGTCGACGTCTTTCAAAGGCCACGGCCCTGCCACACTTTGATCTGGAAGCTCCGTTGGCCCTGGGAATCGCAGTGGGAGCGGCAGTCGCGGGCGCAAATTGAGTAGACGTCGATTGCTCTCTCTGCCGATCATGAAGGACTTCGACCTGGGCTTTGGAGGAGCACCAGTCGCAACGGGCGATGCATATACATACCTCTGGATTGCGCGGTGGCTTTGATTGTTGGTATTGGGGAAGATTGCGGATGTCCAGCGAAAAGAAGTTCTCGATGCGCGAGCTTAGAATTATTATTCCAGTGTGCCGCACGGTCCAGGCCGCGGGCTTCGGCTAAGCTAAGCGAGCGCTCACAAGGCTAGCATTTCAATCGATTAAACACTCGCACGAAATCTAAACTCGAGAAATACAACCCAACCGAATTTCCACTCTTTCCTTCTCGCAACAAACCCCAACTTGTTCTTCGAGGACCGGAAGATATCAAATCTAAGCCAAGATGGTATGTGCCTCTCTCGCGATCCCCAGTCTCAACTTTTGCTAAAACCCCCCCGGTCTGACGCAGAAGACACCACCTCCAACGCCCCCGATGTCGCTGAGGTCGACGAGGTCGAGGTTTCTGGCGATGCTCCATCCAAGGGGCAAATGTCCGTTCTTGATGCTTTGAAGGGTGTTTTGAAGCTCGCCCTCATGCACGATGGCCTCGCACGCGGTCTGCGCGAAGCCTCGAAAGCCCTGGATAGACGTCAAGCACACATGTGCGTCTTGAACGAGGCATGCGAGGAGGAGGCATACAAGAAGCTGGTCGTTGCGCTGTGCTCCGAGCACAAGATCCCCTTGATCAAGGTTCCTGATGGAAAGCAATTGGGCGAGTGGGCTGGTCTCTGTGAGTACTGCACTATATGCACCACGATTTGTATCTGGAATTTCGCTGACAACTGGTTCTAGGTGTTTTGGATCGTGAAGGCAACGCCCGCAAGGTTGTTAACTGCTCTTGTGTCGTTGTCAAGGACTGGGGTGAGGAGTCTCAGGAGCGCTCGATTCTTCTCAACTACTTCCAGACCGAGCAGTAAATGCAATTCAAAAATTCAAATGGAACCAAGGAGTTTGCTTGCGGCGGATAGACGTTTGGCCATTGCTGAGCTTTCCTTCTGATGTATTCTACTCGTGATGCATTATGGCGGGCAATGAAATTAGCATATGGGCGCATATCCAGATAAATTTCCCACCAGTGCTCCTATGAAACAGATATTATTCATACGCCGGACTCCACATGTTTTCCCTGCAGTGCAACGCCAGTGTCATTTTCTACCCTCAACCATCATGATGTGATACCCGAATCCGGTTTTGGCCTCCGCATATCTTGGATTTGCCGTAGTGGAGGCTTCCAGCTCGAAAGCAACCGTTTCGAATGCAGGCTCCAGGTCGCCCCTCCTCTTCCATCCCAAAGCGCCCCCTAGAGAGATTCCTTTCAGCGTTCCCCTTATTAGCAGTAAATACGCGCGTAGTCGCACATACCAGCTCTAGCTTTATCCTCCGAAAACTCCTTTGCAACTTCGTCAAACTTCGCACCACCCTTCAACTTCTCCAGGGCTTCTTCCTTTTTCGCATGCTTCTCGCACTGATAACATAATCGTCAGACCCACGTCTTCCTCGAATGCTTTCCTCAAGCCGGGAGACGGACCAGAATATGCCGGACATTGATCTGCTGCGCGCCCTTGACCTTCCCGCCCTTCTCCTCAGGCTCGGCCTTGCCTTTGCCCTTCCCCTTGTCTTTTGCAGCCGCGCCTTTATCTGCGCCCTTGTTTTTGGGTGCCATTCTCGTCAGAGTAGTTTCGGAGACAGGAGGCGCTTCTGGTGTTGTCTGCGTGGTTTGTTGCGCGTATGGAGGGGTACTGTAGATGTAAATGTAGAAGCGAGGGGACAAGAAGCCCGCCCGCCGATCCTCGGATGTGTGACGTTTTGGGGGAAAACTTAAGCTTGTCTCGCTTCGATGTCGTACTTCCTATAATACTATTGCTAGACCTTCAGCATTTGACAAATATTTATGCTCGATATCCAGAAGCAGGAAAATCATATAACTTCAACTTCAACTTCGATAAGCTGTGATTAGTAAATTAGTTATATGATCGATATTTTGCTGCTTATGATATGCTGTGGATAGTGGTATGGGCGCCGCCAAGTCAAATAACATTAGCTTCGAACACTCCCTTCACCACTCAACGTGCATTTCCACTCCGCATTTCCACTTCAACTCAGAAAAATAAATTACAATGCCAACTATGGAACCTTCACTGGGCATAGAGAGAAACCAGGCAGGATCAAAACCGCCTCATCTGGACCGCTTCCACCAACTTGTCGCCGACCTTTCCACAATCTTGGGTCCTTCATCTGGCCTCAACTCCGAAGATGTAAACGTCCAAGAATTACAATCTCTAATGGAAGACTATGTGTCCAATCAAGAGGACTGGAAGCAATATGCATTCTCGGATTCCTCCCGCGGTTACACCCGCAACCTCGTAGACGAAGGGAATGGAGAAAGCAACCTTGTGAGCTCATACCAACTATAACCAAGTCTCTCTTTTTTTTAGGCTGCTTGCTAACATATATATCACCCGTAAAAGCTAGTGCTTGTTTGGACACCAGGAAAGGGAAGCTCAGTGCATGATCACGCTGGCGCACACTGCCTGATGAAAATCCTCAAGGGAACCCTGGTCGAGACAAGATATGAATTTCCTCAGAATCCGGTTACGCCCCCGGAAATTATCAAGGAGACAGTGTATAAGCAGGATCAGGTCACATATATGTCCGATGAACTGGGTGTACATAAGATTTCCAACCCGGATCCACTCAATGTTGCTGTGAGCTTACATCGTATGTTCAAACGCTCTGCCATTGGTTGTGAACTACGGCTGATGATATTCGTAGTTTATACTCCCCCAAACGCAGCTAAGTTAGGAGTCCGTATCTTCAATGAGAAGACCGGAAAGAGCCACCATACCACGCAAAGCAACTTCTTTTCTGTTTTTGGGCGGAAGATCTAGACCGTTCGTGAGCTGACCAAGGGTTGGAGTGAGCTCGCAGGCTGATGGCTCGGGGGCCTGGTTGGGTATAAGATATGGAAAAATAGGGCGAATGCATCATATGGAGTTTCTCCCTTCTCATATTTACCACTTACAGAGTAATAGTCTGGGAGCGGGAGTTGTGAGAATCTGGAGGCAAAATTAAAATCTAGTACACTTAAAACTGATAGAAAACGGCAACGCTTCACCTGTTAGAACAACCCGGTCTGGGGGCGTTACTCCATATTTATCCCACGCGGATTAATGTATGCCATCGAATGATCCATTCCAATAATGTGATGGTACCTTTTGCTGCCATCTACATAGCCGCCGCTTACACTCTTGATATGTCTAAAATTACCCATTGCTACTATTTCTAAAGACAGTTTAAACTTGCTAAAATCTTTCTTTCCTAGAGTTCATCTGGCTTGTTCTAGCGACCCATAGAAGTCGATATTCTTGAATCTCTGTAGCAAAATAACAAGGTATGGCATAACATGCCACTACCGGAAGGAAACCCCAAAATTGGAGTGATGTAAGAGGTACAATGCGTAGGAAAATGGAGGAAGGATTTGTATCAATAGGGTATCTAGTATCGTAATAGCGTAGAAGAGTGAGCGAGGGAAGCGCTGATGAGAAAAAGGTCAGTCGAGGGAGTTATAGTAGGGGGAGGCAAGAGGCTATTGAGAATATATATTTGAGTTTAAACCTTGAGATTTGCATGTAATAAAGATAAATTATTGGGAAGTTCGGAGTAATCACATGCTATAAAGATATAGCGGGGTATTGAGATTTGTGTGTATTTACTAGCAAGTTCTGCAAACGAGTATGTACTCTGTAATAGTCGCCTAAAGGATGACCGAGCAGCTATCCAGACCTAACTCTAAAAGGATGCGCTACCCCGACATCTATGGACACTCGAAAAGCCGTCGACACATACAGGGGCAAGTCTCCGAATACCAGCAACCCGAACTCCGGAAACATGGCCAGCAGCTATGAATATGCGAACCTGACATACAGAATCCATCCCTTATTTCCCATGACCATACTCATGTCAAAGATATCACATCTATCGAGCGCCGCTGTAATCGGGCTTGTACGTCTTGACACCACCCGCCTTCATGAGCTCGCGCAAGGCCATTGTGGCATACTGGCTAACTCCAAGCGTAAATTTAAGGATGACGGCAATTTTCGCTGGTTGAGGCACCGGAACATCGGGGATGTCATTTGCTTGTCGCTTGAGAGGCGTGGAGTCAGTCGTAGGATTTACACAAGGCAGCTGAGTCACTGCCTGTGTATTCTCAGCGGGCTCTATACCCCCCATCTCAATATCCACTGGCTGGATAGAACTCTCGCTAGCAGGCTGTTTTTCCGAAGTTGTGGGTGCATATACCAACGGAACACCACCGCTAGAGTCTTCCAGTGCGCTCACCGATGTGTTGATAGAAGTCGGCTCAGATTTCAGTTTAGAAAGATCAGGAAGAGATATCATGTCTTCGGTTTCAGTTAACCTAAATGGAGCGAACGGGTCGGAGGGCATAGAGCGGCCACTTGGAGTTGAATTAAGTGTCGTCGCTGTAATCAGAGATGGAATGCCTGATGCTGGTTCCTTAGCAGCTTCGCCCTTGGGACCCTCAGCCTCGTGAACGATAGTTGTTACTTTGCCAGTACGTTCTCCCTCGTTTTCAGCTGACGTCTCGATGAAGGTATCTTGGATCATTGGCTGCACGATGTCGCGGGGATCGATGGGCTTAGCGGTTAGCTTCGCCTTCTCCTCAGCTTCAGCGCGGGCTTCGTCCTGGGCCGCAAGCATCGCCGGAGCATCGAGCCATGCATTGTGTGCAGCACTACCTAGATAGCGCTCCTTCATTTGTTTGGTCTCCTCATTCCTGGTGATACCAACGCGGAGATTGGCACGGCGTGGCTGCTGGTAACCTGCCGCACCTTGGGCCTGTCTGGAGCTGAAGGCATTTTGATTGTTTGCTGACTTTGGCTTCGATTTGTCAAGCTTCTCCAGGTCAGTCTCTACTAATTGTTCTGTTTCTTCTCGATAACTCTTGATTTCGTAGGTCATCTCCTTTCCAACTGTGGCCATCAGCTTCCGATAACTTCCACTCAGACTAAAATCTTTCTGCTTCCGACGCATTTCTGCCGGATCGAGGCCGCCACCAGCCTCACTACCCATGAACTCCTTGTAAAAGTCGCCGATATCATTAAGAGGATATTCAACATCGAACCCTGGAGTTGGTAGCACGATGTCATAAACTGTGTATTTGCCACTCTCTGCCTCCTCAGCTGTAAGAGGTCTCGCCCGCTCATAGAGATCATCGTGACTGACAGCAATGTCGTCTGCTGCTGGGTGGACCACAATCTCGCCAGTCTCATCGACATCTTCGCGATTGGAGGATGCAGCTGCAGCTGGAGCTGCGACCAATACAAGATCACCCTTAATAACCTTACATCCATACCGAGTCCAGCGTTCGCTTGCAACCACATTCCAAACCCGAGACTGATATGCGTGAACATACATGGTTCTTAAGTTTCTTGGGATTTGTAAGAGGGCTGCGACGTAATCTTTACTTCTGCTTGTCGAGAGTGCTCTGATTAAGGATGTCTCGCCGGTGAATTTCCTCGGCAGTCTGTCCAGAGCATCCTTCGACTTTCCAGTCATCTTGAAGGAATGAATCGCGTGGGCACGATCTATATCATCTCTGTTGATCTGCTCGGAAATGTGCACATCACCTCCTGAAGCCGATTCACCAGCCAAGGCTTCATTGCTATAGGACAAAATCGCCCATACGGCGCCTTCGAAATTGCCTTGCAAGATTTTCTTGCCTACCTCGTCAGTCCCAATGCCAAATGTGCCGAAGCGCTGTAGGCCAAAGTAATTGATGAACCCATCTGCTTGGAGGTGTTGCGCAGCGTCGCGTACAAGCCTCTCTGCGAGGGCAAGCCTACTAGATCCGTCCAATCCACTTTCGTTAGGGAAGTGGCAATCACGAAGTGTAATGGTGAACTGGTTGCCCCCAAGCTCTCCTAGCTCTAGACGATTCTTTTCATGCTTGAAATTTCCTAGTCGAGAATTTCGCAGAGTAGGGTTGAGCTTGGCCAGAGCATCGGCTCTTTGTCTGTAAACACTGACACGCTGAACTGTAGCTGCTCGGCGATCTTTCGTTCCTGCAAATGCGAAGTCCCGAGGCTTAACTTTGAGTTGACGGCATAAAAAGCTAAGTACTTCCATGGTGTCTTTATTCTCCTTATGTAGGGTAAAATGGAGGAACTGCCCGCCCAGCTCGTCCCATCCAATCTTGCCTTTTGTCTGACCTGGCCGGTTCTGCGCGCGTGGATTTGGCTGGCGAGGTTTACTGTTCTTGCTGGGCTGGACTGAGCGAGCAGCAGTGATCATTATTTTGCTTTCTTCGACAGCCTCTGTTTCCAATCGAGCCTTGAAAATGCGACGGATATCACTATGAATGCGGCCACGCAGCGGTCGGTCCGTGATTGGCTCAGAAAGCATATTTCCAAATGAGGCTGGCTTGGCGCTGGGTTTCGAGAGGACTTTCCAATATAACTTGAAGATCTCATCTGTCAAATCAGAGTTAAAGTAGCTATTCAACAATTGGCGGTTCTCAGGAGTATCAGGGCCACTGATTGATTCAGCTATTGCGTTAAGAGATCCGGCCTCGTTAGGCTGGGCTTTGGAAGTGCTGGAGGAATCTGTAGGATCTGAATCGCCATGGCTTCGAATAGTTGGCAGTGCGGCATTCGGATCGCTTCCGTTCGAGGTGGGCGTTTGCTCGGTTGTCTTGGCCTCTACTATAGAAGTTTCTGGTGATAGCGTTGCTAGGGTGACTGTAGCTTCAGGGCCCCTTGAGATAGCCTTTTCCTCGGGGTTTCTGGCAGTTGAAGTGTCGGTAGTTTCAGACACAGACTTCTGGGCTTCGGTGAGTGGACCCTGTGAACATAGCGAAGATCAGCAAGGCGGTTACCACAGGTCGAGCCATTAGTCAACCTCGGCGGTAGGGAGTGAATGAAGGATAGCGTGTCAAGCTCACCTTTGAAGACAGGGGTTTGAAGACTGGGGCCTTGTCATCAGTGAGATGCACCACAGTACCATCAAGCGCAATCTCATGGACCAAAAAGTCGGTATATCTGTATAGCTCAGTCAGACCTTCGGGCTCGTTCCTTTTTTGTAGTAAACAAACTTAGGAACATATATTCCGCTTGTACAATTGATATGCTGCGCTTCGCACGTGAGCTTTGAGATGGGAAGAAACATGGGCTACCATGACCTCTAGTGTATCCCATAAAGCAGCCAGAGATGTCGAAGGTTTCATATGACCTTCAAATAATGACAAGAATGTCGTGATGTAGTGAGAGCTTTGAAGCAAAAGAAACAGCATGATTAGGGAAATGAAAGTCACATACCTCATTTTTAACGTCCCAGAAAATCCAGGGTTAGAGGTGTTGACAAAATGGAGGATGCCGACGTCAGCTTCACGGCTGTCTGATGTCGTTCGGTTACCATCAATGACACCGAAATTGTTAATTACATCAGCCATCTTGGCCTTTTCCATAGCTTGATGTTCGACAGTATTCGAAAGGCTCGATCGTTGAGTGTTTGAAATCTTTTGTCGTTTGGAAGGGTGCTCAGGTTGCGACTTGGTAGCATCTGCAGCCACTGCGCTAATATCCCCACCAGAGTCGACGCTAGCCATTTTGGGAAGTTTTCTCTGTTGTTATCCTTCTGCCGAATTCAGAAATGCCCAAATTCTTGGATTTGAGTCATAGAGCACCTAGGTATGTATGGGAGGTAACGGTGATGTTTCTCATAGAAAGAATATTCAGTTTGCAGTCTGGCAGCCTTAGAACAAAATCACATGCTCGTCTATTTTCGCTACAGAGGCAGCTAGCCATAAAGAGTCTACGGCCATTTTATTCCCCTATTTCATAGACGACCTCAAGACGACACAAGAACATCCATCGTAACCCCTTAAGAGTGTCAGCATGACTTAGGAACAGCCACCACCAACCCCCTAACGTCTGTATCCGATTTCCGTCCATAATCCTTCGTCCAGTCCCACTGTGAGTGCAGATATGCCTAGTCTTCCATCTCAACCTCTCTGTCAACTGGACTCTTGACCTGGAACACCGTCGCGGCTGTTGGAGTCTCCGTGTCAGCAGCCTCTTGAGCCTCGTTCCATTTTACGAGAAGGTCGTTGTATAGCTTCCATTCATCGAGTTGTGATGGTCGAGGGATGAGATTCAGCTCTGCATGAGGAGGGTTTGGGCCGGGGTATCGAGAGGTTGATTGAGCATATTGCGTCAAGGTGAGTATCAGTCGGCAGCTATTCGTGCCTTCGTCGATTATTCTGTGGCCATCTCCCGAAAGGGTGTATCTGCAATAGTCAGTGGCCAAGCCGATGGCAAAGGAAGCAGCTCCCTGCAGGAAACTAAGCAAATCCAACTTACAGCCCATCAAATCTAATGCCTGCCGCCGGAGCATATTTGCTTTTAAGAAGATGGCCTCTCAGAAGTCTGATTGGCCGCCCACCCTGGGTCAGCATAGAGAAGTTGATATCTTGTGCTGGGCTTTCCAAGGTGTATTCGTAAGTCCCTGGAGTGGACCCGTCTACTTCGGTTCCTGTCAAGAGTGCCAGTGCTGTGACTTCCCCGGGAGATTCCTCTGTCGCTATATTGGCTGGATTACCGACCATGCCATCGCGAGCAGCACACCATATATTGAGATACCAGCTAAGGATACAAGTCAGTGGTAGTCATATCGAATCCTAAGTTGGGGTTTGCCATACCGACCGACCTTGAAACCTTGGTTTCCCCAGGTTTTGGCATTCAACGGACTTTCCAGAGTGGATGAAAGCTCCCTGATGATAAACAAGTTGCCATCTTGCTTGTGTTCTGGGTTGAACGCGACATGATGAAGAGCACCATTCAGCTGCATGTCCTTGCACCGCACCTTATCAATGTCGAAGTATCGGTCATTGTACTCGTGTTGCCATTTCATCTGTAGACGCCGAGCCATGGGGATAACTTCCTGTGTTAAAATGGCAATGCCATCTTCAAATTTGCCTCTGCTCCATCCTGAAACCTGGGTGAAGCATGCAAAATCAGCCTTCAGGATGTCCTCGAGGAGTTTATCAAGTCGCGTGTAGATAACGTCCTTGATCCTTTCGAGCAACAGCCAGAAAGACAATTTCTCGTCCCGCTCCATTTCCAGTAGGCCATTAAGGAGAACCGCAATGGCCTTTATCTCTTGCAGATTGATTCCGTGGGTTTTCAGTGTAGCACGATACAGGTCCACCAGCTTATGGTAATGATCCTGAGTACGTCTATCCCACTCTCCCCTGGACGGAAAAGTGTTTTCGCATGGACATCCGGAGTAGCATGTTGGGTACCCTATTTTCATCCATTAGCATCACGGTACCTTTCGTTGATCAATCCACCAATTGATGGAGTAGTGGTGCTCAACTGCAAAGTAGCAGCGCCGGCCGCCGTCGCGTGCCTAGTCAGTTGCTTCTTTTCCTTGCAGAGGACGGGAGGAGACGCTTCAAGATTTTACTTACCAACCGCCTGATTATCGAAAAAATCGTCGAAGTCATCGAATCCATATTCCTCGAACTCCATATTATTTAAAATCCAAGAAGGAAGTTGCGGAAGGACTCCTTTTAGCCTCCGGCCAATAGAAGGCGAAGAATTTGTGGAGTTACGACCTCGAGGTAGTTCCCCCAAGCGAGGGGCCATGGTGTGATAAAATCCAGCCTTCCCTCCGTCAACTTCACCTAGCTTTGGGGCACTCGGTGCGATAATTTGTTCCTGATCACGATTAAGTGAAGAATTTGCGGCGTCATCAACATTGCGTGTCAATCCCTCATTTCCTTCTTCAGCTTGGCCTGTCTTTATGGTTGCCGGTGTGATAGTTCGGTCCGAGTCCATCGAGTCGCGGCGAAGACGAAGGGTAGGGGCTGCGGGGTCATCAACTTTAGGCATTTCCCAGGGTGTCTGATGGGGAGAAGCTTTGTTGTTGTTAGATCCCTCATTTCCTCCATCAACTTCACCTGTCTTTGACGTCTCTGGTGCGATGGCTTGGTCCATTTTGGCGGAATTGGCAGTCGGGATAGATCTCTGGACACGTCCTGGGCCGTAGTTAACTGTTAAGATGGAAGGAAAGCGTTTGGCCATAAACCGAGGATATTTGAAGACTTCTTTGGCCGTCACCCAACGATTAGGCTCTTGAGTGGTAGGAAGGTTGGACACTTCGCTTTTGGAAGGCTACCACGGTTAGAAGTTGACAGTTAGGGTTTCAACCGTGGCTAGGGAGCTGTAGCGCTGACTGTCTGGCGCTACCCCCGTCAACCTGCCTCGATGTGTAAGGTATGTGAGTACTCCACGTACAGCCGCATCAAAATGTGACTGGCGACTCATCCCAGAAGGAATCATACTGTACTTTTGGTGCTTCCTCTACGGAGTTCTGGTCTGACAAAGGTTATCACTTGTTAAGAGCTGTGTACACATGCACTCAGTAACTGCTGTTCGGCTTAACTGAACATCAATTCTCGTGCCCTCTGCATTGATTGTTGGGTTTCAAGCCGCCGAGGCAACCTGAATGGACAACAATTTGCTCCCTCCAGTTGCTCTAGAAAGGCTACCTTCCACCACATCCCATCGCTACAACACCCAGATATGTAAGGTATGTTAGAGTTTCAAGTTATTAGCTGCACTTTATGGATTGGGATTGTAATTTTGTGTCCTCTATTGGTCGACTTACTGTGTTACTGGATAATCTACTTACCCTTACAGTGTCTTCAGAAGCTCCAACACTTGGAGCGATATAGAAGCGGAGTTAGATTTTAAGCGTTATTTAAGCATTTACATTCTCAACTTCTTTACTCATTATCTGTGTCCAAAAGTTAAATTTCACAGGATTAAACTGCCTTACGACACAAATAGACTACTTGTTTTCTTTTAGAGATAGCTAGCGTTGCAAGAGTAAGCAGCGCTGTGCATAACAAGGCCACCCTTTATTGCAGAAACCGAACAAGCAGCGCTATAGCGCATATCCCAGGAAACTCAAAATCATTGCAATCAACAAATACGTGATCAGCCTCCCCTGTTAACGGTCGGGCATGTAGCCATAGGCCTTGAGTTCTTAGCTCCTTTGACTGAAGCAGCCTATATTTACAACCACTCCCGTCCTTAGCTAGTAGCTCAATGCGATCTCAACGTCTGTTCCATGATTCATTGGCACGCGCTGTTGGTTCGCTCCGCCATTCTGTATACATTGTGGTATTTCATATCTTAGAAATCACCTAAAGTTGCCTTTCTCATTGCCTCCTTGAGATAGCTACTGACTCATTTAGCTCAAACTCGACACCCACTTCTATCACCAAGTATATAAACACTACCCGAATGCTCCCGCGCACAATAACTTCCGAATCTAGAATTAAAATATATTAGAATAGTTTCAAGTACAACCCCACCACGTCTAGTGCGTGCGATAAGTAGAACGGTAGTACAGATTTCCACAACTCGTCTTCCTTGGCACAAGGTTAGATTCAACGCCACACGATATAGTAGCTCAATGATTAGCAGGGCTTAGTAGGGTTCAGCAGTTTCTTAAAGATCATGTAACAGGCGGGGAATATAAGATACAACCACCCAACCCCTATTGTGCTGAGCAACCCATACAAAACCGCCGGGTCACAAAAAGAACTACACATATAACCAGCCCCCCTCTGCTCTTATTTTGCTTAGGATATTTACAGGATGCTCTATGACCTTGATACGTCACAATGAGAATCCAATTAGATTTCGCCGTAACCATTTTTGCTTAATACAGGTATGGTGGAACGCTCTTTATAGCCTCCGATTAATTGCTCACTACGTTTTAGGCCTGCGTCGAAGAGCTCTTTGAAGAGGGGTCAGAACACACCGAAGCTAACGAGCTGACACCAAGCTATCAAGCTATGCAGATTACCAATTGAGGAATCTGGTGGTATAGGGAGTAAATGGTGCGGAAGAGGTCTGTTACCAGCCCCCCCCCCCCTTCTAGTTTCCTAGGGCGCGCCCAATGCGCCCTGTGAGCTGCGCTATACCTTGTTGCTACTTGGCTTTTAGTATGGAAGCTGTGTTTTGACACAGATGGTAAGTTGGAAACGATGGGTAGCGCGCGGTAGGTGTTAAGAGGAAGAATATGGAGCCGCGTGGGTGCAGAGGAAGAGTTTGCGGCCAGCAGGTAGGTTTTGCTTCTAGAGTATAATAACTCGCTCACAATCCCTATTATTAGTGAAGTCGGATTAAGAAGCCTAGGCTACAAGTAATGTGTTTAATTTGGCGGATACAGATATGTGGCTCAGCGTTGAGATCTCATGTTCTTTCCTGAATTGGGATCTAGTTCTGCCGTCCGCTTCACATCCATCCAAGCCCACCAATTCCTTAAACAACCGCCACCTCCCACTCCGTCGCCTGTTAAACCTCTCCTACGGTGATAAAAGACAAGTCCCAAAACTCAGAACGCCATCCACAACCGAGACCCCGACGCAGTGTGGAAATGCCTTGCCCTTCCTTTGCCTTGCCTTGCCTTGTGGTGCTTAAATTTGCATGCTTTATTCTGAATTGGAGATCACCCATTCCGGCTACCCAAACACTAATACGAATTCGAATATATTTTGAAACTGGGCGAATATCATCAAGATATCACCGAGATAGTCGCCACCGCTCTTACTGACCAGCATGCCCTATCCAGATCTGACATTATAGGGGGTGGGGTGGAGAGGGGGGTGAGAGGCTGGCGATGGGGAATTATTCTTCCCAGCCCCACACTGTAGCCAGGAAATGAGCCATGTTGACGCGCTTGCTGCGCATCTCTATCATCCAAGGGTGCTCGAGCATGCGCCACGGGGAGGCACGGCGGTCGGGCTTCTTCTCGAGGCTTTGGGAAATTCGTCAGCGAGCTGCTTATAGCTGAAAGGGGGGCAGGATATGTGGTGGGTAGAATAGGAGGCGGAGAACGAGGGAAGAGGGAAAACACCCCTCAAAAAAGGAAAGAACTTACCAGCATTCAATGAAGTACTTGAAATTATCACTCCATTTGATTCCCGCCTCTGGCTCGTCCTTTAACTTGGGAATCGGCTGCCGCACAATGTATGTTAGGAGGTCGATCAGCCCAGCCCGAGGTTGCATCTCGGTACCATCCGCCGGGAAGGGGAAACGATGCTGGGCGACTTCTAGAAGTGTGACACCCGTGCTCCACACGTCGGATGTGATCGTGTAGCTCTGCCCCGTGATTCGCTCGGGAGCCATATAGTATGAAGTCCCAATGAAGGTATTGGCATCACCCTTCGTCCCGAACTCGCCGCTCACACCAAAGTCGCAGAGTTTGACCTGCCCGTCTCGGCAAAGTAGGATATTGCTCGGTTTGATATCTCTGTGGATAATCTTCTTGCTGTGGAGGTAGGTCAATCCATTCAACACGCCCTCGGCAATCTTTCCCAGGACCTTCTCGCCGGTCCGCCCGCCGAGCTTCTTCACCTCCCGATAGATACTATCGAGGGAGCCGCCCTCGCAAAATTCCATAGCAATGGAGATGGTGGCGGTGCTGGGTTCGACGAATGCCCCGTAATAGCGGCATATGTGCTCGTTCGTGCAGCCTTTATTGAAGCTTAGCTCGCGAACGATTTGCTTTTTGACATCGGGATCTGGGTTGGTCGTAATTATCTGGAAGCGGGTATTAGCATAAGATGTGGAGACGGGGAGAATGGTCCAACATACTTTCAGCGCAAAAACAGTCTTCCCCCCTTTGAGCATACACCGCGTGACAGCTCCTCCCGCCCCTTCTCCTAAGCTTCCTAGCTCTTCGATTCGTTTTTCCATACTGGCTACCCTCCAGCCCTCATCATCTAGCTCCTCGACATCCAGTGTCCGTCCCTTCTCCAAGCTCTCCAGGCTAAGCTTTTCAAACCCCTCAAGCCCGTTCATGCTCCCGTCACGCTCCATTCCCACCCCACCTTCGCTCTGGTTGGAATAGAGCGATCCAACCGCCGACGCGGGATCAGGCGTCCCCCGCGGCGGCTGCTGCAACCCATACTGAGATGCGAATGATAATGCCGAGTACTGCGAACCCGCCGACGTTGGACCACTCGCCCGCCCATCTAGAGGACCAAAGCTCCCGGATCTCGAATGTGCTGCGCTGCTCTCACTGCCGCCGCTCGCCGACTGTCCTGCCCCCGGTTGACCACTCGGGCGGCCGTTTTGGAGAGGTTGCTCGTAAGGCGTTTGACTGCTGCCCATCGGTGTCGCGAGCTGCAATCGGGGGAGCGAGGGTCTTGATGACGCCTGCCCGGGCATCTGGAGGGACAAGCCATGTGGTTGTGGTCCGCCACCGACGGGTTTGGCATTGGGGGATGGGGGGATGGCGAGGCCGAGCCTGGGAGTTCTCGCCCCGCCGGCATTCTGTCGACCGCCCGGAATGGGAGGGCGGAGCAAGGGAGCGGGAGACGACATTCTGGGACCGTTGCTGTGATCTCTGCTAGTTGGGAGCTGGGGAACTATTAGCTACTTATTCTTGACGGCGGAGGGTTGCTGCATTTGGGGATGCTGTGCCGCGAGAGGCACCTGACTGATTTGGGGTTGGGCGGGGGGGATTGAGGATGGAAGGAAGGATAGAAGGCGGATCATACATATTCGGGGCCAGGTGCACGCTCTGCCACTGCCAGGGCGGGCAAAGGCGTCTCTCCTGTATCTATATCCGTCGGTCTATCTCCAGCGGCGGCCTCGTTGGGGTACTCTGGCAACGTGGTGTGCTGTTGCATGGGGCACTGCAGATGGGGCTGCAGCGAACCGTTTGGGAGGCGGATAGACGGTGAAGTCTGGAGGTCTGGGGGAGGCCGTGAAGGGAGGAGTTGGAGGTTGGAGGTTGGAGGTTGGAGGTTGGAGGTTGAGTGTCGAATGTCGAGTGTCGAGTATGAGTTGGAGGTGGGTACAGTAGGGTCCAGTATGGTGTGGTATCGATGTGGAGGTGGAGGTGGAGGTGGATCGGGGGCCGGGGTTGGGATTGGGATTGGACTGGAGACTGGATTGGACTGGATTGGATTGGCTTGGGGCTGGCAGGCGTTGTGGTTGTGGTTGTGGTTATTTGTTGGTTGAAGGTTCCAGTGCCTCGCCCGGGTGGGTGGTTTGTCGGTCGTTGTTCTGCGGTGGTGCTGTGTGGTGTTGTGTTGTGTTGTGTGCGATGCCTGTGGTGGTGGTGGTGGTGGTGCCCGTGGTGTTTCAAAGCTTGTCGTCGTCGCGGGCCTGGCCTGGCCGGGTCGAGCAAGGTCCTGGGTTGGGTGGGAGAGATCCGTATGAAGTGACAGATGAAGGGAGAAGGCGAAGGGACTGGATGGGCTGGAGGCCGTCGGCGGCTAACTCACCGCGCAGGTCAACGCAACGCAACGCAACGCAACGCCGTGCAAAGTGCTTGCGTGCAGGCTGACGGGACTCGGGAGGTGGTGGTCAGGTCAGGTCAGGCACAGGCACCGGGGGAGCTGACGGCCCCCAAATTTATCTTGATATGCGTTCGTTGGGTGCCGAGTACTGCGCACCGAGCACTGATTCCTGAGTCCTGAGCCCTGAGTCCTGAGCCCCGAGTGCTTTTGTCGGCAGGGCCGGTACATGTACGAGTAGACCACCAGTAATCTTGGCTGATGTGATGGACGTCCGCTGTCCCCTACGGACGGACGAGGAGCTGCCGGTGGCTCCTCGGCGCGCGGTTGTTGCCACTGGGGGGTTGGGGATTGGGGATTGGTGATCGCCAGGCCGGTGACACGGTGCTGTATGTATGGGTTGTACGAAGTATGTAATGTACATGTAATAAGGGCAAGGTATGTACATGACATGTATGTATAGATTAGGCCCGGGAATAAGGGATAGGGGAGGGGGTACATACAGTACAGTACTGTAATAGTACGGTAATAGTAATATCAATATCTTTATCGTCATGACTTATTGTAGGTAGTATAGCATAGTATAGCATAGTATAGTAGGTACTGTAGGCACTGTAGGCACTAACTATTGGCCTGAACCCCCGGGGCTTGGACGCTGGAGGAGCCGCCGCTGGACCGCCGCTGGACACCGCTGGTTGGCAGCGCGGTGCCAGTGCCAGTGCCAGTGCCAGTGCCAGTGGCTGCAAGCTGCTGAGTCTGTGCTCCTCCTGCTGGTGCTTGGTGCCCTGGGGCCCTGCTTGTGCTTCTGCTTTTGCTTTTTGCTTCCCTTGCCGCGCGCTTCCCGCCGGGAATTTCCCTTCCCCTTCCCTTCCCTGTCGCATCAAAATAATTCTCCTACGCACGACTTCGTACCACGGCCAGTACCAAGTACTCTTATTACACACACCGCAGTCTCTCATGCATCGTTGATTAACATCACCATAATGCCCGCACAGAGCATTCACCCCCCCACTCCGGCCGCATCGGCGCCCATGGTGCAGGCTCACGATCATGCCTTCGAGCAATTCGGGAGCCTAGCTAATGCGCCTGCCGCCGACTACTCAGACTCAGACTCAGACTCGCACTCAGATTCGGATTCGGATTCAGATTCTCTCGACAGTCAGGCATCGCGGAAACGGAGGAAGACCTCCCCAGCCCATGGCGCGGACGAGAAGGTGAGTGATAGCGACAGCGACAGCGACGACGACGATGACGGCCCCCGAGTCCCGATCCCCATTTCTTCTCTTCCGTCGCGGATCAGGACCAATGCCAAATCGAAAGCGAAGGACGGCCCCACGCCCCAGGCGAACATGGGATCAATTCTGGCTCCCGTCGACCATCAGGCTACCTTCGCCTCGTTAAATGTGAAGCCGTGGCTGGTCAACTCCTTGGCCAGTATGGCAATCAGAAGGCCCACCGGAATTCAGAAGGGTTGCATACCAGAGATCTTGAAGGGCCGGGATTGCATTGGGGGGAGCAGGACCGGTTCGGGGAAGACGGTGGCATTCGCAGCTCCAATCCTTCAGAAATGGGCGGAGGATCCGGTGGGCATATTTGCCTTGGTCCTGACCCCGACGAGGTGAGCAGACCAGATCTACGAACGATGCATAACCTTCTCAGGAGAGTAAACTGATGAATTTTCTTTTTAATAGGGAACTGGCGCTACAAATTTTCGAGCAGTTCAAGGCAATATCCTCTCCCCATGCCCTCAAGGCGGTCCTGATTACCGGGGGATCTGATATGCGCCCGCAAGCAACGGCTCTAGCCCAGCGGCCACATGTGGTCATTGCAACTCCAGGCAGGTTGGCCGATCACATACGCACGTCGGGGGAAGATACGATCTGCGCTTTGCGCCGGGTACGGATGGTGGTTCTCGATGAGGCGGACAGGCTGCTGGCGGGCGGGGCAGTGGGCAGCATGCTACCGGATGTCGAAGAATGCTTAATGATTCTTCCTCCCCCGGCGAAAAGGCAGACTCTTCTTTTCACGGCCACCGTGACTCCCGAGGTTCGGGCACTAAAAGAACGTCCCCAAACCCCAGGAAGGCCGCCGGTGTTCGTCTGCGAAGTCGACACCGAGAAACTCGCAATCCCCGCTTCTCTTAACCAGATGCATCTGCAGGTCCCAGTCACCCATCGAGAGCACTACCTACACATGCTCCTGCTCACAGATCGCAACCTCCCGAAATCGGTGATAATATTCTGCAATCGGACCTCGACCGCCGACTTCCTAACCCATCTACTACGCCTGCTGGAGCATCGGGTTACGGCCCTGCACTCAAAGCTTCCACAGCGGCAAAGGATCGACAATCTGGGCCGCTTCCGGGCCTCCGCTGCGAGGATCCTCGTGGCAACAGATGTTGCCGCCCGTGGGTTGGATATTCCTGAGGTAGGATTGGTCGTCAACTATGACATCCCTCGTGACCCGGATGACTACATTCATCGGGTTGGTCGAACGGCTCGAGCGGGGAGGAAGGGCGAATCGGTCACATTTGTCGGACAGCGAGATGTGCAGCTTGTCCAGGCAATTGAGGCGCGGGTCGGGAGGCAGATGGAGGCCTGGGAAGAGGAGGGCGTGAATTTGGAGACCAGGGTGATTAGGGAAGCGTTAAAACTGGTGGGAGAGACGAAGCGGGAGGCCATGCTGGAGATTGAAGAAGGGAGAGAGGTTGGGGGCAAGCGGAAAAGGGGCATGAAGAAGCTATAACGCGCCCAGTGCGGCCAGTCGGAAACCAAGATAGCAACCCTCAAGAGGTGAAATGTTCATGTTACCTCCGTTCCGTATCTTTATGCATGGGACGTCAAGTGCTATTGGTGTTGCTCAACCCCAACTCCTAACGGTTTACCAACGGGTAGGTACTACACCTGGGTGCCGTTTAGGCGTGTCAGGAATGCCAAGCGAACACATTTATATGGAACGAAAGAATACCAAAACTAGCTCTGTGGTCTCTCTCATGGCCATAAAGAATACGGAGACTCTACATGTCCCAACTACTTTATTATATCAGATTTGGTTGCACGGCGTACAGGTGAAACACACAACTCAACCAAATTCCTCCTTGTGCCCCGCACCCCGCCAACCAATACCCCTGAATATACATGTACACTACCTACCCAGCTACCCGAGGTCACTTGGGCATGCTAGAGCGGCGTGAATCCCCCGCCTGCATATTTATATTTTGAGGCCGAGAATCTCCTCTTTTCGTTCACCTGGGGTTTATTTGTTGCATTTCATGACAGCCACTGTTGAAAGGATACATCGTATATAGGAGGTACCTAGGGACGGAAATTGAGATTGCCAAGATGGCCGACTCGCAACCGAAGAGGCAGCAACAATCGACATCGTATCGGTCGCAGAAGGCGACTGCCGAGTCAATATCGCCGTTCGAGAAACTAGATATTATTCCAACGGTGTTCATCGTAGGCTCGTTCTCCCTGTTGCCTGTTCTTCAGCGCCCTCCCCCTCCTGTTTCTCTCCGCTGTGGTCTTGTCGCCCTCTTCACGGGTGGAGGTCAAATTGCAGCTTGGTTCCCGACGGCAATTGCCGAGTGATTTCCGCTATACGATTTCAAATCAAACAAATGCACGTATTATATATGAGTTGAATATGAGGGCTAATTGGTGGTGTTGTAGCCGGCAATCTTTTCGGAGCCATCTTCACGGGCGTCTTGAGAGGGAGCAAGAGATCAAAGAGTTACTATAAATATGTAGTCATGACGGTCATGCGGACTTTCATAAGGCGGACGACTCCGAGGCAGCAGAAGTATGTTTCCCCCCTAATCTCACTGTCATACCAGACTCAAAACCCAAACTCGATATTTTGGGGAGTGGAAAGTGGAAAGTATTGAAAATGTAGTGTGGGAGTGCTAATCGACCGCTCCTATAGTTACCTATCTCCGCCTACAGATGACTCGTATCTGGCTGTTTGCAAAAAGCATGGATACACGCCCAACAGCGTGATTTTAGAAGACGGCACTAGGGCGAATTGGATAGGAGATTCCAAGGCTGAGAAGGTTATTTTGAATCTGCACGGTACGTCGAGTATACTCCTCTCGAAATGAAAAACGAGCCTAGGAAATAAAAAATAACTAACCAATGTCCTGATCCTAAATAGGTGGTGGATATGTCTTCTCTGCACCGCCCGAGATGTTTGAAACCATGTTTCAAGTAACCAGCTTCTTATCTTCGCGAGGCAAAAATGTGTCTTGCCTCTTTCTTTCCTATGACCTGGCCCCGGGTGCACACTATCCACGCCAGTTGCAACAAGCCGCCATGCTCCTCAACCACGTCATCAATACCCTCCACATTCTGCCCCAGAATATCATCCTCACTGGCGACTCGGCGGGCGGAAATCTAGCCATATCCCTCCTCTCCCATATCAGCCATCCACATCCGTCTCGGAGCCTTCCAATCCCCAAAGTGGACCTGCCAGCGCCCCTTCGAGGAGCCGTTTTGATTTCCCCCTGGGCATCCTTTTCCGTATCCGAGGACTCCTTCTCCCGCAACGAATACAAAGACTGCATAGCTGGAGACGCCGCAAAAAAATGGTCCAACGCATTTCTCAACTCTACCTGGCCCCACGCCGAAACCTCCGACTATTACAACGAAGCCATAACGGCGCCCCAGGAATGGTGGAATGATCTAAAGGTTGACCGCGTGCTGATCACAGCCGGGGATGAGGAGGTACTGGTTGATAGTATTGAGAGCTTTGCTGGGAGGTTGCGGAAGGGATTTGGGGAGGAGAAAGTCGATCTGGAAGTTGTGGAGGGAGAAACCCATGATCAGTTTAATCTGGATTTGCAAATAGGGTATAAAAATGACTCCAAGGGGGCTAATATTATTATGGAGTGGCTTGCTGCTAGATTCTGAAATTTGCTCGCTGGGGAGAAGGGATGGGTGCTGTACAGAATATTTTGGTGCATTTTAGCTGGCTAGTACAGTATAGGTAGTATTCTATGGTGATTCGAATATATTACTGAGACCCGACTTAATCTTGAGACTAGGTCTTTTCTCAGGGATGTTGTCTACCCTAACTAAGCTGCGCAAGGAGGACCCCCTTTTTGACGGAGATAGCATTGCTTATGAAATGTACCTAGGTAGGTAATTTAGGACGCCTATCTAGAATTACTCCACCAAAACACCTATAATGTCTTTCTTTCTAATCTCTCCCATAGTATTCTGTGTTCCGGCGGGGGAAATCAGATCATGCCAAAGAGGGATAGAGAGATTCATATTAGATGGCTTGGTATTATCTTTGTTATATGAGTTTCTACTTACGCTTAGCTCGTTTTATGGAGACACATCATCCTTAGCATCCTACATCCGCTGTTGACTGAAAAAGCACTTAGATACCGGCTACCTACCATTACCGGAGACAATACGCGTATGTTTATGTTTGATTTAATTACAGTATCTGTTTCGTCAGCACTCTACTCACCGACACCTGGAACCCGGGATACCCACACATCCACTCATCATACGTCTACTTCCTAGGGATTGCATCCGCCACGACTTCAAAGACTTCATTACCCATAGCCTGCAAGGCAGCAGGAACCCCGTCCCACATAACCAGCTGCCTCACCTGCTCCTCGGCACTAGGGAATACCTCAACAGGCACTCCCTTCTTCCCGCCGACCATCTCCTTCCTCGAAAACGGCATCGTCTTCAACGGTAAACTCACCGACCGATATTTCACAGTACACGCGGCTCGCATAACCTCCCCTTTAACCTTCCGGCAAGGCCCTACCGACTCAATATGAGCCAACATAACAGGGTCTACCGCCCACTCATCGCAAAACAATGGACTAACATCACAATCCACAAACGCGAGACTAGCTCCTGAAGTCCGCTCTTTGCCATGGGTGTGGTACCTCTCAACCAAGCGATCAAACCCCCTATTAAACGCAGCACAGATATAATCCTCATCAACACAACTACCCGCAGGCCTTGAAAATAAGCTGAGATTATCCCACCAGTTGAAAGGAAAAGACAGCGATTTCTTCGGTGTTCCCCCTACATAGATCCAGAATTCCTGCCCTGTATACGGCGCCGTGCCGTCAGGGTGTAACCGCATCATTTCCTGCCAGTCCCAGCTGCGCAGCTGCGGAATATCCTGGATGAGCGGCGTGCGGCGTGTGTTGTAGGCGGGGGGTTGCTCGATGTCCAGCATCTCTCGGATGTCGACCGAGGCATATTCGGAGTCGAGGTCTTCAAGGCGTAGGATTTCTGTGAAGTAGGATACTTCGTAGCTGTGGGCGCGGTACCAGGGGATGATGAATAGGGTGATGGCGAGGGTGAGCAGGAAGGAGAGGAAGGAGAGGGTGTAGATGCAGAGCTTTTTAGGGGATGGGAAGGGGAGTGAGGGCATGGTTCGGGATGATGGCGATATCCATTCCTTGTGCGCTAGGAAGAACGACGATGAAGATGGATATAGTACTTACCATTGCGTTGGCCTTAGGCCGCCCTAGCTCTCTCTTCCCAACCACACATTTCAAAATGGGTAGAGGAATAAATGGGTGCACCTACTTAAGGTACAGAGAAGTTCTGTTAATCAAATTGCGTAGCTAGTAGAATTCAAGTAATGAATCACTCGGACTGGATGATAAATAGCTTCGTTCTTGAGGCTACAACTATAGCTATAAATACAAATGCGTTGTTGATCTAATTGTAGCTATTAAATGAAGGAGATTCTGGAACTACGTATTGGGAGCATGTTTAAGTAGTGTTTTAGAAGTTGAAGTTGGGGATGATGTACTAGATGCGCGCGGTGTGCCGTTACGGGCAGGCATTCCCATATCATTTTCCGTAAAAACGATGGTAGTCCTACACCATGTGTTGAATAAGTAATAGTAATAGACCTACAGAGATGGGGTAGCAAAAGACCTGGTAAAAGAGCAAAGTCTATGGGTATATTAGGCATTACATATATATACGAACAAGCAGTATCTCAACATGCTCGCCAGCCATCCCCACGCTATCCATCCTTACAATACACCGTGTACGTAGTACAATAAATATAAATCACGCCCGGGCGACATATAGATTCGTCAATCCCAACCTTTATTCCCATATTTTCATGCCGAACCATACTGTACAATCATAAGTTAGAGAACGCTAGGTCGTCCTCATGGTATAACAAAATCCTAGTTTTCAAGCGAGTAATCACTCGGTATATTGAACTCGGTTTAAGAGCCTGTATACCCTATGATCTCTCTGTCGTCGTCGACTAGTCTCCCATATCTGTGAAGTGTTAATTAGCGGCTGACACAGGGGTTGGAATTGGGAACCAGGAGAACGTACTCTAGTAACAATCTAAAAAACCAAACCTCTAGGTCTTCATTCCTCAATACCTTATTGGCCCAATCCCTTCCCTGAAGCGCAAGGCGCTTGGCCTCCGTCTTCCCCGCCGGCTCACTCGAAAACCACCGAACCGCCTCGACCCACTCATCACCCCGTAGACTCAGTGGGATATAATGCACCCACGGCTGGAGCCACTCCGCATGCCATTCCTTGAAAATGGCCAGCTTATACACTAGACTCTTACTCTTGAGAAACGCGTAGAATCGGCCACTGAAAGCGTTCCCATCCATGTCGAGAAGATATCTGTATTTCCAGGCGTCTTGCTGCTTAGCTGCTTCCTTTATGTCAAAGAATTCCTTTTGGGCGTTACAGTCATGGTCATCGCATTGCCCGATGTGGGAGAAGTAAATATCGAAGAGTTCGCGAAAGTCGCTGCGAGGGACTTCTTTCACTTGCCAGTCTTCCTTAGTTTCGCTCTCGCCGCGATTGACGAGAATCTTGGCTTGATCGACAGCGTTCACCTTTTTCACAACATGCTGCCGGTGCTGCCGTCTCCATCCCCCATCCCGGCTAAAGCCACCTGTTGTCGAACCTCGCCAGTAAATCTTGCCTTCTTTTTCTGCCCAGTCCATGTCTTCGGCCTCGTCGTACGCTACTTTTCCGTACCAATACCACGGGGACGGATATATGATATCTTGGTAGGAGGATATTTTCGACTGTGAAAAGATGGGGAATAGATCGTGGACTATATTATAGGCATTTGGGCGGTCGAAGAAGCCGTAAGTGTGGCTGAGAGATGGCGACTGACATATGTCAGAGAGGGCAGTCTGATTGTAGACAAACCCCAACTCTCCAGTTGCATAGCTCTGGATATTGTCCTCCTTCGGGCCGTCTTCGAGAGAGCGTGAAGGACTGTCTGGCGGGCAGGATAGTCTCGAATTGGTCCAGGTAGGCTGATGTGCGAAAACGTTGAATCGAGTTGTCTTGATATCCTCAAAGCGTGTTCCATCACCGAGATCTGATGGGCTTGATGACCACGAATTTCGCGGCGTGGAAACTGCATTCGCGGCGGGCAATGTCACCTCGTTCGCTATCTTCACCAATCTCGCAAGGTCGTCGTGGGGAACCACCACCCGAGGTTCGTCGTGGATATTGAATGCAAGGTCCATGTCGGGTAGGTACTTTATAAACTCCTTCATCATGCCCTCCGTAGCGTTCATTTGCCACTCCCCTCCCCCAGCAATCTTGGTGATCTTGCCGTTCCTTATCAAGGCCCCTATTAAATTATTTGCATCATATCCCAAGGCCTCCTGTGCCCGGTTTCTTATGGCTGAGGGTTTCAGCGCCCAGAAAGGCAACAAGGAGTGATGGATGGAATCGTATTCGTCGATCAACTGAATGCCCTTTTTGGTCGCAAACTCGTACCATTTGTCGAAATTCGGCGGGGGAGGGATGCCATAACGTCGTCGGTACTCTACCACGGCAGCATCGAGTGTCTTCGATTGACCCGTCAGCTTCTTTTCAAATTCCAGTTCTGCATCCTTGATAAGCATCCATATTGGGTGCCCGGGCCCAATATGAGGGGTCTCTGGCTTCTGCGATGCGGGCCCAGGAGACTGCGGCTGGGTTGGGCTTTGTGGGCTTGATCCAGGGAGAGGCAGAACTGTATGAGGGAGACGAGAGCCCCTGAGATAGGATATTGAAAGCCCAGCAACCGTCAGCAGGCCAATCAACAGCAGAAGTTGTCGAGATCGCATTCTTCTCCTCGTCGCGTTCACATTCAGTCCGTGTTGAAGAAAGTTATGATTGACTCCTCATGGTCCACGTCCTCCAAAGCACTGAGAATTGTCGAGCGTGGCGCGTTAGACAGGGAGGTACTTGCGTAGAAGTAAGGAATTAAGGAATTAGGGCGTACGAGGCCCCCCTGTAACGACGAATTACTGGTAAAAGTATGGCCCGGGTCCGACCACTGTGGCTGATGTGTTGTGGCTGGTGGTACTTACAGAAGTACTGCCTAACGGTGGGGTGCGACTCTACCTACTACGTATCGTACTACGTATGTGGGTGCACATAATGTAAAGATGGTGTTTTGATTCGATAAACAGCATACAGTAAGGAGCACCTGGAGAGTCAGCTTCCGTTATAGGGCGAGCACTCTAAAGACCAAGCACCCAGAGGCCGTACTGGTGCTTACTGTACCTAGTAAGCACCTTATTTATATCTTAAATGCCCTCGGCTCGCAACTTCCCTAGGATCTAAACATCTCGGCCCCATCGTCACTGCACCACCATTCATGCCCGTACTCATACGAGTATATATCAACAAAGTTTGCAATCTCCCGCCATGTCTTTTCTATCCTCTACATCTGCCCTAGTTTTCATGATCAATCTACTACCCTAAGAACGCCGTTGACTCCCCATACGGCGCATCATCCACATAGTATCGAATTGGGACTGCAGCTATCCCGGTCACTCACCTCATTCCCATTCACGTTCTCACTCTCAAACATGGCCGACGACGGACGTCGACATTTCCAGGACCACTGGGGCGTCCACTTTCCGCCTGGGCAGGTATCTCGCTTTGAATCACAGCTGGCCTCGCCCATGCCACCTCCGCCTCTCCCGGTGCCGCTGACCCTCTCCGAAGCTCGACGAGCAGAGCTTGATCCTTACTTGCCGGAAGAGCGTACATCGTTCCTTATGGAGGGGTCGTTGCCAGAAGGCCTAATCCAAGAGCGCAGGGAGCTTCCTTTACGAGAACTCCTCCCTCACGTTACGCTCACCTACGCGCAGTCACTCGACAGCCAGATATCTCTGCATCCGGGTGTGCGAACCACACTATCCGGAGATGAGACAAAGGCTATGACACACTACCTACGAGCTCGACATGATGCCATCCTGATAGGCGTTGGCACCGCGAGGGCAGATAATCCTGGCCTCAACACGAGGTTCAGCTATGATGGACAACAAGTTGTCGGCCTGGCACAGCAGCCGAGGCCGATTATCTTAGATCCAAGCAAGAGGTGGAGAGACGATCTTTCTACGAATTTGTTTGAGCGAGCAGTAAGCGGCCAAGGAAGGGCGCCATGGTGGGTTATATCCCGGAACGAAGAGTTTCTCATCCCTCAGACCCCCGAGGAACAGCTCGAAGACCAGGTGCGGATGCGGAGGATAGAAGCTATCGGCGGGCAATGCTTAGTCGCTGGAGATTATAAGAGTCCCGGAGAGGGTGTTGATTGGGCTGCGATTTTGAGAACCTTGGGCGAAAGTGGAATTCGTAGCGTCATGATCGAAGGGGGAGCCACAGTTATTAACGACCTTCTGAGGGCCACCAATCAGGTCTTTATCGATGCCCTCATTATCACAATTGCGCCGACATATTTAGGCAATGGAGGGGTAGTCGTTACCCCGCTTAGATCTGTGAGCAACCAGAATGAAGCCATCCTAACAGATGTTAAATGGTTACCTTACGGCCAAGATGCAGTTATGGCATGGAAACGTCGACGAGAACCAGAGTCTGGTGCGAGGCGAATCCGACAGAGCCATGCCGTCCGGAATGGAGACTCAAAACTACTTGAGGGGGACCTTAATTTAGGGGCCACTGGAACATCAAGTGGATCAGAGGCCATGGCGAGCGGCGCGCTGCAGGAAGATTTGGGTAAGTCATAATCGATGGACTTGATCCCCAGAATATTTACATTTCTGGGCTAAGGGCCACATTATTATGTACCTGCGGCGCAAGCTCAAAGCGAACATATCTCCTCTCGAACTATACCGTTTCCCTTGATGTCCCCCCTCGCGAATGAGATAATTCGTGCTCAAAAGCGCTCCGAGAGCTCTTCCGATGAGCCCTTTGATCCGAACGATCCACCTGCTATCAAAGCTTACCATGTTCTCCTGAATCTGCGGAATATGATTGATAACTCTATGGCTAAAGTGACCGCTTCATTTGAAGCCGGGGAAGAGCGTAACCTAGTGCAAGCCGCTATTATCAACGCCAAATATCAGATGGAGTCCGTTGCTACTAGCCTATGTGATTGTCCCCTGGGACAAGACTGTTCGATAGGAATGGTCAGAAAAGCTCTCAATCTTGCAAAAATTCCGGTAAATAAAACTTTGCGTCGTTCGCTGGATAGAATCATTGCCGGCTGTGTCTTTGATGAATAAAAATGGCAAATCGGGTGATACTATTTTATGTATTGTTATATTTTTATGCATTGGGACTTAAAAAAAGCTGAACTGGTGAAGAGCCTGAGAGCTGTAGGATAAGGGAGCCGAATATTCTCATAAACCCCGAGTATTGCTGGACTGTATCGAAGGGAAGAGATCCCAGGATACCTAGAAGGATGGCACTGTCCATATGCCAGGCATTTGTTGATAACATAACTATCATGACTTGATGGAGTTTTGAGACAGTTCGTTTCAAAATATTTATTAGGGTGTTAGGTGTTACGGAAGGCAGAAAAAGCATGCTTAGATATTAAACACCCCTGCTCAATTCTAAATAGTCAGAACGAGCACTTCAAATACATCGTTCCATTTTATACTGAATGGATATATTATTGCTGAGCTGACAATGACACGAAGTTAAATCCGGAGTACCCTATAAACTTGTACATTTGACTTGGACACCAATCATACCTGCTAGTGGTAGGCGTAAAGTGCCCTACTACTATTCCCCACTACTAATGTTGGTTGTCGATTAACTGGTGTTTGTATTTTCGAATTCATTCTGAGTAGCTTCCAAGTACGCTTGAGGCTTTACTAGGTAGCGATAGTATCTCTTAGGATTTGGGGTTTTCGTGGGGCAGATATCTTAGCAAAGGTAAGCGTATCGTTAGGCCTCTCCATTTTAACTTGTCGTTTTTGATACTTATATATAGCTAGACCCGTTCCGTAATGAAAGGGTTACTTGATGTAACCCGAGTATCAAGTACTATATTCGCATCTTCTCTCACCACTTTACAAAGAATTCCAATTTGCATATCTTTGTGTTTTGGGTTATACAACTTAATTGTGTTATACATCTCTAATAAATTTAGCTCTACGCTCATTTCAAGCACTAGAATCCACATCCCCACCAAATCCAACAGGTTTCCTCGTCCCTCCACTCTCGGGAACAATAGCCATAGCTTTATACACCTTCCCCATTCCACTCCCACCGCGATCAATTAATCTCTTCCATGCGGTATCTATCCTCTTCCTATTCTCATCCGCATCCGTATCCCCCTTTATCTTCCCGAGCAACATCTCAGCCCGTTCCTTGATGCCCATTGCTTGAAGAAAAGCACCCTGCTCTACTGGCCCGTGAACCTCCACACCCTCACTAGCATTAACAGCTGCTTCAGCTAGGGCTGTGAAATCCACGTCTACGCTGAGATCTACGAGTCCTGGCATGCTGAAGGGGCTTACATGTTTGTGCTTGTGGATGCCGCGGAGGGAGTTGATGGGGATGGTAGAGCTGGGCCCGTAGTCAAGGATTAAGGCCGCGCCAGAGGGTGTGCGTTTTGCTGAGGTAAATGTTGAGCTGGGAGTGGTGGAGGAGGAAGAGCCCCCGATGAGGGTGGCGATCGTGGAAGCGTAGGCGAGAGATTCGGGCGATATTTCAATGACGGAGCCTGGGGCTTGCGATAGTATCGCACGGTAGCGGGGAGATATGGCTGGGAGATAGAGACTGTGCGGTGTTGGGGCGGAGGAAAGGGTAAGTTGGAATTCAGGGGCTGAATCAGAGGAGGAAGTTCCTACAGTGGGGGGCGGCGGGGCGGGCGAGACGACCATTTCGCGCCATTGAGGTCCTTTTTGGGCTTCCTTTTTGGCTGCTGAGGGAGAGAGAGGGTGTGATCCCGTTGGTGTCTGAATGGTGGATTCCGAATTAAGAGGAGGTGGCGGGATGGATTGGAAGGCGTGTATCGGGAGGGCGTCGAAGAACTCGTGAGCGACGATGAAAGGAGTTTTGTCTTGGTCTAAGTCTCGAGTTAGATGATGGCGAGAGGTACCGTAGAGGAATTTACCTGAGGGGACGAAACGTATATTTTCTGTCCATATGATAGGGATATTGGCATACTTGCTTATACTCTGATGGCCAATGGAGGTTTCTGTAATGGGGGCATCGCCGCAAAGTAGCTGTTTTTGGGCTTCTCTAAGTGCTGGGCTTGCTTCTACCAAGTATACGGCTTCAATACTTGATGCCATTGGTTTGAAGTTCCGTATTGTCTATATATATACTGTCAGCAAGCAATCACGTAGAAAATTAGGCCTTGAACTCAAGCATACCCGCAGCATATCATCCATCAGCGTCCCTCTTCCAGGACCTATCTCGACGAGCTCCACGCCCTTGCTTTTCCGTCCCTGTGCCATCCATTCCGCCACAAACCAGATACCAATGAGCTCTCCAAAGACTTGTGATATTTCAGGCGAGGTAATGAAATCCCCCTTCTGGCCGAATTGGTCTCGGCCGTCTTGCTTCGAGGTATAATAACCGCCTACATCAGATGTGAGGCACATCCGCATGAATGATGCCAGCGGGGTGGGTCCAGTCGCCTGCACATAACATCAGTTAAGATATATAAGCTATTAGAGCCCGGAGACGTACTGTAATAGCTTCTGAAAGCTGTTTTGCTAGGGGCGTTGACCATTGTCTATCTTCAGACGAGGACCATCTTATCGCAGCGCAAGGAGCTCTACATTTCCAGCGCGACGCATTGCGCAAAGCATTGCGTCCCTGATATGATATTATAGACCTCATATTGGCCGATTTATGATGCTACTGGGGCATTTCCTGTTGTAGGTAGAATTTGTACCTGAATGTTGTGAAGCCTGCGAGATGTGGTGGTCGAGCTCCAAAATTTATTTCTTGACCATGACGGACCTCGTTCCACCACAAATACCTAGCATCCGAACAACAACTACGATGTCAACCAAACCGAAGTCCCGATGGGCGGACGACGAAGAAGATGCAGCTTTAGATGCGCAACGCAAACGGGAGAAAGAAGAAAGGAAGCGTCTAAAGGCTGAGAAACAGCGCAAGGCGGAGGAAGCTGCCCAGCTTGCCAAGCAGCAACAGGAACAAGCAGCGGAAGAGGCAGAGGCACAACCGCACCAGAGAGAGCTTTCCTCGAGGCCAGCGAAACGGCGGAAATTATCTCCAGAACGTGAAGCGGTTGCGCGGGAAGAGCTACCGCCTGCGAAGCTATTACGGTTCCCAGCGCCAGGATGGAAGAAGTGCAGGAGTGTGGAGGACTACGAAAAGCTGAATGATATCGAGGAGGGTGCTTATGGATGGGTCTCACGGGCAAAAGATACAGCTACGGGGAAGGTAGTTGCGTTGAAGAGACTGAAGATGGAGAATGCACAGGATGGAATACCTGTTACTGGACTGCGAGAGATACAGACCTTAATGGACTGTGATCATCCGAATATTGTAGCTCTGAGGGAAGTGGTTGTGAATGAAGACGCGAGTAGGATTGAAAGGTACGTATCCCGTCTCTTTTCCTGGTGGATGGATTATCCATATATAAATGCAGACGCTGACATATGGATGATAGCATCTTCCTCGTCCTTGACTTCCTCGAACACGACCTGAAAACCCTCCTCGAAGATATGAGCGAGCCCTTCCTAACCTCGGAAGTCAAAACCCTCCTTCTTCAGCTAACCTCCGGCGTTGCGTACCTCCACGATAGCTGGATCCTTCACCGCGATCTCAAAACTTCCAACCTCCTCCTTAACAACCGCGGCGTCCTTAAAATCGCAGATTTTGGCATGGCCCGCTACTTTGGCGACCCGCCACCAAAGATGACTCAATTAGTAGTAACACTCTGGTACCGCGCTCCTGAACTCCTCCTGGGCGCCGAACGCTACGGAACCGCAATAGATATGTGGAGTATCGGGTGCATATTCGGTGAGTTGCTGACCAAAGAGCCACTATTACAAGGGAAGAACGAAGTGGATGAACTATCCAAAATCTTCGAACTCTGCGGAATCCCTACAGAAACAAGTTGGCCTAGTTTTAGGCGTCTTCCAAATGCACGCTCCCTACGACTTCCCAAGAACCCCGTCGCGCAGGGCTCTGTGCTTCGCGCGAAATTCCCATTCCTTACTTCGGAAGGGAGTAGGTTGCTGGTTGGTTTGTTGAGTCTGAATCCCGAGAAGAGACCTAGTACAAAAGAGATGCTGGATCATCCATTCTTTAAGGAGGATCCTAAGCCGAAGAATAGAGAGATGTTCCCAACGTTTCCAAGTAAGGCGGGGCTAGAGAAGAGGAGAAGGAGGGGCACGCCCAATGCACCTGGCAGAGGCAAGGCGAGAGAGATTGGGGAGGTGGATTTTAGAGGTATTTTTGGTGGGAGGGAAGAGGAGGAGAAAGGTGGCGGATTTGCTTTGAAGTTGATCTGAGTTTGAGCTCTGACATTGTAGGTAACTTTAGAAGTCTCTTGCTCGAAAAGAGAATTAGAGCCTATTGCACGGACAAGTGAGTATATCGGAAGATTTGATTAATCTCTCATTTCATTATTTATCCATACGTATAAATTGCATGTTGCCGCTATCTATGCAAGAAACCCATCCGCAAAATCCAAAACACCAGCTGTCCAACCGATCCCACAGTAAGGAGTGTGTCCCAGAGGATGTCCCTCTGAATTAAATAATTCGTATCAAATTACACCAATCCAAACTTCCATATTTCCTCGCGGCCTGTAAAGCATCATCAATCTGCTCGTTCATAACTGCGACTTCTACCAAATAACCTGTAGTCCAGTAACGAACCACGTAAAGCTAAACACAGTGAGCACTCCCATTCCGAGGACCATGCCCAATGCCCTCCTCTCCGTGTCGCTCAGCGCCCCACTACAGGTCGCGCACCTGTATCCGGGTGTCGGTTCACTATACGGCTGCTTGGTGTACATGCCAAAGGTATACTGATTATAGGGAGCAAGATAACCGGGTTCCGGGGGTGCTGTCATTTCGGTGTCTGCATCGTAAATAATCAGCGTATAAATACCAACGATTAGCGGCGATGCAATAGCAGTCGTTTGGTATGCCCCCGTGTCCCAGTAGACGGTGTTCGTAGCATTTGAGACGGTTTGATTTGAGGCTATGGTATAAAGTTGGGAGTTCGTAGTACATGTTGCCATGACATTCACCGCTTTGGGCGTCCCCAGTAGGGAGGTGTAGTTCCATGCGAATGTGACCCAATCATCGACTTTGTAAAATTGAGGTCCTGCCGTGATGGCCGGTTCTAAGAGCGAGACGCCGCCTGGACGGATTTGGGGGTCATACTGTGTACGGTATGTGGTAGAAGAGCTATTGCCATCGGAAGTGTCCGAGTCGCCCTTCGTAGGCGCGGCGGTTATGGAACCAGTCTTGGAGCCGGTGCGGGACGGCGAGACACTTCCCGACTTAGATGGTAAACTACTGCCGGATTGAGATTTGTTGTCGCCCGTGGATTTTGGAGATGAGTTGCCAGTTTCTGTTGGTGCAGGTGGCGAGGGAGAATCTGGGAGTGTCAGTCAGTATAGTATCCCTTGGATGATGAGCTGGATCTGCCGTATTGTGCGTACCTGACGGGTCTGCTCTGACTACCAACGTATCCAAGTCTGGTAACCATCGGGGCCATGGCCATGCCGCGGTAAATGTGGCGAGGAAAAGGAGAATTATCGAATACAACTGTAACCTTCCCGAGGCCCTCATGGTGGATATAGTTTCGTGCTTGTTGACCCCCTTGAAATCGCTTAAACCCCTCCAAACCTCCGTGTATCAGTCTTTGAAAACGTCGAATGGTATTGCAGACTCAGCGAATAAATTATCGCGTCGAGAAGTAAGACTTCTGGAGTTGTGATATCGAGAATCTGGAGCCTCCGTTCGAATTAGACACGACTCCCCATATGTTGCGTTGCCCGAGAAGGGGGCCCACTCACCCGAGCGGAATGCTGCTGCTGCTCTCCTTGTCCTTCTCCTTCTCCGTCTCCTTAATAATATGCACAAACGGCCGAACGAGTGAGGCCCTCTGGGGTATTACAAACGAGGGAATGAGAAAAGGCGATAGTAGCGAAGAAAGGCCAAGATGACGACGGTGCAGAGCGAAGAGAAGCAGGAGAGTCGAGGAGAGGAGAGGGAAAATTGGCTGCTTCTAGAGGCGGTGCATGGGCCACGGTGCAGGGGGTGGCATTGGTGATCGGTGATCGCTCGTATTGTTGTTGATGGCACAAGCAAAACACAAGGAAGCACAAGGAAGCACCACCAAGCACCAGCATGGGCACTCGGAAACTCCACACGACATGAGAACGACGAGTACTAGCAGGGTGCGTACGATACTAATACCGGTATTCAAAATAAATAATAATAGCGTGCAAAGTACGAAGTATCTAGTCTTTTCATTCGTCCTGGTGCGTGGTCTACAACAGAACTCCCGGAATGGCAGCGTTCTATTTTTAGATCGCCACGGCTACCGTCAAGTCTCCGCCCGAAAACAACAAAAAACACATCGAGGCCAAAGTATCTTGTTATTCTTATCTTGTTCTATGCATACATTTCCTCATTTCTACAGAACATGCTCCTGACTACTGGGTATCGATATCCCAAATTGCGTCAGGAAGCAATTGCGTTCATTCCCTCCCCAGCCGCCAAAGCCTGACGTAGATGTAAGAAAATTAGTGTTGATAGATTGACTCCATGAACAATATGTATTCTCTAGCCGAGTACCTGTCGTTTGGGCTCGTTTAGAGTTGATTGAAACCGCGCTTCGAAGAATCGGCACGTAGCTATCAAGATGCCACCACCCAGCCCCTTCTCATACAGAATGATCACCAAGCCATGAATTTAGACCACGGGTAGGAGCTTCAAACTTGTATAATTGAGAATATGCATTTCTATCTATGTGTATGATTCTTAAATCTCTCATACCTAAACACCTCTGTATCTCTAGATACGATAGATTGTCACTGGCCTGCGAGATTTGTTCGCCCGACTCCCCTTACCCAGAAAAATAGTACAGGTAATAGCACGGCCTTAGATCGCCAAAATACACCCATATCAGTCAACTCCTCTTTTGACCCAGCTCGACATCCCCCTCAAACTCATCCCAATCATCCCAATCTCTGCCAAATCCACCAAGTTGCCTCCCAACCCAAATACCGGCCGCAGTGCCAAAACTCGCAACCAAAAACCAACCATCAAACCACCGCTCCACAAACCCAGGCTCTAATGGACTCCCGAGTGCCTCGCTTACCACACTCTTCATCTCCGTGGGCAGATTACTTCTCAACAGCAAAGCACTAGAAATTACGTAGGTAGCGCAGATCTGCGCGATGATAAGGGCAAAATTGGCTTGGGCTTGGTAGAGAAGGGAGGGCGAAAGTTTGGTAAGCATGTGGAATGTCTGTAGCACGCTGTTGAAGGAAGCGATGAGAATGATACCGGAGAGGAGGAAGGATATCTGGCGCGACCAAGCAAGCTGGTCGAGTGTTGGGTCCACATGCTTGGCGAGTAATGAGAGAATGCGGTTAATTGGGTCTGTAGTGGATGAAGTGAAGGTCGAAGGGTCGGGAGAGTAGACGAGGACACGACGGAGGGTTGAGAGCGAGGTTGTGAATATCCGGTAAACGCAGTATAGGGAAAATGCGTATGAGGTTGGCGTTAGGAGGAGCCTTCCTATGGGAGAGGATGCCCGTTGGTTGGATGCAAACTGATTTTGTAGTAGGGCGAGAGAGGCCGAGAGGCTCAGTGCCATGGAGCTGAGGCCTGATATTTCAAGCTGTAGAGCTTTCAGCTCTTGTGTATCTGGCGTACCGCGGATGCTTCCAATCATCTTCGACATAAAGCCTTCTGAAGGAGCTTCCTTAATTTTGCGTTGCAGGGCACGGAGTCGGCTGCGTTTGGCGGCAAGCATATCATTCGTGGCATCGAGGCCGGCTTGCTTCCGAGCCACATCTGCTTCGGTCACCCGTTTGGGTTTTGCCCAAAATGTCTGCCAGGGGTTGGACACTGCCGCAAAGCCAGATAGGAGAGCCATCAAAGAAATTCCAATAATGCCAACTCTTTCAAGGCATGCTTCGCCCAAGCCTTTACCTGATTGAGACGCCATAGTGTGTATATATGTCCCCGGTACTCCTTTCCCCAGCCACCAGAACGCCGCAATCCATGTTGTGAAGCCTATTATTTGTAGGAGCCATGGAGTTCTCGGTATCTTCTCATTCTCAGCTCGCTGAAAGCTCCAACCAAAACCAGACACTATGGATTGTAACTCGAGGAACGGTATTAAGACGACTAATAAGAACAGAAGTGTTGGTATAACTGCTTTGAGGGCGAACGCTCGTACAGTGGGATTCAAGGTATTCGAGATTTCGCAGAGGATCAACTCCGCAAGAACAGCAGCGAGTGATATTGTCGCTGAGAAGGCAATAGCGACGATGCGGCGCCTCCCTATTCTCGCACTGTGTTCTGTGTGCTTCTGGCGCAAGCTTGGGGGCGCGTCGCTCGGCAGATAGTGGCCGTCTTCATCCTTGGGTTGCGAGGAGCCGGAGACTAGAGGAAACAGCTTATGGAGGACCAGGAGACTGACGACGAAGAACGTTACGACCAGTGGGATGGACGAGAAAGCGATTGTCGAAAGGGAAGAGGACGGTAGGGCGCGACTGCGATATCCTGGCGCCACGCAGGCATCATCATCACATTTGTCTGGGTTGGAAGGCAGCATTGGAGGTTGACCAGAGCCGAATCAGTGGGCCGTGATCACATTGTATTGTGTTGTGGTGTGGTGTATTGTATAATACTCCGATTAAGTATTGCAGTGTTTGTTGAAGCTGGATGGACAGATCAGGTACGTAGCACAGGAGTACGAATGTACTGTGCCGAGGAAGCAATGCGAGGTGCCGCAAGTTGAAGATGCGGTGGGGATGAAGCGACGCTTGTTCCATTGCTCGCTGGCTGCGGATTGGAATTCGTCATCTCTCGATAAGACTTCCCATCGGATTGCCCTGCTTCGGTGCCTGAGGCTGTAGATACGAGTACCTGGGCATAAGCATGATCAGGGGTTCGCCCCTTACCCAGTGCTTAATTGATCCACCAGGTGGCTAGTGGAAGTATAAACCTTGTTTCGTGAGCGATACGGACGTACAGTAATACTAAGAGAAATGGTTATTTTACCTCCGTGCAATACTGTCACTAGCAGTAGTGCAGATATACAACCTATACTTGGAACCTCGAGAAGGCGAACTGCCAGTTTTGCATCTGAAACGATAGGCATTACGAAAGGCATCATTTCGGGTACCAAGCCAAACAAGTGTCTTCGCCACTTCACCGACTTGCACAATACCCATTAGAAAATCGGCAGCCTTATTAATCTAGTAGTCTACAACTAGCGGTAGAAGGCCAGATCCAGGTAGCATAAAACAGCAATACAAATTGGGGGTATTCGAAAACTAGCAGTACACGACGCTCGGGTATCTGTATATCACCATCCACTTCCTAGTGACAGGAACGCCATCTAACGCCTGGAACGTACACTTGATGATCGAATCAATGGTCCTGGAACGAAACAAACCCGGTATTTCTCTCACCCAGATAAACCTATTTTAATATTAAAGAGCTCAAGCTGCTACGCCAGTAGCGGCGGAAGACATGGGAGTGGGGAATGTAATGCCGCTAGTATCGAGGTCGTCATCTTGGGCGGAGTCTTCATCCCCATCCATATTCAGAAGTTGAAAGCGGTTCATTAGAGAGGCACCTTTTTTCTTCTTTGGTTGGTTATTTTCCCTTCGATACTGTTGGGGTCGCTCGAGGGCTGCTGCACATTCGTCGTTATCCCAGTCAATTTTAGATCCTTTGTATGTACTAATAACGTTAGAAGTCTAGTTAGCAAATGAATGAGGAGCCACTCACGTGCGACTCATCATGCAGGTACGGGCAAACATTGCATTGTGTACAGAGTTTGTGGATATATGTGCATTGTGGCCATTAAAAGTGACTTTGATGACGACCAGATTATGGATGTGCTCAAGGTCATCCCGGATGGTCTCCTCGGTATGTCTTGGACTACGATTCTGGATGACCAAGTTCCTTGTCGCACCAATGGCTATCTTGTTCGCAACATGGCCGGGCAAGATAAATTGGCGATCATTCCATCGGATTTCAACCTACGAGTCGTTAATCGTCAGAAACAATAGCCTGTGGGCGATGCTACGTACCCTTTTGCCTCGTAGGTAGAGATCATGTCGCTTGACGTGTTGGAAGAACTCTTGAGCATGAGCTTCTTCCAGGAATGAGACACTTGCTGCTCGGTCATGGACACGAAGATATACGTCTAGCAGCATGCCTCCTCGAACAACATCTACAATGTCGGAGTAACTGGTTGAATCTGCGAGGTTGCATAGCTGCACGGTCCGCTTGGCAAACTTGTCATATGTTGGGCGCTGGGGCCTGGTGTGCGAGTCATTATTGCCACTACGTTCATCATAATATCCATCTGGGATATCGGGTACAAAAGAAACATCATCGTTCGTCTGGCAGCGGCCGTAAAAAACATTGGGGTCTCGTCGGATGTCACTATTTCGGGGCGTATAGTTGGCACCGCGTCCGAATGTGTAATCTTGGCCGCCATTACCCTGGATTGTTGACACTGGTTGTTGAGTTAAAATGGCACCGCCACCTTCCGAGGTCTCGTCGGCCGTTGACTGGATCGCGGATGCCTCGTTCTCGTTGGCCGAAGCATCATCCTTGACCAAGATCTAGACAAACATCGGATTTGATCAGGACAATAAACAGAAGACATGGAGGAATGTGGTAACTAACAGCCAGAGTTTCTTCCGTTATGCCGCCTCTGTAAAGGTTACGTCGGAGATTGGCTATCAGACTAGTCAACCAACAATGGATCCACATATATAGGTTCTAGCCGGAGATAAGCTGTGCTATAGAGCATGCATACCATGCTGATGGGCAACCGTCAACTGTCATTATTGTAAGCAGATACTAATTGGAGCAGGGGCTTGCGGATCTTATCGTACGAGGCTATCGTGATCAGCTTTTGGTATGGTCACGGTTGGCACATGAACAGGAGTAGCAAAGTCGACGCCAGTTGTATGCTAGATTCGGAACCGTTAGAACAAATAAAGAATGCCCAGTGAAACATGGCGGTGAAGCATGGACATACAAACTGGGCCCTGATAAGTGGGGTAGGCTGTTAGCATCGGAACCAGAGCCAAGAGAGCACGCACATCCAACAGCTCCAAAGCTGAGGCTGTGGGGATCGGAGGAAGTCACCTTCTTAGCAAAGTCTCAAAGTAAGCTTTTTCGAGTGTCACAGTTGCGGAGGCCATAGTGTACAAACAGCTATTCCTGCCACAGTCAAGTCGCAGCTAGAATAGTCCTGAGTTTGAATCTGGGGACGAAAATGTGCTGTTGGTGAAATGAAACTCGCCCAAGTTCGACGGGCAAGGATACGACCTTCGCTTAAAAGCATGGCGGTTAGATTTAGCGCCCTGCCGGTCTAACCCCAGCTCGTTAGCGGCGCCAGCGAATGTTTTGGTCGCAAATCGGGACGTGAGCTCGCGTAGTCAGCAGCTGCAACGCAGATCTCTGGACTTCATACGGAGTACACTATATACAGTACTATAACGCAAGACATCTCCACTCTTGTGACTACTATTCGCGAAGAATCCTCCATTCCCTGCAATGACGGTAGCAGACTACCGGTATGTCTGTTACTCGTCCCAGAGCAGAATAGTGAGATTATTTGCTACCTTATCGATTACGCCGAGCCAAGGGGGGTTGTGACTGGTGATCATGAACGACCTTGATATCCAAGAATGTCCACTCAAATACACGTGTCGACTGAAGATAGACTTCATAGAAACCGAACTTTTCGGCATGGCCGTTTCGGGACGACGTCGACACTGCCCTAAAAATCCCGGTTACGGCTCAGTTATTGAAGACAAGGCCATTCATTAGTTGAAGGCTTCTCGTTGCATCCCTTCATCAACCAGCTCCTCGGTGATGGGCTTATTGCAGGGTACTTGGACTATTAATCTAGCCCATAGAATTACTGCTGCGTGGAACTCGAACCACCCATGCTGTCCACGGATGGTTGGTCATGCTGGTATCCACAGCTTCAAGTCCCTCTCAGTATCATCGACTTCCGAGCGCCGACCCCAAGTTCTTATTCGGAAGCGAAATTGGGCACAGTGTAGCCAAATCCCTAGTAGGGACTTGCGTATTCCTAGCAGAATTCCAATTCCGCGTATCAAGTGAGAAAATTGTCGGTTCTCGAATCTCTATACTTCATTTTTTAAGTTGGATAAAAATGTTACAATATTAGTACTAGTTTTTGTTCGTTCGTATGCGTCGGCTTGCTGGTTCTGGAGCCTCTGGAGGGCAATCCATAAATTCCTAAGTAGGTAGCTAGGCGTCTTCGTATTGTTTGTGCGACACTGTACTCCTGGTATATTCTGTTAGCAGCTCTCTGTCCCGTGAAGTCATCGGGTACCGGTATATATAAGCGTCTACCAAATTATATTCTCAGGCTTTGGATTGCATACTGCCTGCTGGGTATTTGTTTCTCCTTCAAATTCTAGCATCGCGGAGCTGATCTCGCTATAGTATTGTTTATAGTTGCGCAAAATTCAACATAATACCCTCATGGCGGAGTATGCTGTCTATTTTCAAGTATGCTCCTCACCTACTTCTGGTTTATTTTGAATAATCTCGGCCACACGCCGTCAGGAGAAACACCCCATATTTGATCTAGGGGATGAAATGATAAACGCAATTTATTCAATTAACTTTAATCCTTAAACCCAACGTGACCCACAGGGGTTTGCAGTGCATAGTACGAGATTGGATAGCGGTAGGGACTATGCGATGCTGCCAAAATTATGTTGCGGAAGTAGCCAGCCAAGTTAAAGATCAGATTGACGGATGTTTCGATTTGGCTGAGGATTGGGAACATTTTGGTTAAACTTAAATGGAGAATCGTTTGCAGTGTAAAATATTTCTGGAAGCAGAAAACCTTGGATATAGAATTTAGGTATAAAAAATAATAAATGGACCAATTAGAGAGCTCGAGGAGCGAGCGAGATAATGGTTCTCGCCGGTCTTTCTTTGTGTGAAAGACAGCTCACGTGACCCACGACACACACCATCAATCCCTTAACCGAATTTCGAGTTTTTGACCCCTCCACAATTTTTCCACGACAGCACTTAAATCGAATACCAGCAGCATGAGTGCCTTTCAGAACGGCGCCGCTCCGCCGAGAGCTATCGACAATGACTCAGATGTAGAGGAGGAGGCCTTAGCCGCCGACTACAGGGAGCAAGTTCAGTATGAGGGAATGGAGGAGACTTCGATGACAATGGCACAACAGACGGACGACATTCAATCAAGACTTGCAGCGGCCGCGCAGCCCTTGGATTTTTCCGCGCCTCTCGAGGTCAAGTTCGCGAGTTATGACAATTACTGCAGCTTATTCCACTTCATTTTGAACTCGGATGGACCTGTTGACTTGGAACCTCCTTCGGTGCGCCCCTCCAACTTTACCAAACGGTAGTTTTCAATGCTAATGGTCTTAGTACTACTGGGCTTGGGATGTCATCGATGAATTCATCTACCAATTCAACTCTTTCTGCTCCTACAGAAATCGAGCTGCGCGTCAGGGGACCAATAGCGAGGAGATCCAGATTCTCCGGGAGGCGCCAAACACATGGGGCTGCTACAGCGTCTTGAACGTCCTGTACTCCCTCATTCAAAGATCTCAAATCACCGAACAACTTGCAGCTATGAAGCGCAACGAGGAACCTATGGCAGTGGCAGGAGATTACGGATCAAAGCCCATATACAGAATGTTGGGATACTTCTCCATCATTGGCCTCTTGAGAGTCCACTGCTTGTTGGGAGATTTCAGTCTGGCGCTGAAGACTCTCGATGACATTGAGCTCAATAAAAAGGCAATGTTCGCACGGGTCATGGCTGCGCATTTCACCACGTATTACTATGTGGGCTTCTCATACATGATGATGCGACGATATGCCGATGCTATTCGCATGTTCAGCCACATCCTGATCTATGTTTCACGGACAAAGAACTTCCAGAAGAATGCGCAATACGACTCGATCACGAAGAAGAACGATCAGATGTATGCGTTGATCGCGATCTGCGTGGCTTTCCTCCCCACCAGACTCGATGACACCATCCACACCGCGTTGCGCGAGAAGTATGGCGACCAGCTCTTGAAGCTTCAGCGAGGTGGACCAGAGTCGCTCCCCATCTTTGAAGAGCTGTTCCGCGCGTCCTGCCCCAAATTCATCTCGCCAACGCCTCCAGATTTCGACAACCCAGAGCTTAATGTCGACCCCCTTGAGCACCACCTTGCCATCTTTATGGACGAGGTCAAGACAAACATGTGGAGCCCAACCGTCAAGTCATACCTTCGACTCTACACCACAATGGATTTGAAGAAGTTGGCTGGCTTCCTCGAAGTCGAGCCGGAAAAGCTGAGGAACTGGTTGCTCGTGAACAAGCAAAGGAGCAGACAGATTAGATGGACGGACAACGGGCTCTTAGATGGCGAGGTCGTCGGTTCGGGAGATTTGGATTATGCCATGCAAGGAGTAAGAGCTGTCCTGCGTAGTGAGACGATCGGAAGGCGTGCTAACATATTTGCTTTTAGGACTTGATCCATATCTCAGAAGCGAAAGTAGGCCGTAAATTAGTGGACTGGTACCTTCGAAACCTCGCCCGAACATACTAAGCGGATTCCGATTTCAGGTTGGGATACGGGGGGTTGGGGGTTGAATTTTGCATGGCTTGGCGTAAGGGATGACTTTTGTGTCAATGTCAAGTGGGCAACATGCCGTGACGGGGTTGACGACTCACACGAGAGTTATAGTTTATAGTTATAGTTGCTTTTAAACCCCCGGGAACTAGAAACGGAATGCAGCGCCTGCACTGCATGTATCTTAAAAAGAAATAAAAGAAATGAAGAACCTCCCAGAGCGCAGAATCAGGCGAATCCCGCAGCCTTGGTTGGGGCTGAGAGGTCGACGGCGTGCAAGGCTGGGAAGCAGAAACACGGCTGACTGAAGCTGCGCTGATGTGCGGGTATCTCATGGTGCTTTGTCCCACCACCTCTATCTTGACCTAACCCACAACCCGCAACCTCTCCTCACTTCAACCTGCACTATTGACGTCGGAGTATCGAGACTCACCTTACCGCGACGGAAACATATACATCTGAGTGTTATGCAACGATACCCCGGGTTACGCCGTTTGTTATCGCAAGGCTTGATCTGATCTCGCCACGGCTGCCGTGCCTTCGAGTGCTGCGAAAAGAACTTGGCATCGAAGGGCAGCCCTGGCTGTCCGCAATCCCAAAGCTATCCTTCGTTCTCAACTCTCTATTATTCCCTCCTCGGCCCGCGACAATCACCAATAGATGCATATCCGTCGGATCTTCGCGCCAGCAGTCTTCGCAGACTCCGCCGACGTCACCGACCTGAGCTTGTGGAGGGGTATTACTTAGAGATGTCTTCGACTTCTGCGTCACCTTCACCGTCACCCTCATTGCAATCATCGCCCTCGTCGCGCCGCGCCGAATCTCCCAGCTCTCCTGTATCACCCGTGGGCCCCGCTGCTCAGGATACGTATGTCGTATCTCCCCGTCTGGATCCTATCATCGAACACGTTATCGCAGACCATTCCCGTCCGATCGAGCGGTCGGGCTCCATCAGCAGCATCACATTCAAGCCTTCGTCGCGGGCTGGATCGTCATCGCCCACTGGCCAGCCCAAAGCAACGCCTCGTTCTCGGATTAGGGATGCATCTCCGCCGCCGCCATCGTAAGTCCTGTCTGTCCATGTCCATGTCCTGCTCCTTCTTGCGTGTTGGGTTTTCAATGTGCACACCCCGAGGCCAGCAGTCCAAGGTCGCGACGGAGAATAATGCGGACGGCGCCGGCAATAAGTGTGAAATCCCGAACGGATCTAATTATCCCACACTCTCCACTCTTCCCACTCCACACCACTCCAGAGTCCAGACCAGCAGCGCCTCAGCCTTGAATTCGCTTATTCCTTTCCTTATTACCTTATCTGCTGCTGCGGCCGGAGTTGAGTGACGCGGTTGCAGCTGGCGGGTGACCGAAGACCATCTGCGTCGTCCAACCCCACTCGCCCACGCCGCCGCTGCTGCTGCTCCCTCGTGCCCTCTCACGTCGCGCATGTACATGTGCACTCTATTCTCTCGGGCACTTCTGCTGGTGCTTCATTGATGTTCCAGCTGCATTTTCCCGCTTGTTTTATTTTCTACATATCCTCCACGGACAATGGTGCTGACAGAGGATTCCGATAATAGTAGATTTCAGCGCCATGTATCCTTCGACAACTTTGCCGGCGGGGAGCCGACGGAGAATAATACCATATCGTTCACACTCAATGTCAAGCATAAAGGCTACCAATTCAAAAGGCGATCGCGGACGTTTCTAGTTGGCATAGATGAGCATGATTACTCGGATATCGCATTACAATGGCTTTTGGAGGAGCTGGTGGACGATGGGGACGAGATCATCTGCCTCCGGGTGATTGATAGAGGTTCCAAAATCATTAGTGACCGGAATTTGGAGAGAAGACAGTATCAGACGGAGGCCAAGGAATTGTTGCAGCGCATACAGCAGAAAAATGACGATAACCGGGCCATTAGCATTGTTTTGGAGTTTGCGGCAGGCAAGGTTCATGCGACTTTTCAGAAGATGGTGAGTGCAGAAAGATGACTAACTGGATGGATGTTCGGGCTTATACTGACATAGACCCTATCAGATTCAAATCTACGAACCCGCCATGCTTATTGTCGGTACCCGAGGTCGAAGTCTTGGGGGAGTTCAAGGACTTGTCAGCAACCGTAATTCGTTTTCGAAATGGTGCCTCCAATACTCGCCCATACCGGTCGTCGTGGTTCGCCCTACCGAGAAGAGGATGAAGAAGAAAAGCAAGAGAGATGCGGATCCGACCCGACACGATTACGCCCGGATATTGCGAGATAGCGGAGTAGAACGGCATGAGACCGAGACGGGTTCGGGTGTTGTGGGGTTCGACATATTTAATGAACCGGATATAGAGGCGCATGCTGTCGCAGCTGCCCTCGGTCTCCCGGCGGCTTTTGACCCTACGCTCAAACCATACCAGTATTCAGCAAGCCATCCGTTGCAGCAAGTCGGATCCAGCACCAGCGATGTCACGAATCTCCGTCTCTCTCCAGATTCCCGCTCCGCAAGCCCGACGTCTGCCCTCAAGAGTCCAAAGTCGGTGCAGCTTGACAGTCCCGCCATATCCGACGATGGGTCTAGCGAACGAGACGAAGACGAGGATGGCGATGGTGATGGCGATGGCGATGGTGATTTCGAGGCTGTGCCTGGGCAAACGCTTCTGGGCAACGATGAAAATCCGCAGGTCGAGAAGCAGAAGAAGTTACACGCAATGGAGGTTGGCGAGGCGGCTGCTCTTCTCGCGCCAAGTGCTCGGAAAGCGAGTGTCGGCAGTGGAGATAGCCCTTTGGCATCGCTGGAGGGAGTTTCTGTTTCTCGTGAGGATGACGACGAGGATGAGAATGAGAATGAATGACAGGCGATGGGGTATAGAGATGAGTGCTAAGGGAGACTTTGAGAGGGGACGACTGTGTCTAGTTGTTTGATATGAGAGTCCTGATACCACTGTTGCAAAGTTGCGAACAAGCACGCCGGAGTAGGTAGGAACTTAATTATTGGCTGGCAGTTATGACTAAATGAGAAATCTTGCGGTTAACGTTTATCTATCCTTCCTTTCGTTCGTGTGTGTCTTTTACGGTGAACAACATGGGTACCTTACATACCTAAGGTATGGAATGAGCATATCAAGCAACATGAAATGGCAAACTTTCCGTATCCGAAAGCAAACGCCTAGGAGTTTTTGATATCATGGCGCGGGTTGATTTGATACTACAATAGCTATTTCTTCCTAGTGTGTAAGGACTCTTAATCAACGGATGAAAAGCAACGACACCTATACATATTCATGGCCAGGGGAGATATACAATATATAGATATATCAATGAGGCCAGCAAGAAATGGCTATGCAGGGAACAGTCCAAGAACCCCACCGCTCCCCCTTGACCAAGCCACGTCTCCTTCTCGTCGGCATTATTATTTCGTATTCCCCGTACGATGCCCAATCAAGTCATAGGTGTCGCAGGGGAGATTCCGGAACCAGCTGGCTGGGATGGGTAGCCTGACGATGTACTTCGTACAGGTCAGCCTCCTCCGGGTCCTATCGATAAACTGCAAACCAGCCACGTGCAATGGGTTTCCAAATTCCTCGTTGACAGCCGCTTTTGGGGAGCCGGTAGACCGAGACCTATTAAAGTCACAGCAAGGAGAGGCTAAAGGAGAATATGCTCTCCTTGGTATTCTATACCGGTATACGAAGCACCAACCTTATCTTCATCCGGAAAAGTACGGGAACAGAAAGCTACTCGGCAGCTCAGACTTGCAACACATGCATATCACAAGCTATTTGACTTTTATCGGGCCATGTCACAAGTCTAGTTGATTTAAACCTCGCATAACACATACTGCCAAGCGATGCGATGATATCAACACAATATTATCATTATTATTACAAGCCAAGAACAAGGCGGTTGCTCGGGATATTGCCAGATACCGAATAGTCCGCCGCAAAGTCCGGGTTGCCGAAGCGCGAAGAATTGTGCATTCGTTTAGTTCGTACTCCGTACTCGTATCTTAGGACATGTACCTTCGTACCTTCGTACTCCGTATTCGCACCTTAGCCAGTCGTACGCCGTATTCGTAAACAGCGCATTCTTAAATCCGTCTACTCCGTACTCCGTCCGTCCGTTGACAAAGCCGCCGTTAGTTACTTGGTCGATCAGAGCTCTATCATTGTCATTGATTGGTAAACGAACGAGCAACGGGATGTTTTTTGTTGATTAATCAGATCACATTCGCCATCAGGCAAACATATCGGCTCCGGACAGACTCTACACCCACCTACGAAGCATGGCACCAAAGATGCCGCCATATGACTCTTTGCGGTAGAGCGGTTCTAGAATGTAGATCCGCTCCGAGCCATTAAACTTGCACCCTGGAGCTTGGTTTTCGAGTGGAACCGGGACCAAGAAGAAAAAGCATCGCGAACAAGTTTCGTTTCTAGTGCCGGAATCGCGGAGACGGTATGCTGCCGCACCTGCCACCTGTGCTTGTGACTCTGTTTGCTGTCCTCAGTCCTGCGTCGAGGCTTTTATGCCTGCGAGAAATTATCGTGACCACCGACCACCGACCACTGACCACCGATCGTCGGGGTCATGAGCAGCGCTTTTTCCGCTGGGTAACTGGAAGATGCGGCAAGTGGAGGTCATCGTTTGCAAGAGCAAAGACTTGGCCAAGCACAAAAGTGCAAAAGTACTGGACAATAATACTATACGGCGAGAGGGGTTTATGTTATCTCCGGAGCATGGTCGTTGTCCGTGTCCAGCACGGCGGTAGGCCGGAAGCGGAAACATGGGACGAAGGAGGAGGTTAAGGTTGAACGAAGGTTCTTCCAGGCTGGCCGAGACATCGCGGGTGTTGTCGTGTGTATCGTGTGTCGTGCACCGTGTATCGTGTATCACTCCTCCCTTCCCGCATCCCGCCCTTCTGCACGATTTCCAGTTTCATCTCCTGGCTGCCTGATGACGGAGGGGATGGGTTGATTGATTACAGTACAGGCCCAATGCTGTTGGGCGTACGTGGTTGAGATGCTGCGGCAAGCACTGGCAGTCTGGAGTCAGGATGGCTGATACATGTACGTTGGCTGATACGTTGCAAGAGGACGGCGCCTGCTTACGTGCGCGGCGGTGCATACGAAGGTGCCAAGTGCGAAGTGCGAAGGGAAGTCCCCGACTCCCCGACTGCCTGGCTGGCTAATTCCCGTTGGTTTCTGTTTCTCATCCTGATGGAGAGCAACCTGGCCGCATTGTTTATTTCAGGCTGCCCAATTTCCTTTTCGTCACCGGTCCAACGTGGCAATTCACCATTCAATATCCGGGGAATGGGGGGATGCGGCGAGGCAGAGGAGCTGACGAGGTACAGTGCAGCGTCGACTGTTGTTGTTTTGGCTGTTGTTGCTGTTGCGTACGTCCCTCCCCCCTCCTAGCGGGAGGCTGTGGCAGCATGATGATTGCCATTAGGGGAATGCTGGGAGTGGCTTCTGGGATTTGGAATAATGGAAGAGGAGAGTGCGCGCTAAAATAATAAGAATCGCGTAGGTCGATGGCACCATGACATACTGTTCTGTAGTAGCGGCTGATTACAAGTACAGTATTAGTCCTCCGATCTGAGTAATCAGCATACGCTGATGGAAGACGGGAAGCACTGCTTTGTCACCACCCATGCAAGCGTTGAAATGATTGAATCATCGAGTTTATACTTTCGTACTTCGTACCTGTCGCTTCCCGGCAATTCATAATCCAGAATCCAGAATCCACCCGTACATTGCCCATAAGTAATCAAATCCATAATCCATATGGCCTCCAGGTTTTGTCATCCACTGTGATCGCTGTGACTGCGATTGTGACTGCGACAACAACGGGGTTTTCGGGGATTAACCTTCACTCGGAGAAGGAGATGCTACAGGCGCACAACAACAACAAAAACAGGGCTTATTCCTAGTAGAGCAGCAGCGCTGGCATGGGCAGAAATAGGAGAAAGGAGAAAGGAGATAACAGAAGGACATAATCGCAACCTACTGTAAGGATTGACTCATCAGTGCCCGCAGGCCGGCGGAACAACAGACGCCCAGAACCTCCATCGGGGCAAAGATGGCGCCGAGCAGCGACCTAAGGCTGCTGACCACACGCGCTGCGAATGCGAAAAGGGCGCGGCCACGAAATGATTATTCGTGGCTACGTAGGTTCACGTAAGGCCGTAAGACCGCCAGGCAGGGAGGAAGGGGGGGAGGACGGGGGGAGGGACGTCCTCGCTCCGCCGGCCTTGGAGGTTACGAAACAAAACGACGGACTTTCGGGGTTTACGCCTTTCTGCGCAAATCGCCAATCGCAAATTGGCTTGTCTTACGAATCAGCCCTGCGCTGCCGGTGCCGAGATGGATGCGGAAATCCCTGGTGTCCGCGACCAACAAGTCAGCTGTACCCAGGCTGCTGAGTATACAAAGAGAGCCTCGCTCCTCCTCAAAGCCGCTCTCATAATCCACAACCACCCTAACTTGGACAAACACAAAGACAGCCATTCGAGACTCGCAGTATATCTCAATCTCAATCTCAGTCTCAGTCTCGGCCTCCGTCCCAGCCTCCATCCCTCACTGGCATCACTCACCCACATTAGCAACGATATCATCAGCCCTATCATCAACACTGTCTTCACCGATCCGGACCCTCGGTTATCCAGCCCACCCGCAGCGCCAGTCATCGGCCGACCTAGTCAAGAAAAAAGTTGCCCATTGACTCATTCTCCAGAGCAATTAAATATTAAATATCCTCCCGCGCCCTGACACGCACAATGTCGTCCACAACCCCATCATCACCACCCCATTCCGCCGTCTCGCCATTAAAGAGAAAAGCCATGTCGGTCACCCAAACATACTATCTCGCCCACACGGCGCGAGGCAAGCTCTCAGCAGCCGCTGCCCGCCCAGACCACGACCTCCGCCTGCTCGTCGGCCACGCCAACCTTCTCGACTCATTAATGCTCGAGCTCGCCGAGGCAGAGCAAGAGCAGGAGAGCTGGTTCAACCAATCCGTCAAGAAGGCCACCAAGACCGAGGAGCCCCGACATGTTCAGTGGGCCGACACCGCGTTCGAGGACCCCGAGGAGGACTGGCAAGCAGAGGATGCGGATTTGGATTCCTCGGATAGCGATAGCGACTACGACTTCGAGGAGGAGATGGAGAGCCTCGTGTCTTTACATCGCGTGCAATCAAATCCAACCGCAGCCATTGCCGTGGAGGAAGTCGAGGAAGATGAGGACGAGGAATTCGAGGACGACGGGGAAGAGGACTACGCCAGCCTACAACTCCACCTCACCACCTCACATCCCGCCTCCCCTCCAGAACTCGACCACGACTCGGACTCGTCAGAAGACGAGTCGATGCCCCCATCCCCGCCTTCGGATATGCTCCCCACATTCTCGGAAAAGCAACGCAGTCGAATCGCAACCACTTCTTACTACTCCAAGTCCCCCGAAGCCCCCTCAATACCAGCGAACGCGCAAGGGGCCTTCGTAGAAGAGGGCTTCTATCTCCCGCGAACGCGGGGTAGGGGTCTCGTGAGCGCTATCAGTGTATACTGATCCTCGGGAGTCAAAAAAAAAGAAGTTTCATGGTCACGATATCAATCAATCACTGCAGCGATTTCTAGCGAAGCGAGGAAGCATCTGGGCGGCGTTTTCTCCATCTCATATTTTTATTTTACAACATGGCCACGGTTTTCAGATATGTATACATTGGGGGGATAAGGGAAATTACAGAATCAGTTCACACCACTCATGGAATGCGGGGCGCACCGGGAAGTTGAAGGGAGAATTTGGGATTCTGGAAAGATGGAAAATGGAAATGGAGATATCTCGCGCTCCCCCGGCTTCTCCGGGGTTGAGCGTGCATCACATGCATGCATAGATCTACGGATCTTGTATGAAATACCAATAAAAACAGACCAATCTCAAATACCTATGATATCCAAATGCCAAGTGCGCACAATGATTAAAACAAATTGATTCCCCCAAGCATTTCTCAAATTGCGTTGACTGTTCTCTCCGTGCAAAAATGCAAATCCCATCATCTCGCAACATGACTCACGGGAACGTGTCTGGCACGGTACGGAGTACAGCACGAGTATCTTGTGGCCCAGCCCTTGTGAGACTCGTTCCATCGCTTCACCGCCCATGCTGCCCCTGCCCCGGTCCTTATCCCTGGGTTGCGCCTCCCGCGTGGCCGTGTCGCTTGTCGGATTTTGTCCATCTGATATTCCCGGCTGCCAGGGTCTTCGCTTTTCGTTTTCGCATTCTTATCCGTCTTGGGCGGTATGATGCGAGCAGTCTCGCGCCCCGTGTCAGATGGGGAATCATGGGGATGCCGATGCCGATGCTGATTCTGATACTGGAGCCTGGAGGGAGATCTGGTCCAATAATGCAAAGGGGGACTCCAGGGACCTTCGGACTCTGCGACACTTGCTGGTGTTCGACTAAATTAACTCGATTAGGATGTGGTTGGTTCGCTGCCTGAAAGAAGCAAGACGGTGGGCCACGTCGTCGCGGTGAGGGACGAGGCTGAAGCGGGAGCGGTGTGGTGCTTGTCCTGGTGCTTACGTGGTTTGCTGCGTGTACGATATTGGGCTGGGGTTGGGCGAGGCTGTGCACTCACTTGCGAAGTACTCCATAGTACGAAGTACATTCGTATAGGTTGGGCAGGGTACTTGTAGGTCGTCTGGGTAAGGTGGTCCAGCCACATGGTTCGTTGCCAGCTAATGAATATTATATTATCATCCATCGACGGGGCAACGTGCTACGCATTGCATCAATTGATGCTATCCAAGGCCAGGATCGCCCAGTCGGTGAGCAATTGATATGATATCACATCACATCATGTACTGGAATGCTACGTTGTACCGTTGTACCGGTGTACCGGTGTAACCGCTGCACTCTGTAATCAGTTTGTGCGTGCCAGAGTCACCCGGCACAGGGATCGCGGATCGTGGGGGCGCCATGTCGCTTCCGGCCTGGTGGGTCATGGGGTACGAGGACGAGGACGAGGGTGAGGATGAGGATGAGGTCCTGAGGACGAGGTCCTCCCAGATTGAATGAGAGTGCGTATACTCCGTACTAGTAAAAGGTATAATATACTGTGCACAAAGCACTCCGTAAGTTGTACAGTTATCCGTGTCACCCACTACTTCGTAGTATTACATTAAATCTTGGTATCGATGTTGATGAGTAATCACCCAGCTGCTGTTACGTTGATGTCATGTGCATCTAAGATCTGTCAGGTGCTGAGCGATCGCCCCCCTAGCCCCTTTTGGTCAGTGCAGATCTTTGTTGCACATCGCAGTCAAAAACTGTTTCGATGGGGCGCCCGGCGAGAAGCTGGCGAATCTCTCTTCGTCCACACCCTCTCACTCATTTATAACTACCATTCTCCCCTCCACAACCACCACATATCCACATCCACATCCACATCCACATCCACGACTGCGACTGCGATAACTAGTACAGCTACCAATCCCACTACTACAACTACTACCGAAGTGCAAACTAAATGTGCCTGCCTACGTGGATTATAGATAGGATGACACCTCTCTACAGCCAGGACTACATAGCAAAGCCACGCGAATAACTAGCAGCTACTAGTAGCTGCGACTATTTCCCGGCCAAATAATTTCTTTATTTCCCTCTTCTTTCTAGGGAAGTTTATCGGTGACCAGGCAGTCTGATCTCGAAGTAGTTTATCGCCCAAGTATATTTTGTTGCAATAGCGATTAACGTTGTATTGTACTATTTGATTCTATTGCTTTTTATACTACGTATACACTTTAGCTGAGTTCATACATCGCTTTATTTCCAATAACTAAGACAGCTAGTTACTTAGCCAGATGTTGTTTCTGTTTTTCCGTTTTCGCGAATTGCTAAAAGTAGTTCGCTTTACGATTTCTAGTAAATTTAAACCGAAAAACCATAACCAAGTGTTGCAATAGCTCTTTCCTACATCTCTTGTCTACTGTTAGCAATTGTTACTTATATCTCCCTTAGGATGCTGCAATTCCCCCTTTGTTCCCTCAACTTAAACAGTGCTACTCCTTGTGCTTTAACTTAAAGCTCGATAGCCAAAATAGATTAGACATAAATTCACTATTTAGAGATACCTTCTTGCATTTGGTTACTGTCCACCTCTGCTTATCTTGACCTTCCGGTCTGCCGATGAGTCGCCCGTCTACACCTCTACTTCGATTGGCCTTCCAACCTGTCGCTGAGTCGCTCTTCCACAAGTCATATCCTAGCTTCCTATTATTATTCCCAATCTTGGACAATACAATCCCAAAGACACAACCTCGCAAGCATTTGATCTCTGTCTCTTTCAATATTGCGCTTAACAACCAGGAATACCATCCGCAACACGTCAACATCCCAGTTCTCACAAGACTCAACTAGGTCTTTACATTCACGGGCATCAGAGTCACATTAGCCATCCATTCCACATCCAATTTTGCGCCGCTCACCTTCCTCTGGAATAAGACATATTTCCATATCCGCCATCGCTCCCAGCAGACATCCAGGCAGGCTAAGGGCGTTGGTGATAACAAAGTGCTGGGAGTGAGCTCTCCATCACCTTGCTGGGTAAGCAGTAGCAGGAAGTCCATGGAGCATACTTGTCTGCTATTTGCTAACCATTTACATAGCATCACTATAGAATACCTCGTTGCTTCGATAACTCGATACAAATTTACGAGTAGTTAAGAATGAATCCGAAATTATGGAATCAGCTGTTCTCCCTGTACTTCGTCAGCTATATGATGGCGGTATATGGACAGATAAATCAAGGCCCTCCATCGGCGCAACAAGGATCAATTTCAGTCGTTGTTATCCCTGCAACTGTCTCCATTGTTGCCCTCCCAGCCCTCTCAACAACAGTTACCATCGCCCCTGGTGTTTCAGTCGTCACGATAGGGAATGCGCTAACTTCAACAACGTGGGTTTTCCCCTACCTGGCTGAGGTGATGTGCTAAATGAGATTTATATAGAATAAGTGGATTATCATCCAGGACAGTAACTGTTGGCTCGGACTTCACCAATGACGGCGACTCCGACACTTCCCTCACCAGTGCCAGACATACCAGGACTACCACTATTAACACCACCATTCTCACCACTCCCAATGCTACTACACAGACCATTAGTGTCGTAACACAGCAGAGAAGTTCTACTTCGCTTGAATCCTTAACAACTACTCCAGACACGCCGTCAACTGATTCACCGCGCGATTCAACCAGCATTTCTGGGATCCCTCCTGCCCAAACTAGTAATGCTAGCTCTACCAATGCCCATGAACCAAGTAGTTCATTGATGCCCCTCTTAGTTGGTATACTTATTCCAATCACTGCAGTTGGTTCAACTCTCCTATGGTGCTGTATCCGAAACAGGAAAACCAAGAAGATGAAGGAGGATAACAATGTTAACCCTTCACCCCGAGAAGTGCCACGGACAAGAAACGCACCATTACGTCCATCTATGACAGCAACAACAGGAATCTGGGACACTGAAGGACGTCTGAAACTTGGAGCATTCGTACCAGCCAACGTTCAGGCACTGGCACGAAGTTCTCCCGAGTATTTCCCCCGGAGCCCTCTTCACTTTGTGCCAAGCAGCCCGGCGAGTGATACACTAACATCTTCCTCCCCAACATCCAACTTCCCACCATTACCACCAAGTTCACCTCCTCGCCCGCCGCGGCCAGTGTCGCTCACACCTTCCATTCTGGAAGCCATGCGACGCACTTTCTCACCCGGCGGCCCTGAAGGCAACCGCGAAGATGTTGATAGCGTGGGTCCTCTAACCGCAGGCCGCACCCCATACAGTGGAACACCACCATCAATCAGCCGACACCATTCTCCTAATTATTCTCGTCCTATAACTTATCGCCCGCAGCCACCACCAGGCCAAGCCCGCCCACCAGTGTTTTCGGACCAAACAGAAGCACCAATGCCCCTTCATATCGTCAAACATAGTCCATCCGGGCCATCGATACTCGACGAAGTGGCTTTTAACCCGCAGCCCAGTCGACCAAGGCAGGGTGGTACGGCAGACTTCAATGATGCCGGTCGCCAGCGATTTCAAGATTCTGACGAGTCCAACGAGGAAGAAAAACAGAAGAAACGAGCTGAGACCTTCGGTGCTCTTGAGGGGGCTCTCGAATCAGAAGGCCCAGAGTTTAGTCAACGACACCAGTATCCAGTATCGTCGGTATACTCGACTGACACATATGGACAACCTCTCACACGGCCGGGTCTCAATAGGGAAATACCGAGGGATCGGGGCGAGAGGGGCAGGTATGAGGTGAAGAGACCACAGAGACAAGTTGACTCCCCAGATTGGAGCGGATTAAAAGGGAATTTTATCTAGGGGGCTGAGAAGAGGCTCTCAGTCAGCGGTTGTAGATGAGGTATGAGTTTCAAATTTCAATTATTGAAGGGGGGAAAGGCCACCCGGCGCGTTATAGATTGTGGGTTTAATTAGATTAACACTATTGCAATGAGATTTTAAAAATGACGCTTCTCATCTCGGTATTTAACATGACTTTCGGTTGCCAATATAGTTATGATTATGCTCATCAAGGGATAATGTGAAGTTCTGTAGTGTATTAAACGAGGACCCTCATGCGCAATGAGGGCCAGAAACCGGATTTAACGATTGACAGGTTGCCTCTCTTCATAACCCTGTGGTGGAGCTCGTGGGGTTAGAGGATGAAGACTCGGACGCTCCTGTTAGCTTCTCTATATGGGAATATAAACCCCCAAAAATGTTATAGGTCAAACAAGTATGCTAAGAATCGTAATGAAAATGCTCGCAACGATATTCTAGAAAGTCATTGTGTAGCAATCTTCTCCGGCCCATTCTTACACTTTTGTTTTCCCAGTCTAGCACAGGTAGATAGCGTATATTTAATTCATTATACCACCTCTGGAATGAAGCGGCAAGTTTGGTAACGATTTCGTAGCACTAACCTATATATGGTGGGCGGTAACCAGCTAGAAGGTGACATGCAAAAACCATCCGCGTACTGAAATAACAAAATAAGAAAAAGCCGCATAAGGAAGACAAAAGGCGGCTACTTGGCTAGTGGTTCAGGTCAAATTGTCTTCCGGATAGGATCGATAGGGACAGAACGACAAAACCGGCAAGAGACGTAGGCATTCGACACCGGGCCGAACTCTTTTGCCTCCCGTGGTTCTTTTTCTTCTTACATCTTTTTTTAACTTGCCGTAGAATTTATTTTGCTGTTTGGACTTTCCTTTTTTCTTCTCTCTGTTTTTCCCCGGTGTTGTAGCCGAAACGCGTGGTCCTATACCCACCCAACTAGGTATTTCGCCTCACGAAAAAGGGGGTAGTTCACGTGACCCAACACTGCTACTATGACACTTGTTTATTCATGTAGTATCTATACCTCAAGAATCATATGGTTAAAACGGCAATTCCATTTCTATATCATATCTACGTCTAGGGTTTCCACCTAATAAGCTCACCATTGCACCTATACGGATATTCCAAATAGTGCTACAGCAGTGTCGAATGCAACCTTGACAACCATCAAGGTTGCTTATTATTAGATGAACTCGTTTCATCATCATGTTCATCTCCCCCTCTCAATTCATGCGAATACACTATCCCATCTAGCGGAGCTCCTGCCATCTCTACCGGCCCATTCTCATCAACACCATTTTTTTCCGGACAACCCATTTCAAACGTCCATGCCCCATCTAGCTCGCTTCCCCTTCCCCTTCCCTTTCCCCTTCGGAAAACGTCCAACCTCCTTTCCAACTCACTCATATTCCACCCGCGAGCCTCCATTCCAACATACGACATGCGAAAATTCCCCAACTCCCCTTCCCTGAGCACAATGGGATTCGGCCTGGCTTCCACTGGCATTGACAGATATCGTTCCAGCTCCCTGTCCCGTACGTTGTGCCGAACAGCTACCAGTGCCATACCCAAGTTACTATGAATCTCATCGCTGGCACTATTTTGATCATGTGCTTCATTGAGGTACTGCAGAGCGAGCCATGCGTTATTCCGCCCGAGATGGAAGAGCCCCCGCTGGTTGTAGTAGGCAGCGTTGAGTACCTTTTGATAAGCTTGCGAGGAGTGGGAGGTCGCCCTGAAATGATATTGGAACCTAATTCCTAGACCGCGGTTTTCGGCCCACCGGTGGAGCAGATTCTGGAGGGGTTCTCGGAAGTCGTCGTGTAGGTTCGCATAGGCGCGCCCATCAGAGAAGAGAAGCATAAATTCGTCAGGGTGCTGGTGGTTGAGGAATATCCGCTGCAAGGAACATTAGCTAGGCTGATTGACTTGGGATAAAGAGTGATGAGTCTACACTGATCGGAGCTTTTCTGTCCTTTCCCTGCTGGAGTGCTTCCTTCAGCTCCTCTGGCAGTATCCCACCCCAAGTGTACTTCTCGCCTTTCTTCTGGAGTAAGACCCAGCCCTCAGACGCATTCATCGCCACGTCATAGATCTTGCCATATCCAGTTCTTTTCCAAAAAGATGCGCTTGACAACAACCGCTGTATTTCATTTTCCAACCCAGCAGGAAGATTCCGCCAGCGGTATCTCTTAAGCTCACAGGCGTCTGCGAAGAAACTACCAGGTCGTGGCCCAAAACTCACATTCAAGCTCGCCGTAAAGTTTTTCTTTGCAGCTGCGTTATTTTCGATCGCGAGTGCTTGGAGGTTCTCAATTTCCGCATAGCTATTTCCGCACGCCTTAACAGTCCCTTCCCGGTCCAAGGCGCGCCATTGCCCTACATGTGAGAGGAAATCGTGTCCGCGGATGTTGAAGAAGTATTTTCGGGCCGCATATCTCTGGTATTCGCTAGAAAATATATCTGGGAGTCCATAGCTAGATGGTGTTATTAATTTCAGGTTATAGGAATGTTAGACTTATTGAACGGTGCTACTTACGTAGTCGTTATTGAGGCCCCAAGTGGCCTCCCGGAAGCTATCTCAGTGACACTAGCTAGATAGTTGTTCTGGCATCCTAGAAATGCGAACTGGAAGTTGCTCGACATGGTTGAGAACCATGTTGTTGCTTGTATGCTTAAGGCGACTCATACGCCCATATATCCCACTTCTTAGCCTCAAGGGAAGTCGAAAGTCCGCGCCCTTAACTTCGAAGCAGGGAAATAGCCCGGTTCAATCTGTCTTATGCAGTATCACGGACCTAACTTAAACTTTGGCTTAGCCTTCCAATATTGCGCCACACCATTGGAGCGCGCCCGTCGTCAGCCTCATTTTGACATTTCTGGGTCTGCGCCTCCACTAGAAGGGAGTTCGCCAATGTTACCGGCCACATGACCACGCCCAGCCGCCCAGATTTATTTGCCCGCCATTAGAAGATTTGGTACTTCCTGAGTGCATCGCTACTTACCGACATAGATAGGTAACAGTAAATATTTAAATCACCCACCACTCATCTTTGCTCCTAGCTCGTGGCGGATAAACAAGAAGACACAGGCTGTATTATTTCTTACTAAATTGAAAAAGTCCAATATGATCAAAAAGTCTAGAATTGTTAGAGGGTTTGTTAATGAGGGCCAAAATGGAAACAGGGGCTATATAGCCCACAGAGCGATCGAGATCGAGACTAAGGCGGCTGCACCCCAACACGGGATGAAAGCTCCAATGCAAGCAGGCTCGTCCTATAATCAATGAAGCTTGTTAGACTAAACATAGCCAATTGAGGGCCATCAAGGTAACACCTGCAGTCTAGCCGCCTGCATTGGCTCACATGCCGAAAGCCTCATTGGAGCTCAGCCTCATGGTTTCTTTTGGGAGGGAGAGGGGCTCTACAAAAGACAATATAATGCTTGAGACTTCCTCAAAGCAAAAGTGCCCCTTTCGCGAGTGTATTTTTCATAAGCTGTACACTGATACAGATACGAGAAAAAATGGCAATCGGAACGCGTGAGCATCTAGCAACACGCCTTCCAACGTTAAAGCCTCAGTTGAATCCCGCCGTTAACCCCTTCCGTCTCCTTCGCTCTCTAACTCTGCAGCATTGGTTGTTCTTTCTCGTAAGGCGCTCATGTCCCTATAAATACCCAATCGTTCGAATCTATATATGACCCAAACAGACTAACTGTTTGTCTAGGTCGGCTTTCTAGCATGGACATGGGACGCCTTTGATTTCCATACTGTGACCCTCACCTACTCCGAACTTTCGGAATCATTCGGCGAGAAACCCTCAAAGATCTCTGTCGGCGTGACCCTGGTGCTGATGTTCCGGCCAGTGGGGGCGGCAATCTTCGGTATCGCATCAGATAGGTTTGGGCGAAAGTGGCCGTTCGTGATAAACAATGTCCTCCTTATTGTTTTTGAGCTCTCCACAGGCTTTTGCAACACCTATCAGCAGTTCTTAGCCGTGCGCGCCCTATTTGGGATAGCCATGGGAGGGATTTATGGGAATGCCGCTGCGACGGCGTTAGAGGACTGTCCTGAAGAGGCCAGGGGCCTTATGTCCGGCATTTTCCAGAGCGGGTATCCGTTTGGTTACCTGCTGGCGACTGTATTTTGGGAGGCATTTGACGAGAAAACCGGACACGGATGGCGACCACTTTTCTGGTTTGGTGCAGGACCGCCGGCCTTGCTCATCGTGTTTCGGCTCTGTTTACCAGAGACGGACGCCTACGACAAACGTAATATTTCCCGCAACGAGAAAGGTACCGTCCGAGGCGCTTTTGCGGAATTTCAACTGGCTGTGCGAATGTATTGGAGACGCTTGCTCTACCTAGTGCTTTTCATGGCGGGCTTCAACTACATGGTAAACTCAGTGAGCCTAATGTTATCGACGACGAGCTAACAGACCTTAGTCTCATTCAACTCAGGACATCGTTGCTTTAATGCTAGAAAACAAGTATCATTTTTCGTCCACAAGGATCACGCAGGTGATAGTTGTTGCCAATATCGGTGCAATTGTGGGTGGCACTCTTGTCGGTTTCAGCAGTCAAATATTTGGACGCCGCCTCTCCATCATTGTGATGTGTATAATAGGGGTTGCTCTTCTATACCCTTATACGTCTACCGCAGGTCCCGGCATCTTTGCAGTTTTTTTCTTCGAACAATTCTGCGTCCAAGGAGCATGGGGAATCATTCCCATCCATCTGATCGAGCTTTCTCCGACTGCTTTCCGGACTTTCGTCGTCGGGACGTCGTATCAGCTGGGGAATCTAATTTCGTCAGCCTCAAATACAATCGAGACGACGATTGGAGAACGCTATCCTTTGCCGAGTATAGAACGAAACGGGGAAACGGTTCAAAGGTATGATTATAGCGTTGTGATGCGGATTTTTAGCGCTTGCATCTTCGTCTATGTTATTATCATTACGCTTTTGGGCCCTGAGGAGCTAGGGAGGAATATGAAAGACGACGACGAGGATATGTCGGATGAGAATGAAGGAACTCATAGAGGATTGCAGGAAAATGCAAGTTCTGGGAACTGGGCTTAAGGGATAGCCTCTGATAGCTAAACGATATAAGAGTGAGTTAATACAATAATAAAAATTGCAAAGCATGGAAAATAGGAACTGGGCCCGTGTGATCAACAACATACCAACGATATACTTTAGTCACTCACTGGTATCTTGCCAACATATGTGAATACCCAAGTCCATGTTGTCGTTGTTGGTCGACTAGATAATATCTCGTTCCAAGGTTATAACCCCTCGGTAGCCAGCGGAATAACGGGCCTGGAATTATGTACGACTGAGGTGAGCGCGTCGTCCCTCGAGACTCGCCTTTAAGTGGTTTGACCGAACAATCACGCTACCAAGCGCAAAAACCTCGCAGTCATCATCCATGTTGTCGCAACTCCGCATCACACCGCTCAAGGACTGAAGTACAGTACCTGAAAACTCGTCCGATGCCAAATCGACACGATTATTTCACGCTTGAAGAGTTGGGCCGAGGGAGATACATTGACGGTAGAAAAGGGCTGTTTGCATACCGGTATCCTTTGGATCTTTTCCGGGACTCTCGGTTGGCGAACTGGTCGCATGAGTTTGCCCCACATACACTTTGGACGCTACTGAGGACATTAACGTATATAGAGGTAAGTACCTAACCAAGTCCCTAAGTAGGCACGAAGTAGTTACCTATGGATAGCTAGAAGACGTTAAGCAACTGATATTCTTATTTCAATTTTTAATAGCTTACGTGATTGATTTTACATCAGATATAAGCATACATGTTTTTTTTTAAATCGTTGTGCAGTGGTAGTTACCCCGCCAACGTAAGAACTCGCGGCCTCTTTACTTCTGACCGATCCATCCTCATCCACCGAGATAGTACAAACAGTTCTCTAATGGCTCATCTCTGCCCACGCTTACTCCTCTAGCCCCAGGAATTTGCTTTACCCCTGGATAGCCTTCAGCATAGCATCGTAGGCTGGCTTCTTCTGATAGTTGTCGTTCCATAAGAGGGCAGCACCTTCACCATTGAAGGTTTGCGGGACCCACGAGTATTTGTCCGAGACACCCTATTGGGAGAAACAAACACGTTAGCCAATATTACCCCCAAGGCATGAGTCTCAGTTACAGGGTTGATGCAAGAAAGAACAATCTACATACCCAGAGAGTGATACCAACACATCGCTCGACAGCCATGCACGCCCTGGTCAGTCTACCGTAGCACTCCGCTTGTTCTTGGAGATTCTGCGCACTAGCCGGCATATTCATACGGATATCAACTTCGGTATAGGCAACGTCGACACCCAAGTCAGTGTACATGCGCAAGCTCTTCTCTAGAATCTCCTGCGACGGGGTAGCAATGTCCTGGGTTGGGGTCTTGCTAACAACCAAGTGGCCTTGGAGACCAACGCCATCAATCCTCACGCCATATGACTGAACGAGCTTGACGATTCTGGCAGCACCTTCGGATTTAGCTTCAGCGTACTCGAGGTTGTAGTCGTTGTAGTAGAGCTTGGCAGATGGGTCGGCAGCAGCGGCAAGACGGAAAGACATTGGGAGATACGCCTCTCCAATGACACTGAGGAAGACATTAGGGCGGTAAGTGCCATCCTCATTGAGAGCTGCACAAATTTGGTTAGTTTCATTACATGAAGCTTTGTTTAATCGCCAACGGGGCAGACAGAATATAAGGGATGAGTATTACTGACCTTCGTTGACAACGTCCCAGTGAGTGCATTTACCCTTGTACTGGCCCATAACTCGGTTGATATGGTTTGTCATGACGTTGATCAATGTGGCATTATTGAAGTTGCTGTTCGACACCCACCCTGGAAGCTGGCTGTACCAGACGAGAGTGTGGCAGCGCATGTGTTTGCCGTTTTGAGTTGCATAATTGGCCACTTGGTCTGCACCACCGAAGGTGAACTGGCCTTGGTTTGGCTCTGTGGCATCCCATTTCATGGCATTCTCGGGCGTGATTGATCCGAACTCATTCTTGTTGCCGATGATATTCGTCTCTGATTGATCATTGCGGATAGTCAAGGAGGTACCAATGTATTCCCTTCCTCTGGCGACCATGGCAGCATTGAGACCAGCCACCTGACGAGCGTTAAATCTGAATTTACAATGTTAGCAATTGAATTAAAGAGAACATGATTTTACTTGTGGATGTGGACATACAGAACCGGGTTGGCGGAGACCATTCCACCAAGGCCCAAGGCCATTGTGACAGACGACGTGAAACGCATTTTGACTTGATTGGGATAGAGCACGACGGTTACCAGCGAGCAAGATGCCAAAACTGCTGGCCAAAACGACGGGTGAGCCCATTATTATAGCTGATTTTGATGATGGTTATTATTCGTATCTTGGCTTTCTCTAATTTATGAATACCCGGCTTGGAAAGGGGAGACTTTACTCAGGCACATAACCATCTGAAAGGGTTAGAGCCGTCCAGAACACCGGCGATTACCCGTTTAGACACCACGTGGGGAATAGATAAAACCCGCGGGGCAGTCGTGCTAGCAGAATGGGTTTCATTATTTCAGCAAATCAAGAGATTCCTAGAGGGATGGACAATATCACGGCTAAGTAAGGAGATCGAGGCCACTGTAAATGTATAGTACAATGCCCCCTCGGTTATCGGGTATGTAAACTACTTCAGTAATGATTATCCCATGAAGCGTGAGGCTCTTGGCCTGCACGTCGTAACGGAATATCATTCTTGAGTTTAGGCTGGATGGTACCTGCGCCACTCCGATGACGTTGCTAGTGGTGCACTTAGTACACTTAATTTCTAGGTGGCGCCACAGGTAATATAAAAAGTTATATCCCAATTCATGCGACTAGCCTGGCAGCCGGAGAAAAGGGGCAGCACCCTCACCCATACTACCGGTACTACCCAAACATATTTTCAACTTTTCTCTCCTTCAAAACTCACATCCAAATGAATTCTTTGTCTACGAAGTACTTGTCACCGCTATACACAGCGCCCGAAATACTAAGACGATATTTTTATCGCTAAATGAGTTTTGCTTAACCTCATCACATCTCGTATTCAATTACTCAACTGCACGTCGAGTCGGTCTTCTCGAATTCCGTCCGCAATCCAGAGAGTGGACTTTCAGTATACTCTATGTTTATTCCAGAGCTGGGCAAGCCCTTGATATGTCGGAATATCTAACTAGGAAGAACTCTCGGGTGTCCGCGTCACATTTCTCATGAGACTGAAGCCACTAGGTCGACTTTCTCCATTATCAACAGCAATGGCGAACTCAAGTTGATCGAACACTGGCAGGAAAGCCAGCCAGCCATGCAACTACACCCAAAGACGACTCCCAAAAAAAGGGACGGAGCTCAATTGACGATATTGGAAATACTGTACCGATTAGCAGATGGCAAAGTTGCGGCTATTCCGATCCTATAATGCGGGGAACCCCTCTCCGCAAATGTCTTCACCAACGGATAAAATCAACCTCCTCGCCCGCACCATGCCACTTCATCCATTCACATCCCAAGATGAGAAGAGTTTCATTAGGCTCAAACAAGCTATCCTCCGCATCCCGTGCTTTATGGTCCCGTGAAGGGAGACCGCGTTAAGTACACGTTTCTTCAGTGAGGTGTCGATAAGATTTATGAGGTCCGTATCGAACCATGTTGCGATAAGTATCTTACTTCAAGTTCCAAGACTTTGATTGTCGGTCTCGCTGGCCAATTATAAACATACTCTAACTCTCAATTGTCTCTTCCTGTCCTTATTAAGTATCTCAAATTACACCTACTCTCTCCTCAAATAGAACCCAAAAATGAAACCCTCCATTCTTCTCCCCATCTCCCTCCTCCCCTATGCACTTGCTTCCCCACACAAATCACGTCAAAAGTCACAAATACTCAGCCCCGACGTCCCAATCTATATCGGCCATGTCTTCTGGCCCCCAAAAATGACGTTCATAGCCTGGCTGCCCTCGCCCTCGGACGACAAATACACACCGCAAACTGAATGGTGCTATTTCGCAACCGATGCTTCAAACCACAAACTCTTCCACCTAGGCGGCATCGGCAATTTGCAAATCAAAAACTATTTTGACGAGGAAGCGTATATTGCCCGTGATGGAAAGAGATGGGCTGACTGTCGCGTCACGCCTGAGAGTGGGAGGATGGGCGCTTGTACTGGGGTTGAGGATTGGGAGTGTGAGGGGGGCCATAAGTTTACGGGGCCTGGGACGAAAGGGTGGAGTTGCTGGGTTAACGATAAGGAGGCGTTATTGAAGGAACTTGAGGGCCCTATTGCGAATGCGACCCAAGGAGGAGAACCGGTGCTTACGACAAGTGGAGTGGCGATGGGTACGATGGACAGTAGTTCGCTGGTCGGTGCTTTCACCCCTGGGGCGACTGGGAGTTGAGCGCGGATGAGCTGGGAATTATTATATGGTGGTAAAGGAGTTTCTAGTGGCAGGTAGTGGATAGCGGCTGGTGCCAATTTGGTTTGTAGATTTCCAAACCGACCATCAAGCAGTAGTTAATCGACACAGTCAACCAAATAATATACTGCCTTTTCCAATTTCACTAGACCACCTATGACAGCCGGCGATATAGATAATGCTGTGGACTGGAGGGAAAGCCATTCATATCATACCCTGGTGCTCGCTTGATTGGTTGTCACCCGGTTGATGGATTGATTTGGTAGACTGTCGGTTGTGGTCATGGGCGTGTGAATCAACATGAGCAATTGGTTTGGGCTGAGATGGTGAAGTGACTGATCTAGCTCCGGATTGAAAAGGCAGCGGGTATAAGATGACTCCGTGCAGTTGCGGCAGACTGCTTTGCTATCTCCTAAATTGGGCTCCCAAGAAATTCTTGCCAGTTTTGAGTTCTGCTCTTAACCCCGGGTGTATATATCGTTTTACAGAAACGAGTTGTTAGTGTTGGATATTTCCCAGCCAAGTGTCACTGGATCTGCAGGATCATCCAGAGGTTTATGGAGTTCAACATCTGGCATCCAGTCGTTATATTCCGGGTGGGCATCGATACCCCCGAAGTCCGAGAATTGATTGATATCCGGATTTCCCCAATCCAAGTCGAACGACGGCAATGGCTGCATCGTAGCCAATTCCATAAGTCCCATTGATCGCAAGTTTTCCGCCTGGTTTGGAGTGATGCCCTGCAGCTGTGCCAATGGAGGAGAAGCAACTAGTACAGTGGCCTCCACAGGGGCCTGCTTCTTGCTGATATCTGGCGGTGATGGCAGCCAACAGTGGTCTAAATCACCCTGGAGTCCGACGGGTGGTTTAAAATTCTCTTCTTTTTCTTGACTCGTATACCAAGTTCGAAGCCTAAGGAGAATACCTAGGAAGGTGAAAGGAGCTCTGCATTCCATCGGGCCAACGGCCAGACTTAATTTCTCTATGAGGGATTCTAAACATGGTCCTAATTTGAGGATTCCTGGCTCAAGGACCGATCCTATCTGACTTTCCAAAGTTTTGGAAGATATATAAAGTTTCGTCAAAACAAGTATTGCGTATGTCATGCGAACGTAGTTGAAAATGGGAATCGCTCGCATCGTCTCCACGTCCATGTTTAGCATCATATCGAGTAAACAATGCACCGACGAGATTATTATAGAGACTGGTTTGATGTATGATGATGAGGCATGTATGTTTGGCTCAATAGAGAGGACCCTGTCGAGCTTGTAGGGGGGCGTAAGATCTTCGATAGGGTGATCATCGTGTATCGCGACCTCATGAAGATAAATTTGAGTGTGGTGGTACGCCAGTAATAATGCAACTTTTATTGTCAGCATGCAATGGGCTAGAGGATGGGGTCGGGTACCGTTAATGCCATTTGAATCAAACCTTTCTCTCCAAGCCTGTAGCTTTTGCTCAAAGCCATTGAGCATCAACTTGACTTGGGGTTCTGCTAAATTGGCAATATTACTTGCATCATCAAAAGAGAAGGATGACCCAATCTCCTCGGTGATTTGTAGGAGTATTGCCCATGCGACAAGAGTATTATCCAAAGTCGCCGAACTGCCATGTAGGCTCAAATATGCAATGCAATCATTCATCCAGCTACTATATCGTAGAAAGTTTGGACGGCGCATATTCATAGCTACTCTGTGAGTTGTTAGATTATACCTGAAGTAAATTGGTGAGTCCCTTACCCGGCACTAATCAAGTAGCAAGCCAAGAATGTTCTCCTTCGTTCTATCTCCCCTTCGTCCTTGGTCATATTCTGAGCAACTTCTGGGGACGATTTATCAGAGTCTGCTTGTCTTCTCCTGGACGCTTTTGGATTTGTCCCGAGGCCAATATCTATGGCCATTGTTACTGCCATATGGATATATTCGTAAAACTTAAGCTGGGAAAGTCTGCCAGGTGGGTAGTACCAAACTGCGGTTACAATTAATGCTTGGACCAACTCAAGCGATTTTTCACTGTTGATAACTGTTCTATACGCATAAGCTGCGAGCACCTCGCTATGAAGTATCCTATACAAATGCGGATCGGTTTTGGCCGCCGCGGCCGCAATCACAGCCAGGAAAAGAGTAGGCTTTGTTCGTCGCATATTCTCTGCCAAAGTCCCTGGAGGAAATGCAACCGCAGGGTAGTTTTGAAAGAGATCATCGGTATAGGTGCGAAACAGTTTGTCCGCCACTTTCATCGAAACAATACCCTTATCTATAACATCCGCATCTGGAGAAAAGACGGACGGGCTCGGCACATTCTGATCTGGCGAGTCGTTTATTTCAGAAGTTACTACTGGTAACAATCTCGCAGAACAGGTCAGGCCTGGGACTTTTAAGCTGCCAACCGTTGTCGCCGAGCTTGGGCTACCGCGGTTCATCGAGATTGAGACGCCTAGACTGCTCAGCTCGTTCACGTCCACGGGTCCAGTTTTCTCTGGAAGTAAGGGGCTCTTCCTGTCGAAAAGCGCGCGCATCGCTTGAACCTCCCTTTCTAGCTCGGCGACTCGAGTATCTGTCCGCTTCCGCTGTTTCCTTTTTTGCGGCGCGGTGAAAACGCACTGGCGGTCCGTCTTCAGGCATCTCAGGCATGATTTGGAGTTGGGAAATGATGAATTAGAAGGATTTGGCAAACATCTAACTTTGTGTAACCGGCAGGCATCGCAAGCGCGGTTGGATGACGGATCTTTGGACGTGAACCGCTCCACTTCCATGATTGCTGTCTCGAAATCGACACAGCGATGCTAGAATGATTTCAATAATATGAAGGCGCAGCTGATCAAGTCTTTCGGGCCTTGGTGTCGAGGCATGCGTCTTGTCGTATTCGAGCACTGCAATGACGAGTTCGTTAATCATGCTGATGCCAAAGGCTGGAATCCAAAAATCGGTGCACTTATAAATCACGTGATAGTAAATTCGACTGCGGTGATCGTGTTAATCGACGTTGGAAGTTGGAGGATATTCTAAGAATTGTAGCTGCAGGTCTCGATATTCACATTGACAGCTAGTTAGGATATATTTCAGCGCAGTAACTCGAGAGGTTTCCCGGCAAGGCCAGATGGGGATAATCAGATCACATGGGGCACAAGTTCAACTGCCGATGCCAAGCTAGTTTAAGCACAATATTCGTAGGCGTTTCCAAGACTTGCTCCTTAACCAACATCAACCTCATATTCAACTCCAACCTCAACCTCAAGTTCAACCTCGGCTTTCCCTGGCATGCCGATGAAAACCTCTATCTCAACACTAGCATAAATGTTTGCACTATAAATCAGATCATTTGTTTTTAAAATCATATGTTTCTATCTGTCGCATTCCCACGCAGGGAGCGTCATAACACATGTGTTGAAGCCTTGTTTATGCCGCTTGGATTTAGTTTCTGCATATATTGTCGTTTATAGTACCCAAGTGGTTCCACCAACCCAGAGTGAGCGCGATGTAGGCGGACCCGGGCCAGCTTCCATTGCGGAGAACACAGGATGTCGATGATTAAAAAACTTCAGTCAAGTTGGGTATAATCTCCACGTGGCTTTTCGTACCTAGTTGTCATGTCCATCAGATTGCGTCTCACATAAATCCGGTATTGACTGCTCAAACTGGTAACGAATAATGCCGATCCGTAGCGAGGTCGAGGGGAAGTACCCCTCGAGTCAGACTCCTCCAGAAGTATACGCTCCAAATATTTTACCTAGTAGGCTGCAGGGGAATTTAATCTCCCGGGCTTTTGCATAAATCCATATTGCTGGGTGTCGTGGTCAATCAGCCTGTGCCAAGAAACATTTGCCGGAAACCTATACAATGTGCAATATTTGCTCTTTTGATAAGTATGATACAGACCCGCAGTGCCTCATCGCTCCCTTGCCGTCGCTCCACGAGACAATTTTATATTGAGCGGTGGTTTCAAAAGTTCCCACAAGTTCGCCCCTAATAATTTCTGGGCCGCGTTACCCAAGCAAGAAAAAAACCTCATTCGGCTTCGACCAAGTCTCGCGATGATGTTTCAAACAATTTTGGTGCTGGCACTACTGGCAATTCTGCCATATGCCACTCCATCGCCTCTGAGCGATCGCCCACGCTCAGTCGGTACGATGACAAGAAGCATTATTACATCAACAATCACATATCCAGACCTTCTAGCGGCAAGGCACATAACGACTGAATCACTGCCTGTAGGAACCACCACTACAACCGCTACTACTACATCCGCCGCCAGTTCTACCACAGAGACCGGCCCCGCCCCGATTCCAACCAAAACAAATGTGAAAGGCTGCCATGTCGAAGGAGTTCCGAACGCATATATGTTATCGAATACGTGGGGAAGTTCCCGAGCTTCCGATGTACTCCTCTGCCAGCTGAAGTGCATGTACATCTCGCAATGCCAGTCCTACTCCTTCCGCGCGCCTTCGACTACTAGAGAGGATAATTGCGTCTTCTACCATATGTTCATCACGAGGGGGCCACAAGGCGTGATTCCAAGTCGGACTAGTGGGATATTCTTTTCGGATAAGTATCCTGGGGACGGAAGCAATTTCTGCTACGGCAGTAGAGAGCTTTAAGGGATCGATTACTGCGAGGGAGGGATAACGCGACAAGGCACCATTCATGTTCTATATGCGCTGGAGGGACGGTATTCAAAAGTATATGGTTTGGTGTATGAGGGCTCGTAATCCGGTTGGAAAGAGAAACCGTTGGACGATAGAACGCCGAGACATCGAGAAACCGATACTATTCTTGTTAATATTCCTGGCTCTAAAATTCCGAAGGCATGGGTGAAAGCTTGTTTGCATGTGATCCCCTTGTTGCCCTTAATTCTTAAGTAGTTCGAGCCACTTCCGTTTTGTCAACCTGTTTGGTAGCTGTTTTATTCGCATCGCCAGACTGAGTCACAAACTCCAAGTTCGGAGCTCATCTCATAGGTCACTAACAGTTCTATCACTTCCGGTTTTCCATTACCACAGCTTCTGCCCTGGGTCATTCCCTAGCTTGTTTACAAGTCGATCTTATGGCATATACTAGAATGCTCCTCCTTGTATATCTCAATTTTGGCCAAGGAAGTGAATCCGTGTTGAGAAAAGCAACCAAGTCGTGCGTACGTGGCATAGATTGCTACTAGTTGAACTACAGGCTTTACAATAATAATTCAACGCTTCATCAAACTTAAACTCTCTCTCGGGAACTAGCCGCTCTTAGAGCATACGTCTAGAAGGCGTGGTCAGATGATCGAATATATCTTGCGCCACAATACAGAGACCATAAGAGATAGTACAAATCTGTTACATCAGATCAGCTGTAAGGTCTAATGGGCTTGCTCTAGCCGGAGCGTTCCGTTTTGACCCAACAAAATCTTATGGTTCTCAGCAGTTGGCTTGCCTGTCTCGCTGTTCCTTGCAGCGTCAGTTCTGAGAAAAGCATCTGAGCTGGATAAAATCTTTGAAATAGATTGCCTCAAAGCCTCTCGTGGACTGTAGTTTCATGATGGAACTAATGTCCTGAAGACTATTTGGCCCTGGGCAAGTCAAAAACTTGATGGAATTTCTACCGCGCAGGTGTTCATGCTAAGTGTCGAACAGCCATGGGCACAAAGAAGGCTTTACTATCTATTGGTGCCCAATACATCGTGGTTACGCTGTGTATTGGCCACTCCATCTATCCTTAATGATGCCGTCAAAGCTCAGTGGTTTCATTATTCATCTATTGTAAGAGCGAGTGGGACTGTATAATGTTTGATTTCCCACCCATAGCTGGAATTGCATAATCTTCTCGACCTCTCTCGCGTTGAGAAAACTAGCCCTGCCCAAACCAATGCCCAAGTTAGGTCTTTTATAATTTCCTACACGTCGACACAATGAATCTAAAATAGCAATAAGCACGCTAGGATATTTTGTTGTCAAAATATTTCTTGATCTTGCTGATTTAAGTTGAATGCTATTCTACCTACCTAGGCATACCTGCAGAGGATCTCCGCTGCAGCTCATGATGCAGGTAATAATGACGATTCCACTAATAGTCGCTATTAGTTACCGTCTTGGGGCTGTCATCTGAAGATCTCCTCACTAGAGGTTTCTAGGGAAGGATGATGAAATAACTAGGGACGATAGTATCTTGTCGTTGGCCATTCACTTAGGTTCAGTTATTTGGATTCCGGCCGGGACCGGCCTCCTCACCCAGCGTGCTGCTGCTCCATCGCCCCTATTTCCTTAGCAGCAGACAATAGGGTTCCCCTATCGCCCTCCCTACGAATCGGGCCCACCTTCCCCACGACTCGGATGGCGTTGCTTTGGGCCGCTATGGGGCCCCGCGATATGTACAGTAACCACTTCGTACTAACAAGGGCAAACCCCACCATCAACCCCGCTTCCCCTCCTGAGGGGGCGACCGCAGAAAGCCCGAAGGACATGTCCTTGCCGCCCTTATCGCCCTTGCACTCCTTGCCAGTCCTTGCGTTGTCAGGGGATGTTCTCTGCAAGCCACCCAGGCGCTTAACGCGGCCACGGTGATGGGCACCACTGGGTTTTCACGGCTAGAAGAGGATAACAGGGCTATTCAGACGCTAAATAGCCTCGGTCTTGTCGTGCATCGGACGGGCTACTTGGGGGCGTAGCAGAGGTGCCCCCTGTTTCCGGCACCAGCTCGAACCACGATAGCCGTTGGAGTTTGTGGCTTGGTGGCTTGATGTGCAGGGAACAGGCTGGCTAGCTTAGTTGTAACGTGGCATCTAGATTTTATACACTCACTGCTGCCTTGAGGTTGTGGTGCGTGTGTTGTGTTTGTAGGGGCCGTGAGAAGGGGGTTGTTTCCGTTGACGAAATTGGGGCTATAGGTCAACGAATAAGTCAAGGTGCACAATAACACTAAAAGTGAAAAGGGGGTTATAATATTAAGCATATAGAGCAGGATATAATAGAGCAGGGCCATTAATTAATTAATTAGCAACATCCTAGTTGTGGGGGTAATAGAGATAGGGAAGTCCCTGCCAAGCTCGCAATGCTGTGTAATATTACCCCATATTCTGACATGTGTGCGGTACCTGACGCAGTTACAGTAGCCTCCCACACAACTGAGTTTGAAGAATCCGGGGGGCGGCTCGGGACTTGGCCTTGCTCCAAGAAGCATTAATCGTCGACTATTACGCTATTGATTTTATTTGTAAGAATGGCTTTCGAAGCTAAGATCGTCCTTTGTCCTCCTATGCTTTTCGGACCCTTACGGCTCTGGTCGGGTGGTCTGTGTCTGTCTGACATGGTGTTGGGAATCTGCGGGCCGTGTTATTCAGAATGAAAACTTGGCAATTGCGGCAGGAAAAAATCTTTAAGATATACAGAAAGGAGTAATAAGCAAGGCCTTTCTTTTAGAGTTAGAAGATGATCGAGGACACTAGGAACAGTAAATTATAGGTCAAGAAGATAGTCCTTTAAATCATATCATTATCTCATGTCATTTTTTCATATAGAACACATGTCGCCAGTATGCGACCTTGTCATGATCATGTCATTTCCCACTTGGCTTCGCTGCGACTTAGTGCAATGGCTTTCCAAGTCATTCCACACACGAGTCGGTCTACCTCGGGTATAGAAGTAAAACCCTTCCGCCAAGGCTCCATCTCCAGCCTTTCCACCAATAATAATAAAAATGCTCCAAGCGTGTCATACTCGTACTCCGGCGTGGGTATAAGGTATAATGTATAATAAAAGTAGGTGTAAGCGTGTCGCATTGTGAGCCTAAATGCCAAGGAAAACCTCAAGTGCCTAAGCTTGGAAATTCCCTATCGTTTTGTGATCTGCCATTGCAACGGTTGCCTGCCTTGTGATGAGGTCAACCGTCGTGATTCCGTTAATCGTGGTTTCTGGTGGCCAAATAGTCTGGTCCGTTCGTTCATGTTTTGTACATCGATGCAAAGACTCAACCAAAGCTCCAGATATGCAAGGCAACCTTGACCACTCAACATAGCCGGGCGTAGTAACCATTAAAATTCCGAAGTGCGTGATATGTCGTCGTCAAACCATAATCCACTCTCCTTCTACCCCCTCCATAAATTTAGTCCACTTAAATGGGCCGCCAAATACAGCCTTGCCATCTTCTCCGCTATCCCGCCACAGCTTCTCTAAAACCTCTAGCCCGGCAAGGTTGTTAAGATAGCCGCTCCTTCCCATAATCTCCCTGCACTTCGTGCGGACAATTCCTTGCTGTAACTCATTGACGCATTCACTGCCGCTAATGAATAGCGGCCACAATAGGAATTTTTCTACGCTTGATCCCTGCTCGAGACTCGTGACATAGAATAGAACTTGCGAGACAAGGTTCTGAAAATTGAGATGCGAGGAGGGGAGGTTGGGACATGCTAGGCGTTCTGTATATAGGAGGGCAGCGTAGCGAAAGGCTTCCGAAACATATCCGAAGTCTCTTAGCTGCGTAGGAGAGGGGGTAGCGGGAAGTGTGGAGACGAGGCGTGATGGGTCGAATTCCCATTCTTGAAGGGCTTGGCGTGCTGCTTTCCACTCGGTCCAGAACGTAGTCCGCAGGTCATCATGCGAAGCGGAAGAGGTGAGAAGCGAAAATGCGGCGTCGTCATCTAGGGTGGAGGCAAAGCCATTACCATCGAAGTTATGCGCATGTAGATTGTAGAAATCAACGAGGGCTCGACCCGCCAATCGGGGCCGTGGATTTGGAAGTGAAGGACGGCGCCTCTGTGTCATCGGCGAGGCATCATCGAGGACAGGGCGGTGTTGGGAGAGCATGTTGAGTCGGCCAAGTTTGGCAATAGTTTTAAAGAGGAAAGCGTCGCAGCCCGTCATGTTCTCAAGGGCATGGTTGGAGTTCGAGGGATTGGCGATCATATCTAGATAGCCGCCTCGAAACTGTGCTTCTCGATCATTGATACTCGCGGCGATGCCGTCAAAGTAAGTGAAGAGCGTCTCCATCCAGCCCCAATTCCCGGTTTCAACTCCAGATTCGCGCATCCCAAGAATCTTTTTCACGCCCGCAAATTGTACTTGGAACTGTGCAATACCAGACTCGCACATTCGATAATGACAAAGTATGAATAAAGTTGCTAGGACGCAATCGTGACGTGCTGTAGAAGGGTCCCCAAGTTGCTGATTTAAGAGATAAACGGCAAGCGACCGATGTTGATACTCTTCTTGAAGCGAAGCATCTAGTGATTTGATGTCGGGCGATATTGTGTTGTTTGAGGTTCTCCGGGTATGAGAGGGACGAGGAGGAGGGGAATTGAGGCGATCTTGGAAGTCCAATTCAAGCGGCCGAAGCCAACTCCCTTGGCCAAGCGATTTCCTGCGTTTCATGCGAAGATTGCAGGCGGAAAGTGCGCAGATGGCATGTTGGAGACTCCTGCTAGAGGAAGCAAGGCTGAGGATGTGCTCTCGGTATGGGTTATTCGGCGTATCGATCACAACCACGGAGGGGCATATGATCTTCTCATAATAGTCTAGGAAGAATGGTATCCGAGGTGACATATCTGCGGAGGAGGACATTGATTCTGAGCTAGAGAAATGATAGGCATCTGCCTCGGAAGCTGCCTGTGAGGCTACATCATCATCATTGATAGAGTTCCAGCCAAAGTGGCTTGATCGAGCACTGGTGGCATATACCTCTAAGTCATTTGACACATGGGATGCTCCTTGAAGCTGTCAGCGACTTAATATCCGTAGAATAGGTAAAATATAATTTACCCATCATATCGTCATCATAGAAGATGTCATTGGTGTTTGAAGACGCATGCTGTTGGCGGCCTTCAGCAATATCATAGAGATTCTGGTGTGAACTCAGACTCGAGCTGATATCTGACTGAGAATAGAAGCGCTCGGGGCAGGAGGTGGGCCCACGGGAGTCCCCCATCAGACCAACCACCGGACTTTGGTCTGCTGTAGAGTTGCGGGAAGAAAAGTCGGTATAAATTGGCATTGGACTTCGAAGGAAAGGTGGCGGTTCGTCGCCCTGGAAAGACTGGCTCATGGGGGAGGCGTTGTAGTCGCTGTCAGTATATGCGCTCAGTGACTCGAGCGAGCTGGATATGTGTAGATTATCAGACCTGCCAAGACTAAGAGTATGTGTATGGAGTCGGTGCAAATGAGGGAGCTGTTTTTGGTGGCTCATGCCGTCCTGTTGATAGTCCTGTAGGGGATAGTCTTGAGGATGGCTCAGATTCCACTCGGGCATCTGCATTGACGGGGCGGCTCCATTGGGGGCCATGTTGACAAAGTCGTAGGTAGTAAAAGGGTTAACGGGCATCGACGCCGCCGCCTCCATCTCGATCTTGATCTTGGTCTTGACATCGTCCCCGTCGTGGGTTGGGCTCTCGCGCGCAGGGGAGACGATGGAGGAGGTTCGGGGGCGGCCCGTGACAGGACTCCTTACTACGGGCGCAGACTTCGCAACTGGCAGAGACAACCCACGCAGCTTTCCTCGACTGGCCACACCCACGCCCCACGTCAATTGAGTCTTGTATCCCGAGCATTCTTTGCCAACCTCGAGGCATTGCGAGCAGTATGGCCGTCGGCGGTCACATTTGGAGTTGCGTTTGGAGCAAGCGAAGCAGTCGTCCGAGGCACCGCTGGCGGGCGCTCTTCGACGCCGCTTGCGCTGTGGCACTGCCGTCGGTGGATCCGAAGCGTCACAGGATGCTGGAGCAGGACACGGGAGCGGGAGCGTCATGGCGAAGAGGGCAGAAGACACCTGCCCACAGCAGATAGTTGAGAGGGAGAAGGAAACAAAGGCGTATGCGGGTAGGTGTGAGGGTTTGTGGGTAAGAAGTAGAGGCAAGTGGATAGGTAGAAGAAGAAAGAAGAAGGGGACGAGACGTCCGGTCAAGAATGATGCAGCTGCAACGTCGAGCACATTGGGGCAGCTTATGAGTGAGAATAAGCAACAGGAACAGCAAGGCGAGAAACAAACATCTTTGGGCTGAGCCGGATCTGGCTCGTGGGATGGGGGCAGAAGAGGGTTATGAACGGCCTCTGACGACGACCACGGTCCGGAGGGCAGTTAGTGGAGGCTGCCCTGCTGCTGCCAGCGTGCCAGGTGCAGTCGCAGGGCAGCGATGGGGAAGGGAATCGACGTCGATGGCCCTAGGGTTCATTTCAAGGTCAAGGTCCACGTTCCATGGAGATCACCTTGCAAGGGCAAGGCGAGTGCAAGTACAAGTGCCAGGGACCAACGAACCGAGGACAGAAAACGAACGAACGGACAGCTGCACTGCACCGCAAGCGCTGGTGTATGTATGTGCTCTATACAAGGACATGTACGAAGGGGGTTGCGCCGAATGGACGGGGAGGCAGCTCTGAGCCGTCGACAGAGGGTGGGCAGACAGCTAATCAGAGCGGGTGGAAGCCCCAGAGAAGCCCGTTGCAGCTTCTATACATTGTTGCAAGCGTTGCCCCCGTTGCACGAGTCCCAGCCAACCATGGGCGTTTCCCTGGCGGTTTTGTCTCTTGTTGAACACCTCCTTTTTGAGCAGCTCTCGGCGGTGGACTCTGGGTGTTGCTTAGCTTCCCGAGTCCTTCGTACATCGTACATGTACTGACCTGATCCCTCGTCCTCTCTATCCCCCCGCCTTTCCCTCCCCCTCTCGCCCCCCGAGCCATTCCCGGGGCCCTTCTCCCTCCCTGTCTGCTCGAGTCGATGATGCTCCGAGACGCATGTTTTGCTAGGCCCGCCGCTGGGCTGCACGTCCACTCGAGGGGCGGCCATGATCACAAGCCTCAGCCAAGGGCTCCAGAGGAGGATTTCCCACGGCCGGCGTCAGGATTTGAGATTGAGGCTTGACGTACGGAGTATCTGACATTAACCTTAAGGCGATCCTACTCCCTACTGTAGACTTCGACCCGTGCTGTCCAAGCAGAGCTGCGTCCCGGATCCCTGTGAGAAAACTAAACGCCGGGATCGATAGAGACCTTGGACTTTGACCTCTTTGTGCGGCGTGCCCGTTGCGATCCACAACCCATACCTGCAGCAGTCCTACGATCCTCTCTCATGATTATCACATTCTACAAGCGCGATCAGATATCTACGGACCCGTACCCTGCGGATAAGGGAAAAAGGCCTTCTAGCACCCGCTGTTCGTGGGCCGACTAGTTTTCTTATCTCAGAGTTCCTATACGTCCCGGCTTGTGCAACGTCTCTGGCCAACCTATTTGCAGCTCCACTCGCTCCGTCGCAACGATAACTAGCCATGACCCTGCCTGCCATGGCCGGAGATGAGAGGAGGAGGGTATCCAGATATCCAGATATCCAGCGAGAGAGGAGAAAGGAGAGAGGAGAGCGAGAGAGGGGATCGGGTGCCGAAGCCACTGACGGCGGGTGATGGGGAATTGACCGCGCAGAAGTGGCACAGGCGGCATTTCCGGTGCCAAAGGCTTGAATCCGCTTGTGGTGTCCGCCGTTTGTTCGTGGCGCAAATGGGCGTTCGTCCGTTCTGCTCATACCCGCCGCCCCGCCGCCCTATCGACGACCTGCAACCAAAACACCAAAACACCAGGCAGTCCAGCTTCTATTCCCCGTGCATCCCGACGTCTCGGCCAAGGCACATCGACCAGCTCGTTGGTTGCCCGCGATAAGAAAACTCTGGTACCGCAGATAACGGCGTCATCAAGAATCAATTCCCTGGGCCTTCCACATGCATGCTGGATGGGTTTCCCAGTGGACTGACGGCGAGGGGCACACCGCACCGCAACGCACCGCTCTCTGCTTCCAAATACCAAATGCAGAGCTGACCGTACAGCACACATGCGAGCCCGGTACCTGTGCCTTGGAAGGAGTATTATTTGGGGGACTGGCGGTGGTGGACGTGGACGTGGTCATGGTCATGGTCATGGCTGTGGTCGTATTTGGCATCCTTCAATCAATCTATCCTCGCACACATACATGTACGTACTGTACGTGGGTAGCACAAGACCGAAGCAGACCCTACTCTGTCTGGAGTCTGTACAAAAGCCCTTGAAAGTGGGGAGTCCAGGAGCCCAGGATGCCAGCCAGGGCTCCAAGCCTCGGCATGCTCGACAGCAAACGGAGTAGACAATAATAATACCATAATTACGAAGCACTACGACTTCGTACGCATATGGCCCTCCCATCCTGCCATACCGTCCTCCCATTGCGAATTCCTGCAGGCGATGCCATCGGCCGGCGAGCGCCCTTTGCCGTTGGAAAAGTGCGCCGAGCTTGCCACCACCAGCCACGATCGCACACCGGTCGCTTTCGATGCCAACCAACGGCGCCATTGGATATATTAGCCTGGGGGGGGGAAGGGGCTTTCTCAGTCGGCGGACGCTAGAAGGATTGGAAGCTGCACAGAACGTTTTCCAGCCACCAAACGCCCTTGGAAGCCGCCGAAGCACGACAGAATCACAGAATCACCGGGCGCTGTCAGCCACCCCTGCCGGAGCGCCTCCAGGCCGAAGGATATCTCCCGGGGGCCAATCGAACCGGGCATTCTCCCAGCGAGCAACCTTGGGCTCGGCGACATGTCGAGTCGTGAGGATATAAGGACGTGGTACATGTGCTGTACATGTACTGTACATCCTGGACGAAGTGCATACATGGTATCTGCGAACATGGATTCGACATCTCACTACTACTCGTACGTACATACAGAGGACAGTACCTAGGTACATTTACGGAGTTGAGCCAGTTGGCCCGCCTGGCGATCCCTGTCTTGGCCTGCCTGGTCCTTCGAAGAGGTATTTGCCGATTCCCCCCCCCCCCCGTGGTCTAATAAAGCCGTGCCCTCAAGGTGCAAGAGTCAGGGCCTCTCGTGCAAACAAAACCACCTACCTTACGGAGCACCTAAGTACTCTACGGAGTAGACTATGAAGTCTGAACAGAGTAAACAGTCCGCCTCACATCGCAAACTCTCCTCCACCACCATGGCTTCACAAGCTTTCCTAGGTGTGGGCTCTGGGCCGCTTGCAGTCTGGGCCATCCGATCAGGGTGTTCCCCAACAAAAGAAAAGCACACAGCAGCCTAGTGTGAGCGATCAGTTCCTCGAGATCACAAATGCAGACTGTTACGTACAGCACACGAAGCACTCCGTACAGCGTCCTAGCACGAAGTATTACGTTTTCCAGGCCACCCCATGGGCTGTGTGCGAGACTGCCAGCGTGAGAAAAGGTATCCGGCGGCCAATGCCAAAAAATGATCGTCGACGGGTTCAAGCTTCAAGGTTGTAAAGCGAACAGCAGTTTCTGGCGCCATCTCCGTTCTCGCCGTAAAGCCCTGCACCCCGACTGACAGAAGATTGACAAACCCCGTGCTGATAGAGCGGCCGAGACCAAGAGCATGGGGATGGCGACTCCCGTGATTCTGCGCTTGCCCCCCTCTGTCCGCAACAAGCCGGCCGGGCGAATCAGGAAGCGGAGCGCTGCCAACCTGGTTGGGAGCCGAAAGGATTCGTGCTGGACGGCGATTCCTGTAGACTTGTACTGTACTTCGCACATGTACCGATACTGCTAGGCCGACCAAAGCGATAGCGACAGCAGCCCGGACGAAGTACAGTACATGCGAGGAAAACTCACGAAGTGCGTCCGGACCTTGCTGACAACTTGCTCCGTACAAGACACAGAGCGGGTGTGAAGTATGGAGCATACTGTACCTAGGTAGCAAAGTGCATGTGAAAGACCAGCTATATCGTCTGTTTTGCGATTTCGCAGGCAGTTCAACTGTTCCCCCTCTTTTAAACTTCAAATATTGTGAAGGGAGAAAGGGAGAAAAGAGGTACGGGGTTGCTCGCAAGAAGACCTTCGACTTCCCTCTCGCTCCATCATCTGCCGAGAAGAGACAGGTAGAGCAGCGCAGTGTGCCAACTACCAACTACCAACTGCCACCAGTCAGTGACCGTGATGATAATGAGTTGAGCGCACCACCTCGAGTCGCCGACACGGCCGTGACCGAGAATCGTGGCCCACTGTTACTAGGCTGATGGAACGTTACCTCGGAGCTCCGCCCCTATTGGCTGGCTCGCCCTGGGCGGTCTCACCCTTTCATACTCGCCTTGGCCAGGAAGCATCACAAACTCCACAGCACAAATACTCGCTCCGCGGTGGTGGTGGTGGTGGTCATCCAGCATGGGCAGCATAGACAGCATAGACAGCATATCTAGACAGCATACACACATAATAATAGGCACATGATTCCCCTCGACCTCCCTCCAGACGATGTCAGGGTTGCTCGCAGCAGCATTTTAATCTACCCCAATATATTTCCACGAGGCTCACTTGTGGATAGCAGACTGCTGAGTTGGTCATGATGGAGCCCATATCGGGACCCGCTGGCTCTGCGAAGAATGGTATCAAGGCATTCGCCAGGTGTGACCCGTATCGCGATATGAAAAGGAGCGCAGTGTGGGGGTCTTTGATTGCAGCTATCAAACAGAAAGGCCCCAATCGTAATCGAAACTGTCATCCGCGATATTATCGATCGATAACAGTCCCCGATGTTTGCTATTTGGAGTTGCGAGACGTTGACGGCGGCTCCCGCTTTTTGCTCTTCCCAAGTTTTAGCCCTTTACGGGGGACTCCGTACTATCTGGACAGGACAGGGTACATTTGTTCGATCCTTTTGATAAGGGCCTTTGTATGAAGCAAAGCAGCTCAAGTGCTCTTATTTTCTGGCTGGCCGGCTGAACCTCGGGAAGGTCAATTTTCTATCTTTAATCCGCGATTGAGATCACGTGAAGATAAGATAAGCCTAAAACCTTGACGCCAAATATTTGCAAATTCTCCAAAACTTCCTGAAATTCAGGAAGTACCACCAGGAACCTCCCCATACCACCGTCTAAGTCCTAACACACAAGCCATCATGGGTCGCGAACTACAAAAGAAAAAGAAGAGATCTTCGATCCCGAAGATCAAAATGAAGCCAAAGTCGAAGCGTGTCAACCCCATGGGCAACCCGATCATCGCCGCTAATTGGTAATCCCACCCCATCTTCCCATCTGCATATGGGACATCCCCAGCGCAAATAAGCTACATCTATGTCCAGGTGGTTAATGTTGTATTTCAGGAATTCGCAAGAAACTTTGACGCAAAACTATCGACGGCTGGGCCTGACCTCTCGGCTCAACTCTGCAACCGGCGGTATCGAGAAGTTACGCCCTGGTGCGGAATCTACGACCTCCACCACAAACAAACTAGCTATCTCCAATGCGCTTCCAAAGACGATTACCCCTACGGAAGCCAGAGTGGAACGAGACCCTGAAACAGGCAGGATCATACGTGTCATCCATGCTCCCTCGAAGCCCAACCCTTTAAACGATCCTCTAAATTCAGATTCCGATGATGAGGAAATGGCCGATGATGGGGAAGAATTCGAGGGCTTCAATAGCGCACCTGCGACTGGGAAGGCACAGAACAACATTGTGAAGCAATTGGAAGAGATGGCATCAAGAGCCCAAGAGAAAAAAGAACGGAAACAGAGCGAGAGGGAGATAGAGTGGATCGAGCGACTGGTCACAGCGCACGGTGAGGATTACAAGCGGATGGTGCGAGATATGAAACTCAATCCTATGCAACAGACGGAAGCGGATATCAGGAGACGGGTGGGGAAGTGGAAGGCTTCCGGCGGTGAAATCGCTGTATAATGAATCCTACAATTGACAAGGATATGGCTGGCGCCTGGAGTTTTGTGTGTAAGGTCGTCAGCACGATTCTTTCATCTTCTACCTACGTATATCCAATGAACTTACATGCTCAAATTTCGGATGCGCCGAGTATCAACTCATAGGACATCTCGATGATTTTCCCTCGAATGGCGTTACCCTGGAGGCACAAATGCTGCGGAAGTCCCCCGGGGTATATGCAGAGGGGAGACACCCCAGATCTGCATATTTGACATCACGGAAGCTGCCACACTTGCATATAACAACCTTAACTCACATTGAACCTTGAACACCCTTTCCAAAAGCCTTCAACGTTAGAAGTCTCCGAGCGCAATTTTTTGGAACCCCTGTGTTGCACTTTTTCACGGGAAATAGCAGTCCATTAAGCCGTGTAATATCTCGTCAGCTTCGCAAGACAGGCATCCGAGTGGTTGGGCATGGCTCCTTGTTTCTTTTCGTGGCTCCTTGTTTATCGTTTATTCTTGTACATACAGGAGGGCTACACCTTGGGATATACGCCACGCTATAGCCTGGGGTGTGTTATACGAGTTTCGTCAATTATGATTGTTACATTATTATGCACCCCGGGATGTGGGGGTGGGGGTTGGATCGGAAAACAATGCCCTGGACTTTCCCCCTTTCTTACTACTTAACTCTCAGTATGTCGCTACCTTGAACAAGTCCCCCCTTTTTTTTGGTAGGCTTTACTCGCTTTTACAGGAACTCTATACTTTGGCATTTGCTTTGCTAGGGAGAAGACAAGTTTCTCCACTCTAGCCACGAATTATTACTACTGTAACTAGATATTCACATACATCAACGACAGCTTATCTCACTCCGCTACACTTGCGCTATTTCCTTGTTTCTGCCTTGAAGTATGGTGGTGATAACAAACCCAGACCTTTATCTTGAACTACCCATTGGCCTCCCTTCCTTGTAGGATTCAAAGCGTCCCTTCACAATACAATATATTGAATTTTCTTCCCTCTATAGTATCCATCAAAAGTCTCTCTACTACGCCAGTGCACCATAAATATGGAATCTGCTATTCAAATCTGGTAGGTTAAACAACATATTAAGGATAGCTATGAGCTTCTTGTATAGCCACTTCATCTAAGCTCTAGGAACTCCTATCTCTTGAACAGTCCTCCCGCTTCTCGGTCGTTGGCCGCTTTGATATACAAGCCTATGGAATTTATCATGTTCTTGTAACTTTTTACCAAGATAGCTTCTCCTCAGTAGTTGTTGCCTTGAGCACTTCTACTAACCAAGCTGCTACCTACCTAGGTAGTTTATACCCAATCAACTGCTATACCATGTTGTCGTTTTTAATTTATTGAGGCTACTATGGGTAATTTATAATTTGATAGCTCATTCATGCTCTAAATATGTGGCAAATTTCATACTACATTTTCATAATCTAGAGTCGCCCTAAGAAGAAGTCTTCATTATTTCGCATTCCTTTCTTTCCCTCTTCTATTGACTCTGAAATATCACCACTAACTCGTACACTTGTTAAGTACAAGTAAAAGGGTACACGCATATATTTACATCCACTCATACACGGATCCCACTTCTACCCCCAAGATGCAAAATGCCCGTTTCCTTACCGCCAACAGCTAGGTGGGTTGAGACTAGAGTATTCAGATCACCCTGTAGTAATATTATTCTCATTACAATACGTTTAATCCCATTAGTCATAGTCCAAAACACAAAGAGAGTAAGATACACACCCCTAGGTATCATTAGAAGGCGTGGCGGTAACAAATAGCACTGTTATTACCCAGGTACCTAAAGTAGATAGCGGATGGTGAGGTAATGAAAAATACTCTTTGAGTCTAACTTTGTATTGGTGAGGTCAGAGAAGTTCGGGAACTTTTTGGTTAAATGTCGTTCATAGTTCATATCTCACCTCATTCCTTCCCCATATTTATGAATGTGCTACTTCCCAATATGCCATCACAACCCAGCACGGGTTAGCTGGAAGTTGGCATATCGACGACTGCGTATCTCGAGGAAAGTCAAGGCTTATTAGACGCAACTGCTATTCCCCTACGGACATTAAGACCCCTAGAGCCTAGTCCCCATATTGACGTGCACAGCCTTAACCTGCGTGTACCCCGCAAGGCCAGCCTCACCTAGCTCGCGTCCAATACCACTCTGCTTGACCCCCCCAAACGGAATTCTCCAGTCCGAATCATTACTACTATTAATCCAAACCATACCGGCCTCAATATTCCTGGCAACCCTATGCGCACGTGTGAGATCGCGTGTGAAGACAGCACTACCAAGTCCGTACATAGTATCATTAGCCATGTTAACAGCTTCTTCCTCGGTGCTGAACGAAGCAATGACTACGAAGGGCCCAAATACTTCTTCGCGGTAGATCTTCATGCTAGGTTTGACCCCAGTAAAGACAGTTGGAGTGATGAAGAAGCCCTTTTCCGAGGCGCTGCCCTCCTTGACGAATGCTTCCCCACCAGCGACTAGTGTGGCGCCTTCTTCTATGCCAGTTTTTACGTATCCTAGGACTCGCTCATGTTGTGATTTGGTGATTTGTGGCCCTTGGAAGGTTGTTTCGGCGAAGGGGTCGCCGACCACGGAGACTTCTTGGACTTGTTTCTTGAAGGCTGAAACGAAGGAGTCGTAGATTGAGTCTTGAACTAAGATGCGGGAAGTGGCGGTGCAGATTTGGCCTTGGTTGGACATAATTCCTTGGGATATCAATATACGAGAGAAAACAACGGAGGTGGAAGATACTTACCGACATGCGCCCACTTGACCGCTTGATCAAGCTCAGCATCAGCGAATACAATAAGAGGCGACTTGCCACCCGTCTCCAAGGTGATATTCTTCATATTGACAGCAGCCATCTTCATAATCTCCTTCCCAGTGGCCGTACTTCCGGTAAACGCAACCTTATCAATACCCAGATGGGTTGCAATGGCCGCTCCAGCCTCCCTTCCGTATCCATTGAGGATGTTAACCACGCCAGGAGGGAACCCAGCCTCTTTAATCAGGTTCGCGAAGTATAGAATACTCAGCGGCGTTTGCTCTGCAGCTTTGATGACAACTGCATTTCCGCAAGCCAACGCGGGACCTAATTTCCATGCCGCCATTGCAAGAGGATAATTCCAGGGAATTATCTGCCCACAGACGCCCACCGGCTCCCTGATCGTATATGCAAATTTCGAAGGTCCGACATCAATCGTCTGCCCATGGATCTTGTCTGCATATCCGCCATAATATTTCAAACAGCCTTTGACCTCCTCAACATCCCCGCCTAGGGAGTCATTGTATGGCTTTCCGTTATCCCACGTTTCAATTGTAGCCAGCGTTTCCGCATGTTTCGCGATCAGATCAGAGAGAGTAATCATCATGTTTCCGCGGTCTGTGGGAGATATATCCCGCCAGGAGGGATCTTTAAGGGCCATGCGAGCTGCAGCAACGGCTGTGTCAACGTCCTCGGGGGTTGCTGCGTAAACGGAGGTGATTTCGGATTCATCACTAGACAAGTGTTAGCTTGAGTATCGGCCGGAGAGAACAACGACGTACGTAGGGTTGATAGAAGTTAACTTCTGGCCATTGCTGCTCTTTACCCATTGATTGTTGATGAACAGACCAGTTGGTTGGATGTACTTCCTACCATTGGGAGCTGTGAGCTCGACTGCAAGGTCGGACATATTGCTCGATAGAATGCTGAGTGAGCTGTAAAAGCGGGTGCTAAATTTGCGGGCTTCGAGGCAGGGACCGATGGGAGGTGAGCGTTGCTTAAGAAAACAAGCTGCAGGTCGTATATTTATTTGCTGAAACGCTATCCTTCTGACCTGGGCCGGTAACGGTAGAAGAGTCTGGATCATCTGGGAACACGATAGGAAAGGAGCTTTACAACAGGACGCAGAGTCATATGTCATGTAAGGTGTGGTGCGTGGAGGTGGTAGTGATATGTGGTCTGAATAGCTTCCCACATCAGACAAGATCGTCGGAAAGGATTACCGAAAGCGGTCAAGCGCCTAAATGCCCATCCCCCGCCATGCAGCATAAAATATCCGTATTTGGGGTATAGTACCTGCATGTTGTTGTTGCAATAAGGTAAGCTACCTTACCTATGTACTCCTTTGACAGTAGTGGTGTAAGTCCTGACTGCCTACTAGTTATATATGACATCATACACCGTTCTATTTGCCAGAGCTGTGAGTTATTTTGCAGCTCTATCTCTTGCGTCGTATTCCTTTTTGATCCTTCCATCGTTATGGGTGGTGGGACAGCTAAGACAACGTTTTACTTAAAATGGACTATTCGATGAAATATAAGGTATGTTCAACTTGCCTGTCCTCGCCAATGTCTATATACTCATACTGCTGCGCTGATGTCAATAAATACAAATTACCGCCCCAAACCAACTCCTGGTCAGATGAAAACGATCTTTTCAGATATACATGGCCCTTTTTATACAGTGTGCCTTATAAATCACAACCCTGGTTCCGCCTGTTATTCCATTCTTGTCCTCCTCAATAATCCTTCTTACAACCCAATATCTCCTGGAGATTCGCGGCCATACTTGGTCCGAGCCCAACCAATCCTCCACTCCCACCTTGAAAACCGAGCCGAAAGGCGCCGCCCAGTTAGACCCCAAGACTCCCATTCACCTGTCAGAGCCTTAGACATGCCCGAAAAGCATAAAAGAAACACCATGCCACGCTCCCCAATATGAAAATGCTACACCGCTCCAGCTTCAGGCTAAGCTCTCAACAACCACCAGGAACTCCCGCTCCAAAAAAACAATAAACACAAACGACGAATATAAGGCAAGGAAATGGGTATACGCCAGTCCATCAAGGGTATATTCGCAATGTTAGGACAATAAAGATCGTAGGGGATAGATAGCTTCGAAATGACAATTTTCTTCGGTCGCCCGGTATTATGTAACTCTTATCTCGCTAGTTCGCTATGTTCTCAAGACTGAATAGTGCCGATGGCGATGGTAATTATGACGATGACCTATGACGGTCACGGGTTTTGTTGTAAGGGATATAGAAATACACAAAATAGATATGTTGATTGCTTGCTAGCTTGCAAGGAATGATGACACCGATGAGGGGTAGGAGTTCGGAAGTTCTGAGTCGAACTGTGCAAACGGATTATGGGTTGTGGTTCCATCACAGTCTAAATCTAGAATTTTTATGGATGTGCGGGAGAGAGAGGTTCTAGCGGCGGGAATTGTCTCCAGGCCAGCCCCGCTCGTAAGGTCCTCGAGAATAGGGATCAAGAGGCGGTTGGGGACCTAGGGTGGCTGTAGGGGCTTGGGTTGAAGCTGGACTTTGTGAGGCATTTGCGTTCTCCATTCGTAGAGGAGGCAGGCTTTGAGGGCCTTGTGGCGGAGCTGAGGGATAACCAGGCGCCTGGACTGGAGGCAGTGTTGCAGCTGGCGGATGGGAGTATGGTAAACTGGTAAAATCGCCTTGGGCATCCATTCTGCGTCTCCGAGGAGCTCTCTCCTCAGCAGGAGCGGTGGATTGAGAGCTGTAATTTGGAGGGTTGGGCGGCCCTCCAAGCTGCTGCCCCCCAAATTGCTGCGCTGCACGTTGCTGCCCCTGGCCTTGAAATGAAGAACTCGCGGAACGCATAGAAACGGGGCTCGGCGGTGACTGTAGGGCTAGATGTCGCATTTCAGCGGTGCTAAGCATAGCATCACGCAGCCTATTCCTCTCCCCTCTGTAGAAGTCCCTTTCTTGCTCCGTCTCTCTCACCTTTCTCTCCAAATCTCTCGTTTGCTGCTGCAGCTTATCGATATTGGTGGAAGCCTCTCTCTCCTTTTCTTTTCTGCGTTGCCGGAATCGCGCCGAGGCTCCTGCGTTGCGCGCACGCTTCTCGTCAGCTAACCGTGACGCCTGGTGTACATCCACTGGTACTTGATACTGCCCTGATGACGTGGTAATCGTCAAGACTTGGATGGGATCGCTAGCTGACGTCTGCCTTGAGCTACCTGCAGGGTTGGAGTGCAGAGAGCTGCCTCCTCCTGGTGTCTGGGGAACGGGAGCACTGTACGGACCTTCTGTTGCACCAGATGGCCCTTGATATTGCATTCCTTGCATTCCGCCACCACCTGGGGTCTGTTGTATGGACGTTCCAAACGTGGAGCTGGGAAAGTAGGAAGATGTTGCTTGGGGACCGTGTCCACCTTTGTGGAAGAGGAGTGATGCAGGAGATGTCTGGGCTGAAGATGGGTTTTGCGATGATGCTGAGATGCTAGGACTTGCGCTTTGAGATAACGGGGCACGACTAGGACCATGCATGGTCGGCATGCTGGTTCGTCGATCGTTAGACGGTGTTGAGACTGATGGAGGATAGCCACTGTGCTGGTGAGATTGGGTAGGTGGGATGGGTACCAGTGGCACCTCTGACGATGTCCCTGACTCCATAGTGTATGACCTTCCCCTAGCGGGTAGAAAGGGGGATTGATGCGCATCAATATTCCCCCTTCCACGCCCTCGTCCCAAGCTCAGTGCCCGAGATGGAGATCTCGGTGTTAAAATCCGCCGTGGCTGAGAAAGAATTGGGCCATAACCTTCTGCTGATGGTGGACTGCCCGAAGCAGGTTTAGGAGCGGCGAATGTATGCGGTGTGCCTATCGAGCGGCTCACCCCGAATTGTGAAGTAGCGCTAACAGCTTGAAGCGGTGAGTCTGTAATTGTTCCACTGGGTCGACGACTAGGGACTCCGGTGCCTTCCGGCTCAGTAGGATTTAGGATGGAATAAACTCCTAGATCACGCGATGGTCCCGGATGTCTCCAGTCCTCCCCGCCTAATGCCAACTGCGATGGTCGGGAATGTGGAGGGGAAGCTGGTAACGGTTGCTGTGGACCTCGACCTTCTACCTGCGGTCGTTGTCTCTCCACCTGTGGCCCTGCCTGCTCGAGGCCATCTCGAACCTGAACAGATGGCAGTACTATTCCGTGACCATCCGGAGGTGAGCGAGATGCAGGACGAGACGCAGGAGGCCTCTGCGACATCGAGTCCTGATCCCCTAACCCTTGATGGTCCCACGGACCGGGACATTGACGTTTTCCACGTCCTTCCCAACTCTGCTGATAGCTATGAAGCTTATGGACGAAATCAGCAAGGCGCCTTTCAAGTCCTTCCGGGGATGGAATTTCCGCAGACCGACTTAATTTCGGAGATATATCCTGTTCTCTTGGGGATTTTGCAAAAGTTGAACTTTCGCACAATGGGCGACTTAGAAGATCTTGAACAGCCACAGCGAATAGGTTCCTTGGGTTTGATTATTGAGAGTAAGTGAGTGGTGAATCGTCGGCGCAGGTTGCTATTCCGAGATTGGGGGGTGAGCGCAACTTGTTTGTATCGCATCAAGAGCGGAGCATTGCTTGCTTGTTCGCTCGCTTGCGTTCCGCGCCTGGACCTCTTGCAATGTATATTTGTTTCTTGTTGTGCGGTGAGCGGTGTGCGCAGGGATAATGGAGCTGTTGATGAGGACTGTAGAGACCGGGATCAAAAACAGACAATATCGAAGAGCAGACAATGATCGCTGAAGAATCAATCGCTGGAGAACCAGACACTGGATGTTAGATCGTGCTTGTAGGACAACTATTCGAAGACGACGAGGGCCAGCGGAAATCGTACGGAAACAGGCGGGGATGAGGACTTCGATATTTTGGATAGCGAGCCAGTAAAGAGCGCAGAGAGAAGGACGGTAGTATGATTGGCCACCAAAGATTAATCGATCAAGTAAGAAAATAGGATTGACTTCGTGTCGTTCTAGAGGCTGACTGGTGAGGGAAAAAGGCTGCAGCTCAGTGTGTTGTGCGGGTGGATGGCGGACGATGGCGGACGAGGAGTGGTGTTTGGATGACGCTTTTTGACAGAAGTAGCCCTCCGCAGTTTTCCTTTTCCACACGCCTGCAGTTTTATTATTACACGGGGACCCCCAAGCTTTTGGCTCTTCGAATCATTCTCAACACCTCCCTGCTGCCGGGCTGCCCAGTGCCCAGTGGTGTGCACACATGGGGTTGCCCACAGACCTTTGGCAGCCCTTCACACCGTCCCAGCAATCCAGCACCAAAGAGATCAACGCTGCGCAGGCTGGCAGGGTTGGAGCCAGAGCGGGTCTCTTGAGAGGAACAGCACGCTGGGAGGGCTTGGAGGCTGCATGCGCTGTTGCAGAGTGGTAGCCAAGGTACCGGGGCCACGCGCATGCTAAGATGATGCTTGACATGGCCGTTGCTGGAGCGGGTTAGAAGGTGGAGGCGGAGGTGGGAGGAGCCAGGATGGCTGGGAGACAAACATCTGAGGCCCTGGAGAAGGCAGAACATCGGTTGGGAGCAATGGACGGAAGATTAGACCAGCAGGCTCATCGGAGACATGACTGAATAGGGCTGACACCTGGGCAAGTAAAGTAGGCCTATTAAACCTGGTAAGGATGCCATGAGAAGTTTAGGAACTTCCCCTGGCACAGCTGTAACCTCTAGCAGTCTAGGTAGCACTCGGTAGAGACGGTACTCCCGTACTATTGATCGTTCTTAGCAATACTGGGACACTCAGTGAGAAGTCGGGGATTCAGGTCGCGCGGAAGACGGGCGGCCAGCCTAAGGTACCCAGCAGTACTGTCCGTACCCCAGCGATGCCCAAAAGCCCCCTGTGTGCTCCAGTATCACTTTATAGCCTACTTCGTAAAGCCGTCGGCACTCTAGTACCCAGCTGGTAACGCGCTAGGGCACCGTCCAGGGCATGATATTCCAAGAACTCTATGGCCCATAGTTCGTACACACTGCGTTCTCCGGTCAGCCTGACGGTGAGAAAGAGAAGCAAGCGGATGGCGGTGACGACTGTGTGCTAAGAGCGTGATTCGGCCAGTGCAGTACGGAGGTAGTGTGCACTGTTGAAGAGATGGTACATGTACATGTACATGTAGTGATGAATTCTGAAGCCACATAGCGGCCTTTTGGTAGTACTCCTGCCCACGACACAGCCTAGGAGCGGTGGGTGATCTGCGCCATTCCTCCGCTGGGAATATAAGAGTGTGTATTAGCGCTGGAGGGCCGGCAGTACTTTGTACTGTGCTACTGCTCCATGAGGAGTACAAACGTAGCACATGCTCGAACACTCGTCCGATGATAAGTCACACTTGCCCTGCTGGCCCCTCCTGACACCACCTCAGTTCATTGACATGAGAGGTATGTTCGAGGCTTTGAGTATGGAGTAGTAGTGCGCCTCGCCTTCCTCCGTGCAGCTCCATACTCGACATCGCACGTTCTGGCCATGGGCGCCGTGCAGCTGCTGCGCTGCAGACCGATAGATTGCGTCGCCGATATGATTGCTCAAGACTCTATCGGGCTGCAGTAGTACACCCGCGGGCTGCAGCACCACCGAGGCTGGTTGGTAACTTTACAGCCGGGTGACCGTGAAACGGTGGCCCCCGTGAAACGCCGTCCCAATCAACCTGAGGGCTTTGGTGACTGACTTGGCCTTCAGTGGATGGTCCACAAAGCTTCCAATGGAAGCTTAGTCTCCACCCAAGCAAACCAACCTTACTCCGTACGCCGTAAGCGCTGGAACTCCAAAGTCTAGCCCTGGAAACCCCCGAGTTCCGCTTGAGCTTCATTATTCATGCACCTTGTGGGAATCTACCAACTTCCACCTGCCAGGGTTTCGCACGAAAACGGGCCGTTGATCCCAGAAATCCATGTGGGTTCCACGGTCCACCCATGGCAGATATGATGATACCGGTTCTCCTTTCAGGGCAGGAATAATGTACTTGAATTTGGCCAATTTGCTTTCGAACCGTCCCTGGCTCCACTTGGTAGCATTTCCAAGCTCCGCTCCAAGCTAAGGCGTCCCAGCGCTCAATTCATTGCGTGAGCAAGTCGTAATAGCTCCGTAGAATAATGCGCAAAAGAAAAAGGGGCACGTTGCTTATTCTAAGACCAGACTCGCCGTTGCTGAATAGTGGAAGGCGGATAGTCGATAGTCGATATTTGATACCCGTGATCTTATTCGTATCTTTCCATTCCCGAACTAGACCGCCACCTAGGAGCACCCTGCTGCATTCGTAAGCTGGTCCACAGCACCGGTGTCTGGTGAGCGGCAGCAAGATGAGCTGCAGTAGCTCGCAGGAGCCCGCAGTAGCTCCACCCGCGACTTATTATGCTCCGTACTCGAGCAAGTATCTCGTGAGCTCGAAACCTATCTGGGAGTGCACGCCAATTTGGAATTTCCAGAAGGACCCGCAAAGCACCAAATCCAGTCTGAGTTTGTCAGTTCCTTCGGGGACTCGGTCCATGAGCGAGGGATTATTCCCATCCGATGATCCGAGCCCTCGTCCCATAAGATTGTCGGGTCAATTGCGCAAGGGCTGCATCACGTCGGCTCCTTGGGAAGTTCTGGAAGTAGTATTCCGTATCAGCAATTCCAAACCTAGCAGTCATGCGCAGCGATGGTGCCCTGGTGATGCTGTTTTCCTTGCGGTTCTGAAAATTGGGATTTGTTCCGCCAATCGACACTGTTGTGACCTTTTGTGTTGCGCATAGCGGCCCAAAAAGCATCCATACCTAACACCAGGGATAACATCATAATGAATTCGATTTATCGATCCAAGCTTAAACACAACTTTTCACTTGAAACGAGCACATCCCGCTCTGCCGAGTTGCCCAAACGTTTCTTTTGTGGGATTGTGGAGCTGGCATGACCATATTGTACTGGGATCAAAACTGGCCTCCTTACGAAGAACGAAGTACGTAGTATCGCGCACAAGTCCATTGTGCCTGATGATAGATGACGGGCCCCTTCATTATTCCTTTTGCTGTTGAGCTCGTAGTGCGTTAGTGGCGAAATCAATTGCAAGGTTATGGGTCTTTTAGTCTTGTCCTCCTCCGTATGAGTACCGATCGACTTCTCAACCTAGTCTCCCGCGCCTGGCGTAACTATGTGGCCGTCGGGTCGCCTAGCCTTGAGACCGGAAAGTTCGCTGATGTCTTAGGCCGGTGATTATGTGCGCCATATCTCCCTTGACGTCCAATCTTGGATGTGGTTGGCCTTGTTTCTCGAGGGGACCCGAGGAACCGGGGGAGTGGGATACCGCTAAAAGCCCGGTTCGTTGCCTGTCAAGGTTGAGTGATGAACGCGGCCAAAGGCAGGTAAGCCTGGTCAAACTTTCGCACTTTGGGCAGAGCTGACGATTTGATTTTTATCCGAGCTAGGCGCAAGATTTACCACCTTGGAGCAATCAGAAGATCATTCTTTAATGGTTTGATCGGCGGGCAAAGTCTGGGCCGTTGCGAGTATAAATATATATACTTCAAGCAGCTACTTCGTACCTAGTACCACTATGAAGTCAAACCGTCGCACGGAGTCACACAGCAGATGCGTGGTGTAGGCTTAGCGACCCCCGCGCTCCAACTGGCTGTAAACAAGTCCCCAAAATGGAGAGCGCAGATCCGGGAGTCTTTTTTGCCACGCACGCAAGGATCCAAGGAGAATCCGAATCAAAATGGGGCTGTCGATCAAGGTGTGCTCTGAGTTTCATCATATCGCTCGTTGTTCCTGGTGGCCGGCCGGCTGCGGGACGGAGTCGCACTATTCCACAGCGGCGTCTTCTACAGGTCAGATCTTGATTCTTGACCAGAAGCTTGTACATGTACGGAGTACAGTACATGTACCATTAGGACAAGAAGTATAGTAGCGGTGCCATGGAAACTGTTCCCCGTGTGGTCCGCACTCCAAACCTGGGTCAAACTCCTGGGGAAACACTCATGTGTCTACCACGTTCCGGACGAGGCGCGAAGTTCACCAGATTCTCGTGAGATTCTCATCCCTCCAGCTCGTCTCAAACCTCGAGGCTGATATTAAACCATGTCTTTCTCGGAAAGTCAAATCACAGTATCCTCACACATGGCATCGCATTTTACCCAAAACCCAAGCAGACAGCAACTCTGAGGCGAACCGTTGGAATGGCCATGATTGTAAGGGAGGCAGCTCCCGTTTGCCCGCGTCCCACCCAACCCTCGCTCTGTGGGATCGTGGATATGTGGGACGAGATGAAACACCCACCCAGTTTGTTGTCGTAGCTGCACATTATTATTGCACGGAGTCCACTGACACTCCTGTCCGGGGCATTCTCCGTATGGGAGCACTTTGGACTCCATAATAGGTGACGGTACTCGTATTGTTCCATCCCAAGCCCAGAGTACCGAGTCTGGTCTGATCCCGGAACCTGCAGCTATGCATCGCCCGCCCCTTGAAGCATTGACATTCTGGAACGAACACACAGGTAAAAGCAGTCATGTGTTCTAGCGTGCAAGCTCGTGGGGGTTGTTGATTACAATTCGGCGGCCAAAAAGCTTCAACAATCCTTTGAGAATCACTACCAGAATAACCTCGGAAACACAGAAATACCCCCACCATCCTCCCAAAAAGCAACGGTTTTTATTCGGCCTGCATCAGCTAGCGTTTTAGAGGAAGAGATCATGCTACAATCCGAGAGTCCCAAAATAGTCTTGAATTCATCGCGTGTTTTTAGCTAGACTTGACACTGACAGCCTGGGTTCGGTAGGTTGCAGCCAGCCAGCATTTCACGTGGTTCGCGATCGTCGTTGCGTGTCCCACAAACACTTCATGCAGCCTCTGGCCATTCGTACATGTAAATGCCGGGCAGCGGTCTGAGCAACGTCTTTCGAAACCCGGTACTTTGTATGCTCTTGAGAGGTCCTGGTAGAGGGCTTGAGCAGGGGGCCAACCTGAATAGATGAGATTGGACGAGATGGCGCTTAAGCAGGTGACCTCATGCGGGTGCGAAGGAGATTTTTATCCTCCTTAATCACCACCTCGAAATTTGCAAAAAGTCTCTCCAGCTGTCAGCTTGCATAGGCAGCCCATACTCCGTACGCAGCCACAGGTTGATCACGTTAGTTCGAGCGGTGAAAACCCAAATATTTCCCGTGGCCTAGATTGTATTTCCCGGTCTCTCCAAAAGCAATTCCGTAACGCGCTTTGTTCGGGGAGAAAGGGTCTGATATCAAACGGCTTCGGTCACTAGTTTCCTTTTCCCATAATATGCTAGAAGATTAGTTCCGGGGGTGCATGCAGGAACATCTTTTTTCATATCTGAATCTCGGTACTCTGTCCTGTCCTTGGAAGTCAATTGATCCAGTCGAGAGCTTCATTTCCGCATCCCCCCGGCAACGATCCTTTGTGGCCCTGTTTGCTGCCTCGTACCTCGTACTAATTCATGGCAACGGTGAGCAAAGAAACATATGCTAGGGGTCCTGGGGATGTTGACGGCCATTGGACTGTACGTAGTGCGGATCTAATACTCGTACTGGTTGGCTCCATTGCACCATGGCGGCATCATAGCTAGCACCAGGGGTGGTCCAAACCCGCAGAAAGCTTCTTGGGGGAAGGATGAACCAACCGACGCGTAAATAAGGAGTAAGGAGAGCCGATGCGAACAACAGGCGATGTTTCTGAATCGTCATACAAAGACGCGCCTGAGGCAAAGAACAGTTAGGAGGCTGGCGGCACTGGATGAAAGGACTTTCCTGGTCTTTCCAGCCGCAATATTTGTTGGACCTCGCCGAATGGTTCCGCATGAACGGAAACGTTCAATCCCAAGGAAAGGCTCCGATTCGAGAGGGGGTTCTCAATCAGGGACAATCGATAATAATGCCTACACAGCGGACAACCCAGATCTCCGCTACAGGCAAAAGCATCGAATATACCCGCCACAACATCCAGGCGACAAAGACTCTTCGTGAGAACCACAGAACTAGAAGCAACCACGCAAACGATCGCACCAAGATGCGATGCAGAATGCTAAATGACGCAATGCCGGGCGGGCATCTTCAGAGAAAGGGATCCCGGGCCGCCAGCCCCGGACGCGAAAGAATGTCGAGATTGAAAACCTGAGAGTGACAGAAAGACATATATCGCCTGACCTTCTGCCGTTTGTGGTTTTGCCTAGGAGGAGAAATGTAAGGCTCTCAACTGAAGATCCCAAGTGCGAACTGAGCTCCACGGGCAGTCATTACGCCTATATTTCGTCCGCTCCGGTGGTTGATATTGCTCTCTTGTTGTGAGCGAGACTCGTTAGTTCTGGGTTACGAAGTATTGAGAGTGGACCCCCTCATCGAACAGCTCCCCTTCCCAGTCGGGTTCGCATTCCGGCGCAGCGCGGCACAGACCGGTACAACGTGCGAGACTTGCGAGCTTCAAATGCCGTCACAAGTACACCCTGCCAACTCCTCTTACTTCCCCTTCTCGAATTCTATATTAAACAAAATATTCGCAAACATCTCTTCTTGGTTGCGTTGGAGCCTCTCGATTTTTTGGTCAAACAAAATTACCGCATCGCCATCGTCATCTCCATCTCCATCTTCCGCAATGGCAAACTATAAGACATGGACGGTCACTGAGCCGTACCTCAACATCCACTGCAGTCTGGGCGAGGGTCCTTATTACGAGGCTTCACGGAATGTCCTACGCTTTGTCGACATCATTCAGAAACGTGTGCATACCGTCGACCTTTCAATTGGCCCGTCATCCCTCACAACTTTGCAATTGGACATGCCTGTGGGGGTCACGGCGGACATCGAGGGGGTGGACTCCAACAAGAAGATCTTAATCGGAGCCAAGCGTGGGTTGTATTTGCTGGACAGGGCCACGGGGAGCTACGAACTCCTGAAGAGATATCATGACACAGAGGAGAATGACGAGAGGTTGAGGGGCAATGATGGGGCTGTCGATCCTCAAGGACGCTTTTGGATTGGGACTATGAACGATTTCTGGGTGGGGCCACCAAATCCTGAAGGTCAGTGAAAGTTTCTTTTTTTGAGTATGAAGTTTCCTATGCTGGAAACATTACGAGTTGATCTCCTAATCCCCCTTGGCCTTGGTCACGTGCTAGTACGGATTCTCTACTACCTACTTTCATCAGATATATCTCAGATTAGCAAGAAAGAAACATGCACTGATAAATATATAGGATGTATTTTCCGTTTCAACAATGACCTCTCGCGACACACCCTCCGCACCTCTTTAGTAATCCCCAATAGCATTGGCTGGTCCCCGGACCACAAAACTCTCTACTTCACCGACACAACTGCAGCGCGCATCATAGCCTTCGATTACGACGACCCCACCGGTGACCTCAGCAACGAGCGTGTCTTCTGGCAACACGATGGCGATGGAGGCCCAGATGGCTTCAAGGTCGACGAGGAAGGTTACATCTGGCAAGCTCTCTACGGCGGGAGTCGAGTGCTGAAAATATCGCCGGAGGGGAAAGTGGTGGGTGAGGTAAAATATCCTACTAGAGCAATCACCTGTCCTGTTTTTATAGGGACAGAGTTATGGGTTACTACCGCTAGTGAGAATGATGAGAACGAAGTGGAGAGCATGAAGTACGGCGGGGCAATTTTCAAGGTCGATGTAGGGGTGAAGGGCCTCCCTGAGTTCAAATTCCGCATGGAAAAGTAGGATATGTGCTCTAGTTTATATTTCCCCATGGATAGAGGGACGAAACAATAAAAAGTAAAAAGCCTAGATGAAAAATTATATAGGACAGAGTCTAGGACATAGGTCGGTGGAGATCTTTTGAATTCATGTTCTATGTATCTCGTTACAAATGATGATACCTTTTTATTAGGCCCCATCTGCCTCTTTCAGTCATGAATCATGGTTATTGTGTCGGCATCGATTACTTATTATCCCTCTTCCGAAAAAGAAGCTCAACAATCCACAACCTGGTCCATTTTCAACATCTCTTATCCTTCTGTTAATCACATAAATCATGGGATCAATATAAGGATAACAAATATTAAAAACCATGGCCGGATTTTTGGCCTTCCATTAAGCACAATAAATCATCTCGCTCAAAGCTAGAGAGTCATATCTTATAGCATCTTCTGCTCTATTGTTCCTATTTCTTTGCGATAGTCTACCTTATATGTTGTGGAGGAAGCTAAGTTCTAGTGCTAGCAGATATATATTATTTCTCTTGGTTTTTATGGTCTATCTGACTGTACTTTCCCAATGCGTAGCTAAGTAGCATTCTCAGAATCTACTAAATCAAATACAATCCAGCATTCAACCCATTTCCTAGCAGGTTGAAACATAAATGTTCTTAACTCCTACATGATGTCCAGGTGGAGCTGAGCTCCGAGTCGGGAGTTGCTAGTTAACTAGGGGTCAAATTTAGCACAGCTTCCAGTGACCGAGGCAGAAAGTTGGTACTGTGACTCGTAAAAGAATGTGCGGCAGTTGAGATAGCCTCCCCAGCCAGATCTAAAATTCCAAAAAGAAATGCTATTTCATGAATGATCGTGAGGTGTTAAGCGCCAACTGGCTTGTCGCTGAAACATGGATACCCAGTCTTCTCAGCGCCTTCAGACCAATAAACTCCAGTTCTTCCCGGGACAATTCGTCCAGCAAGCCAGGCATAAGAATACGCGCAATTATTGCCTGTGGTATTGGTGTCCCAGCTGTACGAAGTGCAACCGTTCTCAGAATCGCATAACGCTTGACAATCAAGCACACTATCGTATCTATAATTTGCCGGCGGAGATGTCCCCGCGGAGGATGCAAGAGATCCTTCGATGCCACAGTCAGATACTGCTGTATTGACGTAGACTCCGCGCTCCCCGGCGAAGGGTTTGCTGGTCATTTTCTTCGGCGGGGCAACCTTGTAACACGAAGATGATTTCCCCGAGAAGAATACACCAGTTTCTCCAGCCACAACTGGCAGGCCGGGGATGCCAGCGCTACTGTAGAGGAAACAGTTGCGATTGTTGAATGCTGCGTCGGTCGTATTCCAGGAATAGGATTGGCAGAATGTTGTTTGCATGCAGGCGTACATACATTGCAAGGGATCATAGTAACTCATTTCATTATGATATGGTATTGATTCTGCGGGGAGGCTGCCTTCGACATTACAATTCGTATTTGTGATAGTCGCGATTGCTGGTAACCCAACGATGGTCGGTGTAGGTGTAGATGTTGTGGTGAGTGTTTTGGAGCGTGAGACTTGAGCAAAATTAGGGAGAGCTTGGGTGGTGATCTGCAGAGCTGCAAAGAGCAAAGCTTTGGTCGATAACCGTTCCATAATCATGCTGCCTGAAGCTTGATGATTGATCCTTCTAACGTTTGATGAAAACGGCGGCGATAACCCAAGGAGAAAGCTTAGTTTTATTGTTTATAAATAAGCAGGATGAAATATCTACTAGTCGTGCATATGAAGGTTAGAAAACTGTGGGCTGATGAAACATTGCATCGTGAATATTGCCAGATCCGGGTATAAATAGCCTGATAATTAATATCGAGACGTCTAAAGAGAGGAAGAATACTACGTAGTTCCTGGCAATTTGTATATATGCCTGAATCACACACAAATATATCAATCCTCGGATAATTGGAAATCTGCATTAAACGTGCGGGGGAAGGCCGGCCGCTGTTCCTGCAGAGCATTGCAGGGACCTTGAATAAGCGTTGATCGACGTCTGAGAAACAGCCGAAAAGAAGCACCATGTGATCTAAATTCAACATACGAAGTATAGACTGAAATATCAAAGCCCGAGGCCCTCGAAATTAATTGAGCCAGCACCTGGTATCAGATAACCAGACTTCTAGTATTTAGAAGACTTAATTACAGTTTGCCAGGAAGATTAGTTAGAGCAGCTTTGCTCAGCGAATAAATTGGGAAGGAGTGATAATATGTGGCAACTCCAAAGGCATAGGATATTGCTAGTGAAACGTTACAAATGTCCGATGAGATACTTTGAAGACTTGCCTTACGCTTGTACTCGGGGCGTGCCCATGGGAAGGGAAGCCAGCGATACACAAACGTAGCGGCCCGGCCCGCATCGAAGCTTATTATAACCAGCTTTACTGCCTGAGCTATTCCAAGCCAGGCACCCTAACATGGCCATCTGGGCAATTGGCTGCGATATTATCACTAAGTTAGCTCTACAAGAGCGTATTTATCCTCACCGCTGTGACTTGCATATGCTCATGGGATTGCACAACCCAAAGGGTCAAAATGCCAAGTTTTTCGAGCTGTTAGGGAACAACCCGTACCTTAAGTAGCCCAACCCCCTACAAGCCAACCAGAAGAAGCTCAAGCAAAGACATATAAGCCCTACATAACCTTCCTCGGATCTAAACTCTCGATATCCGCACTTGTCGGCTTGCCGTCAAAAATAAATTCACTCATCAGCTTCCCCGTCGCACAGCTATTTTGAATGCCCCAGCACGTATGGCCTGCTGCAAGGAACAAACCTCTAATACCCGTTTCGCCGATGATGGGGCCGCCACCGCTGGATACGAGAGGTAGATAACAAGCTTGTTTTGAGAGGACCTCGCCGGTGCGGAGTGTGGTGGAGATGGAGGAGAGGTAGGCATGGATATCGTCGCAGCGAGAGGTGTCGCATACCACTAGGTCGCTAGATTTAGGAAGGGGAACTAACGAGTCGCCCTCACCTGCGGGAATTGATATTAGTATTTTGAATTCAACTTGGATTAAAGGAACGGTGGGAGAAGAAAAATTGGGATATAGTACCACAGGCGTAAACGGTCCCATCAGGCCGAGCATACATCTCTGGATTAACCGATTTCCCATGCCGTCTCTTTTTCACATCCCCCTTTCCCGTGGGACCAAAGTTCTTCGGTAGTTCGATCTCAGTAAATACTGCGTACGGGGTTACATCTGCTTTGATGACCACGCTGTGTGCGCGGAGGGCTTCAATAGGTGCTTCCGGGAAGACGTGACTTGTCCAAGGCCCTGCTGATAATATTATGTCGTTTGCGGGGAGAGTATGGATATGCTTCGTTCCTTTATCCTCATATGCAACGCCTTTGACGCCGTGGGGGCCTGTATAATCGATAGCTGTCGCTAGGCCGTATACAATCTCCACGCCCTTCTCAACGGCCAAATCTGCCATTGAGGTGGTGAAGAGGTAGGGGTGAACCTGGGCAGTCGTCTCTGGCGTACCCATCTCTGAATATTCCCTTATGCATTCGGGGTCAAACCAGTCCAGGTCTTTCGGGACTTCGGATGTTACCGCCTTCCCCTTGCTACTCGCTTTGGTTTTGGGTAGCTTCTTCCACTCCTCCTCCCCTACCTTTGACGCCTTGTCGTCTTCATGCGATGCATTGTGGACTATTCCCTTCGCAGCCAATGATCCGCAATGCACAGCTCTGTAACCCCACCTCTTCGCGCCATCATGTTCCTTCGCCAATTCGGCATGCAATTTATATGATAGCGGCACGATATTCTCAGGGTATGCCCAAAGAGCTAGCAGCCCGCCCGCCTTTCCTGAGGCGGCAGATGCAATAGCGTTGGCTTCGAGAATGGTAATCTTGTGGATGGCGGGGTTAAAAGCCGGGTGCCGGGTGAGGAAGTAAGCTGCTGTGCAGCCAATTACGCCTCCGCCTGTTGTATTTCATCGTTAGCCGTGTCATTGTCCTTGTCTATGAGCAGGAGACCATAGAGGGAGTGATGGCGTACCGATTATCACGATGTGCCTAGTTGCTTGGGGTATTTCTGAAGCCATTGCGGCTCTGTTGGTCGAAACGTTTGAGACGCTGGGAAGTTTATTGTTTGGGTTTGAAGATGGCACGCGTGGCCGGGTGTATAAGGAGATGGTGCACTGACAGGCGATGGCTTAAAGCTACCTTTATGCTGTCGCAGAATGTGATGTGAGGTGTGAACTTGCTTTCGATGTGATCTCGAGTTGATATCTGATGGCTGGTCCGTGCTTCACCTTTTATCGATAGTGTGTCAGGGATGTAAACGCCCAGATCGGGCGCGTGGCGTCGAGCCGAGGCATTACCTAAGGAGGCTTGGCCTCATCATCATTCTCTGAACGTGTTCTGTGGCGGAATGGTTTGACAAACACAGCCCCAAACAAACTTCATACGCGCGCTTACTCGTACGAGCATTCGTCCTCTACCAAGCCTAGCAGATACATAAGTCGATGCAAGCCCGGCGCTCACTCCTTCAGGTCCCATTCAAATATACATCGCATCGAACCGCACACGGTATATCTAAATCCTGTCTAGCCCTCAATCTCAGGGCTCCTAACCCCTCGATCCAACGACAACAGTTCCCAACCTTAGTTAGAAAACAATCAACCATGGCTTCCGCTACTAAATTTTACGACTTTGCACCTCTTGATAGTGAGTTTCTGCCTCTGATACTCCTGCGCCCATTCTGTATTGGTTGATGACGTCGCTGACACAATTTCCAAACAACAGAGAAAGGCCAACCAGTTCCCCTGGAGGATTACAAAGGCAAAGTCGTACTCATCGTCAATACAGCTTCAAAATGCGGCTTCACGTCACAATATGAAGGCCTTGAGAAACTGTACAAGGATATCAGAGAGAAGCATGGTATGTACCTCAGAATACATCCTTTCGGCTTGTACTTCCCCCGATTCTGACCTCAACCTCTACACAGGCGACTCCTTCCAAATCCTCGGCTTCCCCTGCAACCAGTTCGCTGGCCAAGAGCCCGGTTCCGAAGAAGAAATCCAAACCTTTTGCCAAGTCAACTACGGCGTAACCTTCCCCATCATGGGCAAATCCGACGTCAACGGCGCTAATGCGAACCCCGTATTCGAGTGGCTTAAGCAAGAGAAGCCTGGCCTGTTCGGAATGAAGCGCGTGAAGTGGAACTTTGAGAAGTTCCTGGTCGGAAAGGACGGGAAAGTTAAGGAACGGTGGGCGAGTACGGCGAAGCCAGAGAGTTTGGAGAAGGCGATTTTGGTCGAGCTGGCGAAGGCGGAGCCAAAGGCTTGACTTTGAAATGGTGGGATTGGTAGTTAATTATGGAAGGTTAATATGATACCACGGTGTGTTTTTGTCGCTACAGGATCTGGTCGATGCCAGAACGGTAATATGCCCCTGTTTGCTAGTGGAAGTTGGAGGAGTTACTCGAGCATTTCTTGACATGAATTCTTTTCCTGTCCTGTTGCATGAGAAGAGATCCTTATCTGGGAAACGCCACTCATCATGAACAACAAAACAAATAAATAATAAACTCCACTTGGTCTCATTGACAGCGCTCCGCTTCCGCTTAACATGTGGGAAGACCTGCGATTACCTAGTTGCCTAGAGGGTCGTGCCCTTCCTAGAAGCCATCCTGATCCATAAATAAACGGACGAGTAACAGGGGGGTTAATATACTTTTCTTATATTACAGTGCTATATGGTACGCTTACGGCACTAAACCAATGCCCATCCCGCCTCAGTCTCCTTAATACCCACTTCTCTCCCCTCATCAATAGCCCTTCTCCCTGCCTCCAATATGGCCGTCGTCGCAATTGTATTTGCCAGCGTGGGCAAACCCCTCTGATCCAGTTTCTCCAGCGCCTTAGGTCCCTCCCGGTTAACCAACCGACACCCGTCCACAAACTTCTCAAAACTGACATACCCATAGCCACCTTGGCCGGAGAAATTCCCTTCCTCGTCAGGAGCGTATTTCATGTAGAAGGGGTTATACCACATTAAGCCATTGCCCAGGTTATCGTCGGCGACGTCATAGCCTCTCTTCGCTTGATCGATACGGATCTCGCCCGAGGAGGCCATGTAATGGAAATATTGGTTGGAATGCACGCCTGCCTTTTGGGGCGCGGTCCAGGATGCGGTATACACGGCCGTAGCATGCTTCGAGGGGTCGGATTTCTTAACCCAGTGGACGAGGAGGGAGATGGTATCCTCGGTGATTGGATCGCAGCCCAACTCGACAGCAACGCCCTTGGATGCCGAAGCGGATACCTTGACGGGGGTATAGCCCAGATCGGAAACCATCGATTCGCAGATGTCGATGTGGTGGGAGTTTAGGTAGTAGCTGATATCTGAATCAACGCCGGCCCAAGCTTTAAATGTCTCGAGCTGGCTTTTGGGCTGCGACATGTAGCTGTAGAAGTAGTTAAAGTCACCAAGCTTTTGCGATTTAAAACGGGCATCAGCATAGGCAGGGTCAAATCGTTTATGGTGTTCGATGTAGACGAAAACCCCGTGCTCTTTTGCGGCGGCTACCAGGGCCTGGTGATGTGCAAGTGTTTTCACAGCAGGTTTTGTGATGAGAACGTGGATTTTGCGTTCAATGGCATAGAGGGCGATGGCGTAGTGAGTGGTGTCGGGGGTGAAGATTGTGATTGCGGATCCCGGGGACATGGCATCGATGGCAGCTTTGTAGGCGTTTGCATCGCGGACGTCATTGGCGGGGTAGGACTCGAACGAGGTGTCAAGATTGTTATAAACTTGAGAGATGTTTTTGTGAAGATGTTCGCCTGCATTTTGGATGAGACGACGAAGCTGGAGCGAGGGCAAGGGAATGACATACGGATTGCGGGGAATTTCTGCCCAGATGTTCCAACCATGGACAGCTTCCCTACCTTTCCTCGCCGTCGCAAATCGAACATTGTGAGACCAACCACTCCGACCTTCTTGTCCGAGCCTGAAGCTCCTCCGCCCACAAAGCCAGTGGTATATTCTCCGGTCCCGACCATGAGCACATCCAGGAGGGCATCACCTCCCTTGGAGCCAGCGTTTTCCGCAGGCCTGCTGTCGGGGGCAACCGTATGGCTAGGCATTGCATCCATCTTGAAGTTCCCAAGAAGGCTTTCTTATTCACTCAATCTGGGTGGATGGGTGTGGGATTGGGGAGATATGGAAAGGGGTTGAATGGGGGAATATTCTGTAGAAACATTCCGAGATGGCGTGCATGTAAGTGTGGGATGTTGATGTAGTGAGTGACGGAGCACAGAGGATGCGGCGGCGTTTGACGGGAAAATTGAGGGGCGGTGTAAGTGGGCTGGCGGGGTGGAAGGGTGGAAGTGTGGAAGGTGGGGGACGGGGTCGGGGAAAGGGGAAGGGAGCTGGCCAAGAATACTCCGTGCTCCGGCGCCAAGGCCTCCTGAGAGCTGGGAGCTCCCGGCAGGTGTACCGGCAGGGCAGCGTGCCCCGACGCCGGGCCGGGAACCGGGTAACGGCTCCTTTACCTTTATCGCCGCTTCAATTATTATTGTTTCCTTTGCTTGATTAACTTGATTAAACTTGATTAACTTGATTAATTCATATGCCTGGGTACATTACCGTGCAGCACAGCAACCGCATAGCGGTACACCACTTGCCCTCCACCACTACGCTCTGCAGCATTACTAACATGCACAATGCCACCATTGCCCCTCCCGCATCTTTTGTCTCTTCAGCCTGATACCAGCACCAGCAGATCTTTGTACGCCTTCCCCACACTTGGTGTCCAGATCAAAAACTTTGTTTTCCTTGCAGTCTGCAGTGCCACCACACTGGGCACTGGCAGCGACCCCAACTCCCATGGAATAATAATACGTAGGTGGTTATGAGCCCAGTCCGGCCCAGTCCCGTCCAATCTTCGTGCGCCGCACAGGCTGAAAACACCAGCGCCACCTCGTGATCTGGCCGTAGTGACTAGCGACTAGTGGCAGCTTAAAATGGATGAAAATGCTCCGTATCGAGGTGGAAACATTGTGCTTGGCACCCCACGCAAGGCCCCTGCTCATATGATGGCCCGTTGTCGTGTGTGGTTGGTGGAAATACTCTTCCCGTCGATGAGAGATATCACCCCCATCAACCACAATCGACCTCAGATCCAACAAGCCACCAGCATATCCAGGTTTTACAACTCGAGCAATACAGCAATAATCCCATCCCCGTGGTGGTACTGTACTGCTCTGTGTCCCCGATCAAGCTGATCCTGCCAGCCCATGCACAACAGCAGAAGCAGAAGCAGAAGCAGAAACGGCTTGAGTAAATGCATCTCCGTTGAGCACCTCTCGGCAAACACTTTTCCCAGGGAAATTGTTGCGGGTTGAACAACCTAAAGGGTCCCGATGTACTGCAGAGAGTATGGCGGTACTGTACACTTCAAGCATCTGTGCCGGCCGCGGTCCCGATTTTCTGGTACGTAAGCTGGACTGTTGACACGCTGGGAACCGCAAAAAATGCCACTTAGTTCGGGATATTGGCATTCCACCGAGCCCCCACCATACGCCTCCAGAGCGTTGCGGTTGACACTCCGGAAACTCCCTGCAAGCCTTTGGATTTGCTTTATATTGACCTCCCTCCCCAGTCCCAGGTGATGGCCCCCCATCTGTATAGTGCTTGCCTGGATACCTTCCGCTCTCGGAACACTTGTCTGCCAGATTCTCGTCCAGCATTCTCTTTAAACCAAGCATTTCCAATTTCGCGTCTCTCTCATAAGGACCATTTCGATCTCTTTCAATTGAGCATCTTCGAAAAGCAAAATGGCACAGTCAAACGGAGTTAATGGCAGCAATGGTCACGCGAGTTCGCGTCGGTCCCTCCGGCCTGGTATCTATGCCCCAACAATGACGTTCTTCGATCCCACCACCGAAGAGCTCGATATCCCAACCATCAAGCGACATGCCATTCGTCTCGCAGAGGCAGGCCTTGTTGGCCTCGTCACCATGGGTTCGAATGGCGAGGCAGTACACTGCTCCGTCGCGGAGAAAGTTGCCGTCACCAAAGCTACCCGCGAGGCACTCGACTCCGCAGGCTTCGACCAAGTTCCTATCGTCGTTGGGGCAACCGAAGGCTCCGTCCGCGGCACAATATCGCTGATTAAAGAATCCGAGAAGGCCGGCGGGGAGTACGTCCTTCTACTCCCACCGAGCTATTTCCGAGGATTGATGGATGAGGAGGCTGTATACAATTACTTCATTGAAGTAGCAAGCGAGAGTCCGCTGCCAATAATCCTGTATAACTACCCCGGTGCGGTGGCAGGAATCGACATGGACTCCGATCTCATCATCAAGCTCTCTAAGCATCCAAATATCATAGGCACCAAGTTCACTTGCGGGAACACCGGAAAGCTGACTAGAGTGGCGCTGGCCACAGATGCGAAAACACCTTCCAGTGAGGGAAGCGGCTACATGGCGTTCGGCGGCATGTGCGATTTCACTGCCCAGACACTTGTCAGTGGCGGCAGCGGTATCATTGCTGGAGGAGCGAACGTTATGCCAAAGGTATGTGTCAGGGTGTGGGACTTGTACAGTCAAGGAAAAAAGGAGGAGGCATTCGAGTTACAGAAGACCCTCAGCAAGGGCGACTGGGTCCTCACGAAGGCGGCAATCGCTGGAACGAAGGGCGCAATCCAGAGCTATTATGGATATGGTGGTTTCCCGCGACGGCCATTGAAGAAGTTGGATGAGGTGAAGACAAATGCGATCAAGGAGGGGATTGAGGAGGTGATGAAGGTGGAGAACAGCTTATAGGTTATTGACACGTGATGGAGCTGCCGGCGGAGCTGGAGGCGGGGTCAAATTTCTCGGCATACGAGCACAGCGCGATACAACTTGATGACTTTTGGTAATGGTGCATGTATATAAACGGAAAATTTCATGGATATAGTAGCTTTGCATAGGAATCAAACTTAATTCAGGTTTTGGGATTCACGGCCCGGATAAGTCACGTGCATGCCACGCTCCAAATTCCGAACCGTTTTCATGGAATCGAGTACTTACGAGTGTAAGCGCTATGACCACAATTCAATATCAACGACATCGAAGGGCAGATTTCATTTCTTGTGGAAGGGCTGTCTTCAAGCACAATTACTTACCTAGGTGGGTAACTATGGCAGATATGACGTCCTCTACTCTATAAATATATTTATTGTACTGTACATACTTCGGCAGATTCATTCAAGTTCATACAGACGCCCAACCAGCCTCACACTCGGGTCTAGAAATCCAACTACGCTGGGCCTAGAGCTTTCGCAAACACAGCAAACGTCATCTCCAGATTGCAGTGCCCAAGCCGGATGAAAGGTATAGTATTGCAACAAAAGCAATTAACCGCAGATAACTCTACCACACAACTCTACCAGTCCGTCCAACACCAACCTTATCTCTATACCTCCCACCTATCTCGAGCGCAGAGAGAGTCCGCGTCGAAGAAAACCTAATATACCGCTCCAAAATGATGCGAACCCCTTCCCCTGGGCCACTCGCCCCTGATCCGCTGTATAGGTTTCTGCATAGATGATTCTGCGAACGAAAGAAACGGAGCGAGATATAAATCCTTTCTTGCGACAGTCCACGCTCTGGCTACGTTGGGGATGCTGGGGAAGCAGCGGCATGTTCTCCGTTGGTGTTGGTGGCGCGCTTTCGATCGGTGACCGTAGTATGGTATCTGTCAGTGAGAGTGGTGTAACCATGCCATTCGGTGCCTCAAGTGATATCCGTGGTGACAATCTGTCAGTCTTAGATTCAGAATGCGACAGGTTCGATGCTCCCCTTTTTCGCTTCATAACCAGGTGCACGGCTTTTCGAAGTTGGTCGGCCGGTCTGAATGGGCTGATTCCCTCCCACCGAACCCTGCACAGACTAGTGTTGTCGAATTTCATGAACTTTGTGAAGTGGTCGGCCAGTTTTTTGATAGTTGCTTCATCTTGCATCTCCCTGAATGATAATTCAAGGGTTAAGCAGTCGGTGGGATCGGTGGGCCAGGTGCCGCCTGGATTGTCTTCCACCTTGGCTGACGAACTAGTATTATCTCTCATACAAAGTTCGGGAAGGGGAGAGAGCACAATTCGTTGATAAGTTTCAGTGCCCCGGTCGTTTAAGGAAGGCTTCTGACCAGGGGGGAACTGGGGAGCGTTGCATATCATTGCTGCGAGTTTACTTGTCGTGAATATCGGCACTGTTTGCGATGGAGGGACTGGTAGCTGGGGATCTGGTGTAGCAAGTTTTTTCAAAGCCCATATAAGAGCCGAAGTGAATGATGTAGGGCCGGGCGATCTAGTGACTGGCTCAGAGGAGGCTGCGAGATACTCGAAACTTCTAAATAACCAATCGTCAACGTTGCCTCTGACAATTCCTGACTGAATCTAACCTTGGGTTGAGCGGCCCGCCTCGCCCGAGATCATTGGCATAGCAGCAGTCAAAGATGACCAACACATCTGACTGAGTATCTTTGAGAATATGCTCAGTACGGTTCCAAACAATATGATCCCATTCGGACTCCTGTTGATTTCTCCGTCTTCTCCGTCTTCGTTCATCAGCAATGTCTGTTAGATATGGAAAGGGTGTTAGACCTACGCGGATAGTTTTAATTCTCCGTGGGCTTTCCCTCTGTCTCCATGGCCAGCATAATATATAATAAACAGTGAGTCCGGTCCATCAAAGCCCTCTACAAAGTCGGCAACTGCCTTATTAACCTGGGCTTGAGGCTTAGCTTTCTTGGAGCTATCAATAAGAAACCTGGACACCTTGTAATGGTACATATCCTCGAATAAGTCTCCAACGCTTTTAACCTTTGGTGTGTAATTAGCTCACGCGAAATAACTAGGTCTTTCAGAGGTGCACTTACCTCACCGGCGACTGACATATCATCACATGCGGGAGCCCACGACAGCAGTAGTACAAAAACATCCTTATGAATAGAAGGGGTTTTCTGGGCACCGGACATACCTAATGTGATCAAGGAATCAGCATTTCGCTCGATGCTTGAATTTGGAATACACCCGTTTCCCCTCCTAACACATCGCTTGACGGAATTTATCTCGCGGACATAAATGTTTCATTGAAGGAAAGAGATCAACGTCCCAAGTAGTACTTACAGGCATTCCAATGTGCTTGCAATGTGGCATTCCGCTGCTCCCAGTCTGTCAAGTCGGTCAGATAATCAACTTCGCCAGGTACAGCCGCAGGTTTTGCTGGGATAATATCCGATGGTGGGATACTCAGCGAAGGAAGCTGCCGCAAGCTTCCGGTGGTACTACTTGAAGAAGCCATTGTGGTTGTTTTGTGTTTTTTTGGTTTGTGGTGGGACGGACGAGTAGTTGGTTTTATGAGGCAAGTGCTGCAGAAACCCGGAGACTATGAATGGACAACTGCGTGGCGCAGCCTGCACATAAGTTTATTGTTGTCAGTATGATACGCCTGGCTTCCCGCTAAAATGCAAGGCACTGGGCACGCTATACTGATGAATGCTTCTTTAATCTGCCTATCATTATGCCCTTTCTAAAGCGTTCTCTTTTCTAGACATCTCCCTACCATGCCAATTTCCGTCGACATCGGTCTCCTGTACTGTGTATATCCAGCACCCTCTCTCGTTGTTATATGACGCCTTCTTGACATACGCCACGATCATGGGATCGTGGGGGAATATCCTAACCCACACCTTATCGCCAACTTCAAAGCGCTGGTTGTACTGTGATACAATTTAGTCAATTCTACGTATAATCTCGATGATCTATTTACCTGAGCTGCAACTCCCGTTGGCACGAAGTCAGCGCGTCCAAGATCTTGTTGGCTATCTGCGTCCGCCATCGATGTCTAGTTGTTTTTGCATTAGAGCGGCCCTTACGCTGAACTGAGCTTCGGGCATCCTTACCTAATGTTCTTCTTCTTTGAGAAAGCACTGCCACGCTTCCAATAATTGAACTTTGGGCTCTAGAAAGCCTGGCAAGACGCCCTCGGGAGAGAGCCTTGCTATATAATCGGCATATCAGGTAAGGCAGGCAGTTGTTGAAACGAGGCAACTGCAGAGCCTTGGTAATATGGTTGATTTGGGCACCGATGAATCAGCTAAGGCGCTCTTTAGATGAATTAAAAAGGCATCCGTCGTGATTGGTCGCCGTTCGCAACCTTTAGGGTTGAATCTGTACGACATGAATAGTCGGTGAGCGACCAGCGCAATGTTTTCTTCTCCTCCCACCAGCCTTATCTTCGTTTCTCAATCTATATTGGCCTCAAGTTATATTTGCGTCTTCTGATTTGGAACAGGGTGATAGGGGTTCCCTAGGCGGGAGACGCAGAATTGAGGCTCTGCTGGTCTGCTGGTCGGATCTAGGAGGGTGTGAAATGCAAAGCCTTCGCTCAGACGCCATCGCGTGTTTTACGTTGCTTGGTTCAACCCAAGGCGAACATGCACAACATGCACAACATTTGCAACATAGATGTAATGGATGCAAATATTATTGGAAGGCGATAGCCATATACCATCCTCCACAAATGACCCCTCTTCCTTTATGGTATTCAAGACGTAGAAGGTCCGAAATGGCTTCAGGGGCTAGGCATTTTAATCGCCCGAGGATCGTCAGCCCACTTTATCTTATTTCCTTGCGCTGGGTTGACGTGGGCCACCTTCCATAAAGTTATAAAGTAGCTAAAGCCGTATTATTTTGACCATGACTTTCTACTAGCACATGAAAAGAAAAGAAACGTCTATTCTCAAGTTCAATGGGAGACCCAAAGCCAAAAGCTCTAGAAACGGACGTAGAGAAGGCTTTGCCTCCGACGCCGATACCACTCTCTCCGTCGGTAGCTCAATCGGCATTGAGAAGTAGTGAGGGGACGTTAAGCAATCAAAGCACTAGAAATATGCTGGACGAGGACGATAGTGACGAAGATATATGTATGTAAGGCTGAATTTGCACTTTGGGTTGAGGATCTGACTAAATTAACTGCAGTCACTCCTCCCCAAAATAGCTGCCGCATACGCGGATGGTGTAATGCGCTATTGCTGAAGCCTTCATACAAGCGCCCATTCCGACGTATCATCCGAAAATGTAAGCCTTTAGCATCTTGTTATTTTTGTAATAAAACAGCAGCTGCTCATAAAGATAGTGGAGAAATGCGAATCCGGATATCCATACCTGGCCACTTTTCTAGACAGCGATGAAAACTTCATGATCTTTCGGAGATTTGGGTTTCTTCATACTCGCCTCCTGCTGCGCACACAGGATGAGCTTCGTATAATGGAAAAGGAATTGGACCAAATGGACCAGAGGGACAACTTCCAGAACATCAAGCTGTTGCAGTGTAGAGTCGATGATGATCTTCGTAAAGACCAAGTACCAGAGACGCGAGAGTCCCTTTTATCTCGTATTGAGCCTACCTTACTAAAGTATGATCAATTGCTCCTCAATTCTCAACAGCTAGCTGCAGCCAACCGCCCGCCGCAACGGGACTATAATAGTGTTGCGAACTTCATCTACCATAAAAAGCCTTTGCTGCAAGGAGACGACGATTTCATCTATAGAAAAGAAGATCTAATAACATTACGGCCCGGTAGAGAAAGTGCTTGGCTAGACGCGGCCGTGGAGAAGTTGCTTAAGCTTTTCCCTCGTGGAGCTGTCAAGTATATTTTCTGCTCGAAGGTATGCCTGGAAACATCCCCAAAATTTATACCAACAATTGAACTTGCCTGACTTCGATTAAGGAAACTGCCGCAAAAACCAGAGACCCCGACTTGTTTCTCCCTACAAAATCTCGCGTCGACGGACTTGTCAGTTTTCTCATCATGGCCATGGTCCTTACTCTCTTGGTAGTCCCAGTCTATGCTTTATACCATGTAAGCACAAAAATAAACAACGACAGCCTAGAGAATTCAAACGCCATTTGCATAGCTATCCTCCTTGTTTCAACGCTCATGTTCTCGGCTGCCCTGGCGTTATTTACGAGGGCGAAGAGACATGAACTTCTTGGTGCTGCGGCTGCGTACGTGACACTACACTCCTACACAAAATGAATGGCAAAACTGACTGTTACCTAGATACTGTGCTCTCCTTGTGGTATTCATTGCGAATATCGGTGATTCGAGGCTTTCTCCTTAAATATATGTCTTTAGGTGAACAGAACTACATTGGCCGCTATAATAGTATTGAGTTTGACGGACTGAATGATTAGAACTATATACGATGCGGAGTATTGTTATGGAACACTCTACTTACTAGACACACTACTTTCATTACAAAACTGAGCACAACTTGTTGGAAGATAGCGATGACTACCATAGTGAATTGCGTTGACTGATTTAGGGTTGAAGATTCTTGGTTAATGCTATTAGGATCTGCGCTACCTTAAGTGATAAATTGGCACTTCTGAGCCTGTTGAGAGCGCATTGCTTGAAGAAGGGATGTGTTGATTGGGTCTTGACCGGGTATTCATTGTGCTACTGGAACTGGAGGAATTATTCAGCTACCCCCTAAACAAATGGCTGTGCTTCTCATTACCGTTTGGAAGTGGCTTATATATCATTTGCTATAAGTGGGCTACAAGAAGATTCTTTTTTTGGGGGGGGGGTTATGGTGGTTATGATCATGATCATGATCTGCATTGGCTTTCATTGAACTAGATAGTCCATTTGATGCTCTGGAGGTTGTGTAAAGGAATAACTACGAATAATTATTAGCGGACTTAACGACCAGCCAACTAATTTATCATGTTACAGCGATCAACGAAGGTTGGCTAATACCCCTCGAGGGCGATTTTGGTGTAGTAAGCGATTATCGTGGGATTTGATAATGAGCTTCAGGCCAAGTTAAGGTGAAAATAATAGGGAGATGCCGCGATAGCATAATATCTCGGTTAAACTTAAGGGTTCGCATCAAAAGGGGGGAAGTTCACGTGATACACACAGAAACTTCGCCAGATAAGGCTGATGAGGTGAGCTAAATATGTTCATCCATTGCTTGGTAATGCGCTATCCCGTATTATCCCTGTTTGTTGCATTCCCGAAAGTCTCCGTGCTAATGCGTGCTTTCGTGCTCGAGGAAGTCGATATTACTCGACAGCTTTAACCTATGTTGAGGCTACGTTGACTAAGCCTGAGTATGTATTGAGGACCTCGCCAGACAATCTCAAGTGACTGATTTGGCTCTCTCCTTTTAAAAATCTTGATTATTCACCTGGAAATTTGGCGCTCGCTTTGGGCGGCTTGGCCGAAGTTCATCCGCAACATCCAATCAAAAACTTCGAGAACGTCGGTTAGAGATTTGGGGTATATCTTTTAAAATAGTGGTTTTTGTCACAAATGAAAGACACAACTTTCCACACATCGTCTTCGTGGCTCAGTGTAAGCATATTCTCAATATCCGTTCCAAATGAAAAAAACTAACAGTTTAAAAGTGGTTAGAGCGTTGGTCTCATACATATCTGTATGATTAGATTGCAAAACAGTCTGGCCATCCAAAGGTCGTGAGTTCGAGTCTCACCGAGGACATAATTTTTTAATTCTTTTTAATTCTTTTTATTATTTTAAAAATAAGTACTTGCTAATTCCGCTTATTAAAAAATTGATATTAACGCACAAATTAATAATATGTATAAATAGCGAGTTTTTACTTTTTAAGATGGCTGAGCAAGAGCGGCAAGCTCATTAACCGAATGGGCTCACTGATGCGGAATTCTAAGACGGTGGTCTACTAGAGGTCGCTCCCCAACTTTATAAATAAAGTTTTGAACATGGATTAAATACAGCAATTGCGGACTTGTCCCTAGGACGGCTGCGGGAATCCCGGAATGGACACGTACACATAGCATCTTGGATTATCCGATCAAATAACCATGAAGTAATGAGTAGTAGGACTTTAAGCATAAAACATGGTATTTTAATACTCTTGAAAACTCTTAATCTTACTACTTTGCAGAGGCCAACAGCCGATATTATACCATTAAAGATTGTTTGGACATGCTCCGGTGGTAAGTTTAAAAAGTTCCATGGCGACGAGGCCTGTTCGTATCTGTAGTTGTAGCCCCGTGGAATAAGATATAGGCAGTTTGAAGGGTTAACCCCAACCCTGGGGTAGATAGTGAGTAGTGAAAGAACCATTAGTGTCTCCTATATTCGAGGAGATTGTTGTTAGTAAATGAGAATCTTGAGGGAGCTTGACGTTTTGCGAGGAATAGTTACGAGGAAGGAGTGGACCCCGTACTCGTACTCGTATATATTTCTTAACCCCACCTTGTGCCCCTCCTCAATCTGGAGAGCATTACCGCAACTTTGTTCAACATCAAGCCATGTTCAAAAGCATCAAATAAGCACAGCAGCATTTTACATTGCCTCCTCTATACATCACACCGTTCCAAAACGCCCCGAAATTTGCAAAGTAGCTGCATCCCTTGCAATGGCATCAGAAAACTATGAAGCCGCCATCTCTCTCATCGACGAAGCCCATGCCCATGACCCAAATACTGTCGTTATCGATGGCACTGACATCCCATACGAACTGCACTACGCACAAAAGATGACGCGATATCTCTCCCTCCGGGCGCCCGATGCCTCCCCGATCCTCAAAGTCGCCATCCGTGCGCAACATTTCCGCCGCTGGGAGATTCCCCGCAATTCATATCCCATGACGAAAGCGGGATACCTCAATTGGCGGAGCTTCCTGAAGAAGAGACAGGCGGATTTGGCCTCTGCGATATGTATAGGGTGTAATTTCACGGACGAGGAGGCCGAAGAGGTGGCTAAATTAATACGGAAGGAAAATCTGCAGAATAACGAGGAAACGCAGATTCTAGAGGATGTGGCATGCCTGGTGTTTTTAGATGATCAGTTTGAGAAATTTGAGAAGGAACATGACGAGGAGAAAATTATAAGCATTTTGAGGAAGACGTGGGGCAAGATGAGTGAAAAGGGACATAAATTGGCGCTGAGCATCCCCATGTCGGAGAGGAGCAAGGAATTGATAGGGAAGGCGTTGGCAGGATGAGACCGAGGGCCGGAATGGCTTATGGGCGGTGGAGTATGCTGTAGGTAGAGTTTCGTTTGTCATGCTTTCTGTATGCAGGATGCTGAAACTATTATATTATAGCGAGTTGGAAATATTTCCAATTCCCACTGGCACTCGAATCGAGACCGCAGGGCAATCTGCTGAACACGCTTCTATGATTCGCCCTATCTGTGCGGAGATTAGCAGCCATCAGTTACGCCTCTTGGTCCAATGACTATCTTTCAGGCACCGGGTCGAGCACAGCAATCCAGTTTCCCCATCCAAGAGAATACTGGCTATGTAGCGATAAGTGACGGGCATATTCTGCATTCCGCAACGGCGCCGTTGAAGCTCTAGCCTCTTGGAGAATCTAGCGGTGACAGTCGCGATTATATCCAGCGATGGTGATAGCGGTACGCTACCTAAATATAAAAGGGCGCTAAAAATATTTGTTGAATGTAATCTAGCTACTGCCTGGTGCTGTGTAATCTTAAATTTGCAATAGAGAATGTCACAGAAGTTCTATAGGATTTTCAACGTGGAGAGCGGCCGAGGACGAAGATCCGCTGGAGCAGCAAACGTGTGCATGGAGTTATCAAGGGGCAACTAAAAGTAGGCAGTGCAGAGCCTAGGGAAAACTACTTCTGTATATGCTTACGAGTAGGCATAAATTGGAATATATATATATATTATACATTATATAGACGTCTGAGATCGAGAACGCTGTCCTTGCGATTTATGAACCACTACCTACCTAGGTACACTAGTTGGCGCGAGGTATCAGAGCTCATTGGTGTGCCCCACTTGCAGCTAGATCGTCGCCAAAAAGTTGTCGACACGTCTGGATGGTGGTGATTCCACAACTTTATGCTACTCTACAATTTCAATGCCACTTCCCACTGCTGCTGATTTGGTCTTTTCTGAGCAAGCAAATCACAACTTCTCCAGAACGCTTGGAGAACTAAAAAGACATAATCTCTCAATACACAACCGCCTCCGGTCCATCGAGGAAGATGCAGCCTTTGCGCAAAATGTGCATGCTGCGTATGGCAGGCCGCTGATTGCGAATGAGCGATGCGGAAGCTGGTATATTCATCCTAATCAGAAAGGAGGAAGCGCGTACTTCAAGAGCACTGACGGCCATACGGGGGTTTGGAATTTCAGCTCGAGAAGGCTGAATCTGCACCTGCTGGAGATCATAGGGAAGCACGATGGGTTTGTGAAGTCGCGAAATTGACCCTGAACATGTGCTAAGATGTAATGATTACCAGGTGCATTATCGTTGATTCTACCAGACGTGGGAAGAGTAGGTCATCATCTGGCACAATGGCATTGGGAGACAAGAGTTGCTAACTAGCTCCAGCTATGCCCGATGCTCTCAGCAAGACCGTCCCAATATGGTGCAGTGTTGTGAATCGCATGCTGTTTCCGAACATACCTCAGTTCCACAATCTGCATACTCCGCCGCAAGTGGTCTCCGATTCGGAACATGCGCAGATTTCTGCTCGACTTCCCTCCTTCCAACATACACTGGAGGCGCTCGACTTATCCAGTGAAGCTCTCCGACTCGATATTTCTAAACCCCTCCGGCCCATTTGGGTAACACCAGACTCGACCATTACAGCTACGGCAAGCATCTTCGAAGATTTTCACCCTATAATATGTTGTACTGTGTCGCGGCGTGTCGCAGGTGGGGTTATCGAAGGAGATTACGTGCAAGGAGCTGGGGATGATAGCGAGAACTGGGCACATGGGTTATCTCCTCCAATCTTCTGGGAAAACTATGAAGCTCTCCTATCGACGTCTGAGAGTGACTTGCCAGAGTTTATCGACCTATTAGTCGGACATGCCGAGAAGACTAGGGCAGTTGGAGAAGCACTAAGATGTGTTGAGCCAACTTCTACTTTATTCGTGGCTCGGATTCCAGCAATGGATAGCGAGATCATGAGACCCGATGATTTGGCAATAATTCTTTCGCCGATAATCACCGCTCAAAGCACGTGGAGGACATCCCGAACAAGGTTTGATATCGGCCTTGGCCCCCACAAAGTGGGTAGCAGAAATCTTCGACTCGCTCTACCTCACATCGTAGGTTTCGTTAAGGAGAACATTTCCCAATTGGCAAATCCGGATCACAGGAAGCGCTTGGTAGTCTGCTGTGAGAGCGGGAAAGATCTTGCCATCGGTGTTGCGCTTACTCTCATATGTCTCTTCTTTGACAACGATGGTCAGTTGCTGGAGGAGATGCGTTCCGCACCAATTGACAAGAGCTTCATTAGAACTCGTCTGGGATGGATCTCAACATCGATGCCGGATGCGAATCCAAACCGAGCGACGTTGCAGAGTATTAATAGCTTCCTAATGGAACGCCCAAAATAATGACTTTGCAGTCCCGCATGAGGTGTGATATAGATGAAATCAAGTAGATGGGAAAGTTGAATTCGACGACATGCGTCGAACAGGCGAGCGATTATCGCTAGTGCATCCAGATACTAGTGCTGGATTTATAGCCTATATTACCTTCCACAAGTCCTTATATCCTTGCACGTTGCACTTCCATAATTGTTCCTATTCAAATTCGGGGCTCCTCCTTCTTTACCCCCTTTATCCTCCACGGTTGAGGCCGCCCTCCGAATTTTGCAGACGTCGGCGGTTTTTTTTCACTGCGGACGGGAATTAAGTTTCTTTAGAATGCTTAATTCCCCCTTTGATCTGAAACCTACCAGGCTCTTCAATTTAATTTCTTCCCCCTCAATCATTGAGTTCCATACTGATCTGAAAGTTTAGAGGTTCACTCCATTGCCTATTTTTATTGGTAGTCCGATACATTGCTTACGAAGCAAGATCTACTTGACTATGCCTTAGATTCTTAACTTGCTGCATAGTACTGTATGCTCCGACGCCTAAAGGGTGTGAAGGAAATGCTTCTACAGTACCGTCAACTCAATAAGACGAAATACTACAATTATGTGCATGTAGTTTGAATATTTTCAAAAGAAAAAACGGACACAGAGTTTGGGCTTCTTTAATCCTAGCAAAGGTTCACGTCGCACTGCCCAGAGCACCCGTAGGTCCCGATCCAACGCTGATTCCAGTATACATCCTGCCCCATAAACCACCCATTGAGCGTCTGGTGTAGATAATCCAAATTCTGTGGCTGTCCATTCTTCTTCCCCTCAGTTGAGCACGGATAGTCCTCCGTGAGGCCCTTACTTCCATTCAATCTATTATTGGCAGTGAACCACCCATTATAACTCCCGAAAGCAAGCAAGGCATTGTTGTTCGACGCATCCAACCGCTTCCGCAAATAATTGGCACCGGCATTGACGTTATCCTGAATCGAGTTTGTGCATACACCGTCGGGATAGTTCGCGCAACTTACTTGCATTAAGCCTGGCGTAGGGCCGCCAGCAGAGGCTGAGCAACTGGATTCTTGCATGGCGATGAAAGCTAGTATTACAGGATTGAGGTTATGGATATTGCTGGCATTTTGAAAATATGAGTCGTACTTCTCGCAGGCAGATCCTACCCCTGTGTAGAATTGGTCACGGGAAATATGATAGAGAGAGTCGAAGTCGAGGAACGGTGGGTCCCAGCCTCCGGATGTCAAGCCTCTGTTGAACCATTCTTCTGAGCTGTGAATGTGCTAGCTGGGAATTTAGGCTAAACTGCAGGAGCTATACCCGTTAGGACCAGAGCCTGGCGTTACTTCTGCAGTTGCACCTTGGGCATTGGGGTTTACGCCTATTCCTGGGTCTACGCTCTGTCGACCTGAAAGAGTTGTTGCATTTGAGAGGGCTGCTGTAGTGGCGAGGAGAAGGAAACTTTGGGCGAAGCTTGGTGCCATTTTTACAGGAGACAAAGGGTGGTTGGGGAAAACTGTGAACTGCTGTACAACAAAATATTGGCACAACGGCATTTATAAAGCCCTCCCTATAGGCTATATTTCAATTAAATATCCTAATTTTCCCGAAAACTGCACTGCAACAATGAAATACATTATGCCTATTCAAGTGTTAGGAATGCCATCTGCTTGGAGAGGATGTCTTGTTGACGGAAAGTTTCCGGAATCGCTAGTTTGCAGAGCAAATTAGATAGTACAGTCACCGAGGTTACAGTACGACTTGTACAAGAATCTCACTCTAATCACTATTTTAATTTGGAAATCTAGAGACATTGCAAGCTAACTGTATATATTTAAGGTTATTGTGACTGACAGCTTTTTACTTTCAAAAGGAGTACTCAGGCTCTTGAAAATTGTATGAAGGGGTAGATCATCCTAGTACCTCCTGGAAACCTCGCATAAAAAAGGGTGCATCCTAATTGTTATCCTGTAACCTGGATCAGGTGGAGCCCACACCTTGCCCGCAGCGGGAACCTGTATATAGAAGCCATTGTAATTGTTTGGTTGGGGTTTTTCTGTTATCATCGCCGTATGTATTGCACTCTAACAAGCTGGCAGTACTCGAGTACCGGCTGTTTGTACTGTACATGTAGTGGCAGAAGTTCGATGACTTGCTGACCACTTCTCATTGGGCCCCCGTCCTTAACTTCTCGGGGGGTTTTTTGACATTATCCTATAGGTTCCTTGACCGTTGTCGGCTTTGCTTGAAATCCTTGTAGCTCGAAACTAGAACAGGACTAGAGGTAGGAAATTGATCGCATCTGAGCCAGCCTTGGGTTTCCGATGAATAGTGCGTATAGGTGATAAGGCGGGTAGGGTAGTCTTGGTGTTTATAACGGAGGCTTGGGCGGACCAATGGCCGAGTTTGGGACAAAGCCGATGGGCCAATTGATCTGTGAGAATCGTAAAGCTAATTAATCGGTTGGCGGTACTCTTTTGGCTTTGAAGAATGACCGGCTGTGATTCGCTACTGCTAACGGCTGATCAGACCTCATTTCAATACCTCACATGCCACACCTCTCCAAATAGCATTGAAAAACTCAAAAGCCACAATGTATAAAAGGCTGGACAAAAATAAAATAGGAAGGTATTCAATAAGCAAAATCTGCGCTTATAATTGATTATAGGAATAAAAAGTCTTCAGTAGGAACCAGGATTGTGGATCTGGCCTGGGGAACATGGGATGGATAAGCCCCATACAACCCCCTCCTAGGGCTGGTTCGATTATCACGACGAAGCCGTGCTGGAAGCGAAGAGGTTGGAAGGTCATGTGTACTTCGAAGGTTCACACTCTGGTCATTGCCCATATTAAGGGGTTTAAAACTTAACAGCGTGGTTAGATATTGGAAACTCTGGGTCCATACCTGACCTGACACTCCCGTGGTGGGTACTGTGTAGTTAGGGTTTATCGAGCAGTGGGGATAGCCGTTCGAAGATGTATAGCGGGCTCATTGATATTAGTTGTTCTCTTAAAAGTGGATTTATGACTAGGTGCTAGCGTGAGAGAAGATGGGGCCTGGTATTTTCACCGTTTGCGGGCCTCACCTAGACCGGGCGAATAAGCTAGGATTTCCCAACCTTCACCTATGCAGGTGATGTATAGATTGATGCAAAGAGACGGTGTGGCTTTTCAATTTCAAGAACCCCAGAGCACCTCCTAGAATGCCAGAGGTACCGTCATGCCCGATCACTCAAGAGCTACCTTGAGGGCTGTATCATCATTTGTTACCTTAACCCACTCCGCGCTCTTTATCCACAATTCCTTTTGCTTCTCCTCATCGTTACTGTCCGGGGAACTAGAATCCTTCTTGAGAAGGGTGAAGTAGCCCCGTTCTCCCGGGGACGCCTTATTCATTGCAAGATCAACAACATCTATACCAGCCTCGGCCGCGGTGCGCATTGTAGGATCCTTGAGGCGCAAAAGAGGCCGCAGAGGACTGATGATGAATTTCGACATGTAGGCAAGCATTTGGGGGGTGTTGGTTCGCAGCGCGCGCGAATCACTCAGGTTGCCTGGATTGATGGCGACGGCAGTAATTTTACTCAGCGTCGTGTCCTTTTAGCTACTTTAGCCACTCATGATTGATCTCAACTGGTGATTTGGGAGTTGATAATTACGTTTTCCAAATGCCGGTTCAGTGCGTACATCCACATGATCACCGCCAGTTTCGAATTTGAATACTTCTCAAAGCCCCGCCCGAGGTTATCAGTGGGCTTGTCTTGGACTGGCTTCACAAGCAGTTCCAAGTCTATGGGAATGGCAGGTGGATACTTCTCGAGACTGCCTTTACCAGGCCAGTGTGCATCACTACCTAGGAGTACGATCCGCCCGCCTTCGGATCCAAATTGGCCGAGGAGGCGGAGAACTAGTGCCGCGTGGGCGAGATGATTTACTTGAAAAGTCTTATCGTAGCCATCTTTGGTAAGCTCCGCATTGCCAGACAGATTCCAGTAATAGGCGTTGCAGACAATGCTGGCGAGAGGTGGAAGCTTGCCATCGACGATCTCTGCAGCAACGGTGCTCGAAAAGTCGTGCACAGCAGATAGATCGGAGAGGTCGAGCTGGCGGATGGAGGTTTTGGCATTCGGAAACAGGGAAATTGTATCTCGTAATTTCTTTGTATTGACATCCGCCTCTGAGGGGTTCCGAACGGTCAGGAGTGCCGTGTAATCAGAGTAGTTGGTAAGAAGGTGCCGGACAGCAGGAATAGCAAGGGAGCTATTTGCCCCGGTAAAGAGGATGGTGCCCCCCATGATCTATCCAACAGCCTTCGGTCTGAGGATATGATGGATGGGCGGAGGGGATGGATTGGATGCAATGATGTGTGAGCAAATGAGTGTCACAAATCCACAATGATTGTGAACTTCACCAACCTATAAGTACTTGCGCGGCATATAATATAGTGAAGACTGATGCCATACTCGATACAGGCGTGGAAGCCGGCGATATACGAGTTGGAAGCTATTTGCATTGTGAATTTGTACCTGATTACGAGTCAACCAGCAATAGTGGATAGTTTGATATAGCGCTTACGGAGTACGAGCCGTTGGTGGTTCCTGGGGCCAAGACCCACTCTCCCAGCGCTAAGCCCACTAGGGGAAAACTTTCAGGGTACAGGATCTAGTTCCAGTCGGCTTCTACTTGGTACTGCTTGGTACTACTTGGTACTCCATACACCGTGTTCATAAGACATGAGACGTTAAGAATCTATTTTCACTAGCCTCGGGATCAGGCTTTTTCGGGAAGACCCTCCTCTGCTGGCATTTCCTTTCCAATGATCCGGAAATGTGGAAACCGTCTTTTCCATAGGTCAGCACTAAAATTACAGTGCCGCTATACGTACGATAGTAAACTGTCCACAGTACCTACATAGGTAGTTTACTACTCTCGATTCTACAGCTACTTCCGAATTAAAGCTATTTACACCTAGCTGTCGTACCTAAATCCAGGTCATTTACCAAAACGTGTATAGCAGCATAGAGGAGTAAACCTCCGAATTGCCTTTAGTGCTATTAACAAGCTCCTCCTCTCTAACGAAAGTACGGAACTAATAGACGTATTCTATATATAAAGTCTTGCTTTCGATGTACCTGAGCTCATAGTGCTCTATAATATCCTAGGTACGAAGCGTATCTTTAAATAATTCTGATTCAAGAATGTATCTCCCTGCTTAATCGGCAGGAGCTACCCGTAGAAGAGGGCAGTACAACTAGATCGGCAGGCCGGCAGGTTGTGAATAGCTTCAATTTGGGAGAGAGTGTATAGGATGGTGCGTATATAGCGGCACTGTAATTTTAATGCTGACCTATGCAAAAGACGGGTTCTACGAGGTACATTCTCTGGACCATTGCAAAGAAAAGACCTTTACCAATAGTTGAGATTGTATTGGCCCGTAACGGCCGTAACCCGTTCACGCTAACAAGCATTTAGGGCACTGGCACGTACAGAAGTAACATAACTTTCCAGCATCTAAATAGCAAGTCAACTCTTAATAGATTAAATGGTAAGGGTGTGAAAGGAATAACGGGATACAATAGGTGAAGTAGAATATGAAACCTGCTGCTTGACGGCTTAGATGTCACGCCACCACACAGCTGCACAATTAAGGGAAGACAAAATATACATCTCCACATCTTCCTCCAAATTTTAATATCTCGACAGACACCTCTGAGACATCATTCCTCGTGCTGTTATTTCCTTCGATTATCCTGCCGAGAAAATATTGTGTCATGTCAAACAAGACTCCATACAGGGTCAGAGAGCAAACCCTACCTTTAATGGTACATACATGAAAGAAATATCCCATAGTTATATGTGGAATGTCTCAACTCATGTTGGAGGAAGCGACGAGGAGAGATATATGGTAATTGGCTGGTTTTAAGACATGTGTGTAAAAGTGCAGAAATATACATGAACCACAGCCAATACCTCCCCATATGCCCGTTCAAAATACTATTTACATTGACGCTGCGTTGCAATCCTCATTCTTCGTTTCCGTCCACAAATTCTTGATCTAGCTCCACACAGCTGGGCCTGGGCAAGTGTAGGTGGTAGCTGTCGAGGAGTAGATATCAATCTGGATGAGTAGCGTTAGTTGCATTCATCACCAGGGATAAGGATTTCATGGAAATCTCACCATAATGCCAGGGTCGTTCTGAGAAGCATAGCCTGGGATGGTAGCCAAAAAGCTACCGGAAGGTGTCTCGGTGCCGCTGCCAGTAACAACAAGCTGGGCGCACTCGGCATAGAATTGCGGGGTGTTGGACTGATGAAGCGCCAAAAGTTCGTGGCGGATCAGGTAGTTGCCCGCGGCCAACTTGGCGGGGATAGTGCTCGTCCACGCGAGATCTTTCATGACGATTGCAGTTCCCCAACTTCTGCCGGTAAGAGGTGGAGCAGTCATGCCCATCTGGTCAATCTTGAACCAGTTCTTGCCGGAGCCGTCACAGGCCGTGAACGCTCCCGAGCACTTGTACATCCACACCATTACTGGTCCCTGTTCGTGAGTCCACTGTGACCATTTGGCGGTGACCTTGGTACCGGCCGCGACGCTGGCCGTCAGGGCAGCAGAGGTGCCGCCATTGCACATGACCTTTTTATCAGTGACTGACATTGTGGGGTTATAGTCGGGCCATTGGCGTTGAATGGTTGGTGGGGATGATGCTGGGCTGAATCCAGTATATCTGGAGTTTTGTGAGATTGATTTCCAAGCAAGGTACGAGAGGGAGAATGTTTACCCAGGATATGTTGTCCCGCCAATGACATAACTAGTGACAGCACCGTGGGCCGAAGCCTCGGCGATGAGGAGTGCCGCAGCAGAGAAAACTGTAGAGAAATGCATGGCGTATGGCTTAGTTGACAATAGGTGGGAGACTACTGAGGGCTGAGGTTGACTTCTTGCGCGGAGAGTGCTTTTTTTATAGTCTTTTTTACCCCATGTTTCCCCCAGGTTTCCTTCCCCACAATCAGCTATGCAGGTTGAAACGGTTTAGATTGATTTGTGCCGCGTGATGATCAGAGAAGAGGCATCGCCTCCGAGGTTAATATCAGCGATTTGATATATTTGCCGGATGACGGTCCGTCAGATATATTGGCAAAATGCTGGGATGAACCAATCAGATCAGGGATATTTTGACATTCCTTGGAATAGGGCGAACCGGTATTTCAACAGGGCGGAACGCCAGCTGCCGGTAGAGCGGATGATGTTCATATTAAGATTGACGAGTGGCTTTTCCGACGATCGATCCTCAGGAGGTCTCGAATAGGAAAGATTGATTCCTCCGTGGTGTTGTGGGGTCCCACTGATATTTCGGGATGATCGACCAATATACTTTTCCGAGACAAATATCTTCTATTTAAAATATGCTCGTTACAATCCGACTAGATGCATCACGTAAGTCCTATGCCAACTCTGTTTCTGTTTTGAAGGAGGAGGAAATGGTACTTACGGCACGTGACTCAACCTCGTGACTATGGGCGTTTCCAACTAGGTATTTGGAAGACTCGCAGAAACTCTCAATATTTTCACGGCTTGTACGAAGTTTCGGTATTGCTAGGCAATAAATGTTCCCATCAATGGCCCGGGATATAACGTGGAAAGTCATTCCATGACGACAATGTTCAAGCTCCCGTCCCGACCCCAGCACCCCATCCCGACTCTTTCATCCATTCTTTGCCAAAAAAGCCTAATGCCAAGGCCACGAATTTATATATCCCTTCTCTTCACGTGGAAGTGCTATATTCGACGGGTGTTCGGCTGGCTGTATTCCGTATATTGCCAGAGACTGAAGCTGTACATAGTGTTAGCCGTTCGTATTATGGCCGTCTGCCCCCGGATTGGGCATATTTTGGACGGGCGCACTATTGGAGAAAGTGGTGCTCTGATATATATGGTGAGACGGATATGTGCGAGGGATATCAGATGACTGTAATCTTGTAGGCCTAGGGTAGGAAGGAGGAAGGAGGAAGGAGTGTGTTCTGGGGGTAAGCGCACCTTGGGTAGTTTATTTTGAAGGCCCGATGATGTAGATGGTGCGCGGTAGGAGACCAAGGTCGGCACAACTTGCGTGGGGAAGTACGCTGTAGCTTGTTATATTTTGACGAGTCTATATCGGGCTTGGGCAGGTATGCGTATGCATTAGGAAACATAGTTGGCTGCAATCTCCTCGTACATGACTTTCATCTAGATTGCTGGGGTAATGGGAATTTGACTGACATTCGAGGAATCTCTGAATAGAATATGGCACTTAGTTTGCGGGCCGTGGGAGTATGCCGAATGACGATAACCACTGGCCATGAGGACCCAGTGGGAGTTTGCAAAAGATGAGGATATGATGAATGAAAACTAGAAAACTCATCTTGCAACAGTTGGCTTAAGTAACAATAGCTAATGTTTGTAAATGGGTATGTTGTTTAGGCCTAAGTTCATACTCTAGTTGATATTGCCAACATCCGCTCATATGGAACGAGGAAGGACCGTACTAGATTATCGATAAGGAGAAAATATAACAACGGGATTTGCATGGAGTGGATAGTATCCCCCTAGCAAGCTAGAAAAGCTTGACATATGCAGGCATGAGGATTCTGGTCTTCGGATAGGATAGGAGAAGATGTTAGCTATAACCGCATGGGAAACTGCCATGTCCCATGCCCAGGATGAGAAAGAGAGGATCTGGCTTGGTTTTGGACACATATACCCACTCAGGAACACCTCTCAGTTTATGAAACTGTTCTTGTAAACCTAGGAAGATGATTCCACTGGCGGTTTTTGGGCGTTAAAATATACCCGTAGGCGCATTGCATATGCCTCGAAGGAGGCGGCGAGTGGCAGCGCCTGGGACTGGGATTGGGACTGGATCTAGGGCTGAAGGAGCACATGTTGATTTGTTGACAAGGAGTTCGGGGTCCAGAGTCTAGAGTCTAGACTCTAGGCTCTGGAGCCCGGAGTATGTCAACCCCCCGCCCTGACCACGCCCAGCCCACGCCCAGTACCATGCATAAAACAGCAGGTAATAATATAATAACAAACAATAATAATGGAACAATAAAAGAAAAACCACTGCGCCAAGACAGAGTGCCGAGAGCGGGAGGCCAAACCCTAGGGGCCAAAGGCAAAATCCCCGTTCATTGCGTGTAGCAGCAGCTTGTTGGTTAGGGAGGTTTGTTTGGGTTGGGTTGTGATGACCAAATTACCAACTCTGGGTTGTTTATTCCCTGCCGGCTCCCGTTAGGGTCTGTTCGAGGTCGTCTAGCGCAGTCATCTCTAAAGAGCCCCTCCTTTTCCTCAATGAGATATTTCCCATGCCATGGCTTATGGGAAAGAATGGGGTGATACTTCGTACTCACGTTCGACTGCGGTAGAAATCGGCTGATCCTCAAATCCTCCGCGCCCCCAACGGAAGGAGGAGGAGCCTTTCGCGCGTAGATAGATAGCTATATATCCATATGCTTGCCGTGGAAGATGTGAAGCTTTTGGAGGCTTCCTCGCTGTCTCTTCCTACTGCGGTGCTGACTGCGTGAAGCTTCCTCTCGTCACGGCGCATCCTGCCCGCAATCACGGCGCAATATGAACACTCGAGTACTCCTAGGTGAGGCGGCCCAGCCTCAGAAACCAACCATGGAACCACAAGCCATCCAACTCCGTCCCATCGGTATCTCCACACATATCCTGTGATTGTCAATAGAGAATTGTGTTCGTCCCCTTTGTCACTCTGTGTGGCCGGCGGAGGAGACTCAGCTCTCTTCCGGGGTCGGGCACCCGGAACCTTGAACCGTGCGCGACATGATTCGTTCCAGTGTCCAGCGTCGAGTCTTGAGTCTTGAGGCCTGGGCTGCCGTGGCCATGGCGATTGCAACATTGGCCATAATCTCGAGTGATCAGCGACGAACCTGAAGCCCCTCCTTTCGGCCCATCATAGTCATCGCATTTGGCGTGAGACCCAACTACAACCACAAACACCACCATAGCAACAACAGCGACGGCAGAGCCGATACAATCGATCGCGGATTGCCAACGTCCGCAGAGCCAAGCACAAGCTTCAGCAGCGACGACGACGACGACTGAATTGGGGGACGGGGTCGCGGGAATCTGCTACTGATATCAGGACACAGACTGCTCGTACAGTACGGCCGTTACTAGCTTGTTGTGGGACGGTGGAAAAAAGCCGATTTAATTCCTATCTTTTGAACTTTTCCGAGTCCAAACATAAGTCCATCCCAAGTCCAAGTCCAAGTCCAGGCTCCTTCTTCGCAATCGTAATCGCCGAGGGACGTCACGCTGCGTGTGGGTCGCCCGTCTGTGTGTCTGTCTCGGCTCGCTTGTGGGTGGTGGCAACGTTCGACGAGGAAGACGTTGTAAAATTCCATGATAGCTTCAACCTCGAAACCGCAACCTTCGCTCACTCCAATTCCTGCCATCGCAGCCTTTGCCATTCGTTGCCGCTGGCGTCGCCATCGCAGCTGCCAGGGTCAGAGCTGGCCACAGGCCCTCTGCTCTTCCGCCCAGGCTGTCCCCGCCTGGCTTGCAGTTCCATCTCCATCAGTGCAACTCGCCATGGACGTGATCCTCATCCCGGCAATCAGTCATCATTGTGTTTCCCCATCCGCCTGCCTAGTCAAGCAGTAGGAAGTCGAGGCCACGGCCAGATCGTTGTCGCCCGTTCGGATCGCCAACGGTGGCGACTCGGGGTGTCTGCACTTGCAGCTGCGTCTCCTCGCAGACAGCACCTCGTCAACGCTGTGAAGTTGTTGCTCTGCGAACTGCCTTAAGCTCGTCGCGAGCCCTGCTTCAATGATTTGGTATCTTTTGTACCCGTTTCGAGGGTTCGTATCCCCCCCCCCCCCCCCCCCCCCCCCCCCCCCCCCCCCCCCCCCAAGCTGGTCAACTCGGTCCTGACAGTTGAATAGTACAACCGAGCCTCCAGATCTCGATACCAAACACCCTCTTCGTCACAGTTTCACGAAATATGGCAATCAAGCTGCCCGACGCCCCGTCAAAACCCTCCTCATATCTGTTGCCGTCGCTGCGGTTCTGATATACCCTTTTCCATTCCTCTACACGAACGACTTCACTAATGGCGCTTCGAATCTACCCCACCATGTTTGGACTTCGGCGCAGCCCTTCCAAGGACCCGTCGACACCCGGCCTGATGTTGTGATGCGGTCTATATGGGTACACGGTATGCTACTTGATTGCAATTGCAGAATTTTCTGCTAACACTTGATAGGAAGTTACATGAACGCCTTACAACCAGAAGTTTTACAAAGTGCATTAGAAATCCAAGATGAGCTCCTGGGCCCGACGCTTAATTTTGATCCTCGAAGACTATCAGATCATAAATATCCCGCCGACATCGATACCGACTTAACAACGGACATGCGAGACAGTTTCCACGCTAGCAATGGCTTGACCAATTCATCGTGGTTTTTCCACTCCCCGCTACAATATTGGTTATGCTCGAAAGACCGCATCGCAGGGGACCACTCTATCATCAGGACGGTTAATGAAGGCTCACGTCAAGCAACGTTAATTAATACCACTCTTCGGCACTCTATCGTGTTTAGCGGAAAGCGCTTTGAGGGCCATCGACTTGTTGCCGCCGATACCTTGGTTATCACGTTGATACATATGCTCGACTCCCCCGTCGGTAGACAATGGGAGAGGAAAGCCGAGCAGCTTGCGCGCAGGAAATCGAAACAGTGGCGCATTATACCGCCGGACGGTAGATCGTACGCTAGTACATTATATGAGTTTCGATTTCAGCCGCTGTCTTTCCAAGATGACCTCTTCCTCGGGGTCGCGTACACTGCTACTGCTCTGTACTTTTTCGTTAGCCTATCAAGAATGCGGGCGCTAAAATCACGACTGGGCCTTATCATTGCAGTCACGGTACAGATTGCGATGTCAATCATGTCGAGTTTCACTATCTGTGCGATTTGGAAAATTGACCTCTCCAAGATACCTAGGGAGGTATATCCGTTGATAATATTGACAGTTGGGTTGGAAAACATTTTCCGGTTCATCAATGCCGTCATCCTAACCCCTTCTGACCGTTCTACTTCAACAAGAACTGGCGAAGCTCTAGGCAAGACTGGATACATTGCCCTTGCTTCTGTTAGTCAGAATATTGCCATACTCTGGATGCTATCTAAAATAGTATCGCCTCAAATCTCCGCGTTCTGCACATTCGCAGCCCTCGCTCTTTGCTTCGACTTCTTCTACCTATTAACGTTCTTTACAGCAGTTCTAAGTATTGACGTGCGGCGAACTGAGCTGAGCGATTCCTTGACCCGGGTTTCAACTCGCAAAGAACCATACTCAACATCAGATTCGCAACCGAGGAAAACCTGGGGGGATGCAGTCTTGCGTGTCGAGACTGCGGTCTCGACACGAGTAGCTGGGACCATTGTGATTATAGCCTTTGTAATTATGGCACAGTGGCATTTCTTCGATAATGAGAGTCTTTTTCAGACTATCCTCCGGTTGTGGAGATCCAGCTCACAACCCCACCCAACGCGATCTAGCTCCACAGCTTTTCTGTCAGTCGATATTCACCAAGCCAGGACGCCCACATCATGGTTAAGAATGCAAGATCATGAAACAGCTCACGAGGTCATTCAAGCCATCAAGCCACATGCTAATCGCTACATCGCGCAAGTGTACGACCCTTTGATATTTGTCCTTGATGGATCTGATAGGACCCCAACCAGTTTTGGAGACAGTCAATTATTACCTGCTGCCCAAGGATTTTTTATCGCAGTTATTTCGATTCTTGCTGTGGTCTCACTATTAATGAACTACCTCCTCTGGGATGAGCTGCCAGAAGCTGGGGCGGAAGATAGGCCTGATGATAAGCCACTTCTGTCTGTTAAAACTTTGAGTCTGGGGCACGCCCTTGATATTGTTCTCCTCAAAGCATCTAACGATGGAATTATTGCAACGGTTGGTCTGGATCGATGGATCCGTATATGGGATATTCGCAACGGAATGTTCAACTACATTGTTCAAGACCCCGGCTCTGATATCGACCCATTTCCCGTCCTAGCTATGGCTATCGATAATGACTCCAATTGGCTGGCGCTTTTGTCAGCTAAAGACAAGGTCATGTTATGGAATATTCCCGAGAGACGATGGGGTCCCGTGATGTCGGTCGAGATCAAAGGTCGAACTCCCGCCACATTTTGCTTTGGATACCACAAAACGGAGCTTATAGATCCTGTACTGGTGGTTCGGCATAATGGCATAATGACGGAAATGCACATGGAAACAAACGAAACCAAGGAGCTACAAATCTGTCGCAGTCCACTGGTCGCTGCATTACCCCATTTCGAAAAACCTAGCCCCCAATATCCTCACCCTCCCCCACGGATACTCACATCATCAAAGCGTGGATGTGTCCATGTGGCTTCGCAATTCGAACCAGACTGGGTCTCGGAAGGGCTTGAAATCCCTGATCCGGAAGATGACAAAGAGATTCGATCGATCCTGCCATTGCCGGCTTTGAGTTCCTTTCTTGCATGCCGGGATCACACTGTTGATCTCATCGACATGTTCACCCACAAAGTCACACATACGTTTGCTACCAAGTCGATGAAGCCTAACACCCTTCGATGTTTCCACTCCACTCGCAGACGACCACAATGCGGGTCTGTGGGACTTGCTTCTCTCGCAATTGCTTACACCTGCGCCGAAACGGGATCGTGCATATTGCAATCCTACCTCCCCCAACGCGAGGGTGATACCATATGCTTCCGTGATCCATGGAAGCCGGGCAGCAAGACTTGCTGTCTCTGGCGAGAGACAGTCGAGCATAAATACGAGGTCCAGAACCCTGGTGAATGGCAAGCACTACAAATTGGTTATGTTGTCGGAGTCCGCAAGCGGGAGACACGAGCTGGTGTAAAAGAAACCGGTAGCCATTCCACCCTTTCTCCTGGCACTTCAGGGCTGAGACGACGTGGCGGAAACGGGACACATTCATTATCCCACAGTATAAGCAAGTCAGAAATGGACGACGAAGATTCTTGGGAAGTGTGGAGTATCAATGCGAGGGGCGACCGGTCAAGCACGCCGCTCTGTGACGCGAACCAGAATCATGAAAGCCTTCTCGTGAATGGCCTTGGTCCAATGGAGAAGGCGGGTAAGAGCGTCATCGCTGTCGCGTTGGGCAATATTATCAAAGTCATCACTGTAGGAAGCGATAAGTTCGATGGCACTCAAGAAGAAAGCGACGATTCGGCCTTCGTCGGAATGGCTGCGAGCCGGAAGAAGAAGCCCAGCATTTCAACAAGGAAACGGACCGCTTAATTTCATGGATCTTAACACCAAGTTAGGGTGCTAGGTGTTCCGAGTTTGAATAACGTATCACGAGGGATGGAGTTTGAGAGTAAAGAGACGGTTCTGGGAGGCAATGATACCCAAAAGTCCTTGTTTATCGGGGCTGGCGTTGATTTCTGCATTGTTAACCAGTTAAATTAAGACTGGGACGGCGTTTTATGGTGATAGCATACAGTGATGTTTCGCTCGAGTTTTGAGCTGTAATGTCGACGCGATGTAATCGGGCCATGGGATGGTCCGACCAAGCGGGATTATAGCGGACCACCCAGGGTACTATTAAAATGATAGTCCCGGATAAATCAATATGAAAGCAATTTATTTTGCACAAAGTAACGAGCTTGTTTGTTAGTCCGTTCGAGTAATGGTATCTAGTGGTTATGTTGCGTGAACTATTTTTATGGTCGAAGTGACCTCCCACTCGGTGACTGGTCTGTTCACAGTGTACGATTTCATGCTGAACCTACGAGGTTCCAGGCCACTGGCTTCACAAAACTCAAGAACTTCCACCAGCGCCGGTTGCTACCCCAAGGCCCTATTGGAAATTATAGCGCAGTACCTAGATAGGTACGAAGTAGCACCGATCCTGCAGAGTTCCGCTTGCGAAACCAACCTCGTCTTATCCTTCCTAGTCTCTTCTGATGAGCATATATCTTGTTTGTGGTCACAGTTCTTCAAAGCTACGAAGTAGTAGTATCCCAGCTATTGATAAGATCTTACATCCATGGCCGGTGAGTTCCGCGGGAGATCGACAGCGGCGCCCAACGCCACTTCCGCTGCCTACTCGCTCCATCCCTGTCTCCCCCAGCATTCTTCCCCACAGGGTCGTAACTGTACATCTCTCATTGTATTAATCAATTAAGAGAGGGCCCAGAAACTTAAAGTGCAAACAAACACCTCATGGTGTACAATGTGACGCGGCAAGTGGCAGAAGTTTGCCTCGTTATTCAACGTATCGGGGGATTCAGCAGCAAGAGACTTGGCCTGATGTCATTCGAGCTTTGTTCGGGCCTATACAGAGTATGAGCTACGCTATGGCTACACCGCGCCGGAAGGGTTCGATCTCGCATTAATATACGCTATATCTTGGGATTGGAATATTGCACTTTGTGCTAGACCCGAGAAAACATATTTTGGCTGCTAATTGGTTATTCTAGGGTTGTTGGTGTGCCAGGTGAACGCATGTCGATAAGAAAAACAGTGCTATTGGGCTACGTATGCTACCGCTAATCGTCAAATTTCGGGGCCTATCAATAATATTGTATCGTATGCGATGAGGGGAAGCTTTGTTATGGTGACGGTAGTGTTGTACCGGTAAGCAGACCATACCAGACGGGTAGTACTGCATGTCTTCACCTTATCTAATATAAAAGGGCTGGCAAACCATTTGATGGTTTCTTTCCTGCGCTTTGACAGTTAGAACTGGCTTGCTAGTGGTGTGACGTGAGAGCAGCCCAAGCAAGCCAACAACTAAGCATGTTCCCTTCAACACGGGCTCATCTGACTCGAGGAAAATGCTCGTTGAGAATTAACGCTGTGCAAGACTGCAAGGACGCGAAAGAGGGAGATTCCCCGTCCGTGATGCCATATCACAGTGACATTGGGTAAAGTTGAAGTCGGGGGAAGGTAACCCGTGGGGCCCATTTGGGAATGGTATAGGGTGGGTGCAGAGCATAACTACCTAGGTAAGTATACCTTATATAAGAGACGAGAGCTGTTCTCATACTCCAAAACCTGAGTTCACTCGCTCACTCGACCACTTGCTCTAAGTCAACCTCTATCCGTACCTCGCCGTTTCACCTTGATCGGCCCGTTCTCCTCTAAGTCCAAGTATAAGACTTTAAAATGAAGCTCCAAACCGCTCTCACTCTTTTTTCGGCCGCCACAGCTGTCTTCGCTACACCCACGCCAGACACCCCCGAAGTGGATAGAATGCCCCGAGATATGACGATTCGGGACTTCGTACGCTCTTGCTCTGAACACAGGTGCAGTTACCGGTTTATCATTGAGACCGAGCACGGAGAGCAGAGATGTATGCTTGAGGATCGCGCCGATGACGCACCTCATCATTCCTTTTATGCGGTGCCATGTCGTGAGGTCTGTATTTTTTCTTTTTTGGTTTCCTCTCCTCTTTCCTTTACCATCTCGACTTATTTGAATTCATTTCTTCCCCATGGGAAATAACATGCAACTAACAGCTGTAATGCAGAACTCAAACTGGGACATATCTTGGGGTTGGAATCATCCAGATGATTTCACAGTTATGACGGTCGTTAATGTGGCCGGGCAATGGGAGGCTTTCTTTGGCTACAACCACCCGAATGCGGGATTGCCCGTTGTCAGATACGCGGATGTTGGACCAAATCCTGTACAGCATCGTTAATTCAGGAGTTGGTGGTGATGGCGGATTAGCGAATATTATAAGGGTGTAATGCGATCGGTTGGATGAGAAAAAAGAACAGGAAAGTTAAAAGGCGGAAAGAGAGGTTATAATTGTACTACTGCTATTCGTAGTGATGGTAATGGTATTTAACTTCAATGATCCGCTGCTTATCCTTTTCAGCGGCCTGGGTGTTGTTTATTTTGTTGCTTAGGAGAGATAGTCGACAAGTAGGGGAAAAGGGGGTTAAAAATAGGGGGGTTGGGTCACGTGTTGTTGTTAATGTTAGGTGACGTAGTCCATTTTGAGAAACTTTCCGCTGTTATAGGAGTGGTAATCTGTGGTGAAGCTTACGCATCGCTCGACACATACTTCCCCTTTATGACATTCGCAGCTTACAATCTTCCTCAGGTACCTATGTACGTACCTAGGTAACCATCCACTAGTGATCTACATCGCTGTGCTTGGTAAGACTGCATGTAGGAGGCACAGCGATTGCCACTCGGGGGCATTCTTCACCGAGACTAACCTCTAGTCCGAAAAACATTCAACAGTTAGATGAAGCTTAAACAAATCCTCGGAATATTAGATCCAGTTCAGTTGATACATCCAATTCGATTTGTTGATCTATTCCAAGTCACAATATTTTACTGGTTCGCTTTGGTTATGTTGTTATTTGCACATAATTAAGCTCGAAACTGAATTTAATATTACCAAAACTAGCAAATTGACAGCAACCAAAAAGTCACAATCCAAAATGAGCAGTACTATCGCAAAACCTTGCCCATCTTCTTTGCTTCCTGTCAAAGACTCAACCACCCCGTTCTGGAGAACACAACTCCACGAGCTGGATGACCACCAGTCAACTCCAGACCTGCCATCTCTATGCGACATTCTCATAATTGGAGGCGGCTATGCCGGCATTGCTGCCTCCTACCACCTCCTCGCTGGCGAAGATTCGAATCTAGAGACAAGTAAGCCGTCTGTTGTTCTTTTAGAAGCAAGGGAGGCATGCTCTGGTGCCACCGCTCGAAACGGTATTTACCCGAATTATAAACTTGTCAATATCTACGCTCAAATCTAACCAGCTTCCCAGGTGGACATCTCCGTCCCGCGGTATATGCTCACCTATCATCCTATATTAAGGAGTACGGTGTTGAGGCAGCTTCCGAATTGGCAGAGTTTGAGCTCTCTCATGTGAAAGCAATTGCGGATTTAGTTGAGAAAGAGAAGATAGAATGTGATTTCACACTCACGAAAAGTTTTGATGTTTTCACAGATAACGATATGGCGGAGGAGATTAAGGAAGCCTATTTCGAATTGAAAGCGGCGGGAATTGCTAAAACCACGATGGATGATTTAGTGTGGACGGAGGGCGAAGATGCAGAGAAGGTAATTTGCGTTCTGGCTCAATTTATATCTGCGTTGTATGGTGTGCTAATCGAAAATTCAGGTTTCGGGGGTGAAAGGCTGTGTAGGCTGCTTCTCCTTCACAGCGGCACACCTATGGCCCTACAAGCTAATGATGGCTCTACTGTCACGCTCCGTAGCCCATGGCCTTAACCTTCAAACCCACACACCCGTAACAGGCATCTCCCGATCTTCATCAGGAACTTGGACAGCGATAACACCCCGCGGTAGTATTACAGCGCGCCAGGTGATAATCGCAACCAATGGATACGTCTCCGCGCGGCTCCCTGAATATTCGGGCAAAATCGTGCCCTGCCGTGGCATTTGCAGCCGTATAGTCGTCCCCCCCTTCACTCAACATCCACACATAGACAAAACATATGGCCTCCGTTTCCCGGGAGGCTCGCATGACTATCTCATACCGCGCTCCGACGGCAGCTTAATTGTCAGTGGTGCACGCAGCAAGTTCATCACCGATCAGAGTACTTGGTATAATGTGGTCGACGACAGCTCACTCATTGAATCTGCTTCGAATTATTTTGATAATTATATGCAAGACCACTTTTTGGGGTGGGAGGAAAACGGTGCGTATGTGGAGCGCATTTGGACCGGTATTATGGGATTTAATGACGATAAGATCCCCAGTGTAGGAGAGGTTCCCGGCCGTGAAGGATGCTTCATTGCGGCTGGGTTTGAGGGACATGGTATGCCTGTTATTTGGCTTGTAATGAGAGGGGTTGTCAGCTTGCTCAATGGAAAACGGTTTGAAGATGTGGGTATTCCGAGGATTTATAAGACAACGAAGGAAAGATTAGACAGCACGACGCAGGTCGGCCAGGTTTCGACAACTTCCTAGGACTCTATTAATTTACGCTGAGAGGGTCATTTCATATAAAGTTAAGGTATCCAGGCTGCAATAACCTCTCTTTTTCAACTATTTATCAAAGGACTCAAACGAGTGGTTAAGGATATAAATGGAGGGTTGTACTTTGGGTGACTGAGTAACTAAGTGAGTACGAATGTGAGTTGATTAGCCCCTTTTACTAGGCCAATGCTAGCGTGTCAAGACACCGCTAATTATTGTACAGGAAATAGGAATGACAGCATCCTTATTTTTAAGAAAGGTTCTGTGCTACCCCCGTTCAGTCACTGACAGTTCCACGATGCTCCCAAACCCCCAAAAGCGCGCCCCAGAAACTTCTATCTTGAGATTTCCACTTCAATAACAGGCCCCTTGTACGTCTTATGTGCCCAAAATATATAGTATGTCCCGCTCAGGAGTGCCACCGAGCCGAAAACGAGACTGCTATAGTTCATCGTAGCAGGAGTGACTGGTATCGCGGTAGGCCAAAATGTGAATAGCAAGATGATCGAGAGATATATACAAGCAAACAGGTTGATTATAATGCCTACCGGGCCAGGGATTCTGAAAGGGCCCCACGCGAGATTTCCCGCACTTCCGGGAAGGTTAGCTATAGAGGTCGAGTCGTTTTGGACTAGCCTAATAGAGCCGGTGCAGCGACGCCATAGAAGTAGGACACAGGCGACTAAATAAGAGGAGTAAAGTGAAGCTAGTGTCAAGGAAATAACATCGTTGAATGCTGTCGTTGATCCAACGCTAATTAGGCCAAGTAAAAGGGAGAATACTGTAGTGGTTATGATCGAAATGGTGGGTATTGAGCTTTTCTCGTCGACCTGAAGCAGTAGTTAGTAATGAACAAAGCGTTGAGTGGCTTTGGGGCAATTGATTGTTACTTTGCTAATATATCTCCAGCCGGGAACACCGCGGTCTCGAGCAAAAGCCCACAACATTCTTGATGCGGCAGCCATTGTTCCAATTGCCAGGCCCAGTACGGCTATTATAAGAATGGCTACCATCACTGCGCTTCCTGCGACTGAGTTTGTTGCCTGGAGAAACACTTGCATAAACGGGTAAGTGAAAGTCGATTCGGCAAGTGTCGCGGGATCCCCCATACAGAAGAGTACGGCAATAAGGCTCCCTAAACCCACGACCCCATTCAACACAATGCTGAATATTATGGCCCGTGGGACTATAATGGCGGCATTTTGTATCTCCTCGCTCATCTGGAATTTATTATTAGGACTTAGGGTCGATTCAGGGGTTGGATTTTGTTTACATGGTAAGCGGAATCAGCACCTAAATATATCATCAGCGTGAGTTTGGGCTTTCGAGCTTTCGAGATGATGAGGATAGAATGCGCCTACCCAGAAAAGCAAAAGCATTGCCAGCCAGCCCAACAAAAAATGAGACCCCTTGGGAAGGCCAACCTCCGTTGTTTTGAAATGTTTTGAACACCTCAGCAGCGTTGTCATGGGGCGCCAACCAGACCAAAGGGACGAGGCACCCAAAAAGTCCAAAAATATAGATGATCAAGAGTGCGCTCTCGACTTTTGGCAAGTTGGTTCCAAGAATTGTATTTACAAAAATGCAAAGTAGTAGGACGGAATAAAACAACAAGGTGCCGTGCCAAAGTTTCGGAATATAATTTGGATCACACAGTTCTATCAGGCCTTGAAGGAGCGTGCCGGCTATGTAAGACGAGCTTGCGACAGCAGCCTGCCAACCTGCTACTGTGAGCCAACCTAGGGGTTTCCCTGTTAGTAATAGGAGGAATAGGATTGAAATTGAAGCCACATGCCTGTTACGTAGCTAAATAGCTCCTGGCATGATTTTGGTGCCAAGATAGACACCCAATGGTATTGGCCACCAGAGGTAGGAGCCCTTCCAATCTCAGTTAGTTATTCTGTGGTTAGGTGCCTCAATTTTTATCTTACATGGAGACAAGTTCTGCTAGGCTGGTAAATGTTGCTAATGTGCCTGCCCATACGACCAAGAAGCCATAAATCAAGCCAGCAGGTCCGCCACTTTATAAAATAGTCAGAGGCAAGCGACTGTGTAAGAAATTGATTAGGTATACTTGGTAAGCCCAATTCCAAAGGTCCTAAAAGACGTTAACTTGTAGATCTAAAATCATTCGATTATCCCAAAAGAATAAGCTTCTCACACGAATGATCCTTCCCAGGTGCCAAGAATAATACAACTAAAGCCCAGGATAGAAACCCAGCCGAAGTTTCTCTGTTTGAGTCGTTAGCGGTTAGGTTCGCAAATAAAAATTTCATTCTTTTACCTTCAATACTGGCCGCTTGCCTGTGCGAGTCAATTGAATGTTATCTTGGTTTTGGGCTCTCGAAGACGCGTCTTGACCGTTTTCTGATCCTTCTAGCTCGAAAGCAGAATCTTCACGGCGCATCTTGGTATCCATATTGGTGCAAAAATGTATCAACGGTGGTACATGTCAGGTGGAAAGACTACGAACTTCGGGGGGATATTGGGAAACGAAATTATTGAACTAATAGGAAAGGATATCGTTTTCATTGTAGACACAAACGCGTTAGCCTTCGACAACTATCTTCCAAAATTATTCACTGCTACGCTGGGGGGGGGGGGTGCAAATAGGTACTGTAGTACTGTACCCCTCAAAGAATTTACGTGGGGCGGCTTTGTTTGAACTGCATCAGTGCATCCTTCAGATTCCTCCTTCTTTGATGGCGACATGCTCGGGCACAAAGAACATGTACGAAAACGGCAAACTTACCTTCTTGCATGCCGACCATCGGAATGTCAATTAAAGTTATTACCGCATAGTTAGTATTGACCTCCCAGTACTATTATGAGGCATACGTGTAATAGCTAGTGGAGCGCTAATCGTGCTCAAAGATTTCGAAATTCTGGCTGTCAAGGATTTGGTCCGATGCACCACTTAGATGAAATTAATTCGGAGTTCCGGACTGTAATACTCGATTCTGGTTCTGATGTAGGGTAATGAAAAGGTTTGGTATAGTTGTGTTCTAGCCTAGCCCATGCCATGGCTATAAGCAGCAATTTTTGTACCACCAATGCAGACAACCGGTGGATTACAACATAAACCCATTTATACATGCTACAAAAAACCACACACAATATCCTTGGTGTGGCTAGCAACATATTTAGTAGTCTGACAGTAAGCTTTCATCCCGAACCCCGAGTGTCCTTTACTGACCACGTAGTGGAAAGTGTAATCTCGGCTCGACTTGAAATCGTTTCATTATCCCAAGCATGGTGTGGATTAGCTTGGATTTTCGTGGAACTTCCAGCACCCCACTTAACTCTAGGCGTTAAAGGAATTTCGTCTGTCGAAGGGTTTATGTGTGAGTGGCTGTTCTTCGAAGTCTTCGAGGTTTTCGAGGTGTTTATTGTTTTCTTGCCAGAAGAGAACATGCTTGGGGTACCTCCGTAGCCGTAAGCACCCACCATTCCTCGGCGTCGGAGGTCATCACTTCTGAGCAAGCCAGACTCAAGACTATCTAGGAATGGCCGAAGATATGGGATGCATGCCGTACCGATACTCAGACATTGCATAAGTTGTGTGCATATCGCGAGCTGCCAGGAGCTAAATGTCAAATCATGCGATCCTCTTGCTCGATGTAAGAAGATAACTTGTGCTATACTGGCTCCAATTACGCTATCTTGTTGTCAGCAGGGAAACTGAAAATTAATGAATCTCAACATACAAGAATCGGCACGCAAAACATATGATAATTATAATCCGCCGATGCCAACCTGTGCGAACTTTGCCGATAACAATTGCTGGCCAGATGATAAGGACCAAGTCAGTAAAAATGTTCAGAATGAAAAAACATTCCCAGAAGAGTATCTGAGAAGTTATAGTTAGAGCTGGTTTTGATTTGATTACTGTGAGGCTACTTACGATACTGAAGCACTTATTCCCTTCCTGTTTCCAAACATTGGGAACTGAACATTGGAATGCTGCAGCAAATTCAGAAGCTAATCCCCAAAACACCAGAAAAACACCCATGCAATGTCCAACTGTTATTTCGAGGGTATTGGGAGTCAAATTCTGAATGAATGATATTATCGAGAGTTTCGTAAGGACCAGGGTCCATATAAGTAAAAGCCCCGAGGCATAACTTGACTAGTTGAATATTAACTTTGAAAGAATCTCTAAATGCTATAACTCAATACACACCTTTTGGAATGTAATTTTCTGCGAATCCGACAATGTAGTCCAAGGTTGTCCAAGGCCGTTGGCGCAACATAAAAAAACAGTTGCCGCTTGCCCAAGGCTGAAGATCTTATATCTTGGTCAGTTTCAAATTTCGGTATATTGACCAAGTTTATCTTACGAAAGCCACGAAGACCATATAGTCATCCCAATCTAGTTTTCGCACAAAGGCAAGCTTGGTAAAAATGCGTCCTCCCACAGCAAGAACGGTTGGGATGATGAAAATGACTGTGCATATTTGAATAGCTGGACTGAGGTTATTCTCAGTGATCTGGACCTGGTCTCTCATATTAGGGATTTGAAGGAAAATAAATCAAGTATCGGGAATCTTCTTTGTTCAGAATGATCGTGGAGTTTGTAGTAGGTCTTGAAGGGTAGTTAGAGAGCCTCAGTCCTGGGCAGAGCGGTTTGGGACAACGAAAAAAAGGTACTAGTCGAAGGCCAACCTCCAGTGAATGGAATTACTTCATATAATCACATGACACGCCATTTATGAGTATAGGTGAACAAAGCACCGGCACCTCGTTCCCTGGCCTTTGTGGGAATTAGGGTATCCCCGGTCACGGCTTACATACTAGGCGACATTTCTGCATATCTACAATTTAGAAACCAACTTGCAGCTGAGGCTGGATACTCGGGCCGTCAAAATCTCCAACATGCAGCTTTAATATGCATGGCGCTATGTAGAGCTCATCCAACTTCCGAACCTCCTTTTGATAAGACTAACTTGATGTTCTTGCCAATCTCCAAATCGCTCATATTAGACGAGACCTAATAAGCAATAACTTTCACTATACGATTATCTATGTATATTTCTTTGTTAAACGCGGCTTTAGATGCAAGTATCATGCTACTCGGTGTTGTGCTAAAGGTGGACGCCGGGAACATTGATCACATTTCCGACTGTTAGCATCTTAGACCCAAGAGATTTCAAGGTGTGGTATTACCATTCAAGCCACTATCCCAGTGGATTACCGGAGAGGGAATAAATAACCGGGAGAAAAGTTGTACAACGACGTACCGAAGGAGCTGGCTGGCATCCCAACTAGTCAAAACCACATCCACAGCATAACATAGGAGAATGGTACTGACTCCTGAGCACTTGGGAGGGTTTTTAAAGTAGAACTGCTCTCCCAGTCCTGGTCATGCGAGAAAAAGATCTCAACTTTAATTATATCTATAAAGCTTGCGAATAGAGGCGGTAAACTAGTTGTACAAAATTGGTGGCGTTGTGCCACCTGTTCGTTGGCAGCGCAGGTGACAATAATCATAACGCCTCGACTACGCAATCAGTGGCAGTGGCTTTTATCCGGGATTGCAGATAAAATACCAAGAAGCGAGTCGGAATGTAGGGCTTTTTTTCTACCTCAATCGCATGATAAGAGTTTTGCTCCCTCCTAGACCATACTTCCCGGAACCATGCTCAGACATTTACAGGCCATATCTAAGAAACATTAAAGCTCAACTCAATAGGTGAACTATACCCTGTCTAAATTTCAAATGAATATCCTAATACTTCGATAGACATATCAACCAACCGAATATTCCAACACCATGTTGATTTCGGGGTTTCTTCGACTAAGCTGTGCTGCCTTGATAGGCACTTCAGTAGCGTTGCCGAGGATAAAAAGGGTATGCAAATCTATCGCAGGTTTGGTTTCCAAATGGCTCGATAGCTAATACTTTCAGAAGGAACCTGCTGAAGAAGCTCTCTCTTCCGAACCACCCGTTCTCCCCGCGGCAGCAGGCACAATGGACTTCGTTGCAGCGACAGAAAGAGATATCATAGGTCGGATCCTTGAGCCAGCCATGGTGCTCACTACTTAGCTTCTGATTATTTTTCTTCTCGGCTTGGGGTAGATATCCTCGTGTTGGACATTGCAGAACTAGGAAGTTTTGTTTTGCTGCAATATACCTCAGAGTCAGCGAGAATTTGGAAGCTGGACGGGAGATATGGATAGCAGGTCTTGACAAAAATATAAGAGTTCTTCAACTATATTTCCAGTTAGTCAACTTCGCAATTAACAACACCTTACCACGATCACAACAGCTACCTTCTTGAAACAACGTACGAAGCTATTTTTGACCAAACCTGTACCACTACTAAGATAGAGGAAAGTAAACCCCGCTAGCTCTTATGCCCCATGCTTTGGTAACACCAATCTCACCTCTCTGTTGCGAAGTGTGAGATGGTGTGATGAGTCGCTAGACGTGGGCTACTCTAACGGCAGATCACCCTCCAAATTCCCGATCCATGAACCCAAGGCCAGCTGGTCATGCGTTAAAGACCACCAGCCACTCGCCCAACAGCTTTTGGGAGTAAGCTGCATCGTGATACAGCTTACGACTTCGTTCTAGGTTCGGGTATCTGCGGAGAATCAAGAGTTCCACGAAGCTAACTAAGGCCACTTTCATAGTAGTGCGGATTCGATTTGGTGGGTGCAGATACCACGTACACCACCGCTATCTTCTGCAAAACCATCGGGTTAGCTCCAACATACTGGGTCCCTGGATGTGGCGATTCCCCAATCTTGACAGTTCTCCGCTCCTGAGTTACTCTTCGTGTAATTCCAAGGAATTTCACGTCGATCAACTTCAAGATGTTAACTAGAGAGAAATACCAAGCCCTCGTACAGGATGAGGAGAGCTCTCCTAGGGATGGCGACTCTCGCACTAAACTTGCAAGGAAGTATGCGTTGACGGCAGTACTGGGATTTTGCCTTCTTGTTTCGGTAGCTCTCAATGTTGATTTACTCCACCAAACCCTGTCGGGCGAGAAGGGACGTCAAAACCTATCAAACTGGGGTAATTTCCTATCCCTCTGAAATCAGTAACATACTGATTCGAGGATCATAGCACATCTTACCCGCAACGTCACGACACCTATATACGCAAGCACGCAGTATGGGCCCTCAATCAGCACCCCAGAAGAACTCGATCGGCTTTGGGGCGAACTAGACGTTAGCCCAGGTCTAATTCGAATTTCTGACAAGTGGGCTGACGCAAATGGCCTTCCACGCTCAACAAGATTCCCCTGGGATAATACTCAAGGGATGTATTATCTGGGGGCCTTTCACCAAATGCATTGCTTGGTAAGTCTAGAGCTGTTCAAACCCCTAATAATCGACTAACAGGAAGCCATTCAAATAATCAGAAAGAGATATATACTTTGATATCGTCTCAGGGGAAAGGCATACCGTCAAAAACGTCATACGAACACCTTCTTCACTGCATGGACACCCTCTTACAGGACGTTATGTGCCACGCTGATGACACTCCTTGGTATCAGCTTCCCCCACAGCCATACCGTGAAAATTACGCGAAGTTCCAGACGCGGCAATGCAAGGACTGGCAGGCGCTTTTGAGATGGGCTGAAGAGCGAGGCGCTTGCTTCCAGTATGATGTCCTGGATGCCGATGGCAAGCCAGTGGAGGATATATTTGAGCATTATCGGTTCTGTCCCGAGGGTTCTCCGTATATCCCGGCGATGGAAAGTTACTTTGAGAGAAAAGTTGCGAAAGCCGTCAACGGAAGTAGCTAATATCTTCGTAATTTGGCCAAGAGATTGTATAGCTGTATGAGTGAGAACTTGATTTGGGTTTTTTTTCCCTTTCGGTCTCTAGGCCAAAAGATTATGTTGCTGTACAGAAGTGACAGAAGTAAAAAGCAACGTAATTAACACAAATGTATGATAGCTAATGCCATATCTCCGGGGACCAACCAACATCATAATTGATACGACGGGATTTTGGGCATTATTGGGTAGGATCTAGGCCTACTCAACTTGAGATATCCTTGCAGGAAGTCTGCATGCGGTACCGCCTCTAATTCACAGTACTGCGGTTCCCTGGGCGAAGTTCAAACCCATAATCTGGGAGACTGGAATGTGGTGAAATAAAGAACTGTAACAGCAGCAGCGGAAGGCACTCGCCACACCGCTGCTCACTACATTCCTTGGCCTAAAAATCGACCGATCGCTTGTCTTGACTGGTCCTTAGAGGCGCCACAACATCAGGGTTATTAGGAAGATACATGGAGAATATCACACACAGAAGATTCTCTCCGAGGGCGCCGGTCGCACTTTGAACACATTAAACACAATGCCTCATTATTTCGCCACTATTATTCTCGTAGTTGCATCAGGCCTGTGGATTGCGCGGTACTTACGAAACACTGTCTCTCCATCCTTTTCTGCAATTCCAAATGCCCACTTCACGGCACCCTACTCGCGCTTCTGGCTTCGGTGGATTAAGCTAACGGGGCGTGAACATCACGCTCGAAATGCTGCACACAAGCGTCTTGGGTCTGTCATTCGGATAGCACCCCAAGAGTTAAGTGTCAACTGTATTAAAGATGGCGTTCAAACAATCTACAGTAGCGCATTCGAAAAAACTATCTGGTATTCGGGCTTCAAGAACTATGGGTAAGGCAAGCCTCCATTTTGGATGCATGCTAGCTAATGAACCCATATAGACAAAGCTTCATGTTCTCTATGGCTGCAAACAAGCCACACTCAGAACGCAAGCGAATGTTGGCTCATGTTTATTCGAAAACCCACATTCAGAATTCGATGACGCTGAATAGTATCCTGGACACCATGCTGTTGAAGAGATTTATTCCCCAAATGCGGGAATGGGCAAAAGAGGGGTGTGTTGTAAATGTCAACCTAGAGAACAAGGCTCTCTTCATGGATGTCATAACAGCGTACCTGTTTGGCCTTGAAAATGGCACAAACTTTATCCAAAACCCGGAAGAAAAAGTCCTTCTGAGGAAGTTTGAGTCCTTTACATATGGACTCTTTTGGGCTTCAGAGTTCCCCGGGTTGTTGGTGTCGATTAATCGACTCCGAGAATCCATCTTAGGCGACCTCGTCCGTTATTATCGGGTAACGGAACGTCTTGGACTGACCAACTTGATCCACCAGCTTAGAATACCTGTGTTGGCCGACACCGCTCGCTGTTACAAGTCGGTTGAGACATTTGTTCTCGATCTGTGCCAGCGTGCTAAAGATCGCATGTCTCCGAGTGCGATGGGGCATTCATCTCATCTGACAGTGTACTCAAGCTTCCGAGAGAGGCTTGAAGAATCTCAGACTGTACCATCGGACTTACTCGACGTTACAATCGCAGGAGAATTGTTGGACGAGATCCAAGCTGCCCATGAACCCACTGGCATCACACTTGCATTCCTGATGTGGGAGCTCTCTAGGCATCCCGAAGCGTGTGCTCGACTGCAAAGGGAGCTGGACACGCTCGGAACCGTTCGTTCTGCACAGGCTATTGATAACCTCCCTTTCACGGACGCACTTCTCAAGGAGACCATGCGCCTCTACCCAGCTGGGCTCGGCCCGTTTCCCAGGTGCGTTCCAGAAAAGGGGGCGGTAGTTGACGGCTTCGACCTCGCTCCAGGCACAATAGTCAGCTCATCCGCCTATGCGCTACATCGGCACCCGGGTGTTTTCCCAGAGCCAGAAAATTGGACCCCTAGTAGATGGATTGATGCAACAGCGGAACGCAAGAACGAGATGGCTAAGTGGTTTTGGGCTTTTGGGAGTGGCTCCAGAATGTGCATTGGTAGCCATCTAGCCAGTCGTAGTAGGTCCATCCCGAGCTTCATAAGAGTTGATGCTGATATATAAAAGTAATAAAAGCAGCTCTTGTTGCAATTTACAGTGAATATGACACGTTCACTGCGAATTCGAATAAGGTCCAACAGATTGATAGCTTGATTGGCACTCCAGTTGATAATGAGATAATGCTGCGCGTTGCAAAGAGGGCCCAGACATAGAATAGGCAACTGGGCTTGAGAGAGAGGGTTGAGAGGAACAGCTTCAGAACAGTACAAAAGGCATGAGAACAGTTATAGATGCAGACTAACACTAAGCACGTGTTTTATCATTCCCACGAGACTCCTGACACATCGTCAGGCTAATGGCAACGCGAGGACTAGTGGAAAACTGGCTTGATTCTCAAAGTGTTATTCCATATTGGTGTTGTATGTTCATCCAGCTGGTGCTCCATCTCTGCCCGGCCCTGAGTTCCTCCATAAAAGCTTCGAGGATGCTCTTGCTCTTTGTAGGTTAATGATCCCCGGAAGCCACCTCTGCCACTAGCGGCCCCCCTTCAATGCCATATCTAGCGTTGTTGTTGTAAGTGTGATCTGTGGACAGTGTTGCTTTGGGTGGGTTGGGTATGGCGTCCTGGAAATAGGTAGCGTTATTGGGAGTGGGCGGGACGTCGTGATAGGAGACACGGAATATATTCGAATCCCCACCGACCCTTCAAACTAACCACAAGCAACTTCTTTTCGCAAGATCTAATGGGTTAGTTCGCGTTCCTCGACAAACTGGTATGAAGCGTATGCTGCCTCATAAAAGCCCCGCATACAAACGCCGTAACTGCAAGGCCGAAAGCCGTCAGAAAAACGCCCCTAAAGCTCAGCTCATAACTTTCAAGAACGCCTTGTCTCCAACCAGGAGGGAGGTGTTTCAGCTCGTCAAAGCTATCTCTTATCCGCCGAATTTCCTCTGCGGCGCCTTCACGCCCATCGAAGCGCTGGTGGAGACTGCTGACTAGAATATTTTGATAGACGGCACTGGCAATTGTAACACCTATAGTAGAGCCTGTAGAACGGAAGGCGTACGACGCAGATGTAATGACGGCTTGATGATCGTGGGAAACTGCGGAGATGAGGGCTAGGAGGGTGACAGTGAGAGTTCCACCATACCCAGTGCCAATGAGAAAAAGGTATATGAAGGCTGGCCAGTTGGGGGTATCAAATGTCAAGGTACAGATGAGGCCTGTGCCAAGGACAAAGGAGCCGAGGATAGCGAAGGATAGGAGTCTGTATTTTCCTGTGTGGTTCATAACGAAGCCGCACAAGAGAGAACCGACAGAGGCGCCGATGGACTGAGGGATTAGTTGCATCCCTGCTGCAGTTGTGCTGAGCCCCTTGACCTGGAAGAAGATTGGAACATAGAAGAGGATAGCAAATACCACCATTGCGATGAACCAGTTGGTGAGGCAAGCAGCCGCCACCGTGCGGTTCAGTAGAAGCTTGACTGGGATGACAGGCTCAGAAGCAATCCGCGCTTCAATGTAGATGAATGCCACCAAGAAGACAGCGGAGAGCACCAGGGAAGAAGTGACCAGTGGGTGTGACCACGGCACTATGTTCCCACCTGAGTTGAGGCCAAGTAAAAAGAGCACCAGCGTAACGACAAGGGTGAAGGCGCCCAAGAAGTCAACTCTAGAGAGCTTTGACTTCTCCGACTTCTTGGGGGGGATATTAACTGTCATGAACACCAATATCCCCGATATGACCACCAGCGGAACTTGTGCAAGAAATGCAACCCTCCACCCCCAAACGTCATTGACCCATCCTCCAAAAATGCCTCCCAATCCTGCTCCGGTTCCATAGCAAATATTTCCTATGCCTTGGATGAAACCTCTCCTTCGCAGCGGCACCAGATCGCTGCCAACAAATGTGCTAATAGCCATTAAGCCGCCTCCTCCCATGCCAGCGACTACTCTTCCCGCAATCATGACCCATTCATCGCCTGCTAATCCGCATATCAAATTCCCCACCGCGAATAGCACATTGCTGACAAGAAGTCCTGTCCGCCGACTGAAAATATCGGTAAGCCGTCCGGCGAGGGGTTGGCAAGCCGCGTTTGCGATTAAATATGCCGAGGCAAGCCATGAGAGGAGAGAGAGGCTGTTGAAGGAAGTTGATATAGGTGCAGAGAGCGTAGCGATGACAGTGCTATCAAGCGCCCCTAGGAATACACCAACGTAGATGGCGCCGAGCGTGATAATGAGCAGCTTCTTGGAAGGTTGGTCGGGAATGATGGTTTGTTCCCCAGATCGCTCCTCGTCCTCCTCTTCTCTAGAGGGGTTATGGGCAGACGTGGTCGGGTTGTCAATATCGCGGAGGAGGGGCGTTTGCTCATCTGCGAGGCCGCCATCGGCCGACCCACGAGAGGGAGACCTGGTAATTGTAGCCATGGTCACTCTTCTCCTCTTATGCCTCGAACAGAGACAGATTAACAACACAAGGCACCAGAAGACAAAGGAGAAAAGTGCATACTCAGCATCCTGTGGTTGCGTGCTTTGGCCGTCTTACTTACGTAGGTAGGTAACTTGGTGGGGAATCTTTAATGTTGAGCCTATCACGGCCAAGGGGGTTCTCCGCAAGGTTGAAGCATCAACAGAAACGCAATGGGCCGGAGCTGATACTGGTGAGGTGCTCAGGTTATGCAAGGCCATTGTGGGAAGCAATTGAGCAATATAACTCCCCAGCGATAGTCATGGATAAGGTGTGAACACACTGGAGTCCTTGTTAATGGAGAATACACCAGCCGTCGCTCTCGTTGCCGGGCCGCCTGTTTGTTGATTCTATTTTTATCTGCTGACAGCCTGCCCAGCCCGACCCTGAACCCGAACCTGAACCATGTCTCACAAAAAGCTGAGAGATGAGCCTCCTCTCATGACGAAACTTGGCCAGCCAACCATCAGCGAAGCCTTGGCCCTTCAAACCAGCCCAGATCCGCATCTCTGTTCTATTTATCCTCCTGCTCTTGGTCTTCGCCGCAAACCCATCGTCGACTTCTCTCCTTATTCCCGCTACGCATAGAAAGTAAACAAACAATCCCTCATTGCTATCTCGAGCCCGACTTCCGGCCTGTATCGGCGGGTTTATTCCAGCGGTCTCGAAAAAGTGCGATACAAACGCGGCATCAGCCATCATGGAGTTCTCAGTCCATCATCTCCAGAAGGGGAAGTTGGGAGTACACATCGCACAAGCAGCCTTAATTTTCATCGCTTGGATTCTCGAGATCACCGTCTTTACCTCATCGGCCACCATTGATGGCAGACCTGGCTGGTTCTTTGGTCTGGTATGGATAACCTCACTTTAATGTTACCCCGTGTTGTTGTTGATACGCCAGGGCGCTGATGTTGCTTGTACTGACTGTCACAGTGCTTCCTCACGATTCCTGCCTTGATCTTCCTTACGATGACCCCTCGTTTCCCACGAACACGAAAATTCGCCAATCCTTACGCGCTTGCAGCAGTTGATTGTTTCTTCTGCATATTGTGGTTGTCTGCCTTTGCTTCGCAAGCCAGTTTTAACTCCAGTGGGAAATGCGGGAGTGGATGTGGGAGGAGCAAGGCAATTGTCGCGATGGGAGTGTTTGTCTGGTCTGTCTTTCCTCCTTTCTCTTCTACGCCAGTTGCGATGCAAATCGAAGGGTAAACAAGGCTGACTTTCGGTGTTATTGGCAGGTTATCATGGGTACTGACCTCCCTCATGTCTCTCTACGGTGTTGTCTACTACAAGCGGGAAGGATATCTCCCAGGGGCTTCTAGGGCACCCCAGAACGCCCAGATGATTGATCCCGACAAAGAGGCTTTCTCCACTGCGCCACACGAGGACGAATATGCCCCAGTACACGATACCGATGATCATGATAGCATTTCCGGTTCTCATCCTTCAAATTATGGCGGAGGCCCGTCGACCACGCACTTGGGTGGGGGCAGCCAGAGCAGCAGATATGATGGCGGGTACAGTGGAGGATATGTGCCACCGACGGTCCATGATGAGCCTACGAGTTATACGGGATATGCTGGGTCAAGCACCTCGGCGGGGACTCCTGGCGGACGAACGCAGTTTCCGCAGGCGAGATATGATAACGTGTAGAGTAGATGAGCAATCCCGAAGGCGGGACTGTAATTTTTGATACATAGAAGTGAGAGGACGGGCGCTTGGGGGGCGTTTTTGCTACGGTGTTTGTTGGTGTTTGAATATTGATACCATAGACATATAAAGCACCGGATGAGAATATAAGTACCGACGGGCGATAGGATACCGGGTACATTTTATAGGTGTCGGGAAGGGCAATGATATTCATATATCTTTGAAAACAGTTTAAACAGCTGTGCCTATATTTGCACATATATCTATCTATATCTACCTTACATATCTACCAAGTTGGCCCTCGACCCACTTATAGCGAGCTACAGCACTATAATATATATCTCTTATTATATTAATGGACCTAGACCATATCGGAAGTTCTGCCCGGCAGGTAGATCGCCATTTCGACGTTGGGCTCCCTGTCTGCACCCGAAATCTCCCGCAAGGCCGAATCCATACAGTTACATAGTGAACTTGTCTTGATCTCTCCATTACACTTATTAAGTGCCCGCTTTTCATCTGATCTCTCTCGATATCAATCTAAGTCTCCTCTCTACTGTCGGGCCGACCCTGTCTTGGACAAGTTGGACTCTCTATTCTCATGCATCTGCTACTGTACACTTCCGCAACTCGCAACACCCAAATCATCAGCATTGCCTTCCGTTATCCCTGTTGCACAAAGCTCAAAGCACAATCAATGTCCAATGCACGAATCACGAACTTGCTTCTTTGCACATGCCTCCACAAGACCGACTGTGCTCGAATTCCTCCCTTGCCTCGTTTGTCCCTTTCCTGCTTTTATTTCCAGGCACGAGGGGCCATCCTACGTGTTTTGCTTCTTGTGCTTTTCGGTAGTCTTGTCCGCTGCAACGCTGGCAGAGCATGATTTGACTGCCAAACGCCCGGCGCCCAGCACGCCCAGACAGCCCAGTCCCAGCATCCGGCATCCTTCCACGCGAGGCCAATCAGTTAATCAATACCATTTATCAACCCCGCGCACCCCATTGAGGGATGTGGGATGAGGGACGAGGGGCGGTGTGGTCTGTTACAGTATCTGTTGCCTCAACACAACATAACGCAAGGCAAGGCAAGGCAGGGCAGCATAACGCAGCACAAGCTTCTTTTCGTTCCCACAATTCCTTTGATATATAAATCCCTCTGCAAGCTTTCATCGTATACATATCAATTATTGTCTTCTCTGCATTTCATTGCCACTTCCAAGACCCCTAGAGCACTAAAGCCCACGATAGTCTTCGCCGTTGAGGTCATCGCTCCACTCTCCCCGCTACCCGCCACGTTACACTCTTAGTCCCCGTTAGTCGTCGATCTAAGCAGGCAGTCATAAAGGCCTACTTTCTTCTGAACTTGGGATAGATCTTAAGAAAAGGACCATATCCACAGAAAACCCCACTCAATTAACCATCAATCCGTCGATCTATACTTCAAAATGGCTCCCACCAAGGTTGGTACCACTTCTTTCTGCGTTAGGGCAATACCCTTCCCCGTCAAGTGAACTCTTATACCATTACCCCAACCCGTATTCCTCTCAAGCAGCGACTTACAGTTACTTCCAGATCACCACCCTGCTCTTTGACTGCGATAACACGCTCGTTCTCTCTGAAGAGCTCGCCTTCGAAGCATGTGCCGAACTCGCCAACGAGATCCTCGAGGCCAAAAACATCCCCGATCGTTACACCGGCCCCCAGCTCCTCAATGAGTTCGTTGGCCAGAACTTCCGGGGGATGATGGTCTCCCTAAAGGCGAAATACAAGTATGAGATGGACGACGACGAGCTGAACCGCTACGTCTTGAAGGAGGAGGACAAGGTCATCGCCAAACTGAAGGCTGAGCTCCGACCCTGTGTGGGTGTCGACGCCGAGTTGGAAAAGCTCGAGGCTCACAGGAAGTATCATCTCGCAGTGGTGAGCTCCAGCGCCCTGAGACGTGTGCAAGCGTCGGTGGAGAAGGTTGGCCACGCCAAGTATTTCCAGGACACTCATGTCTTCTCTGCCGCGACCTCTCTGCCAAAGCCCACCTCGAAGCCAGATCCCGCCGTCTACATCCACGCAATGGAGGTCCTTGGCAAGAAGGCTGAGGAGTGTGTTGCCGTTGAGGATAGCAAGTCCGGCGCCACTGCTGCGTTCCGTGCGCACATCAAGACCATCGGCTACGTGGGCAGCTACGAGCCCGAGAAGCAGGCTGAAATGAGACAGGTGCTTAAGGATGCCGGCTGCTGCGTCGTCATGGACGACTGGAAGGAGTTTGAGGGCTGCATGGAGAAGATCGAGGCCGGCGAAGTCTAGATATAGGCGTGGCTGCATTGTCCTTGATCATCTAGACTATAGATTCAGGCGTCAACCAGATCGGAGGGATGAGAAAACATAGGGCAAAATAAAGTGTGCATTCTCTCATTGTTCCGCCCTAAAAATAACGAGTCCTTTTTCCTTAGACTTCTTGTCCTTTTACAAGACAGATTTCCTTCCTCTAAAGGTTCCCAGCGAGACCAACCTTCAAGCAATTATAGCCCACTATATACGAATAAACATTTTCTTCTGCAAGATGAGCATTATCCCATATGAATTCCTATTGCAGCCACCAAATTCATGTATGATAGAGCAGAGAACTTATTCGAACGGCTTACAGTAATATTTCAATCTTCCTAGGTCGCAATTAAAACAAGGTAGGTCTGAATGAGGTGCAAATAGGGCTGAATTGGATAAGTTGCAGAGGATATACCTACTCCAATACTCAAAGCTTTCTACTCTTAACCAATCCGGCCTTGATACCCGTCTTCTCACCACCATATCCACCCTTCTCTTCACCACCCTTCCAAACCGGCTTCATGCTTCCCAGCTTCTTCTTCTTCTCCTCGTACTTCTTCCTCTTCTTGACTCTCGGGTTGCGCACGTCTTTTTTCCGATTTGGCGTCAAGCCCTTATTTTTGGAGATCTGCCTCGAAATGGCTCTCTTACCATCCTCATCCAACTCGCCTACATCCTCAACGCGATCCAGTGCATTAGCTGCCTCGAGACTCTTCATATTATCCACATTTTCCTGCTTTGCGGCCTTTTTGCGTTTGGACGTTGACGTTATCATGTTGTAGTACTCATCATCCTCGCCTTCACTTCTTGCCTTCTCCCCTTCATCATTGCCATCGCTCTCAGCACCAAGGTCCGTTCCTTTCGTATTGGTATTTCCTCTTCCATAGTCATCCAACTTCTTCCCTCTCTTCTCAGCCTCGGCATTCAAACGCGCCTGCCTATCCCGCAGTCGCTCTCGGTACGGTAAATCATCGTCACCTCCTGCGTCACGCCCAGCGCCTATACGCTTATTTGATTTTTGAGCGATTTGGGAGGTATAAAATTTGAGTGTCTTCTTGCGGATGGCTTTTTGAGCGGCTTCTTTTGTGGACAGATGGGTTTCTTCTCCAAAGTCGGAGTTGTCCGTGTCTGAGTCGTGGTCAACCTTCGAGGAAATGGCGGAGGGTTTTGGGGGCTTAAGGGATTGTGATTTCCGAGATGGAAGGAGAAGGTCGAGGTCAGCTAGGGAGGGATCCACGGGAAATGCCTTCTTATGTAAGTTTTCCGTTGGTTGGGTATTCTTTGAAGTAGAGCTTGTAGTGGGCTTAGCCAGGCCAGTTGACTTTGTAGTGGAAAGCTCTTCGGGCTCGGAATCAGACTCGGGCTCAGATCCGGTCGACACCGGAGCGGGAGTCTTCAAAGCCTTGACTTTTGACCATAAAGTTCGGCATTGCAATAAGCTCTCCATGACGGGGTGGTCGCGCAGTTCCGCGGGGTCCAGAGCATGGCCAATTGGAGTTGCATCGTCCTTTGATGGCGAGGTCAATATAGCGAAATACATCGTCAACGATGCCATGTATGCAGCCAATGCTCTGCATTTAACCACTATAGTCGAAATATCTCCTAGTGATGATTTCCTCGCTGCATTCTCCAGCTCCATCTGTTGCTGTAACTCGACAAACGTGGGCTGGAGTGCAACAAACTCATCCGCTAAGAATTCGAACTCCGGGTATCGACTCTTCAATATCCGGAATCGCTCGTCGGGCCCCATCTCGGCGGTAATCTCAATATCCTTCAATACTTCCGTTACGACATCTTTGTCCTCATCCTCCTGGGCGCCCCCATCAAGCCATTCGCTCTCATCAAACCCGAAATCAGCTTCTGTCATCTTTTGTAGCTTCTTCGTCTGCAGACGCTTTGCTTCAGCTTCTTCCTCCAGGGCATCTGCTTCGGTTTGAATTTCGTCTGCGTTGTAGTAATCTTTCCTGGATGTGCCCCAGCCTTCTTCATCTTCCTCCTCGCCTTCTCCTGCTTCCTCATCGGAGTCCTGGGCTTTCGACGGGTTGCGACGGATATCGTCCGCACCTTCTTCGTCCTCATCGGAGCTCTCAGAAGAATATCCTAAGACCTCCTCATCTGATGGTTGGAGTAGTGCATCTGAAATGAAATCGCGTTAGCCATGCTCGAGCAACGAGACCCATATCAGGACACAACTAACCTTCCTCCTCTAATTTACGTCGTCTCTTAGCATCGGGACCATCATCCAGCATAACCTTGTCGCGATTGATGTGGAACTCATCCTCCGAATCCGCAATATCTTCGTACGTGGTAATTGGTCCCATCCTACCACCTTTGGGATCCAATTCTTGGGCACCATCCCCACCACCGGTTCGGCCTGATGCTTTTCTTTTCTTCGCCATTGTTGTATTGGTTATGAACGTGTGATATGCGCGTTGCAAAGGTGGTATTGCCGTCAAGAAGTTGTACTTCTAGCTACCGAAATTTTTCATATCGCTATCTTAGCGTACCGCCGATAAGAGACTCTCGTGACTGCTGCCCTGCGTTAAGCGATATGCCGCTATGCCCCCCTTTTTATTGCCCTCCCCCTTCCCTAGGGCTAGGAGTGCTAAACAACTATTCGATTACATTAGAAGATTCTTCGACCTAATTATTTTTATAATTACTAGAGAGAAAAGCCATTTAAGACCAGCTTCTTCTATATGACCATATAAATGCTACCCAAAGATAGAGCGCCTCTAAAATACAATTAGCGGACTGAGTTCCTAATATACCCAACACTTCCCGATACGTAGCAGATATTAAAAAGTCCGCCCAGCCTCATGACGCCAATCCCCAATACGTGTACAGGGTACTAAATAAAACCCCAAAGTAAGACATGGCAACCCATCACAACCCATCGCATCACAGTCATACATATATGCTCCCAATCCGTCCTAAAAATCCACGGTAATAACAGATTACGAACTCTTCGGCAAATCCTTCCAGTCTTGCCACTCATTCTTCCAGTCCGGTTCATGATATCTATACTCCTCACCCCTACAAACCTTATCAACTTGCTCCCTAACTATAGGGTAAACATCCTTATACGCCTCCCTACCCATCCAACAATCCAGATGCCCATATCCCTGAACGACATGTCTCTCATACCCCACCGAGCCAAACGTATCTCTCAGGATACCATATGTTTTCTCGGTTGATTCGGGTGTGAGGACTTTGTTGTCGGAGCCGGAGAAGAGCATGATAGGGATGCCTTTAAGACGAGCAAGGTTGTCTGGGGTGTCGAGCTCTTCAAACAGGGGGCCGTTTGTGGTGACGCAGCCGCGGTATCCCATTTGCATGAGCGTATGCAGGAGGGTCATGTTAACCCCGCCAAAGAAGCGGTTGATTTGTCGGTGGGTGGCTTCATTGAGGTTGCGGTGGTTCCAAAGTCTATTTATACCATTGTTAGAACCAAATTTAAACATTGATTCGGGGGAATGCATGAATTACCTTCCAAAAACCAAAGAACAGCGGTGACAAGATACATTGTTGCAGATTTCAGACCGAGAATCAGGGTAGAACCGAAGAATCTGGTTAAGAAACTGTTGGAAATACGAGTCATCCTTAGTTGAATGACAAGAAAACCAAGATCCTCCAAACAAAGAGTACAGCTTATCAAAGGGGATTGGGCCGGCTAGGACCTTAGCCATGTTTAGGGCCGACCAGATGGGATTGCAGAAAACTTGTGAGCATGAGATCCCAAGGATCCAATCAGCAGGAATCGTGCCATCCAGTAGACCGCAAGAGTACGCAACAGCACCCATGCAGTGAGCAATGGTGTAAATCTTGTCGTTTCCGTGTTCTTTTCTTATCCATTCCAGGCTTGCCTTGATGTCAAGACGGGAATCAAAAGTTGTCCAGTTGTTCTCTGCCACCATGAGCTGGCAGATCCGATGCACGGTCACGAAGACTCGGTATCCTGCCCGGGTAAAATAGTTGACCGCATTGACTTCGATTGTCGGAAGAGCAAATATTTGCTGGTCGACGGAAGCACCAGGCACCATAAATAGGTTCTTGGTCTTGATATTCGGGTTCCGCGGTTCCCAGACATGAAGCAGTGTCTTTACCCCATCTGAGGCAACAATTTGGATTGTGTCATCCGGTGATGTGTTATTAATGTAACCATGGTAGGTTACAGCAGGATACTGTTGATATACCAGGGGAGCTAGGAATAAGTTGGCGGACTGTCTAGCAAAGTATCCCATGAAGCTAACGGTAGAATGCAGTTTTGCCCAGAAGTTACGGCCGGAGGGGTTCAGCGTAAATAACTCGGACAAAAAGTCGGAAGGCTTGATGTGCAACATGCCGCGTCCAAGTACAGTCTTATCCCCGCGTGCTTTCGATATTGTCACATACAAAGTTGAAGCTGCAGCCCAGAACCGCCAAGGTCCTAATGCAACAGACGAATCGACAACTTTGTATCCATGGAAATGGAATTGTTCACCGTCCACGGAAGTCATGTCAAAATCGTAGGTCAGATTTCTGGTACCAGGTGCAGATTGATCGATGCTAAAGAGTTGGAAATCGCCTCGTTGGACTAAAAATGGACTGCCTGGAAGACCAGCACAGGTGAAGGTTCCCGTAAGCATAGCCTTATGATCGGCTCGGTTTACAGCTGTAGCAATACGTCAGATATTATGTACTTTTGTGCCGTGAGCGATGGGGTCAGGATAAATTCCAACTTACTTCTCGCTGTATCAAAGGTTTGAACGCTCAAAAAGAACCTCGCCTCCTCGCAAAGGCCTCGAGCTGTTTTGGCGGCTGTCTCATAATCCGCTATTTTATCACCCTGTATCCCATCACCGATGTGAATATACCCAGACATCACCTCGGAGAAACCAAACCCACTAGCTTTTGTAGCTCGAGTTTCTGCCACCAAGTCTTTGGCCTTAGCTATACGGATAGTATCTTCACGAGTAACATGACGCTTGTCTAGCGTATATTGATGCGGCTCGGCAAACAGATCCAAATGGTGATTCTTGGTCTTCAAATCAATCTTCTTGCCAATATCACGGGCAGCATGTTCTACTGAGCGCTCAGCAAGAGCTGTAATAGTCGCAAATGGATTGACACCAAGAGCCGTGGGAATCACAGCTCCATCGGTAACAACGAGACCGGGATGTGTCTCACTGCCGCGACCAGTCAGGACCTCTCCATAGTGGTTGGTCACGCCAGTATCAGCTGTTCCATCTTTGCTCATGCACGCACCGCCAATGGGGTGCACAGTAATCTCCTGCTGGCCAAGACATGCATAGAACGGGCTTTGAACAAAAGTCCCACCCACAGCAGTAGTAGCTTTTTTGAGGATATCATTAAGCTTATTGACATAAGTGCTCCTGCCAACACCGAGGAACTCAAGGATAGGCTTGTCGTCTTTCAAAGTAAGGATTGCTTGATTGGCGTCATGGCTCATGATCAAATAGACCTGCGTTTTCTCGATGCTCCCCTTGGAGAAGTAGGGTCCCAGGAAGCGACTGCCTTGCTGTGCCAGCGCATGCTTCACCTTTGATACAAGTCCCTCGCCTTTTGGCATTTGGTTCCCGGGCATCATTTCTAGCATCGTCTGGAACAATGGAGCAAGCGCTTTGGGAACCGCGCCTTCTTCGATCACAAACCCATCCAATGGATTCTCCAGACCATGACGGCAATCAATAATTCCAGTGATAGTGGGTCCGATGGGCCTGTATGGTGAAGGGTATTCTCGGCCGATGGCGTTGACCTCCTCGTCAGTGTTATAACCAAAAGCAAGAATATCGCCATTCCCACTCATCCCGGTCCCAACTTTATCACTCATGGAAAGGCCGAGCTTTTTGCTTCGTAGAAGAATCTCAGTGGTGCCAATGCTACCAGCTCCAAGAAAGACGCATTTCTTCGCATGGACCCACATTAGGTCTTCGTAGAGGTTGTTTTTAAATGCGCCTCGGTTGCTGCCATGCCAGGCGAAGAACACAAGATATCCCTCTTCATCAGGGTTTGGGTGTTTCTTGATATACCTCACTTCACATTCACAAAACATCTCGGCGCCCCAATTCCACGCATCGGAAAGGTAGTTGACGAGAGTGCTAGACTTGCTTCCGTCATTGACTCCAGTAGAATCCATTCCGGTCAGGGCTGATGGGTACATTTCCACACCAGTGCTATTAGGCCCGCCTTGAAACCGGGTGGTTTGAGGGACTCTGCTGAACTTCTCCTCGAGTCCTAGATTCTTTGCTTGCTTCTCTAGCAATTTAAGCTTTGGAAGTTCAGGCCAATCAGTGGGATATGTCTCCGGTTGAAGGACGTCTGCCGCGCGTTTGTAGTACTTGTCCAATTTATCATATCCACGGAGCTCCTTTGGCCAGCAGTCCATCTTCATGGTTCCGTCATCAGCCTCTAGAAAGACATTTGCGTTTAATAGACTTGTCCCACCGAGACCATTTCCCACGAAAGCATTCTGGCCCTTGCCCATGATGAGGTGGTAAAGACCTGTTGGGTCGCCTCCTTCGACCATTGAGCCGCGAAGGAATCCAGGGGCAAATTTCCCAGACACATGGAGTTGTTTGACGACGTCCAAAAATCCGCTGGGGTACTCCCCAGGCCATCGTTCTTTTCCTCTTTCAAGGAGACAAACGGATTCCCCTGCTCTTGCCATCCGGCTCGCGGCTACACCTCCGCCATAACCAGATCCGATGACAACGCAATCGTATGAATTTCGAAGAAGCTCAACTGGCTTTGAAATCCTTGGAAACCTTTCGATGCCTGGATCATCAGTATATGACTTGATTTTAGCATGAGCCTTTGATCGAGGACCGGAAGACTCTGAGGCGTGAGGGCCGAATGGGTCAATACGGTGCGATTTTTCTTGCTGCGCGTCGGTATCATCAGATTCATAATTTCCGTTGAGACCATTGAGACCATTGAGATCAGCGGGTTCTTCTGTGAGACTGCTTGCAATACTATACTGTGACGAATAAGCTCTATCCAAGGGAAGTATGTCCTCCTTTCCGTTCGCCATTCGGCCTTGTTTGCGGAAGCGAATCTCTGAGGCTTTCGGGCTCCCATTAACACTATTTAGAGTGCCATGATAATTCGCATCTAGATGTATCCTACTAGGACGTTTCTCCAAATGATCCCAAGTCCAGATTTCAGGTGTCGGGGTCGGAAGGTCTTTCGGAATTGGAAATCTATTGAGCACCTGATTCCAGGAGGTTACAGGTCCTAGGTTCACAATAGCAGGGTGTTTCGGCATGTAGATAGACATGCAAATCGGAACTGACGCGATCAGTAATGAGGGAGAGCTATGAAAGCCTGCCTCAACTTTCACGCCTTCGATGGCGGATGGCATATTTTGCAGCCAGTCCATGAAGAGGTTCGGGGAAATGTCTCCCATGTTGAAAGCCTCTTTCAATCGTATCGCATACGCAAACCGAGGGGGTTGTGTAGGGGATATCGCAGAGGAGGTTTGAAACGGAGCCACAGCCAGAGCTGGTGTACTGTTTGGGAAATCCCCCAGGCCCTCTTTGTGGATAGATAGTCGGATACTTCGTGGGGATTGCGGGTCACCCTGGGTTAGGGGAAGGTAGATTGGTTCTTGTCGTTCCGCTCCATCCTCTGCCAATCTAGCTTGAACTCGGCAAAATAAATTATGGTACAAATTACCGATTGAAAAGGATGGGAGGTCGCTCAACTCCCTAAGTTCAATCTCCAGGTCTCTTGTAAATGCAGACGGCCTGATACAATCGGCTACTGCATTGTAGGGAGATGCGGCTATAAGTTCAGTGACTCCACTACCTTCGTTGTTGGCCGTTCCTGCATGGCAAGAATCCAAGAGAAAAAGCACATCACTGAGTGCGTGCTCCAAGGAACTCTGGGTCATGTTCCATTGAGCTGTGCGATGCTTGTGCTTGGAATCGGTATACCCACTGAAAAATTAGCTCTCTTGAACATCGGGGACGGTTATTTAGTGGGAGCATGGGGGATGTGAAACAGAAACATACCTTGTCCAGACGAAGTCTTGATTCTTGTTTAGTCCGCCATGTCCAGCATAATAGACGATCTTCAAATGTTCATCACTATTACCGCCCAGTTGGACGAACTGGGCTATTTTTTGGGTGGTTTCAATATCACAATTCTCGTCGGGAATCCTCCATAGCTCCGTCTCAAAGTGGTATATGTCCCTGAAAACCCCAAATAACCTCGACACATCAGCTGATGAGCGATCATCCTCCCAGGATATCATCAAGACATAGACTTTTGAGTACGAAGCGCGTTTCTCGGTTGGAAAGACAGCCTTGGCGGCTGCTTGCAAGCTCTCACCAACCGTTTTCAAGCCAATTTGCGCCTGCCATCGATCGAAGTCGTCAAAGCCAGAAGCCATACTGCTTATACTCGAGGAGCCGAGCCCCGAGTCGCTATTCGTGCCTTCGCTACTCCTCTCGCTAGTCCCCACCGAGACCGTTTCGTGCATATTGCTCATTTTTATCCCTGGATTTAAGAGCTCAATGTCTCATGATGCGCTGAGGAGAGAGAGTAGAAGTCTCTTGTCAAACTGACAATTGCAGTTGCAACGTGATCCCACAGCTTCGAATGGATCGATGTGTAGCTACGCCGCTTCTGCTGTAGGTAGTGCTGGGTTTGATATATATATAATAAGCTTGCAAATTTTTTAGAAAAGCCTAGGCGCTACCAATGGAGATATAGAGTTGAACAAGACAATAAAATCCAGCCCGGGGCTAGAAGGAGGAATAATTGCAGCCTTATCCAAATCGTGAGAGGGGCTGTTGACGCTATAGAGGGGCGAAATGGGGGCCGGTAAGGATTCTAAAATAGTAACGTTCACGACCGAAGAGAACGTCCGAAGGTAAGAACCCAGTGGAGGGGAGTTAGCCCGGTAAGATTGGGCTGAGGCCATCGTTATGAAGGTGAAGGATCATTTAGGGCTGATGTGATGTCGATTATGGATCTAGCTTAGAGTACGAAGATACTTCCGTACTCGGGTAGACCATCGGAGCGCCCAGCCACGACGCCAGAACGACGAGAGTCCATCCCAATGATCCCATGTCTCTTTGGCTCGAAATAGCGATAGCAATGACCTAACCGGCTTCTTGGCTGACTAGAGTGCGATACACCGCAGAGTGCTCGTGAACTGGCCAATAATAGGGCGATATGGCGTGAAATGCAGTGGAGGAACCGCTTCACGCTGACAACCCGGAAGCAAGGATGGACCAGGTGGAGCGTAAAAATACCCAGTCAGAGGGTTTGGCTGGTGGTGGGAATATGGCCCCGCCGCTGGAGACTACAGAAACTCTCAGCCGCGCCCATCAGCAGAGCGGACGGGGGCCGAGGGCCATTTGGCATTTGGCATTTTCTGATGCTGGCTGAGCTGGATTGGAGATAATCGTATCGGACGACTGGTGCAACCTCCACTCTCTCATCAGACTCGTCCTCAACTCCCGACTGCCTGCTACAGGCACCGAAGAATGCGGACTGCCCGTCTGCGGGCGTCGATCCCAACCTGATGCTGCCTCGGAGGCCTCATACTCGAGTAGTCATCAGACGCAAGCCACGAAATGTTCTCGAGGAGACTGTGCTCCGGTCTGTATAACCGCCTGTGCGCTGCGCCGTGGACCGACCCGCGAATGGAGAACAACGGGCGCCATCGTGCCATGCCGTTTATTTCTCGCAGGCTGCTCAGCTGTCTCTGGCGATCACTCTCTGCGCCAAACAAAGTCCTCAATTGGCTCTATCCGGCTATCCATTCCTTCGGCTGGAACTTAAACAGGGCTGCTCAAATCAAATGCAAGTACGAAGTGCGAAGTAAAGCGAGTCAATTTTGGTTAATTTTAGTCAAAGTGCCGCTGCTGCGCCGCCGCTTGGGGACCGTGGGGTCTTGACTGTTGAGATTGCGCTATTCCTAATATGCGTAACAACGTTATTATTAACACCGTAACGAGCAGCACAGAACGATTATTAACCAAGCGGAGGATGAGGACGAAGGGGGAGATGTCCAGAGGGTGAGAAAAAGACCCCAAAACTCGCACTAGCGGGAAGTTGTGGAAGATACCAAGCAAGGTCCCGTTCCGAGACCAGGTCCCTAGGGGCTCGTACGTGCACGAAGCACTGTCCCACGGAGCACAATCTCGCTATCGCTTGTTTCCATGGCCAATATCAATATCAATATCAATATCAATATCAATATCAATATCAATATCAATATCAATATCAGACCCGCTGTTCTCGCATTTGAATATTTTGGTGAGGTAGCCAGCTTAACGGTTAGGTTTGTTGGTGCTTTATTAGACTTTAAGGTTGCGGCAGCAGTTGGTTGGTAGGTAGCTTCCTGGGCTGGCCCGACTTGTCGGATTTCTGTCACGTGACTCCTTAACCATTCCATCGTTTCCTGGGATGAAGATGACGATCAGGGCAATTAGCCGCAAATAGAAGTAGAAGAGCCGGTTGTCAGTTCGATATTCCAGGGGATGCTGTAATTATGTATTTTGATAAATATTGTCCCTCTATAAATCGGTACACAGTGGAGGCGGCATTGCCTCGGAAACCCTCATCTCCCGGTAAGCCCGCCCTATTGGGCCGTCGTCCTAACAGTTGCCTTTAGTACGCTTTATTAAAAATATAAGTAAGCATCTTTTAGATCAGATTACGCCCCATTAACGTATTATGGAGAATACCCAGGCCGTTATCCCGACAAAACCGAAACTCTTCGTTCATGCAGCCTTGAACGGAGCCTTGAACAATCTAGCATCCCTCTGTTAGAGTAACTAGGAAGCAATCAAAAATAAAAAATTGTGCTGCTAGAAAGTTCGAAAATAACATAGAACAAATTAGGATGTTTCAGCGGTGCGTGTACCACTATGCTATTTTCAGACTTTCTGGTAGGACAATATCGGCTCATCACGCCTGCTTGGGATACGTACTTGGATGGCCATTCTTTTTCGCATAGGATCTGACCTTGCCATCCAAGTCGGGGCCCACAAACAACCAAACCAGACTCGTAATACAAGTCAAAATAGTATCCCACACCCAGTTATTCCTCCTTGAACCACCCCAGGCACAGCCCCTCATAGCCTGGCCTAGCCAACTAACGGTCACCAAATACTCGCCATTCTCCAAGCCCTTTATGGATTTCGCAGCAACCACATCCGGCGTCTGCACGGGATCCGATTCCTCCAGTATATGTGTGATTTTCGGTTTCGTCTTGTTCTCCAGGTCGAGTCCTGGGCTGGAAATCGTCCCAGGAAATACGGTATGCACTTTTACCGTGTCGCCGCCACCATAGAGCAGGACTTCCTGAGCCAACGTATCGCTCAAGCTTTTGATCGCAGCTTTGGTCGGCGCATATGGCGCATAGCCTGCCACGGGATAGAATGCCGCCACCGAACTTGTAAAGATGAGATGTTTTTGTGTCCCTTTTCCAAGTACCGAAGGAGCCAACCATTCATTTAGGATGGCATGTGCCATATCGACACATGTCCAGTAATTGATATCCATCTGCTGCCGCATTTTCGCTCTGGGCGTCTCGATAAAGAGGCCGGGATAGGCGGAGCCCGCGATGCACCACAAGGTATCCGGGGAATTGCCATGATTCCAGGCGATTGCTTCGGCGAGGACAGTCGCGGCGGCATCCTCCTCGGAGAGATCGGCACTAATATATTGGAATCGCTGTGTTGAAGGGTTTCTTGCTGAGGCCTAGATGAGGAACAAGGTCAGCCTGGAATGCCAGCTCAATTGACAAACTGAATAGGCAAACCTACCTGGATCTGTGCCAATGCCTCTTCGAGTTTCCCAACATTGCGTGCTACTATTATGATATTCGCGCCCTTTTGTGCCAATTGTTTTGCGACGCTCTTGCCCATGCCCTCAGAGGCGCCGGTGAGCAGGACGGTCTTATTATGATGATCAGCTATGCGAGGCTAGAAGCACGGTTCGGGATTGCGAGCCTACCTTTCCTTGCACATCAAACTTATTCCTCCTAAAAAGCCCCATAATTACTGGAAAGAGGACAACCACGCCTACGAGTAAGCTCGCAATTGTCCAGATATTCAGAGAGATGGGCATGACGTGGTGTGGAGGTTAGATTGCTATAATTTCCGGAATTACGCAGGTCTCGACACCTAAATTCGTCCTCGCGATCCGCGACGCGACGTCCCGAAGTATCTCCGAAGACAATACATATATCTCCTCTCTCCTATTATCAAGGGGACAGATAAGCTACTTTTGTGGCTCTCATTTTAGACACTACGGTGTTTCTCTTCTAGAATTTGGAAAACCCGCTCAACGTGGATGAGATAATATAAGGCTCTACAGCTGGTTAAGGGAATTATAAGCGATGGTAATAGGGACTCGGGGCTAGAATTGCTCCTGGCTACATCACTTGCCATGCACATCCTAGCTGTATGGAGGGAGATGCAACATATTAATTATCTCTATTTCATCTCCCTCCCGCTCCATTACCCATACTCTAACAATATTAACTAAAGGTGTAGAAAGACTCAGTTGCAAAATCATAACCGCGTTGCATTCGTACTAACTCTATTCCCCTTATTGTTACTTGGCCCCCCCAAACTGAATAATAAAATATAATGATCGATAGACAATCAAAACGATAAAAAAGAATTAAAGTAATTATCCCGCTTATCCCTTATAGTAGAAGAACAGTTGCCAACAGCCCATGAACCAACATCACGCTCCAAGCCCCAAGCGCGAGTATTCCGGAAGCTCCAGAAGCTTCGACTACACTGGTTGCTGAACCACCTGTGGGTCCGGGCTTTGCAATGCTGATGCTTGGAGCGGTACCAGATTCACCTTTGTGATCACCGTTAGATTCACCTTTGTGGTCACCGTTGGATTCACCCTTGTGGTCACCGTTGGATTCACCGTTAGATTCACCCTTGTGGTCACCGTTGGATTCACCGTTNGATTCACCCTTGTGGTCACCGTTGGATTCACCGTTAGATTCACCCTTGTGGTCACCGTTGGATTCACCGTTGGATTCACCCTTGTGTCCACCTTTATGTCCACTACCAGCCGGGCCACCCTCTGAAGTACCGTTCTCATT